TGGTTAACACGGAATAGACCTTCGGTGTAAAATTATTCCTTTCCAAAGTTTCTATTGTCACATGGGGTAACATTTTGACAGAATTCTGATTTCGAAATAAAATATAATCGGCAGTCTTTTTTTAATTTTTGGTTGTTCGTCTAAAAACACAAATTTTTTATTATTTGTAGGTGTGTGTATATGTGTGTGTATGTGTGTGTGTGTGTGATTTATGAGGATATTTTTAAAAGAAATGAGTGGGGGATATTAAAACAAAAAACGAGCGAAGTTATATACAAAAAGAATTATGTGTTGTGAGGGGTGGTGAAAAGGAAAGTTATACAAAAAGAGGGGATTTTCACATATATATATATATAAAAGAAAGGGTAGGGCTGTGTGTGAATTTGGGAATACAAAAGGTATGAGGGGGCATGGAGATATATAAGCATAATAAATGATTGAGATTACAAGTTGACAAATAAATTGACAGTGTTATTATCTCCACGACTTTCGAAGGCCATCTGGACATCGTCGTTCGAACTGATGGTGATAAAATCGCAGTCTTCGTCTTGATATTTCAATCGTAACAAGTCGTTCTGTTTCAAATTACCAACAAGACGTATCTTCTTATCAACCTTCTCCATCAATTCGAAAAAGGTAACTTCGTTGTTGGTAACAATAACGTAGATGCCATCATTGTAATTAAGCTTGATTTTGATGGTTCCGGGTGAAGGTGGTGCTCCATGTGTTAAAGCAATATCTGTTAAACGTGGAGTCGATGCAACATTACGGACATAATGCTTGGATTCTTGTCGCGATAAATCAAGCGGGGTGGGCTTATGATTTCGGTTGGGAACTTGAGGCAACGATTCTGATGGTGTCATCACAATGGGAACATTGTTCTTCATGATATTTGGACTACTTTGAGATCTGGATCTGTTTTGATTTACGGACAAAGCAGTGCGCGTACGACTTGTTTCCATAGCAACATTCTGCGATTGAGAACGACCAGTAGAAGATAGTAATGAATGAACGTAATGTTGGTTGTAATCATCAGAGCATTCGTTTGTCATGAAACTTGACGCTACATCGATCAATGTATTGCTGTTAGAGTGCCAAGTAGTTGAACTGGTACTGGTACTTGAAATACGAGATGAACTAGTTGGAGAGGATGGGTGGGAGGGGGGTGGAGATGCAGGATAATAAGAATAATTCATCGCTGATGGTGGAGAAGTAGAGAGATTACTAGTTGTTAAACTTGAGTTTGAACGAGGCAAAGGAGAAAGATTCATACCAGGTACATTATGATGAGGTCGACCATTATTGTACTTGATATCTTGTTGGATACTTCGAATCATGGGTTGCTGATGATGATTATTGAAGGAACTACTACGGGATCTGTTTGATACGAGAGTTGGGGCGAATTCGTCGTCCTCTTCGTCGTCATAAAATTCATCATCGTCTTCATCATCAAGTAATTCATTGAACGGAGTCGACAATTGCATAATTTCAGAATCAGTTGCCTTGTGGATGGACTTGGTTAAGGTATTTAACCACATTTTCATTTGCTCTTCATTTCTGAACTTCATACAGACTTCGGTCATTGTATCGTCTTTCAGATCAATGGTAAGACACCAAGTACCATTTCGACAGCGGGTGGTCAAGTCTGTCATTTTGGATATCTGAGAAAAGAATTTGGGAACGAGGCTACCACGACGTTTTTTTTTGTTGATGGATAAAGTGTTACTCTTCTGCAATAAGTTACTGCCTTTTGATTCTTTACAGAATAAGAGAGCTTGTTCGAAAAAGAAGACATGCAATTCACGTTCATCCATAGCATTTGTGTTTACAAATAATTTATCTTGTAAGAGCAAACTGCCATAAGCGTCGATGGTTGCTTCTTTGGTTTCATCCAATCGTTTCTTCAAGTCTTGCACTGCTTGAACATTTTCGTGCTGACGTTGGGTCTCGTTAACTTTTTCGGTGACTCTCTTAATGGCATCGACACTGTCTTGTGCTTCTCCGTAATATTGCCAATCTTTATCTGTACTCTTCAAGATCTCTTTCAACAAGAGGGGGTATTTGCAAATACGTTGAACTGGTTTAATTAAGAGCGAAGGTAATTGATAGCTTGGGTCCAAGATGTGGCCCAATTTTTGTAGTCGAGGAGTCTCTTGAACGACAAGATCTTGAGCAGGGAAATAGTTTGCGCAATAAGGTTCATAAACAGAGAAGGATTCTTCCATTTGAAGGAATAATAAGCCGATTCTTTGTTCTTGAGGAGATTTTTCGGCAATCTCTTCAAGTTGAATCAAAAATCGACGTTGGAAATCAACAAGAGCATTTAAATTTCCAAATAAATAATGAATAGTATCAGGGGAAACTACTTTTTGTATCTGCAATTCACGCATGTAATTCTGTTTGGAAAAAAAAAATTAATTAATAAACGCGTTTTTGTCTTATATTCATTGTCTTTTTTTTTTTATTATTACTTGAAGGGTTTCCATGTCCTGAACATATTTTCGCTCTGTTTCCAACAACTCTAAAACAACTTTATCGCGCGTATTTTTGGGAGCATTTGGATCTGAATTTCTATTGGTGGATCGGACGGTAATGATTCCGCGATTTTCCAATAATTGCAATAATTTATTAATGGTATTAACAACCTAAGGGGAGTGGGTGTAAATAATAAATAAATAATAATAAAAAAAAAAAAAAAACTATTTTTATACCTTTACAAATCCATTGGTGTCATTTTGATAAAGGTCGGAAATAGTAAACATGTCTTCTTCTGGAAATAATAAATCTTTTCGGCAAGCAACAATAAAATGGTAAACGTATGCTTTGCAAGAATTTATTGCATTCAGATTCGGATCACTTTCTACATTTAGTAAAGTGACAGGATTCAAGGCGTTATAGAGTGTACATAACGGAAATCCTTGACGACAAATGAGCGTCAATTTAGTCAATGGATCGGTCGTATCGCAATCCAAATAATTTGCCATTCCTTCAACTGTTGATAATTTATCTAGCACTGAACGACAAATATGATATAAGGAACCGGAGCTGGCTGCCGTAGTGGGTGTAGTTGTATTAACTGGTCTTAAAGGTGGTGGCGGTGGTGGAGGTGAATCGATGGTAAGCATCGTTACCGAAGGATTTCTTCGGTTCAATGCTGGTGTGGACATGTCCAAAAATAAAATAAAATAAAAAAAAAGTAAGAGAGAAGAGAGAGAGAAAGAGAGAGAGAGAAGAAGAAAAAAAAAAAGAGAAGAGCCACAAATAAAAGGGGAGAAAGAAATAACCAACAAAACATTTCAACTCAGTTTTGTTTCACAGATGGATTATTATTTTCTTTATGTGAGTTATGCGTTGGCACGAAATGCATTGTTCAAAAATAACAATGATTTTTTTTTATTCTTTATGGATAGTTTATCAACAACAACAAAGACGCACGCGCAAAATAAGTTATTGATGCCATTCATGAATTGCGTTTTTGATACTAGTCAAATACTGGAGTTCTATAGCCAAGTCTTTAGCTAATTTATAGTCTTCTTTATCAAAAGCATCTGTCAATTTATCCACCACTTCTTGAAATTTTTCTGAGAGAGAAAAAAAAAACAAAGTCAGTATAGCAAGTAGCTTGTATTTATAAATAAACTTACCATCGTTTCTTTGTTTTAATGGGACTAAATCTTTTTCTGTTGTAATCTCTTCAAGCTCCTCTCTAAATTCCATTACTTCCATTAACAGTTCTGGATCGCTTAATGAGTCACCTTCATTCACTTGGTGTCCATTCTGTTCAAGTATATACTGCGCACGGCTTAATGGATTTTTCAGTGTGTTATAAGCCTTGTTAATAACAGATGATTGTAATTGTGCATAATCAAGTTGACGCTAAAAAAAAAAATTAATTTACTATTTACAAATAACCCCCTTAAACAACAAACCTTGGGTGCCTGTGAAAAACTATCAGGATGTGCCTTTTGTTGAAGTAGCAAAAATTGTCGTTTCAATGCTTTCAAGTCGATATTAAATGTTGGCTTATCTCTATACAAAACCGATGAATAAGCAAATAAAGATTGATGACATATAACAAGAACTTACTTGTTATCGCCTTTGCCGGCTTGAAGTAAATGGAAAAAGTTCAATTGGGGTGGAATGGGTTGAATGACACTACACACTTTGTTCTCGCAAAATAATGCTGAAGGTCGGTTAGTAGATTGACATTGCCAACATTTCTTATCGAAGCGCCATGTAGAACTGCTGTTGAATAAGCGCTGGTTTGGAATATTTCTCTTTATAGCATGATTATTATAAATAACTCTTGTTCTAGACAAAGAACATAGTTGGGAAAATAACCTTTTTGTGTTCATTGCCCCCCTTGATTAATAATAACTGTAAAAAAAAATGCTTTAAAGACTGAGAGAGAAAAAAAAAGTTTTTTTAATAATAATGGCATTAATACTCCGGACAAGCTTAGATTTAATTGCTGGTAAAACGATTAATCATGTCAGCAATACGATTTGGTGATTTAGAACGGAGTTCTTTGGAATTAGTAGGGTGTAATTGATTATGGATGGTGTTATTGTTGTTGTTAAGGTTCTCAAATCGACTACGAAGTGATGCCATCTGAGGTTTGGCAATAGGCTGAGTAATAGCTGCAACTTCGGCATCATGGTGACTGGGTTCTTTTTGCTCATCCTCTACAGTGTCTGAAACAACTACTGAAATAACCTCTTCTTCAGTGGGTGCTATTTCATTTGCTGTCTTGACAGTCTCCTCAACAGCAACCACTGGTTCCTCATTGACGACAGGCTCCTCTTTGATAACAGGCTCTTCCTTGACAACGGGTTCTTCTTCGATAACGGATGCCTCTGGAACAGGCTCTTCGATAACTGCAGCTTCAGCAGCAATAGCCTCTTCGACAATGGGTTCTTCCTCGACAATAGTCTCTTCAGCATGCTCTTCCTCATTAGCATCGGAGTCTTCCGTGTGTTCATCAATGTGCTCTACATGTGCCTCTTCTTGATGCTCGTCCTCTTTGTGTTCCGCATCTTTGTGCTCTTGTGCAATGGTATCCTTGTGATCAACAACCTCGCTTTGATCAGCGACTTCTTTGTGTGCACCCGCTCGAACTATCTTTTTGGGCTCTTTATGATCTGCGGCAGTGGTAGATGGGGTTGATTTCTTCACAAGCTTCTTGCGTGGTGTAGCAGATACCTTGGTATTCACTGCTTCTTTTTTTGGAGAGGTTTTAGGAAGTCCGGAAGAAGAAGGGGGTGAACGTGCCCCTGTTTTATTGACACTAGTTCGTTGTTTCACTCCGGGTGTAGCCTCAGCAACCTAATTAAAGTTAGGGAGGGGGTAAAAAAAAATTATGTATAACCTAATAATTACCTTTTTAGATGCAGTTGCTGTAGAAGATGGAGGAGTAATACGACGTACTGGTTTTGTTACAGGTGGTGTTGTTTTAGTTGCAGGAGTAGTCTTGGTGGTCTTTGTTGCTGGTACAGCAGATACACGAGCACTAGATGCCTTCTTTACGGGTGTAGAAGTAGGTGGAGATACAACAGCTTTATGAACTGGAGCAGATTTACGTGTGGAAGCGACTGTGGAAGTAGGAGCTGCGGGTTCCTTGCGTCGTGCACTTGCTGCAGTAGGGGCTGTCAATCTAGAGACTAATGATCGCGTTGAGCCTGCCTTCTTTGGTTTTTCTTCCGTTCCTGCTGCTGTTGTTGATGCGGGGGGAGGAGGTGCGACCTTTTTAGTAAGTAAAGCAACTCTTGGCACTCTAGCATGTTTGGTCACGGCTGGTGTGGCTTCTTTATTATCGGTAGCGGTCTTTTTAATAAGCGTGGGCTTCTTAAGTCCTGGCTTCTTTAAAACAGGTTCCTTTTTCTTATCGGCATTGTCATGGGGTGTACTTGTCTTACGTAAAGTTGTGTGTTGTTTGTTAATAGGGGTTCTAGGTTTAAGCTCCTTTTTATTATTGACAGAAGAAACCTTATTTGCAGGACTTTTTTTGACGTTAGCTGTCTCCTTAATTTTCTCATCGACACTGGTTCCGCTGGATGTGGTCGATTGATCTTCATAGCCTTCTGAGGATGCTGTGTTGGATTGGGTCGTCTTCATAGTGGCATTTGAAGAGCCTTCGTGGGATATCTAAATGACCAATATACAAATAAATAACATTACCCTCCCTATTTTATTTATTTATTTCCGGTTTATAAACTTACAATTTCTTTGTCTAAAGAGGCTGTTGATGATGTCACTGACAGTTTGTCAATAACAACTGGCTCGGACTCGGGTTCCAATACCTGTTTATTGATTGTTTGTTCAACAAGGACGTCATTCTCTGCTCCGATAACAGGTTCTTCGGCTATGGGTTCATTATCAGCATCTCCGGTTGTAATCTGGGCAGGTGGAACAAGAACAGGTTCGATGGTTTCTTCTACTACTACATCCGAGACGGGTTCTTGTTCTTGAACAACTTTAGTTGGGATGGGTTCCACTGTCTCTAAGACGGGTTCTTGTTCTTGAACAACTTTAGTTGGGACGGGTTCCACCGTCTCTACGACGGGTTCTTGAACGATGATGTCAGAAACAGGCTCCTGGGCAACCACCGCAGCAGAAATGGGTTCTTGAGTAATGACAACAGGAACGGGCTCTTGGGCAACTGCAGCAGGAACGGGCTCCTTGACAATGACAGTTGGCTGTGTTACCTTGACGGCGGTCTCGACTTTTTTGTCTTTATTTTCAAAATTAGCAAGTAGGTTTCCAATACTTCTTACTGGCTTTTCCTTCTTGACATCTTGACCAAAATTTCCTTTCACAAATGGATTTTCGGCAAAAGCGGACTTGGTTGGAGCAAATCGATTAGGTTTCACGATCGAGGCAATGTCTTTGGGTTTTTCTTTCAAAGTTTGCTCTTTCTTGACTACAGTTTCCTCTTTTGGTTTTTCCTCTACAGCAATCTGCTCTTTGTGTTCAGTCTTGGGCGTAGGCTCTTTGACAACAGAAGCTTCTGTAACTAAAGTAGATTTATCGACAGCTGATGTATCCTTTGTAAGAGACTTCTCCTCAACAATGTCCTTCTCAGTGGGCTCCTCCTCTGTGGTTTCATCTGGTGTGTTTGGTTTTTCAGGACGAGTAGAATCATTAATAATAATGGGCTCCTCCTTTTTAATATCCTCTTCCTTAATAACAGGTTCTTCTTTGGTGGTAGATTCTCCTTTATCGGTAATCTTCTCCTCGGTAGCATCTGATGTAGTAGAAATTTCTTCCTTTGTGGCAGGTTCTTCCTTTGTGGCAGGTTCTTCCTTTGTGGCAGGTTCTTCCTTTGTGGCAGGTTCTTCCTTTGTGGTAGGTTCTTCAATAATATTGGGTGTTTCCTCGATAGCAACTTCCGACTTCGCAATAGAATCTTCCTTGGTAATAGGCTCTTCTTTGGGAGCAAGCTCCTCTTTAATAGTAGACTCTTTGTTGGGAGTAGACTCCTCATTGACTGTAGACTCTTCTTTAACTATAGGATCGTCTTTTCCCTCAACAATGGGTTCTTCCTTGGTATAAGACTCATCGTCATTTGCAGTTTCTTTCTTTTCGGTAGATTCTTTATTGATGTGTGTTTCCTCATTAACAAGCGATTCGTCAACAATAGATGCTTCCTCAACAATAGACAATGCTACGACAGTAGGTGCTGTTTCAGCAACAGGTGTTTCTTCAACAATAGAAATCGATTCAACATTAGGTGTTTCTGTAACAATCGGCGCTTCCTCGACGATAGATAATTCCACAACAGTAGGTGATACATCAGCACTAGGTGTTAGCTCAACAATAGGCGCTACCTCAGCAGTAAGAGGTACCTCAACATCAGACATTTCCTTGACAATGGGGGCTGCATCAATAGTTGTCTCTTCATTTGTCAAAGACTCCTTCTGTACAACGGCTTCTTCTTTAACAAAGGGCTCTTCTTTGGTAGCTGGATTTTCTACCAACACATCCTTTACAATAACTGCAGGCTCATCATCAACTTTAGACTGTTTTGCAATAACAGGCTCTTCTATGACGAGAGGCTCTTCGCCGACTATAAGGTTCTCTACTGCAACAGGATTGGTCTTGGCAATCGAATCTTCTTTATCGGCCTTTATCTCGACATCATCAGTATGGTCATCCTTACTAACGCATACCTCCTTGGCTGCATCAGTAATCTCAAAATCTGTGGTACTGACAGTTTCCTTCACTGTGGCAGGTTCTTGCACATCGGGCTCGTTGGTCACGGCAATGTCTTCAGTAATTGTAGCAGGTATGTTGATATCGGTAAAGAGAGATTCGGCAGGAGATGTGTCAATAGTGGCAATTTCGGATAAAATAGCGGCAGTATCGTCATTTATTAAATCGTTGACATTATCTTGAGAAGTTACAAAATCGGCCGTATTGGGAGTGGCATCGGGCTTACAGGTATCATTTGATTCGACTTGTTCATTTAAAGCTTTCACTTGAGTCACGTGAACTAGATCATTTTGTTGAGAAAAAATGAGGTTGATTTCTCTTTCTGCACTTGTCAAACAATCACTTCCGTGGGTAGCATTATGAGATCCATCCGTACCAAAAATAGCACGGATACTACATTGAAAGCAAGAAAAATGAGTACAAAAGATCTTACATTATATTTTTTAAAACTTTTACCTATTGGGTTCAATATCTCTTGCTTTATTCGAATCTGTAGGTCCCATAAGTGTTCTCCATGCTTGGATTGCATCTTGTTTTTCCAAAACCAAAGCATAAATAGGCGCACTAAATAAAATAAAAAAGAAGATAATATTTAAGTCATTTTTTTTTCTCTGTAAAACGTAGCACAAGTTTTTTGCATCACTTTACCTGCTCATCCAGTCCGTAAGATCCTTGTAAAATGGTTTTCCTTCATGTTCCCGATAAAATAAACTTGCCTGTTCTTTTGTTAGGTGTATTTCACGTTCCTGGATAATAATGAATTCATTCTCCTTGATTTTTTTGATGATGGCTTCTTTGTTGTTTGCTTGCATAGCATCTGGTTTGATTAAAGCTAGTGTTCTGATTGGTGTGCTTGGCTATTTTTTTGTATTACTTATTAAACAAACAAGAAATAAACTAGGTGTTTATTCGTTTTATACCTTAGTTTCATCCGTAACGCCAATAACAGTTCCTGCAACTAAAATAATGTGTAGAACATACCCAATCAGAAAACAATATGTTTAAAAAAAAAATCTCCCTCTTTACCTTGTTCAGGCACAATAGTAGTCTATAAAGTTAAAAAAATAAATAGGGTTATTTATTAGTTTTGTCCTGTCAAAGATGTATTTAGCATAAAAAACTATCTCTTACACTTGTTTCTTCATTCATCTCGAGTGAAGACATGCTTTCCTTTATTTATAGCTGGTAAAAAAGAACAAATGTCTTAAGTTTATTGAGATGTTAAATATATTTTCTTTTAAAAAAAATAAAACAGAAGAAAGAAAGTAGGGAAAAGAAACAAATATATTTTTTTTTCTTTGGCTCTTTCCCACTACTGGAACGAGGGGGTGATCTTGCACTCTTTCTCAGAAAATTTTCTGACTTTTTTTCGTGACGTACTTTTTGTGTGTATCGTGTCACTTGTCCAAATCAATACAATACCGTAACACACTCTTTTTTAGTTTTTTGTGCTATTTGGCAAAGTCAGTTTTAAAAACTAATAGAGAGCGAATAAAACTTAATTTATGCATCGTGATGTATATAAGCTATGACGTGGAGAGAAGAAGAAGAAGAAAAAACAAACAAGGCGGCAGTAATAGGAAGACTATGGCATGTGCTTGAGCATATATTCTTTATGTAACAGCTAATTAATTGAGCCAAATCAGATTTTTTTATTATTATTATTGAGCAATAGTGTATAAGTGTATTAAAGTGTGGGATGATAATTTATTTAATGACTCAAGTCTTTTTTCTCTGCGTTATATACAATAATGTTCTCTTCAGAGATCATTGCGCTCTCATTTGTTGTAGGTAAGTTAGGGACCCGTTTTCCAGTAATATCTCTCCAAATTTCAGCAAAGACACTTGCAATAGTCTGACGAGATTCATAGATTGGATAAATGCCGACTGCTATTGTACTGGCAAAAACCCAGATAATAGACACTACAACCCATCCTGTAAAGAAGGACTTTGAAAATACATATTTAGAGAGGAACATTGGTAAAGGCCACAAAAGAAACAAGACCAAGGAAAGTACAATACTGGAGACTTTAGCAAATCGAGATGACTTGGCCATGGCTTCCATTTCTTCTTCGGAATTAGTAACAGCTTCAGCAGCAACAGCAACAGCTACAGCAGGCTTGGGGTTTCTTTCATCAAAGTCGCCAGCAATTTGTTCTTGGTTGGAATCATCCACCTGTTGGATATCACGAGTAGCGTCAAAGTTAAAATGATCAGGTTTAATTAAACTAATTGCAACAGTGATAAAAATAGGTGAAACAAGTGCAACAATGTTACCAGCCATCATGGGGTAATTTTGTGAGGTAGTGTTAACAGTGATTTCACCATACATATTCGAAGTGACACCTAACCATGTACCAACTGCCGCAATAAAACCAATAATTGGAGATGCAATAGCTGCAGCTTTTGATTGCTTGCTCCATAACAAGGTCATTGTAAGAGGTACAACTGCAGACGAAATAAGAACACCCATTAGCGTGTACAGATAGCCAAGACTTATACCTGTCAAATTTAGCAATACAGCGAGAACACCCATAAGAATACCAAATGTGACAACACAGATGTGAGAGAAACGAACAACTTCTTTACCCTTAGCATTGGGTCGAATATATGTACGATACACATCGTAGGTCATGACAGATGAGACAGCAATTAATTCTGCAGATGCAGCACTGGTAACAGCCATAAAAACTAGAATAAGACATGCAAATCCACCAGCTTTTCCTAGAAGGGCAATAGCAACATCTGGTAACACCAAACCTTGACTGATGGCAAAAGGGGTAAGCTGAATATCAAGAGCTCTACCAGCAAGACCCATTGTTGTAGCCAGAGTAAATGGGATAGCAAACCAAGAAAGACCGCCAATCAAATATGCTTTGACAGCATATTGAGGATGAGCGGCAATAGCACGTTGCCAATAAGCCTAATTAAAATAAAGGGACCACGTATCAGTACAGCTGTTTTTATACAAATATGATCAACTTACGTTATCCAGAAAAACGGTACCAAAATTACCGCAAATGTTAATTATGCTATAATGACAAAAACAAACCGTAAATATATAAATATATATATATATATTTGACAAACATAGTTTACCCAAATAAAAGGGCTTGAATAGACGACATGGTAACTAAAGATCCCTTCTCGTTATCAACAATAGGAGTTCTTTCTGATGCAGCGACTAGTAAATCGTACATGGTGCCGATGGATCCAATTTTTGGTGATGTACCGTAGACAGTGAATACAAATGAAATGATAATAATAAAAATTACTACAGTATGACTATAACGTATGATTAGATGTGGTTGAATAATAATAGCAATAAAAAAATAAAGATTTATCGAACTTACGCATAATCTGACATGAAGGTAGCTTTAATACCACCAAACAAAGTGTAAACAACTACACCTACAGGGAGTAAGAAACAAGCAGCAATAGTGTGCATACCAGTTAAATAATTTACAACTGCACTACCACCTAAAAGCAGCATGGCTGTAATGAGCTATAAGAAAGTACAAGGTACGTTAGTATGTGCAGTGCATGCATACTTTTTTTTTGTACTTGCAATATTGGTAATGGTGGCAAAAAAAAGGTAAACACCATGAGCACCTTTACCATAACGAGCCAAAACAACTTCCAAAAATGTATGGGCATTAGGAGCACGTCTTTTCAGTTCGATGGCTAATACAGCAAAAAGCAAAACTTGGACTACTGCGCCCGAAGCATACCAGATAGGACCCTATATAAGATGTCGAAATTAGTTTGATTTTGATTTTTAAAATAAAAACAAGGAAGCTAATGTATATTGACTTACGGATACACCATATTTGTACGCGACTTCTGTACTAGTAAGAAGCGTTGCTGCCCATGTCCAACTCGAAACAATGGCACTGGCCACTAAACCTGTTTTCACAGTACGCTGTGCTGTCATGTACATTTCTGAAGTTTGAACTTCGTGTAGGTATCGCTTGCAAAGAAAAGTGATGGTTGTCATAATTAATGCAAATAGGGCACCAAATCTAAAAATGATAAACGCATTAAACATTTCTGTACATGTAATTAATATGTATTAATATAGTAATATACCCTAATACGACACCATAGCCATAACCTAATTGCATAGTGTTAAAGTTGTTAAATGTATGCACAATAAAAAAAAATTAGGGTATTATACATTACCTTCTGATAAAATAGCCATTTCTGAAATTTCTTTAATGTATGGGGGGAGAAAACAAAGTAAGAAGTGTCTATATATTAAATGTGTGAAGAAAAAAAAAATTAGCAAAAAATCACAACTTATTTATATAGATATGCATTTCAGAAGATATACCTACATTATGTTTGCAATTCCCATCTACTTGGCCAATCTGATTTAGTTTGTATCCTTGATCTACTGATGGCACCAATTGATGGTCCAGTGATATTGTTATCTAAAGTTGGATAGGCAATGTCTTGTCCCTTCCCAGAACGGCAAAACCAATTCTATCAGTTACACATTACTTTTTGTTGTAGAAAGATAAGCGTTCATAAACAAAATCAGAACCGGCACACTGGGTGAATTTAATGAGTGATAAATAGGAATTATAGAAGGGTCTGTTTAATTGTCCTATTGATAAGATTTCTTGTGTATATTACCCACACACCTTTCAGATACTTTTTATACCATCATGTGATAAAAACCGTAACTGTTTTATTTACAGTAAATCTACCTCATTCGTTCATCTAATCTCTGTAAAAGCTATATGGGTTATCAAGATCGCATTTTCTATTCGTTTGATAAATATTTGATAGTTACAGCAATGAAAAACGTTAATGTTTAATACAATTCATATCTTTACTATCTTTACTATCCTGCCTATTTTGATGTCAGTGTAACATTGTATGCATAAGATTAAAAAATTTGTGTGTAAAACATTTGATAAGATAATACAGCATCAGCAAGAATTAAACTTGAAAAGTTATAAAAATCCGCAATTCAATAACACCGCGGTTTTAAACATATAAAGAGCATCACACTGAAAAATAAAAAGATTTGCGTCATGCGATAAGCGACAAAGTTTTGATAACAATTACTCGATTTGTAAACAACCAGCCAAGATCTTTCTTTTTTTTTTGTCACCATTTAGAGAAATAGAAGCTTTTTTTGTGTATATCTTCAAGGTGTTACCATGTACTATGGATATATAACCATTTACCACAAAAACAATTAAGGTATAATTTTATAATAGTTAACAGATGACTGAAATAATTTGTTGTGTTGATCCAAAAAGTAATTTGAACATCCTAATCTAACAACATTTATCTTCACTTGTATTAGCTTCTCTCCCTATTCAACCGATCTTCTTCTTCATTTCAAAATATATTACAACAATAGTGTAGATAAAATGATCTGCTTTAGGAAAAAAAAATTTCTTACCCATCTTTTGACACCATTCACCTCAATTAGAACATATCCGTAAACAATTTTGTTGTATTTTAAGAGCTAGACGTAATGCTTATCATGTTTTCCCCTTAAGCTTTTAAGCCATAAACATATGCTATTAAAAGAGGCATTGCTCAAATATAGGGTGACAGATCACTAATCTTTAGTTGAAACAGTACTTTTAGTAGATTCATTACTTGAGTATTTTTTATCTTATACTTTAGAGAGATGGAAATGGTGTAGAACATAGTATATTTGAAAGGTCTGCCGTTGGCAAAAACCAACTTAGGATTAGTTAGTCACAGTAAAATAAAATAGAGTAAAATGACAGCTTAATGAGAGAGGAGATTTTCATTTGGAGTATTGCTCTAATATATCTAATCAGTAAATTTATTTTTGCTAATGAATTCATGAAGTACATAATGTAAGTATTGCTGAGAAGCTGGTTTCTAGAAAAAGCAAGGCAGAGAGTATACATCATCAACGGCTTCCACAATAACAAATCAATACAGTCATCATCATGAATAACGACAGTATGATTATTTTTCTTTGTGTATAATCCTAATGAAAAGAACCTAGATATCAGTCATAAATATGGCAAGTATGGTTGAGGAAGTTTAACTCTTTACAATTCACCGGCAAAGAGCGTCATTATGGGAGCTCGCTTCTGTTACACGGCAAAAAAATTCATGCACTTGGCGTATATGCGCAATTTTTTTTTTTTTAAAGAAAAGCACCAAAAAGCTCTTTCGGTACGATTATTTCCGAATCAAACAGCGTGAACCAAGACAGGCACTTTAAACGAACAAAATAGTAAACATGGAACCGGATACACGTCCAATTTCTTATTAGATGCGATATCGTTATCCACAGAGAATAAATCATATGGCCCGGCTTTACAAAAAAGGTAAGACGTAAGCTTCGCCGAAATGTCAAGTCATGGAAAGTCATGGAAAGTCATGGACATTCAAGAAAAAGTCACAGGAAAAGTGTCGTACACAAAAATTTTGGCCTTTGAAAAGTATAAAAGCAGGCCAATTTTCACTCCATTTTCGTTTTTTTCTTCTTTTCTTCTCTTCATATTGGGTCTGGGGCTTTTGGGTTGCTCTCACTTGTGGGGGTATACCTTGAGGTCTCCTGTGCGGGTCGACAGTGGGCTTCTGGGGGTATCTTCGGGTATTTTCAGCGGTTCCCTGTTGGCACAAGCAGGGGATTTCTAATAATTATATTCAATAAATAAATGAAAATGAAAAAAGGCGGATAACTAATCATATCTACAATTATCAAATAACAAGTAATTTAAATCCAGAACTTATTAAACATGACCGTTTTTTTATAACTGACGCATTGCAGATCATGTTTGTTGAAAGTAAAAACCTTGAATTCAGAACTTTTGCTATACTGTTTTATAGTGGAAAAAATTCTCTGAAAGCGTTTACACACTCATATGATGAGAAGAAGGTGCATAGAAAATCAGCTTCTTTTTTTGTTTTTGTCCATTTTTATCACTTGATATGCCGTTTTCGATTGATTTTTTCATTTAGTAAGCTGTCGTTTCCGTACGGCCTTTCAAGTCAGGAATATGCTCAGAAATATCTAAAAAATTATATTGGATTATTAAGTTTTGATTTTAAGTTTTTTTCAAAAGACCCGAAATTGACCAAAACACAAAAAAAGGTACGGCGCATGATTCGGAGATTAAATCAAGAACTTCTTTCTGGTAAATGGCAGCCAGAAAGGGTCTAATACTTCATTGCTGTAACGGTTATACATTTGTATATGTTTCTTTCTGCAAACATTTTCCTATTAAATTAATTGGGAAGAGTCTAAAAATATTGATTACACGGATATGTATGCAATACCGTTGTTGTATGAAACCCCTCACCATCCTCTTGTAATGTTTTCTAACTTGTATTTACACAATTGTGTGTGTCGACTTTTAATTCAGTGAAAACAATGATATAAGTCATACGTGTATTGTAGGGAAGGAGGGAGGGTGTTCAGTAAATTACATGATGGGTTGTGTGTCTTTTATAAAAGTCACAAAGCTAAAAAAAAAATCAAGAGGAAAAAGGTATATCAACCTTGGCATCTCTCTTCTTGAACTTCTCCTTTTTTCGCCTTTTTATTTTCTTCCAGTCTCTTTTACGATTGTTATACTTTAAAGTACTGTGTACCAAAATGTTCACCATAGTTTCAGCAGCTCGCTGTCTTCATTGATATAGAAAAAGCTGTCTTTTGTTGTACGGAATCCATAAAAATTTAAAAGGACATTCATGCGACTGAAAATGTGTTGTATGTATGTAATGTCTATATATATTGACATCCGCAGTTTTTGTTGTAGACGTCCCAGTCCCAATCGCCTCTACCCAATTCTCTAACTTTCTCCGCAACAGCCTTTTTTGGTATTAAGGGGCTACCCGTTAAAAGCTAATACTCCTTAGCAGCACACCGAAGTATACTATGTTTTTCCCGATCTAACCCCTCCACGACCTTGAACACGACCTGTCTACCTGGACCCAGAAAAACCGGTCGAAATACATTCCCCGTTTCTTCAGAATTAAAATCCAGGATATCCAACAAGTCTAATGAGAGGTAATTCAACCCATCTATTTTGATATGAATGTTACAACTCCGTCTGTTTGTATTGACGTAGCACCAAAAAATTCGACAGGAAGTGCAACAAAAACGTTATCCTAAAACTGTATATTATTGTGAAAGGAAATCAGACGGTGGAAATATCAGTTAGTTTAAACTTGGGAAAACGGATTGCATCATTTAACTATGTGGCAATGGAATCAGATTGGTTGGTATTAGAATATTCGAAGGAGATACTTTGTACCGAATTGAACAGTAAATGATTTTTTTTTATCTCAGTGTGGTTGCGTAAAATAAGATATAAAGGAAAATACGCTATCTACAGGAAATATACGAACTGGTTACATCAATTTCCAATTAATAAGAAGAATATCAAATCATGATAAAGTGTATTGTGCATTGCCACTCTCGTTTACAAACATGACTGAAACAGATATGTCCATAATTTACCAACATCCAACTGTCAAAAGGGGGGATGAGATACTCGAAAGTTAGACTGCAGTGATTTACGGCCCGGATCAAAATCATAAAATCACATCATTAAATAAAATTCAGACCTGTTAATTTTACTCATACAGCCCAGTCATTTGATTCCGCTCACGTGGCAAGAATTCCAGCTATTTTTTTAAGTGGAGCCTAGCAACATTGCTGCAATTGTAAATGTTAATTTCTATATTTATCTAATTGTGCCCGGGTCTGTCGCGAAATCAAAAAAGAAAATTGGGTGGCAATAATGACTGAATAAAGTCATGATGGTGCTGTTGGGATTACAGAAAATGATCGTTTCTCTAGTCATGCGTTCACAATTACTATGAGGCAAATTGATCCAACTTAAATATCACTCAATTTGGTTTTATTATCTTGATACAGTGTAAATACTGATGATTGAGCGGAAAGAGAATAGGTTTTTATGTGTAAAAAACAAGATTACGAAGAGACAATAGAAATAATAAAGTCTGCAAAGCTCATATCGATAGTGCCACATATCGTACGATGTGACTAGTTTAACGTGCACATGTTTTGGAAAAGTTTGATAATTGTGATGCAAACTATTAGTGGTACAACCTAACAAAGCCTTGTACCCCTTTTTTTTTTTCTAAAAAAAAAAAGAAAAAAAGGTCTATTTTAATTCTTTTCTTTCTTTAAGTTCCACCTTTTTTTAATTTTCTTTTTAGAGACAGTCATTTAATATTCAATGTCAAAAGAACTCACGATTTTTCTGGAAAATGATAAAAGCTATTATCCTGGTGATATGATCAAAGGTACATATCGAAAATCTATTTTTTATTCGAAAAGGGGTACTTACAGTAAGCACAGGTTTTATAAAACTCGACCTCAACAGATCTACAAATGTTCAAGCCATTTTTATAAACTTCAAGGGTACAGCAGAAGTAAGCGGAGAAAAATTTGTTCTGATAGACATTACTGAGACATTGGCCACGCCAACCGATGGAAAGTCGTATACGACTTTCAAAAAAAATCATTCCTACGCCTATAATTTTCAATTTCAATTACCCAAAGATAACCCACTACCAAGTCACGCCAAGGTAACAGCCTTCAAAAAAAAAAAAAAAAAAAAAAAAAACCTCATTGGTCATACTGATAGAACTTGAATCCATAGATTCATAAAATAGCGACTATTCAGTACCTTTTAACGGCAACAGTAAAGCAGCCATATATGACCTTTGGATCTAAATTAATAACCAGCGAGGAAATCAGAGTACACGATCTCATTGACATTGATTTACCACACTACAACAAACCAATTCATATGAACAATGACCTTGGTTTTGCAAATGGCAGCAAAACAACTGAATGGAATCTAGTTGTATCAAAGTCCGCATTTATCCGAGGTACGCATTCACAGTTTTCAATAAAAAATAATAGTTGCTAAAAATAAATACAATAGGACGCAATATAAATTTAGACTGTAATATTAATAACTTTCCTCCCATGAAAAGTAAAAAGGCCATCAAAGTTTCTTTAGTGAGACATGTTCATAGAACAAATACTGCACGGTAATATTCCTTCGTCTATAAAGCCATACGTGCACTAATGCACGCGTTTTATATTAAAAAAAGGGTCGTAGAAACAAAAATTTTAGATTCCAAAACAATTGAATTACATGTCACCCAAATTGCATCCACTCAGACAGTGTATATAGAACTAAGTATACCTAAAGACACTCCGCCGACTGTTTTTCCTACTGCTGGTAAAATTGTAGGTATCACTTATACAATATCAGCAGAGTTAAACATGAAGGGAGTTAGATCAGCCATCAAACTCAAAGACACATATCTTCAGAGCGCATCAATTGTCTTGGGAACAAAAGGCTGTGACAATATATTTTCAGCGTATCGAGAAAGTATAAAAGGTCATGCAAGAACCATGTCCAACGCCAGTTTAACAAGTACCCATTACCAAAATATGTCCACAATAAGCTTAGCTTCTTCGAGATCACCAACGCCCAGTCATTTTCATGATGGCGTACCAAACTCATCAAACTTAAAACCCTTGAAAAGATTAGATGAAGCACAGACACTACAACATAATACACCTCGAAGATCTTACCTGACAAGAAACAACAAACCCGATGGTAGGATTAGTTCACCAATCATGAGTTCCAGAACCCGATTTGGTTATAATGATCACCAGTCAACAAATACAAGAGACGAGCCACAAACGTTCGATAGAGCGCACACACCACTACCTTCGATAAGATCTCCTAATGCAAATACAGTAGGCTACAGTAATCCAAACAGTAGAGGATCAATATTGAGGACAACACCTTCTGTTATTGTCGAGACACCGCACGAAATTGGCCCTGATGATATTATCAATCGAGGGGGTGTGGTGCGCGAAAAAACTTACCCCGTGCGGCCTTACTATGGTAAAAAAGCCATGGATAACGATAGTGAGAAAATCATTCGCTATGACAGCGATAAAGTAGGCACTTATGACGGTGACAAACTATTGACATATGATGGAGAAAAAGAAAACCCACCAGTACCTCATTTGGTAAGGCACGATACAATGTCGACAGCCTCATCATCTGATCCTTCGGAATATCATACTCCCGTTTCTTACTTGATCAGAGATACAATTCGCGAGTAAAATCGCACATTTATATATATACATATGTATTTATTTATCTATGCATACGTGCATTTATTGTTTCTGTGTACCTTTAATAAACCCACAACGAAAAAAAAAAAAAAAAAAAAAAAAAAAAAAACGATATTTCGTTGATCTATTACGTCGTATCATCCGTCACGTTAACCTTATCATGAGGTATGAATGCAAGACAAATAGAAAAACAGTTTTGTTTTTGACACAACTATGCTTACAAATTGTCAAAAAAATCCATCATTAGCCGCCAAAATAAACTTTATTCATGCATCTTCTGGTGATACTTTAACACTCGGCGATAGAAAATTTTACCATGTCGCACAAATGATACAAGTGTATTTGATGCGGCAAATGAATGATTATCCTTTCAAATATTTGAGTTACTTGAATCATGGTGAATTTAAAAATGTCATTTTTGTATTCATAATATTTTAAAAAAAGTTTTTTTTTGTTTTCTTGGTTATGCATAATGTTGAGAAGGAAGGAAAATGTAATTGAATACAGAGTATATGTAGTATAGAAAAAAAAAGAGAGAAGAAGGGATGTATCTAATTCCATAATGACTTTGAAGGATTATAGGATGTTGGTGACGCTTGCTGCTTTTGTTGTTGCTGTTGTTGCTGAGCCAATAGAGGTTGGAATACAGCAGGATTAGGAGCGGATGGAATTGAAGTTGGCATATAGGATTGTGATGTTGGCATCATGGTTTCGTATGTAGCTTGTTGTGGATAATTTCCATCCACTGTACCCGTTGCTGGATCACTATTGGCATCAAACACAACCTGTCCAAATAACCCAGTATCGTATAAAAATTCCAGACTATTAAAATCAATCTCGTTTCCACGATTCCAATTTGAATAGGTAGATGCCAGTGCTGTCGACTGTGGCTGTCTTTGTTGTTGATCGTACAGCGTAGGTTGTGAGTTGGGCATAGTATTAGGAGGTGGGGATGGCATATAATAGTCATTTGTCTTGTATCGATGTTGTTGTGGTTGAGGTTGAGGATAAGGAGATATACAGCCTGGTTCTTCGGATCCTACTGTACCCAAAAGTGTGGATAAGGGTGGTGTCTCTGTTCGATGCATATTAAGTGGCGACATGGATATACTGGGTGAGGATTGTGCACTTGATGAACGTGACTTTATCGAGACTTGGCTAGGATACGCTACTTTCACTTCTGTATTGTATCGAACTTCATTATTTTCAACGCCCTGTTCCTGATAGAGTCGTTGATGAACAGACAAAAGTTCACGTGTTGCATTAGCTAATCTTTCACACATTGGCCAATAAGGTCGCAGTCCCTAACGTTATAAAATTATTATAAACTCATGATATAGTATCAATAAGAAACGACTTACATCGATGAGGTCATACAAAATTTTAAGGCTTCTGCTACTCTTTCTACATGACTCTGGTGTGCTAGAAAAGGTGGAAGTCATGAGAACTGTGGCAAATACATAGGCTGAATAACCCATATAAGGTAAAGTATTAAATCCACAAAGATCTTTAATGGCTCCATAAATTCCCGTAGCAGCATCTACGCACATGCGACATGTATCGATACTTTTTTGAATTCTTCTGTATAAATCTTCTGCAATCGAGTCTGTGGATTTAATATCACTAAAGGCCAAACTGCCACGATGCAAAATCATCATACTCGAACACCATACAGCATGACTGGATAACCAAATATTAAGATAATTACCACTAGCAAATTTACGATGATGGTCCAAATTCTTTTGGTTGAACTGAAATGTCTCCGGCAGATTATCTTTCCATGAACGAAGTTGCATATCGAGGTTTCTAAATTCGGCAATAGGTGGCCATACAATGGATGCTGAATTGGATTTGGCTCTGTTCATAAATCGGTTGACTTCACCATACGATTCCACAATCCTCATGTAATGTGTAGCAATATCCATCAATGAATCGTCTGTGATCAATTTATCGTCTATTGTCTTGTGAAAATTGGGATCCCTTAAAACAAGGCATTCCGAGATACTTGCTGTGTTTGTATCACAGTCAGATCTTTCAATACACTGTGGACGGTGTGTACCTGCACTTGATAATCTAATCATACTATTTTAGGATTATATCCAACATATATATTATAAAAAATAACCATACTTGTCAATAGATAAACAACTCCAAAAAACTCTTCGACGTAATGCCATAGCAACAGTATCGATAGATCCATCGTCGGCAAGTATCGGGACACGCATTGTTTCTTCCTTATAATAACCTAATTCCTGACAAAATCTATATTTTTTTAAATGCAATTAGCATGTGCTATCCCGAACTATAAATAAAATGGTGAGTCACTTTTTTTACCTTACAGCCAATCCACCATAAATCCAGGATCTGAACAAGTTAAAAAAAAAAGTTAGTGGATGAATTAATGGCCGGATAAAAAACACAACGACTTTACTTTGATCCCGACGCATGGCCATATTCAAGGCACGACATGATTCCCCAAAATTGAATGTTGGCAAGATTTGGCTCCAGTACTTCTGCATCCACTAACGAGAGAGCTTTCTCGGCGAATTTCTCTCCTGCTAAATAAGGAGGATTGGTACGAATAGCAGGATTTTCTGAAAACCTGAATGTGAAAAAGATAAAAGAAATCTGAGTTTTAACATGAAATCTGTCAGTTCTTTTTGTGCTTTATGGAAGAAACATTACCTTGCACTAATGGCTAACACACTATATAGTAAGGGCCGCGACACGGTGCCGTCCTTGATTGACTTTTTTAACACATGTCTGTGCACAAATGGAAATAATGAATTGATATATTTAAAGAACAAATCCACAAGATGATTCACAATATCCAAAGGTGGAAGATCTACGCAAATTTCTATATTTTTTTTTTTTTTTTTTTTTTTTTTTTGGTTGGGGAGATTAATAATCCAGTATTCTTCTTGTTCCTTTCACGTCATTACCTGGATTTTCATAGAGTTGAATGGGAGAATGTGCCTGGACTGAGGCAGATGAAAAGCTGGTATTCTCCTCATCACTTGTGTGGAGTTTGTTATTGGTATTGCCTATTCCTGCCGAATTAGGACCCATCAGTTTTCTTTCCATTTGGGCAAGTCGTTCTTCTAATAATTGGACATATCCCTTTCGGGGTCCTCTTTTCTTGGGTTCGGTGTATTCACAAACAACATTGGCTTCCTGGCATTGAGTGCAATCGGGTCTGGCTTCGTCGCATTTGATCTAGCAATGGCTTTTAGTTTTTTGTCTCCATTTTTTTTATTTTTATTTTTTTGTGTTTACCTTCTTCTTTCTGCAGTGAACACAAGCTTGACTGGCTCTAACTCTTTTTTTGCTTTCTGGTTTTGTTTCTTCGTATCCAATTTCGTACATTGGTGCTCAATATGGAAGGTGTGTGTAATAATAATGTAAAGATAAAAAAATATATGTATATAGATTAGCTGAATATGACTTAATAAGAATAATGCAATAACTAGGAAGAAGAAGAAGAGGAAAAAAGATAAATAGAACGGAGAAAAACGTTGATTAAATGCAAGCCACTTGTATTTACTTTATAAAGACCAGTAAAAAAGGAAAAAATATTACCCATCCCCCCGCTGAATGACTGATCCGAATTTATGAGACTTTTACCCATCCTCTAAAAGCGTGTCAAACAAAAGGGTTGTTTTCTAGTAACACATCGCGTAATTTATTTCCTAACCTATTTTTTTTTGGAATTCCTACCTTCTGCAACTCCTAACAAGGTATAAAAAGTCTAAAAGAAGCTGAAAAAGTTACACGGACACTTTGCGGTTACCAAATGATATCGGATTTACCCAACAATAACCCACCTGTTGCAGATCATATCTTAAAGAGCAAGCGAGAGATTTGTTCATGAATATTTTGAGGTAAACGTATAAAAAAACAAAGGGAAAACAACAGCCCCACGGGTTTTTTAAACTAAACCTTCCATCACCTTCTACTGCTTCTATCTTTTGAAAGCATGTTGTTATGGATACCATACGGTTGGGGTAGGGAATGTCTGAATAAATAATCAGATTCCCTTGACTAATCTCCTCCACCTTGTCAATTTATTTTAGAGTGTGTTACACATGGAGATACCATTTCTCCATAATGGCTGATAAATAACTATCGCTCAGGTTTACCTTGAATATGATTTTTTTTTTTTTTTTTTTTTTTTTACTTTTGATTCTAGGTTTAAGCTACGGTAAGACAAGATACTTTTATATGTTTTATTTTATTACATACGATTCTGTAAAGCTTACTGACCTACGTAGAGCTGATTTTTTTATATTGCTTATAGATTTTAGGTAAGCACATACTCATTTTTTTGTTTGGTACACTCAATGTAAACTTTACAACGTTACCCAGACTTTTTTTTTCTTGCGACACAACGTACAAAACTCTATAAACCATAATTTGGTCAATCCTCTTACTTTTCTGACATTCATTAAATTAGTTGAAAGGTTTGGCAGTGATAATATAAGGTGTGTGTGGGGGAACTGTGGTTACCCTCATCCCATGAAACAGATGGGGGGTACAAGTATTGCCAAACGCATTGAGCGCAGAAAAAAACATCGAAGCAGCCGCGGCGGGGGAAGGGGGAGACTTTCTCCGTAAAAAAAAAAATCAACAAGCCATTTTCTTAATGTCTGATGATTCACCACCACCTTCGCAACTTAAAAAACAAGCATTTGTAAGCAAATGATTGATATTTTTCGATCTTGAATAAATTTCCAGTGTTAATATCAAGACTTTAAATTATGCGAATATGGAAGTTAATGATTGATATGAATCAGTGCGTTATGCTTATATAAAGATATGTGTTGCCGATACTCATCAGAAAAAAAAATGTCGTAGGACAGCTCATTATGACAAAAAAATTAAAGTCTGCAACAACACTCGCAAAGGTGGAAGATCTCAGAGAACTCGTCTACACAACATTACGGCTGCTACACGCATCTTCGGGGTACCTTTAGGACCATTAGATTGCAGGACCATGATACTTAACAAATCATCACTCAATAATGCATACATTCTTTTTTTCTGCATTTTAAAGTAGCTGAAACATTGAGCTCGTTTTTCCAGCGCCATGTTTCGTGTAACGGAAATATGACGTATGCGCCGCGACAACAACAAAAAAACGGTTTGCTTTTTCATTTTAAAAACATCATAATGAGTGGAAAAAAGGCTATTGTATTATTAACTGAAGGAGCTGAAGAAATGGAATTCACCATCACGGGTAATAATGAAATAATTTTTTTTCTTCATTGCGATGTTAAAGAGATTTTTTGAATAGTGGATGTTTTACGTCGTGCCAAAATCGATGTTACGGTTGCCAGTGTAAAAGTCACTCAAGCATACGCTACTTGCAGTCGTGGTGTCAAGATTTGTCCTGATGTCACTTTTGAAGAGAGCCATTTCAAAGCTGTAAGCAAAATAAATTCCTCCCCCTCCTAAAAGGTCCCCTCACTCACTCACACCTTTTAATAACAGGAAGACTATGATGCAGTTATTATCCCTGGTGGTGCTGGTAGTGCAAAAACACTCAGCGCGCACGAAGGTGCCAAGGCTCTTGTCATGGAATTCTACAAGCATCATAAAATCGTGGCATTTATTTGTGCTGGTACACTTGTTGCAAAAGCAGCAGGTATTCCCCATTCTCATACTGTCACTTCTTATCCTGGCGCTGTCAAGGAGCAATTAGTCAATGGTAAACTATACACACATTTACACGTATATACACACACTAAAATATTACACTAGTCTACAAGTATTCTGAGGAACGAGTGGTTGTGGATGATAACGTCATTACGAGTCGTGGACCAGGTACATCCTTCTTATTCGCATTAACCCTTGTTGAACAACTTGTCGATGTTAAGGTACAACGAACACTTACAACACCTTGGCTCTCATAACTAATCTTTTTTTTTTCATATATAAAAAATTAGACCGCCAAAGCCCTTAAAGACGAAATGTTGACTAGCTCAGTATTGTAGATTTGGTAAATGATCTACCCGTGTTTTAATAATAATAAATTCAATAAAAAAAGTTACGAAGAGCATTCATCGTACTCCAAAACTAAAAAAAGGCCTTCAAAAAAAAATCAGGTACTGGAATGTGACTCTATTTCCTTTTTTGGGCTTAGAGTTCCGACGCACTGTGCGCGCGAGCTTTTTTGCGGCGGGTAAGCGTCCCAGCTGAGAGGGGCCGAAAGCCCAAATACACTGTGGAAGCTGGACCTCATGAGAAACCTTCCTTTAATCACTTCAGCCAGTCGCAATGGTAAGAAAAGACGAGAAAAAAAATATGAATGGCAACCACATCCATCGATCAATACAAAAGGAGAGATAGATGATATACGAGGACGGACGGATGGATGGATGGATGTGGATTCATGAGATATCAAAAAATAAAAATAAAAACGAAATGTCTAACATTTTCCAAAATGATAGCCTTTCGTCAAGCAACAGAAGAACAAGGCCTACTTCAAGAGATACCAAGTCAAGTATCGTAGAAGAAGAGGTAAATAAAAAGAATTACGTTCGAAAGGGATGTACAATTAACGTCAATTGATGATTAGAGGGTAAGACCGATTACTATGCTCGTAAGAGACTTGTTGTTCAAGCCAAGAACAAGTACAACTCTCCCAAGTACAGATTAGTCGTTCGTTTCACCAACAAGGATATTGTTTGTCAAATCATTTATGCCAAGCTCCAAGGTGATTTCGTCCTCTCTGCCGCCTATGCCCATGAACTCCCCCGTTATGGTGTTAAGGGTGGTTTGACCAACTGGGCCTCTGCTTATGCCACTGGTCTTCTCCTTGCTCGTCGTACTCTTGCCAAGCTCGGTCTTGCTGACAAGTACGAAGGTTTTGCCGAACCCGATGGTACCGTCCAATTGATCGAAGCCGCTGAGGATGCTCCCCGTCCTTTCAAGGCCTTCCTCGATGTTGGTCTTGCTCGTACCTCCACTGGTGCTCGTGTCTTTGGTGCCATGAAGGGTGCCTCCGATGGTGGTATCTTTGTCCCCCACAACGGTAACCGTTTCCCCGGTTTCGATTTGGAGACCAAGACCAACGATGATGAACTTCTCCGTAACTACATTTATGGTGTTCACGTTGCTGAGTACATGGAATACCTCGAAGAAGAAGATGAGGAACGTTACAAGAAGCAATTCGCTACTTTCATCAAGGCTGGTATCACCTCTGATAAGGTTGAGGATATGTACACTGAAGCTCATGAGGCTATCCGTGCTAACCCCGCTGCTCAACTCGCTGAGAAGAAGGGTAAGCCCGCTAAGCCTTACCGTCGTCTCATTGCTCTTAACAACAAGCAAAAGGCTGCTAAGATTGCTGATGCCAAGGCTATCTTTGAAGCTTCCAGAGCTTAAATTTATTCTTTTGAATAATTTACTTTCGTTTTAATAAAATTATTATTATTGATAAAAAGAAGAGGGTTTTAAAAAAAATGCTTGTGTGTGTGTGTTTGGGTTATAGGCTTATAAAGAAAAAGGGGGAGGGGCTTAAAAGAAAATATTAAATTATATATGTGTGGAATGAGTTAATCGGTGTTATTGTTGCCATTTTTCCTAGCTGGCATAGGTGGTAAGGGTTGACCTCGTTTGGCCAACATACTTCTTAATCTCAGAGTGGAACCAGGTCCACGTTGCGTAGGTGGTTTTAATAGAGATTTCTTGGTACTGTCAGGCGATGTAACCGCTGCTGCTGCTGCTGCTGCTACTGCTGCTGCTGATGTCGCTGTTGATGTGGTGGGTGTTGATGTAACTTGTGAAGGGGGTAAAGGAATGGCTGATTGTCGATTAGATATTGTTGCTGCTGCTGAACTCGTGGGTTTCATACTAGCAGAAAGGATAGGTGATTCGCGTGGTGGTGTAGAGGATGACTTTTGTTGTTGCTGTTGTGTGATGGATGTGGTACGCACACGTGGTAAACCAACATTTGCCTTCACCTGTGTCAGACGAGGTCCTGCTGATTGTCGATAAAGTTTCTTATTATTCACAGTACTGGTCACTGGGGCCACAGGGAGTGTTAAAGGAAGAGGAGGTACAGGTGGAATCATGGAATCCATCGCTATAACTGAAGAAGGTGTACGATTGTGAGAGAATCGTTTGGTATTGACGGGTGGGAACGAGTCAGCAGAGACAATGGACGAATTACGACTATGTGTCTTCTTGACAGGTGTAGGAGGACTCTCATTGTTGGTGGTATTGGATGTGGATGATAAACTGTGTCTGACTGAAGCTGTTCTTGTTGTTTGGGAAGAGGTGGAAGGTGTCAATGTAATACCTGTACCGCTATTGACTCTTCCGTCATATGAAACTCGAGATGAGGGAATAGGTTGCTTTTTTTATATCAAGTAATCAGCACATGATTCATATATACATATATACTTTTCACTTACATTCTTTGAAAGCAATGTATCTTCACGATCCAATACAGTGATGATATCCTCGCCATTCACTAATAAAGGAGTATTTCTCGTGTAAGTCATCCAAAGGAAAACTCCTTCACGGATTTTATCACCGAGCTATACATGAACAGATTTAGCAACAAAACAAAAGCTTATTTTTAAATTAAATACACGTTTTACCACTTGAATCTCATCCAGTTTATTTCTACGTCTAGCACTTCGAAGCAGGATGTTTCGTCTCTTCATATTACTCTTTGCAGAAAGTGAGATGGTTTTAGCAATATCCAGATCAACATATGCTTTTTGTAACACTTCAAAATCATCTATTATATATAAAAAAAGAGAGAATGAGCGTGTGTTGTTGCTGATTGCTAGGAAAAAAAAGTTACCGGTGGTGCCAATACTAGCAAAGAATTTTCCCGAATCTAATTCCAAATCTCGTAATAAATCATTTAATTTTCTCAAGATATGCTTTGTATCGGGTTTATATCGGATTCTTGTCGTAAACAATCTAGCATTACTCTGATATATAAATAAAAAAGAAGGGGTTTAGTTTGTATGATCATATCAAGGGGAGGGGCGGATCAATTACAAGTCGTTTTTCATTCACATCCACAGCACTACTGCTGTTGGTACTGGCAGAAGAAGGACGGCGAATCAATGGTTGTTTTAACTGCAAGGGATAAATACTAGTAGCCGACTTGATGGCGGAATCAAGCGATGCCTCGGCATTCATTAATAGAGATTCTTTATCGGGTGATAAACCAAAATCGCGCAACATGCTTTCAATTTGTGTCGTGGTGGATTCTACAGTAGTAATGGCTTGATTGGTCAGTTCTAGTTGTGCCAACAGTTCGTTTAATTCCGCTGTCTTCAACGTCAAGATAGAACGTAAATTGATGATTGTTTGTGTTCCTTCATCTAATCTGGCCAACAACATATTTACTGCATCGCCTCCTCCTCCTATGGAAGAAGTTTCCGATAGTCCTGCTGCTTTTGTTGGCAAACTAGCTTGTACATCGCAGCTCATTTCCATCATTATTATTAAAAAAACTCTGTATCCACAATTTTTTTTTTTTTAAAACGTAAACCAAAGACGAGTCTTCAGCTTTTTTTACTGTAAAAAAAATTGTTATAATTAAAAGAAAGAGAGAGAGAGAAAATAATAATAAGGGACGGGTGATAAAAAAAAAGTAAAATCACACACGCTTATTTAAGAGCCAGAACTGCATATTCACCTGCTGTCACCTATAATCACATCCGGGAGAAACCAGTGGTGGTGATGGATTAAATCAAAATAACCTTTTTGGTGGTGTAAAAAAATAGTGCATATGCCCCATATGTGAACTTTTTTTTCAATTGCAAGATTAAGCAAGATTTCTCGTGATTAACCATGGTGCTTCTTTCAGAAACACATGGAAATTGACCCTGTATACACTCTGAGATGAAAAAGGGGCAGGATTATGATAAACAAGTTCAACTTTATTTAAAAATATATGTGTGGGGGGATGAAAAGGGGAGGGGGTGTATAGAGAGATGTTGAAAGGGTGGGGATAGTGAAATAAGACACTTTTATCTTTATTTATTTTTTTACTTTCTTTTCTAGCTTACAACATCATCTTGAGAGGGTTCTCCATGAAACCCTTGAAGGATTGTAACCAAGTAGCACTAACAGCACCATCCACAACACGATGATCAGCACTTAAAGTAACCTCCATAACATCACGAACTGCAAATCCACTTTCAGTAGTCTCATCAGCAACAACCTTTTGTTGAGCTCCTCCGACAGCCAAAATACAGGATTGAGGAGGGTTGATAATCGCAGTAAAGTTCTTTACGCCAAACATACCCAAGTTGGAAATAGTGAAGGATCCACCTTGGTATTCAGCAGGAGAAAGTTTACCATCACGAGCACGTTTAGCCATATCTTTCACTTGAGAACTGATGCTCGAAAGTCCCTTTGTCTCGGCAGATCCCACAATAGGTGTAATCAATCCACTGGGTGTAGCAACAGCAACACAAATATCCGCTGAATTGTATTGACGGATGAAATCACCTTGCCATGCCGCATTGACCTCGGGAACTTGCTTCAAAGCAAGTGCAGATGCCTTAATCACAAAATCATTGACCGAGAGCTTATACTTTCCTTCGGCAGACTTGTTGAGTACTTCACGTAACTTGTTGGTCTTATCCATGTTAATCTCTACTGTCACATAGTAGTGAGGAACACTTTGCTTGGATTCGGTCAAACGAGAAGCAATGATCTTTCTCATGCTGGTGGTAGGAATATCCGTGTATGCAGCTCCAGAAACTCCTTGAGGAGCATAAGCACTGGGGATTTGGGCAGGTGCAGGTGCAGAGGTACTAGCACTAGCAGGAGCAGGAGCACCAGCAGCAGCAGGGGCAGGAGCTATTTACAAATAACTTAATACACACAGACACTTTTTGATGCTGTCATAAATAAACTTTACCCTTGTAACCTTCCACGTCGTCCTTGGTAACAATACCAGAATGACCGGTACCCTTGACAAGGGAGATATCGAGTCCACGTTCATCGGCAATCTTCTACTCTTTAAATATTAATATATATTTTATCTATATAAAATCAGTCTAAACTTACTCTAGCCAGAGGACTGGCCAAGACACGACCACCGTGAGAGGAAGTAGCTTCAGACTTGGACTCGGTAGGAGCACTTTCAGTCTTGGCTTCTTCTTTGACAGGCTCAGCAGCAGCAGGCTCAGCAGCAGCAGGTGCAGAGGCAGGTGCAGCAGCATCGTCGAGAGAAAAGTTCTCGAAAGCAGCAACATCAGATTCATTTTCGACCAAGACAGCAATAGGCTATAATATTCTACTTAGTAAAAATGTACGCGCTTCTCATAGAATCCATCTTTTACCTGACCAACACTGATATCCTTGGCTCCAGAATCAACCAAGATCTTTGCAAGGAAACCTTCCTCTTGACATTCAAAATCCATTTGAGCCTTATCAGTCTCGATTTCTACTAAAACATCACCGGGTTGAATCTCATCTCCAACCTTCTTATTCCATACACCAATACCACCAGCAGTCATACTATATCCCTTTCAAAAATAAGTCTCATAAAACATTGAACTTTTTATAAACTTACGTAGGAGACAAAGCAGGCATAGCAATCACATTATGAGCGGGGAAAGCTAATAAAGTACACATATCAATTGAAGGTTAAGCTCTTTTCTTTTCTTCTGCTGTCTAACAAAAAAGCCTTACCAGCAGAGCTATAAAGTCTGGAGTCCTTGCCAGAAACTTGGTTAGCCAAAGTACGAAGAGCAATGAACTTGGGTGCACTACCGTGTAGATTAGTAAAGAAAGGAAAGTGTTGACAAAGTCTCGGGTTTTTTTACCTGGTAGAGGTGAAAGCGCGTGCAGCAACCTGTTTGACAAGAGTAGGAGTAGCTCTAGTAGCACTCATACGAGCGGTAGAGGTAATACCTCTCATAACTTGACGTCTAATGGCAGCGGACATGGTCTATAAATTAAAAAAGATAAAGAAGAAGAAAATAAATAAAAAAAAAACAAATATTCCTTTAACAACAGCTGGAAAACCCAGGAGAATTCGGTTAAAACAACCCACCCCCAAACTCACAATTGTGACCATTTTTTTACCGGATCTTTTCGCGATTCCCCCGCTTATTCACTTGTGGGATGAGCTTATGGGGCTGGAAGGAACATTTAATATATTCCCTTTTAAGTCATCATATACGTCCCTTTTTTTATTTGTTGTACAAAAGATCCAAATTGTCGCTTGCCATTCTCAATATTTGATAGAAATGTTGTACTTGTCTAATAGCTTTAGCAACCGTCTGATATCCCACAAACAGGATTAGTACCAGCTTAAGCCATGAGAAAATGTGAACTTAAACCCGGCAGCTTGAAAGACATGTAGGTGGCAATCGGTGGCATATGATAATAGAACAAAAAGCACATCTTGTTTGCATTACTAGTGCGTATATTATAGCAAGAGGGACAAGTACCTTACCGACTGTAAAATATCAGGCTTAAAAAAATCAGAATGCAGGATTGCGCCATGATTCATGTAACACGACGTACTTTAAAGTACGTTCACCAAGTGACAAGACTTGAAGGGTTTTTTTGATATATTCTGCAATCCTGAAAGCAGAAATAAAGTATAACTTTTTTCGCCACAAACCATCGTATCAATAAATTAGTTGTATTTGGTAACTTTACTACGTACCACTATGACAAATCAACGGTATAGCTCAAAGACGTGTTTTGTTCCTTCTTCATGTTCTTGAGAATCAGCAATTGAATAATGCCTTGAAATGAAAAGGGCATCTTTTCATGCACACAACACATAAACATTTGAAGGCCGCTTTGTATAATTTGCGTAAATGGATAGCACAATCATCTTTGCCTCTTTACTTGAGGCCTTTCGTACCTTTGAAAAACGTCAAGTATTAAAAATCGGTTCTTCATTTAAAAGAAAATATTTGAATAAAAAGTAACAGCGTCATGACGTGACCATAAGATTGTAAATAATACATAAAAGAATATGGGCAACAATTCATTTTCATTGATATTAAAAAAACGGAGGCCGCGCCCTCCCCATTGGGAGACAATGCCTCTCTACAAGACTGACTTCCCGGACAGAAGCTCCAAAACTAGACATAGCAACTACTGCCAGTGACCACAATAAATGTATAATCTAATCTCAAAGTAATTTTTTATGAAGAAAGAGAAAAAGAAAATAAAACTTTGCGAAGGAAAAAAAGGTGTCCTTTTATACCTTTTTCCTCATGTTTTTTTAAGCTTTGTAACTTATATAAAAATCACACAACCCATCATGGAATTTAGTGAACACCCTCCTTCCCTTCCCTACAACACACGTATGACTGACATTATTGTTTTCACCGAATTAAAAAATCGACACACACAATTGTGTAAATACAGGTTAGAGAACATTACAAAAAGATGGTGAGGGGTCTCATACAACAACGGTATTGCGTACCCGTGTAATTCATATTTTTAGACTCTTCACAATAAATTTAATAGGAAAAGTTGTGCAGAAAGAAACATATACAAATGTATAACCGTTACAGCAATGAAGTATTAGACCCTTTCTGGCTGCCATTTACCAGAAAGAAGTTCTTGATTTAATCTCCGAATCATGCGCCGTACCTTTTTTTGTGTTTTGGTCAATTTTGGGTCTTTCGAAAAAAACTTAAAATCAAAACTCAATAATCCAATATAATTTTTTAGATATTTCTGAGCATATTCCTGACTTGAAAGGCCGTACGGAAACGACAGCTTACTAAATGAAAAAATCAATCGAAAACGGCATATCAAGTGATAAAAATGGACAAAAACAAAAAAAGAAGCTGATTTTCTATGCACCTTCTTCTCATCATATGAGTGTGTAAACGCTTTCAGAGAATTTTTTCCACTATAAAACAGTATAGCAAAAGTTCTGAATTCAAGGTTTTTACTTTCAACAAACATGATCTGCAATGCGTCAGTTATAAAAAAACGGTCATGTTTAATAAGTTCTGGATTTAAATTACTTGTTATTTGATAATTGTAGATATGATTAGTTATCCGCCTTTTTTCATTTTCATTTATTTATTGAATATAATTATTAGAAATCCCCTGCTTGTGCCAACAGGGAACCGCTGAAAATACCCGAAGATACCCCCAGAAGCCCACTGTCGACCCGCACAGGAGACCTCAAGGTATACCCCCACAAGTGAGAGCAACCCAAAAGCCCCAGACCCAATATGAAGAGAAGAAAAGAAGAAAAAAACGAAAATGGAGTGAAAATTGGCCTGCTTTTATACTTTTCAAAGGCCAAAATTTTTGTGTACGACATTTTCCTGTGACTTTTTCTTGACTGTCCATGACTTTCCATGACTTTCCATGACTTATCTAATTTATCCCCTGTGAATAACAATACCACGTTTAGTAAGAAATTAGGCATGTATCCGACTCCATGTTCTTTAATATTTTACTTTTGTAGGGATTTTCTAATAATTTTTTGTTTAAATAATCTCAATAAAAAAGCTTTTTGGTGCTCAGAAAAAAAAAGAGAAAAAAAACCTTTGCAAACGCATGAATTTCTTTATTGTGTAACGTCCCAAGCAACATCTCAGCATCTTTTTTTTTGGCACTTGTAAAACAATTTGATCATATTTTTGATCCGTCCAGACCAGAAAATTTAGACAACCATTATCCTTTAACAAGCAGTCTCCTTCTTTTCATCGTTTTTTTTTATTGCGATATTGAGACTAAACCTTATTTTATACGATATTCAGAAGCTAATATGGAAGAGTGGGGTAACGCTTTGTGTATATTCAAAATTTAATAGGATTACTACCAGCTTTTCATGCATCTCCGCAGAACCTACTATATGTTTTTTTAACTTTGATGGAAATGTCACAGAACCTGAAGTATACATATTAATATCTCATCTGTCCTTTGTAAAAGCTGAATTATAAATCATTTTTAAGTCTCTAGTATACTGGTTAACTACCTTGTGTTTCTGATATACTGATTTCTAGAAGTTCCTAATCCTGTTAGTATATACTAGCCTTCAGTTATTTTTTTTCTAATTTCGGTGGGCACGAAGTATATCGCAAAAGAGCATACGTTTGATCTAGTATTATCTTTTATATCTCTCTATCCAATCTATGAGGTGCACGACTCATTCAAATTGAAGTTTAAGATGACGGAATAGTTAAAAAAGGGTTGGTTTCCAAGCAACTGAAATTATAAAAAACTTTATTCTCAAACAGGGTTCGTGTTACTAAGATGACTAACAAGACTTACCTCTAGAATGACTTGTTAAGGTATCCCCAAATAGCAAATAAAATTCAGACCATACGCACAAACGCAGGAGTATATGTAAGTTTACACATAAGTAAGTTCAAGTCAATATTGTGTTTCTGCAATAACCTAAAGTCGCTTCATATTGATACCAAAAGAGAAGGAGACGGGTGTTTATTTTCACTTCTTAATGAGACAACAAATTTACCAGCCATTCAATACAGAAGTGTTTACTGTCCGCTATTTTTCCAACCAAAAATACGAAAATACACTTGCACATCAAGTTTCTTTTTCGGGCCACTATAACTTGACTCCATATAACTGACAACGGAAAGGATGCTTACCCAGTTCTGCGGTCATGAGCATTACGTAAAGCAGAGAGCTATGAGTTTTTTAAAGAGACAAACTATGATCACAGTAACTATATGTGTGAAACCTACGAAAAATTAATCATCTATGCTTCCCAATTTCCTAAGTTGATGAATCTGAGCTTACGACTCACAGGGGGTGATGTTGTTGATATTAACATTCTAATGGAATCATGTATCAAAAATCTGAAGACGATGTTTAATTATTCAGAAACCTCTGCTTTTAACATCCAACAAGCATCTCCACATTGGTTTAACAATACGTCATGCAAATCTGTGAGCACAATCAAACTGAATGGAGAGCTAATTAACATCGACACTATTGAACACATTATGGATAATTTTAAAAACGTTAAAAAGCTCATCCTAAATATATAAAAAAAGGGATTATTATAATTCATCTTATTTTGCAAACGATACTCGCACTTTAATCAATCGATTCACTCCATACTGTCAAAATATCAGGGACGCAGAATTTTATTTTGAGTATACCATAATCAAAGGAAACCACGCTGTTAACAGATGCATTTTTCTCATAAATCATGTATGGATTGATGAAGTGAAGCCTATCAAAGAACATAAATTTAAATACATGTCTCATCGTGTATTGGACTGGTACAGATAGGACTTTTTTTTAAAACGTAATATAATAATATGAGTTGATTGACAAGAAAAATCAACGGATTTTCACAAACCAAAAAGATAGACTCATACACTAGAATTATAATCAGTAACATTTACATCGTTTGTATCGTTGTTATTGTCAGATATATGCTTACGACTATAAAAAGGTAAATCCTTCCAAATGCATGGTCCATCATCTAAAGGATAGTGAGGGAAAAAATTATTTATCGTTTTTGCAAACTGATGCATTTTCTTAAACATGTTCCAAAGAAGAAAGATATACGCTTTATAACTATACATTTTATCAGATAATCCAAATGGGTGTGTACTAGTATGGCAATACTTTTCCTGATAAAAACAAATTTACGTCAGCAATTTGGAATTTATAAAATCCAATATATAATTTTGTATGTTTTTCCTCTTTTATTTATTTTCTCTGCAAAACGGATTATAATCGACCATCATGTCCATGACAGCACCAGTATACCCACCTAATGCAGGAAATACCACTGGACATGCACTTCATCCAGGACTTTATGAATACCTTGCAGAATTAGTTTCGAAACGAGTGGCTACAATTAAATATATCAGAAAGGCCCACGAGGGAAACACACATTGGTTTAACACGATTTTGTTAACAAGGGAAAGTTTATCTGGAATGTACCCTAATTCCAAAATGGCTAAAAGGTAATTCCAATGAAGAAACACACAAGATGACATACCTACCCTTCTAAATCGTGGTTGCCTTTTAAATTAGAACATACAACTTTTATGCACTGGGTTTATCATTGGGCGCTATTTTAGATATCACAAATCCAATCGATTATATCAAGGCACTAGGTCAAATCATGACCGAATTCGAAAGACATACTAGTGATGATTCGAAACAAAAGATGGTAAAATTATAATCTCATTCATGATAACAGCGTTGACAAACAAAAAAAATAGAAAAATATCTTTAGAAAGGCGAAATCAAAGGATGATCATAGCTTTTCAGATAATACAGGAGAGTATGGATATTTGATTTTACCTCATATCGTAAGTTTGTTGTTTCTCTCAATGCAAATGACCGATAACTAACTTTGTATGTACAGCCTTTTGAAATGGATTATTTTGAAACGTTTTTTACTTTGATTGATATAATGGCAGAGGCGTATTATAAATTACTTGTTGGCACTGAAGGCCCTATTTGTACGCAAGCTTATTTTGAGCTGGTTCTCAAATGTGATGGAAAGTTTAAGGTAATAAGGAAATCATACACATTCTCCCCAATGCTAATCTTTTCGATAGAAAATTGTGACAATGGTTACCAAAGAATTGGATTTATTAGCGAGACATGCCATTAAAGAAGAACTTAAAGTCATTGACCCTCTTTGTCATCTCTCAGGAAAGGCTTCCTCACCAATCGAATTTGATCCTTCTTCTTCTGATGTCTAAAATGACCTCTCATCTCTTTAATATCTATCCTTCTATCTACTTAGTAGTAAAAATTACCCTTTATTATACGTATGTTTAATTTCGGCAGCGATGGATGTGATTAACGCCTTCAAGGTTGATCTATTTGTCGCTGTGCCTACCTCCTTTTGAAGATTTAGATTTATGGTTGCCGCCATATTTGATTGGATATCTGGATTGGAAATTCGGCCTCCTCGTTTTTTTTTGACTGGGTAAAAAAGGTAATACCTAATTGCCAGAATATAAAAAGTCTCCCACAATTTAAAGAGGCCAAGCACTTCTTTTCTACTTGTTTTACCTTTCAGCACACCACTTTCAAAATATTTATATATAAAAAAAAGCATGGACTATGTCGGAAGAATTGGCAACCTCATTTCATCGTTAAACAGTTTTTACAATGACATAAATCCTGCAACATTATCTGGTGCCATTGACATTATTGTGGTTGAACAAAAGGACGGAGATCTTGCTAGTTCACCTTTTCACGTTCGATTTGGAAAATTATCAGTTCTTTTACCACAGGAAAAAAAGGTTTGTTTAAGCAATAACAAAAAAATGACAGCTTTTGGGTAAAAATTGCATTTATGTCGGGGTTTGTCATTTTCAATGGGGAAGACCATCTATTTAATCATGCTATTTATTTTTTTACAATAGGTTGAAATACATGTCAATGATGAAAAAGTTCCCTATCTGATGAAAGTGGGTGAAGCTGGCGAAGCATTTTTTGTCTTTGAAACAGATCATCAAGTACCAGAAGAATTTCAAACTTCCCCATTATTACAAGCTTCACCGGATAATAGATCCGATATTGAGGTAACCCCACTTCTTTTTTTTCAAGGACTTACGAACTCACGCACGCATAATCTTATTATCTCTCAAAGGAACCTCCATTTCTCGATATTAGCGAGAGAAAAGATTCAAAAGGTAATTATAAATCTTTCATAGTAGTAAATATTAGGAAGCTAACTTTTATATAGATGTCATACCGCCAAATGATAATTTTGAAGATGACGAGGAGGAGGATGACAAAGTAAAAGATCATACACCACCTGAACTACAATCACCGAAAATGATTATTGATGAACACATGGATAAGGTGGTAACTAAAGTATACAAAGAAGAAGAAACCAAGGATACAAAAAACACAATTTACACCATGGATGATGGCTCCACAATGCTTGAACGTGAAGTGCCTGAACCCATTACAACCACAACCATCGCAAAAGAAAGATTTATTGTGAGACCTTTAAACGGTGATATTGCGAGTCAGTGGATGGATGTCACACACACATTTGCACAGGATCCCAATTTCGATTTATCAGCACAGGAATCATCTCCCACCGTCACCAGCGCCACCACCATCAACAAACCTACAGAGGCCATACACGGAGAAACAGAATCCATCGTTTTAGATATGTCGGGTTACAAGACAGGAAAAAAGGAAAGAGAAGCTTTAGAGGAAGAGAAAGTTCACGCTGATACAGAAAATTTACCCGAGGATATACAAAAAAAGTCCACTTGGGGTTGGGGCAAAACACATGCTGATGAACAAGTCGTACCAACAACACATGATGATAAAACTGTTCAATTAATATCAGGTCAATCATATCGTATCGAAATGAGTTTATGTGGATTCACGGCATTTGGATACGACGAGGATGAAAACAATTTGTTGTTCAAGGACAAGCAATTGAGCTACCAAGACTTTGTATATAATCCTAGTATCTTGAATGATCCAAGATTGGTATTTCGTTACGACAACCATTATTTTGCTGCAGTTCATACCAATTCATTATTTACATCTTTACTTGTGTTTAAACAACCTTTGGAAGACGATAAGACCATATCAAACAAAGTGTCCGATAACAGAGAGACCTACTCTTATGGACGTGGGTGGAGGCAATGGTTAAGTCGATCTTCATCGGCAGATCCTATACCTTCAGTTGAAGACTCATCAGAACCAACCTTACATGAAAAAGATTCAGAAGGAGAACGAACCACCTTCACAACTACAACAAAGGCTACATCTGTGGGCTGGTCTCCTGATGGTCCTGAAAATGATATTTTTGTAAAGCGTAAAATGTATGCAAAGACGCTTCGATTGACATCAGATCAATTAAAGAATTTAAACTTAAAAAAAGGCGTAAATACAATTAGTTTTTCGGTCAATTCTGCATATCAAGGCACCGCAACCTGTGTGGCCAAAGTTTTCTTCTGGGACTATGACATTCAGGTGGTAATTTCAGATATTGACGGAACAATTACAAAATCAGATGCTATGGGCCATTTAATGACAATGATTGGTAAAGACTGGACACATGCAGGCGTTGCTCAACTTTACACGGATATTGCTAACAACGGATATCAATTTTTGTACTTAACAAGTCGTGCTATTGGACAAGCAGACTATACACGAGATTATCTCAAAAAGATTCTACAAGGTCATTATCAATTACCTGATGGACCTGTCATCATGTCTCCCGATCGTCTTTTCACTTCATTGCATCGAGAAGTTATCATTCGAAAGCCAGAAATGTTTAAAATGGCCTGTCTAAAAGATATCCAACGATTATTTGGTGGGAGGGATCCTTTTTATGCCGGGTTTGGCAACCGAATCACCGACGCCATATCTTATCGTAGTGTCAATGTGCCTTCTTCGCGTATTTTTACCATTGACCCACAAGGAAATGTCAAACTGGAATTAGTAACAGGCTTCAGATCTTCCTATGTTTATTTAAATGATCTAGTTGATCAAATTTTCCCTCCCATCAACAAAACCATCAATGAAGAATTCAACGATTATAATTATTGGAAGGCACCCATAGCCAATATTGAGATACCCGAATTGGAAGACGAAAGCCCTATACCTACCTCTCCGAAACCCAAACCAATCAAGCCAGATCCATCCAGTCTTCCTAGGGAATCCGTGGTGGGTTATACACCACCTAGACGAGGCTTACTTAGTAGTTTTACTTCAAGACGATCCTCCAATGCTTCATATGCACGTCCCTCAAGGTCATCTTCTGTCTCTTCGGTCACATCTGCCTCATCCACAAAGAAACCCACAGCTGTCATTTTACCGCTAAAGAAGGTTCTTTCATCTACAAGTCTTAACTCTCCTATATTGGATAGCACTGCTGAAGAAGATGAGACAAATAGTGACGTTGCATCCGTAAGATCTTTACCTGCCTCTTTACCCACACATCATCCAACCGAAGAAGCATTAAATCTACCACCACCTTCAACGCAAAAACTTTCGTCTCCTAGCATTATGAGAAAAGTCATAGGAGGTGTGTTTTCAAGGAGATCTCAAGCTAAGCCGGATGAAAAATCAAGCCCAGAACAGGAGGAAGAAGAAGATGATTTATTTAATCCAGATATTGATGATTTAGACCTTGATAAAATCCCCTTTATTTAAGTAATCTTATTAGCCCGTAATGTATTTAATATAGTATGTTTTTAATAATAATCAGTTGTTCGAATGACGTACACTACCGTTTATTTTAAGCTAAATGAGAAGAGATAGAGAAGGTTGTTAAGCCCAAACGGGAAACACAAACTTAAACCTGCTCTTTGAAATAATGTTTTGTAAATGTGTAATGAACTTGATAGAGACTCGTCTAAAAAAGTGCGACAATGGAAAACTACTCTGTCAAGTCTGTTAACTACTTGCTCAATTACGTCTCCGCCTAGCTTTAGGCCCATCTTCCTACTCTTCTGCGTTAAAATCTTCTATCTCTCTGCTAAACTTCAAAGTAGCAGCTTTGTATTTTAAATCGACAACAACACTATAAAGTCTGATGCGATACATCTGGAAGGTATCAAATAGTTCTTCAATTTTAAAATTCTCTGGCAATTTACTAGTCAGTCAATGACAATTGAAAACAAGTTTATCCAAAACTGGTTTTGCATGCATGATATAATTGATACAATGAAGATCCACTCTCGAAGCTGTCAATTTCAAATGCTTTAATGTGTAAGAGGATTTAAACATAATACTGTTGGGTACTGCTGTCCGGTAGTAAATGATTTCTAGAGTTTCTAACTTTTTATTGATTTTGAGGAAATGTGGAAGTTCAATATAGATCACCTTGTTTACTAGATAGATCTTGCCGATTTTGACTTTGAGATGTCTTATAATGGGTATCTGACGTGTGAAATTTTCTAGGATTTCCACTGCACCAAGGGGTTGCTGAATTCCTAATATCCAAACTGACAATGATGATAGAATGTCTCCAAAGGTAGAACAGATATGATTGTAAATCCATAATGTTTCATAGTCTTCACTCGTCATTTTTTTTACACTAATCCTCTGTATATCTGGCAAAATTTCCTTAGAAGTCTTTAAGACGCTTAAATAATCGTCATCCACAGAGGATAAGTTAGATGATATGGCTGTACCAAATAAGGAAAGGCGTGAGCTTTGTTGAAACGTCAAGTCATGGAAAGTCATGGACAGCCAAGAAAAAGTCACAGGAAAAGTATAAAAGCAGGCCAATTTTCACTCCATTTTCGTTTTTTTCTTCTTTTCTTATCTTCATATTGGGTCTGGGGCTTTTGGGTTGCTCTCACTTGTGGGGTATACCTTGAGGTCTCCTGTGCGGGTCGCCGGTGGGCTTCTGGGGGTATCTTCGGGTATCTTCAGCGGTTCCCTGTCGGCGCAAGCAGGGGATTTCCAAAAAAAATTATTTAATAAATAAATGAAAATGAAAAAAGACAGATAACTAATCATGTTGCATACATATCTACGACTATCGGCGCCCAATTATCAACTTAAAATCCAGAGTTTATTGAACATGACCGTTTTTTTATGATTGACGCATTGCAGATCATGCTTATTGAAAGTGAAACTTTGGATTCAGGACTTTTTTTATACTGCTTTTTAGTGGAAAACATGCTCTGAAAGCGTTTACACATTCCCATAATGAGAAAAAAAAAGATGCATAGAAAATCAATTTCTCTTTTTGTTTTGTCCCTTTTTATCACTTGATATGCAGTTTTAATATTTATATAGTAACTCATCGTTTCTGTAAAGCCTTTTAAAACAAGAGTATGCTCAGAGTTATCTAAAATATCATATCAGATCATTAAATTTTTATTTTATTTTATTTTTCCTTTAAAAGGCATAAAACTGGCCAAAGCACGCAGGGGATACCTCAAAATTTGAAAATGCGATTACCTTTTATTACCTCTATCCTCCACCCCCGTGATTATTGTGCGCGTTGATGTATCTATTTATTCTTACTACTTAGAAGGCTTCTCATTTATAATTCTTCAGTCTGTCCAAATATGGCGAAAGCGTCGGGCAACTGCTAAATCCTGTGAAACAAGCAAATGAAGTGAACGAAAAAGAAACACACGTAAAACTTCATAAAATCGAAAGATTTTATGGTGGCTACTTTTAATTGTGCTCTCTTCCTTTTTACAAATCCTTTGTTTCGGATAATCGCTTGAAACAAGCAAAGTCAAGAAAAGTATGTTTATTATTTTGATATAATGGTGCCGCAAAGGCTTAGTAACACTGTGGCTGTGGCTAAATAAATACGGGTACACAGAACATGTTTTTTCTTTCTTTCTTTCTTTTTATTCTTATTCCTTTGGAAAAAGTAATATTCGGTCATGGTAACTCCCTTTCCTGATAAAGATTACCCTATTGTCATTGGCATCGATTTCGGTAAGTCCCTATTTTATTTTATGAGGATTTTACCAACGCGCTGACTTTGTTTATTTCAGGTACCACATACAGTGGAAGTTCCTATGGTTATATGAATGACAAGGAGATTACCGACATTAGTAAATGGTGAGTTATCTACTGATTCCTTTGTTCTATTTGTTTAACACTTAAGCAACTAATGTAGGCCAGGCCAACCTGATTACAGTTATCCGAAGGTAAAAAACAACCCGCATAGCACCCAAAAGAATCTTGTTGTGAAATAAATACACTTACATTCAATTTATTAGTGTCCCACGATCTGTGTAAGTGTTTTTAAAACATATACCGACAATTTTGGGGAGCTAATTCCCTTTCCTTTTCTTCAAGCTATACAACAGAGATGATAATGTAAGCTAAGCAAGGTAAACGAAGAACAAAATATATCGTACTTATCGTAGTTGTTTTTTTTTTCGTGTAGAAACTTATTCAATGGGGTAGATCAGCAAAAGCCGGAAAATCCAAATACCCAAACATCACAATTTTGCAGCAATTCAAATTATATCTGGACGACAATCTTGAAGGAGTTGTGAGACAGCTACCTTTGAACTTGACGGCAACGGATATTATTGCAGGTATTGTGTGTTTATTCAAGGATGGTGAAGAAGTATTATATAGACCTAATTCTCTCTTTTTGATAGATTATCTATCAAAGTTTTTTGGTTACGTAAAGATTGATATGGCCAAAAAGGGTTTCCACAACAATTTTGAAAAACAGGCTCGATTCTGTCTTACTGTATGTTGAAACAATATGGCCCCACCAGAGTTCAGGATTAAAGCTAAATATGTTTACGTAGGTTCCAGCCATGTGGTCTGATAAATCAAAGCAAATCATGAGAGAGGCTGCTATTCAAGCAGGTATCATCAGTGCTGCCGATCACCGTGATCGATTGATGTTGATTTCCGAGCCCGAAGCTGCAGCTCTTTACTGCGAAAGAACTTGTGATAAGTTTAATATGGCCCACGGTGATGAATTTATGATTTGCGATGCAGGAGGTAAAAAAAGAAAAATGAGCTTCATACAAGATGTTGTTCTGACAGAAAATATAGGTGGTACTGTGGATTTGATTGTCTTTCGCGTTGAGATGGATGCGGCTGGAAATAGAAAGTTCAGAGAGAGTACAAAGGGATTAGGAAAGTCTTGCGGGTCGACATTTATTGACAGAAACTTTAGAAAGCATTTGAGAAAAAAGTTGAAGAAGGTCATCCGCAGATCCCCAAACGGAAATATCGAGATCCCAGATGCCCCTTTAGATCATATGATGGATGTTTTTGTTGGTAAGAACACAAAAAAGTTGCATTTGTTGTAGTATTAAATCGAAAGACTGTTAGATAATCTAAAACCATTATTTGACGGTACGGATGACCTCTATGCTGATATTTCTATGGGCTTTGACCTGGTCACAAAAACAGAGCCTTCAATTGGATTAGACGAAGGACACATGACATTTACAAAAGAGGAGTTAAAGAAACATGTGTTTGATCCTGTTATTAGCGAAGTAGTGGATCTCTGCCGTGAACTTCAAAAGGAAACAACCAGTTTGAAGGCTATTTTCATGGTCGGCGGTTTTGGTTCCTCCTCATATCTTTACAGCCAAATGGAAAAGGAGTTTTCTCCCGAAAATATTCGTATCGTTCAGCCAGATCGTCCTGAAATGGCAGTTGCTCGCGGTGCCGTGTACTTTGGTATGCACCCTTCTAAAATTGCTACCCGTGTTCCAAGATGTTGGTACGGTATCGAGATCACCAATCTGTTTGATCCTATCTTGGATCCTCCCGAATACAAAATTATTAGACCTGATGGAAGTATTCGATGTGATAATAGATTTTCGACTTATGTGGAGCGAGGAAAACCTCTTGGTAAGGACATCATACATAAAATAAGGATTTATCACTATATCTTTTGCTAATAAGCGTGTCATAAATTAGATATCGATAGTTGTATCTCGCGTAATTATATCACTTACTACCCTAGTCATACTGCTTGTACTTTTTTTGCCTCTGAAAGTGATACTGAGCCAAGATACACAATCTCAAATCACACTACAAATATCCGCAAGGTCTTCGATTTTGAAATTCCAATGCCTCCATTACCTAATGTCAAGAAGGGCGACCCTGTACCTTTAACAATCAAGGTAAAATTGTACTGTGGTTAATATCATTTTGTTCATTTTTAACCCTTTTCTTTCTGATAGATGTATTTCGGTGAAGTAGAACTTCGAGTCGAAGCTGTTATTGATGATCAGACATATGCCGTGGTATGTAATTTCAATGCATAGAAAGAAAAATAGTGACAGATAAAATAAAGGTATATTTTTATTATTTCTTATATGTTACATTAAAATGGATCACGTAAAAAAAAAAGAAGACAAAGAGGGGTGTTGACTATCTAAACCTGTCCTTTAATATCGATCTTCTTATATTTTTTTAAACTTTCTGTTAATCCGACAAGTGCCAATCTAGTATCTAATAATTTACTGTTACCGGCCTTGTAAATCTTTGCTTTTTGTTCAGTGAGAAACTTTAAAAATTCATCCTCAGAATCGAAACCTAATTCATTCTGAATGAAATCTAAAGCAAGATCTGGACGACAACTATTGTAACACGATCAGTACATCACATACATCACATACATTTTTTTTTTTTTAAAAAAAAAAAAGAAGAGATAGGAGAGTACATACGCTTTGCATAGAATAATGAGCGATTGAACACGCACTCTTTCGCAGAATTGATCGATCAGATATCCCCCCATGTTGGGTGCTGATTTATAAAGAATAAAGAATCGATGGAAATTACCAGTGGCGAGGGAAGAACGTACATTTAAAGCGTGTTGAACAGATGGATCCGCTTTTTGTTCCGCTGTTAACTCGGCCATGGTTGAATTTACATCTATTTCATTATTTTAATCAGTCACCCTATCCTACCTTATTTTTTTTTTTTCTCTCTCTTTCTTTTTACCTGCCCAATTCTGAGTGTGCAGAAAGTATAGAATACGATAAGCTGTAAATTCCATCACGTTACCAGGAATGCCACTATTATACAGTCCCTTTAACTGAGTTTGGCACTGGTTATACTCTCCCAAATCGCCCTGTCAAATACTTTTTCATCAGCTACAGCCCCTTATTCAAATATAGTAAATTTGTGTTTACCTTTTCTAAAGCTATACGTGCATGAATCTCATATACTTGAACCGTAAAATCGTTTTTAATTCTTTGGATCTACAAAAGAAAAAAGCTCAGTAAAAAAAAAACCTAAAAAAAACAAGTTTGAGTTATTTCTGAAACTCACTGTTAGATCTTGACGCAATGATTTAAACTGATCGCAAATGTAAGTATAGTTTTGTTCTGCGCTCCACTTTTCCTTTAATAAATTCAAGGTCTGTTTTAATACAGGTAATGGTCTAACCGTTGCAGGATCAGGAGCCTAAACATGTTTAAAAAATGTTAACATTTTGATGCGATAGGTGGTATAAGATATAAGATACGATAACATACGGATGTCAATCTAAGGTATTGCTTTTCAAGCTTCTTGGAAGTACCTACAACAGTATAATTAAAGTCATTACCGTCCTATGACATGTATTAGTAATTAAAGAAACAAGGGGGGGGGGGATCACGTACCAAGCTCATGAGTTGCATTGGTGTAGACACATTATCAGCTTTAAATTGGGCAGCATCTTCCTCAAATCGCCTCAGACGTCTTAACCTTTTTGCTTCCTCTTCCGCAGACGGTTGATGACCTTGCTGTAATTGATTATTTTTAGCAAGCAAAACATTCTTTTTACTATTTCATTGAGGAATTGGGCGGCAGTTAGAATCACTGTATTTTATAGACTTCTTTCTTTCTTTATTTACCCTTTCTTTTTCTTTTTCTGAGGTTTACACGCACTGTTCATATATAATCAAGGTTATGGTTCATGCTTATATTGAATCCATGATTCTTTCTTACCTGGGTAAATCCATTTCACTCCAGTCTGTCGTCATGAGTGTACCTGCACGATGACTTTCCATGATCAAATTACGTAATTGCAATTCAGCTTGGTCTCTCTTATTAGGTAGACAATTGGAGAATACATCTTGAACATATTGTCTATAAAAAAAAAATTTAGTCAAGGCATAAAACATGGATATACATCACAGCTTTACTGTAAAGAAGGAGGCCAAGATTCGGAAGCCATTGCATTTTTTTCATTGATCTTTTCTTCGGTGGTTCTAGTATCGACAGGTACAGGAGGTGGAGGTGGAGGTTGATAAGCAGTGGTTGGTGGTGGAGGTTTATGTTCAGCAGGTTTTTTGGACCATGGAGGAGGATTAGAAAAGCCTGGTTCTAAATTTTTTTTTTTTCTTCAATAAATCTTTCCAATAAATAAATAAAATGATACTTACTATTTACAACGGGTGCTGCTTGGTACGTGGTTTGCGTAGCAGGATACCTAGATGCATCATAACTAGCTGGCTGTGCATAATAGGTACTCTGTTGCTGAGGAGGAGGATAGTGCTGCTGTTGTTGCTGTTGTGGAGGAGGAGGAGGAGGAGGCCGGGCCTGATGAGTAGTACTTACGTGAGGTTGATTATAAGCAGCTTGAGGCTGTGCATAGTAACCGTTATATTGAGAATAGTTATGCTCATAATTACCTGTGCCTGGAGGAGCGGTGGGTTGATTTACACCTGGTGCAGTTTCTACACCAGGAGGGAGTGGATTATATTGTTGTTGTTGTTGTTGCTGCTGCTGAGAATAATATTGATGATAATAAGCTTGTTGCTCTGGTGTTTGAGCAGGGTATTGCTGATAATAAGAAGCATATTGTTGTTCTGGGGTTTGGCCAACAGAAGCAGAAGAAGAAGCAATAACGGGAGGAGCTACAGAGTACGGAGGGTACTGTTGCCATTCCTGCTGTTGAGGTTGTTGGTGGTGCTGCAGATTATTAGTTTTTGCAGCCATAGACCTATCAAAAAAATTAAATAAGGGATTATCAAAACGGATGTTATAATGTGGTCAGTCTCTATATATTACCACGGAGGGTTAACTATCTTTTTATCTTGAGAATGAGCCACGATGAATAATTGAGACTTTCGAGTAATTTAAGAAAATAACTCGATGAAATTTGGGTAAAAAGGATAAATGCGTTGGCGAAGGAAAAAAAAAAAAGAAATTTGTTTGTACAGTTCCTACTTCAAATTCAGACAATGTTTTTTGGACGAATCAAAATTAATATCAAAACGGATATTTAGATACAAAGAGAGTGTCCTTAAAGTGTTTTGTCATTATAGAATCGCATATTACTGGATGGCTGTTTGTCTTCTCCTCCAAATTCAGAGTTGCGCCGCAAAACAGCATACTCTAAGCTGTAATGACGTCTCCATTCGAAAAAGAAGTTTACATGTGCTGCAAATTTATATGAAATGATTAAGTCTGTGTGGTTAAAATGTGCTCCAAAAACGTAATTAAGTCTTTGAAGACCAAATCAAGTGTCACAATTTTTTCTGTAAATACTCAGATCAGCCAGCGAAATCGTTACTACATCAATCAGCACATAATACAAAGGACCTTTAGGGAGACGAAAGGTTTTCATTCGATCCATTATCAGTAGCAAAAATAGCAATAGTTGTATAGCATTAGACACGTGTACTTATTTTGGATGTTAATTAGCACTTATACTCTTAACGTATCTGCCCGTAAGACGAGCCATATTAATTTTAATAACAAGTAAACTATGTAATTCAAGTCATTGTCTATGTCTTAAAATCTTGCATATTATCTCCTGGTGAATACTATAATGCAACTGATTAAAAATTAACTGCGTCGTTCGGCTGTACGTAGACGAAGTGAATAGAAATTTGGCTCATGAAAACAATCCCAGCAAGTATTTCGTCTGTGAGTGCAGGACTATCTTTTTCGACTTCTTTTATTTTTCTTTACAAATGACAGATATTCACGGATTGCGTAAACTTCAATTCGCAAAACTAAAGCCGATCCTCGACTCTCTGGTGCCATACTCACCAAAATTAACAAGAGCCAATGTTAAACATGTGTCGGAAATACTACAAGCGTTGCTTGTGAAATTAGAATCTATTGAAGACCCCATCGCCATATTAGACATGACCAATACCAATGCCCTTATTATACGTCTAAATGAGGTTTACAAAGCAATGACAACCGAGGAAAAACATGGATATGAAATAGTCATCGAGTTGTATCTAAAAATTATGCACTTTCTTCTGACACATACCACAGTAAAAATTTGGATGCCACCGACATTTATAGAAGAATATCTTAATTTACTTTTGCACTTATTGAAACGACCTCAAGGCCAACTTTCTGAAGAAGTACAATACCAGGCTGTCAAATGTGTTTCGGCTATTTTACCCAAGAAGTATAAATATGACCCAACTAAATATCCTCTCGAAAGTTACAAGTTCCTGACAATCGCATCCGAATGTATCACCTTATTTTTGGAAATCATTCAAAGCGCACCCTATATCCAACTACGACTCGAGACTCTCGATGTGTTATCTCAAATTTTGCATGCGAATATAGAACGAGTGGATACACTGGCAGTCCTTTTACCCGGAATTGTATCAAAATTATGCAAAACTATATCCCAGAAAGCCGAGAAGGAAAACCACAAAGTAATCTGTAGTAGCCTAAGAGTGCTAGGAGATCTGATTCAAACAGTCTTATGTGATTCATTTAATGATACACTGGTAGATTTAACATCATTCGAGGGTATTTTAGCACAGCAGACAAAGACAGACGTAAAAGAACAGGTCGTCACCAAATTGATGAACAAGGCATGGTATAACAAAACAAAGCAAAGCCTTCTTAATGTGATGAGTCAAATCTTGAAAATACGACTATACCCCGATTGGAGAACAAGACTGGAATTTGTCAGATTCGCAGATAAATTGCTTTCGAACTGTGCTCGTACATTAGATAACTGTATTCAACCGCTTGTGGAAATCATGGTCCTTCACATGGACGATGCTTACGACGAAGTTTCCAAAGACTGTAAAAACAGAATGCAGATCTTGATCGCAAATCCTACCTTCAAAGACACAATTATGCCTGTTTTAAAAGACGATTTATATGAATGGATGATGAAATTTCCCCAGTATGTGATCTCAAAAGATGAGGGTGAAAAGGTAAATGCCATGTCTCTCATCACAGGTTTAATCCTCCTTTTGAAAGATCAATCGTCAAGCGTTCTATCAACTGTTCTTGGCCGATCTTCTGATGGTTGGATGACAGCGTTAGAGGTTGATAAGGACAGCTTACATATACTGGAACAGAAGAAAGCGGATACCTTTATCGAGTTAGACTCTGAGGGGACAAAAGTGACACCTATATTCCCGAAAATCCGGTTTAAGCACTTAGTAACAGACGTGACGAATACAAAAATTACAAGAGTGATGAATGTGATTGGAAAATATTGCGATTTGAAAAGCTGGATTCAACATTATATGAGATATTTATCAGTGGACAATCAGGCATCGAACGATCCACAGGCTGTGTACATCATACATTCGTTGTTATCAGGTGCCTTTGCTTTGGATCTCGATACAGAAATGGATATAGATCAATGGATCAAGAACACAGACGATACCAGCGAAATTACGGATGCCAAAACACAACTAACAATGATCACATTGAATGTTCTGGAAGATATAATGGACATACTAAAAAATGCAACCTTGACAAACAGAATCACCACCGCGTTAACTAAGAACGCCTTTGATTTAGATAAAGAAAGTGGAAATATCTTAACTGTGTGTTTCGGATTACAGATTGTAGGATTGGCTGCATCTATTTTGGAACAAGAATACTTGGAAGACCAGCTGATTACTGTTCTATATCCTTTATTGGCACACCTAGGATCATCCAACGTGTTTATTCATACATATGCATTAATCACTTTGGACTCCATAGCACTGATTTGTGGTTTGGATAGTGCCCAAGAACTTGCCATTCAAAACATTGACTACATCATTAATGCGATTTCTCAGCACATCTCTGTTCTTAGTGAAAACGCACGAGTTCCATTGGTACTGAAAGCTCTAATTCATGTTGGTGGACATGACAGTCTCTTTTATTTGGATGACTCAGTCTTGGAAATATACGACGCTTTAGAACGCTACAGCACAAACGATTGGCTATGTATACAGCTTTGTAGCGTACTTTTCGAAATTATTAAGACTATGGAAAGGAATTTGCCCAAAGACACGACAACTTCAATTAGTCAAGACGAATCCAAAAAAGAACTAAAAAGAATTGTTTCTCCAGAAATTGAAGCATTCATTGAAAAGAAACAAGACATGTTTGGAAATGAGGATAAAGAACACGAAACAATGGAAGAAATCGGAAAATACTTTTTGGGCAGACAAGAAAAAGGACAGCATGATGAAGTAACATTAGAACAGGCCATTAAGGATCGAATTCCCATAGATTTGCCCAAAGAAGAAGAAGAGCCAACAGAAGAAACAAAGGTCCCGTTGAATAGAGAAGAATCTATGGCAAAGGAAATCATGGATAAATCAAGCCATTTCTTGACAGCATCGTCGCCTCAACTTCGATCACAAATGCTTATTTTACTTACGTCTGGTGTCTCCATTCTATCAAAACATCCGCAAGAATTAAATCAGTTGATTTATCTCATATGGCCCTCCATTATCAATAGATTTAATGATTCACAGAATTATGTAGTACTTCACGCAGCTCATCTCATTGAAAGAATATCGGAAGTCTCGACAGATTTCTTATCAAGGAAATTTGTAGACGACCTTTGGCCTCGGTTCAAAGTATTATTGAAAAAGGGCATAACTGCAGCTTCGGCCAATACATTAACGGATTATTCTGTGTATTCACTCTATCACCGTACACAACTATGTCTTTTAAAGACGTTGACCCGTATAGCTATTCATGTTCCCATGAATCAGCCCGTTATAAAGGATATATTGGAGGAATCGAATTATTTTTACAATGGTAGCTTAGTTCATGAGCAGCTAGTCGATGGATGCAAAGCCTTATTTAAAGCATTAGCAAGACAGCAACCAGATACAGTTTGGTTTTATGAAGCGTCTCTGCAGAAAGAAATACTGAGACCACCATCGTCACTTTTAGATACATTTGTGATACCTGACTATATCTAAGCTTGACCTAGTTACTACCGCTCAAAAGAACGATCGACAAAAATCTAGTAAAATTAAAATTATATAGCGAAAAATGGAATAAATAATAATAAAAACTGGTTTATCTTTCTATACTATTTCGGAAAATAAGGAAAGCATGAGGCATTCTATGATATACTTCGTATAAATACTTTATTCTTATATTCCCTTCAAATTACTCTTTTTTTCCCTTAACAGTTTACAACTCCCAGAATTTGTGTATAAATATATTTTCTTTCCTGTCTATTTCTCATTTATTTAGATCTATAAATATAAACAAACTTTAAAACAAATGCCTTTTTGTCGATGTGGAGAACTGTGTTTTAATGACAAGTGTAACAAGTGTGGATTCAATTTTCAATGTAAGGATTTTTTTTTTTACATGTATAAACTTAAAGTGGCCCCTGATTTTTGTAAATTTCCGATGATTATAGCAAGCCCTGCTGTTGATCGATGGCAATCTAGGTAATACATTATCCGTAGGCTTTAGTGTATATTCTCACAAAAAGTCTTTCTTATAGGTACTTGGGTAGCGTCATAGGCTTGGATAATTTAACATCTCCTGTTGAAGAAGAAGTCAAAGAAGAATCTCGTTCAGCATGCTCACCATTCTCCCAGCGAACAAGCACGCCTATTCTAAAGCGTATCACTAAACCCTTCAATAATCTTTTAGACAGTAGAAGAGTAGCTCCTTCTAAGAATAGTGTAACACCATCACCCTCAAGAAGATTTTCTACTATCGCTGAAAACAGCTGTGGCGAATGTTATAAAAAGTTATCAGGAAAAACCGTTCGTCTACCAGATACACAGGTTAGATACCACTGGAAATGTCTCAAATGTAATGGTTGTACCTTGCCTTTTGAAGACACATCTTTTTTTATTGATCCATACAAGAGAGTATATCATCCTAACGTAAGTACATTAAATACATATTTCTTTTATCCAACTTTCTGTTTACTCTCGTGTATATGTTTAGTGTGCTCCTTCGACGCAAGTCAATCAATCCTGCTCCAGATGTTCGCACTCGCTGACAGACACTTATATTGCAATACACTCCGCCGTATTACATCCTAGGGTAGATATATATATTATTTAGGCTAAGTAACAAATGTTAAAAAATATCATTATAGTGTTTCAGATGTACAGGTTGCCAAAAAATACTAAATCCGGCATCAATATATATTGATTTAGATGGGTCATTTTGTCAGCACTGCACCAATGAAAAACTACCGAATGATAAAGAATTTCTGTCGAAACATATGAAGATTGTTCCTCAACCACAAACAGTTGCTATAAACTCCCCAATAACGAAGCCGTATAGTCCTTCGGTGTCCCTGGGGAATATCAATCGTTGTAAAAGCCCTTCATCAAATAACCTTTTGTCATCCCCTTTTAGCAGCAATCGGCAAGTAATATCGTCACCACCCGTCAATAACGGATCTATAAAAGCCTCCACTTTAATGAGCTCTCGTGGTCGTCCGTTACCTCGATTTGGTGTGGTACGAGATTGTCCTGGCTGTAGTCAACGTATTGTTTCTGTACACGAAGAAATTCCAGGTCCTAAAGCTGCAAGATGGCATAAAAAATGCTTAGCATGTGATGGGTGCTCTAAAATATTGGATTCTGGAGCAACGGTTGCCGAAGATTTGGAAACAGGAAATTTGAGACCATGGTGTACTACTTGTTTGGTAATATTAAAACATTTAGGTCATACAATTTTATTTTTATTTTTCTTAACTAACATAATTTGAATAGTTGACAAAAAAAAGAAGTTGCCAAGTTCTTTATCGCAAAAATGGAATTCGGCACTGACTGCGCATGTATAAAGTTTAATAAATAAATAAACATATCTCTTTAAAATATCACAATTTCAAATATGTCTTGGTAGTATGACGGAGGTCATTTTATTATGCAAGAGTATTCTTTCCAAGGGGGTGAATAACCTCCTTCTTTTATTTTGATCAGCAAATAATAGAGTCTCCTTATAACAACAAAAAAAGAAGAAATAAAAGTAACTGCATCATGGTGTCTCTTTCTTTCATTATATTTTTCTCTGTATCTCTTATGTTTCCATTTTCCAAAATACATGATCGACGCACCCTCTACTTCTACTTTATATTATCCTCCGCCTTACACCAAACCTAAAAATAATGCTAATAACAATCAAATGGCTGGATCGTTGACTATTGACATAGAGCGTGAAAATATACACCAGACTATTAACAAACAACATCAAAATAGACTTATTCATCATCGACATCACCATCATCGCAAATGCAAGCTATGTGGCAACCGCAACACCCCTTCGTCGGAGAGAGGTATTGGTCCTTATTTGATTCATCGAACACAGCCAGATTTAGTTTTTATTTGCCCTTGTCTAAACCGAGCACATCCAATCTGCTTAAAAAAATACGGCTCTGATTACATATGCAGCATGTGTAATTATATTTATCAGTCAAGCTGGTATATCCATTTTTTCTCACAGTTTTTGTGCCTTTTATGCCATCTCCTAAGTCTTGCTTCGGCAGTTGGACTAGTATTTGGACTATCACATTTGGGGCGAGCTTTAGATGAAATTGGATTAGGAAGTGAAATAGGACCAAAATTGGATGGAGATGAGACGTGGCAGGATCATGAAATGACGCAGATTGTAGAATGGCTAAATATAGTTCATTTTGCAACGGGGCTTGCTGGAGAAGCTCTTTTAGGACTTGTTTACATCGTTGGTGTATGTCTGGTGATCGGTTTAGATAGAACATTAATAATGATTTCTAATATTTTGTATCTTCAATTGGATTGTCTAAAATCGAAGCAGGCACCCAAGTGGGTTGGGGAAACCTGTATATACATCTGCCTCTTTATGCTTGGACTTGTCTTGGGAACGTATCTGCTTTTTTTTTCATGGATTTGGGCGAGTGTGCTACATCATATTAGAAAAAGGGTTTTGGATGTGAGAGTTAAAAAGCACCACCTTCATCATCACGACAAAAACAAGCTAGGGCCATCAATACCACAGTCAACGTTGCCCCTTTCTTCTACATAACTTTTTGTATTCTTTTTTAAATAAAACAAATATAAGACTAATAAGAAACTAAAGTCCAAAGATCAAATGCAACGCGTAGTATATTTACATAAATACGGAATTACAATGTATTATTTAAAATAACTTTTCGAGTCAATCCACCATTATGTACCATATTTGATATTTTTTATAAGGGATAATGAGGCCGCATCCCGTTATTTTTTAAAGCTAAACTCTCTTTAATTAACATGTCGTACCGAGTATGTGGATCACCTCTCTTGTGTGGGAATTATAGGAAATTTATGCTGCAGATCAAGGGTTTGTGTCTGGATTTTTTTTATTAGTTAAAATATCAAGAGCTCGAATTACTTATTACTTTGATAAGGTCACAATACCTGTTTTTGTTTTGCACATGATGCCAACAGAAAAGTAATTAGGACAATTGGGATGTTTAGAAAAGTTATCTTAATAGAGATGCAGCAACCCTTTTTAGCGTATTCTATCACATTCCTTTACAAGTATACGTGGAAGGTGCTTGATAAATATCAGCGAAAGGAAGAAAAATTATGCATCACCAGGAAATAAATATGCAAAACAGTCGAATATACATATAGTGATATTATAATCAACGGTATTCTATCACCAAATAACTAAAAAGAAATTAGCTAAAAAAAGACAGAGAGAGACAGGTTGTAAGAGATGAAGATAGATATCGTACTCTCTTTTCACTATTTTTGTATTATTTCTTTCTATGAACCATTTATTCTTATGAGTGATAATAATACCGAAAAAAACTCCAGATCTTCTTCTAGAAGCTATGACTATGCAGATGATTCATGGGTACCAAAGATCAAGCGTAGGCGTAGGTTTACAGCGGATGAAACCAAAATTTTAGAGGGAGAATATGACAAAAATCCGAGTCCAAACCAGGACAAAATCCAGACAATAGCAGATATTATCAAAACACCTCGAAAAATTGTTACAACATGGTTCCAAAACCGTAGAGCAAAAAATAAGAGAAAGGAAAAAACGAGAAAAGAAGAGAACGCAAAGGGCAAGCTTCGCGTTAAATGTGCTATAAAAGACGATGACAACTATATCGACGAGGAAAATGAAACAAGCTCTGAAAACTATGATGATGATCTCCAAGATGAAATGTATCATGGCGATAATAGCAGTAGCAGTAGTCAACCTAATTATTATACATTAAATCAGCCAGAAATTGCTTTGGACGATGAAGGGTTCGATTTAAGCTACGATACTAGCAATTTGATTATACAGGCTCCGTCGACTACTCAACTTTTACATAGAGCAGACCCTATATTTTTTCAGAATAATATCTTTAATCAATATGATGGTGGCTTTCACAATAATCAGCAGTATAGCATTAATATATATAACAACATGAATAACTACTTTCATCTCAATGAACATAATGAAGCAAATGACTTTAGGGGAACTAGAAACATGCATAATTTGAATCAGTCACAATGGCAGAACTTTTTTTATTACCAGCCATATCAAGTTGAATCCCCCTTTTTTATTAATAATAATATCAACAGAAGCATGATCCCATTTTTAATGAACAACATTCCATCGATGCCTATAGACGCTATACATCCTGAACTTTATATTAATCCGGTGGATCTATGCTTGAATTATTACACGCCACCACGACATCAACAGACGGATAATCAAGAGGAGCATGATTGAAAATTTATTAATTAAACACTTTTTCTCGTATCCCTATAACTTTATTGTAATGAATTTGTTCGCTTAAATCCGCTCATAGAGTTGGATCCAGTGTAGATGTCAATCTAACTGGGTACATACTCAGCGATTAATAGTGTAAATATCACTTTACAAGAGTATGGATTCATTATATGAATATTCCAGCCATTTTTATTGATATTTACCATTTACATTTAAAAGAAAAAATTAAATAGTAAGCGCAACTGGTTAGCACTTTAATACTTAATATTATTCTAGAAAAGTTGGTAGCATTTGCTTAAAAGGATACAAGGATTTGTTGTCTGTGTGCTCGTTCGTGACGTCTTTGACTACAGTAAAATATGACCTGTGTTTGCAACTCCGGCCGCCTTTCGTCTCCCCTTCTTGAAGCAACATATACTTTTACTTCCTTTCTTCAACGAGATAATCTGAAATGTCGCTAAGCAGACCAAAGTTTTTTACCACCAATAAAAGAGGTAAAGTTGAAGTAACATAACAACTGACAAAAAGAGGGGAAAGGGGGCAAATTTCGGTGTAATGTTTTGAAGTGTTACCCAGAAGAATTGCAATAATAAATATATACCATCTGTAGGCGAAAACTATGAACTTAAATCTGAATTGAACAGCGAGTACCGTCATCATCGAAAAGATGCTGTTAAAAAAGTTATTGCAAATATGACGGTTGGAAAGGATGTCAGTGGGCTCTTTCCAGATGTTCTCAAAAACATGCAAACAGAAGATCTAGAATTGAAAAAATTGGTTTACCTTTATCTTATGAATTATGCAAAGACGCAACCCGAGTTAGTTATTTTGGCTGTTAATACATTTGTCAAGGTATACGACGAAATACCGAAAGAAAATTTGCACTGTAATTCATATCATGTGTTAGGATTCTGATGACCCAAACCCATTGATCAGAGCTCTTGCTATCCGCACCATGGGCTGTTTGAGAGTAGACAAAATTATCGATTATCTTACCGAGCCTCTTCGTAAATGTCTTAAGGTAAGAGCTTTTGCCTCCATAGTTATTAATGTTATTAAATCGCGTAAGTTATTTTCAATAGGATGAAAACCCTTACGTTAGAAAAACAGCGGCTGTTTGCGTTGCAAAGTTATATGATCTTAACCCAGAATTAGCCATGGAACAAGATTTTGTCAATTCTGTGTTGGAAATGGTATCTGATGTCAATCCTATGGTTGTCGCAAATGCAGTTATTGCCTTAACTGATATCAACGAAGCCTCTGACAAGTGTATCTTCGAAATCGATACTAATACCTCAAACAAGTTATTACATGCCCTTAATGAATGTACCGAGTAAGTGTGAGACTGTCATTTCTTTTATATAGCAGCTATTAAAATGAGGTATAGATGGGGACAGATCGCTATTTTGACAGCTATAGGTGATTATAAAGTATCAGGATCTAAGGAAGCCGAAAGTATTTGTGATAGAGTTATGCCCAGACTACAACATGCTAATGGAGCTGTTGTATTATCTGCCATCAAGGTAATTTTTTTTTATTACTTTCTAGGACGAAATCAATAAACATTGACTTTTCAATTTAGGTTTTAATGATTAATATGAGATATATTAAAGAAGAATCGTTTATCAAGTCAATGTGTAGAAAAATGGCCCCTCCTTTAGGTAGGCTATAAAACTCCAAAGTATGATATAATTCAAAGGTTTTCTAATACCCACTATAGTCACTTTACTTTCAAGTCCTCCTGAAGTTCAATATATTGCCTTACGTAATATTAGTCTTATTCTTCAAAAACGCCCCGAAGTTTTGAGTAATGAAATTCGTGTATTTTTCTGCAAATACAACGACCCACCATACGTTAAGTTAGAAAAGCTTGAAATCATGATTAAATTATGTAATGACAGAAACGTGGATCAATTGCTTAGCGAATTGAAAGAGTAAGTTTGTAGATCTGAATTTTGGTGAAAGCATTGTAACAGGTTCATTTTTATTTGAAACAGGTATGCCAATGAAGTTGATGTGGATTTTGTCCGTAAATCCGTCCATGCTATTGGTCGCTGTGCGATTAAAATTGATGAAGCTGCCGAACGTTGCATCAATGTCTTATTGGATTTAATTAATACAGGTGTTAGTTACGTAGTTCAGGAAGCTGTGGTTGTTATTAAGGTAATGATCTTGCGTAAACTGTTTCTTCTTGAGATTGTTAATATTTCTGGCTTTCTTTGTAAAAATAGGACATATTCCGTAAATATCCCCATAAATACGAAGGTATTATTCCTACTTTATGTGAAAACCTCGAGGCTTTGGATGAGCCTGAGGCTAAGGGCTCATTAATTTGGATTATCGGAGAATATGCTGAGAGAATTGATAATGCTGACGACCTTATAAATATCTTTTTGGAGAACTTCAAAGAAGAAAACCCTCAAGTAAGATCTAATTATTGAACATATGCCAGGATTCTGATGCTTTTTTTAGGTCCAACTACAACTCCTGACTGCAACGGTCAAATTATTTTTGAAAAAGCCTAATGAGAATCAAGATTTAGTCCAACGTATTTTACAAACTGCTACAACTGAATGTGATAACGCAGATATTCGTGACAGAGCTTATGTTTACTGGAGACTGTTATCAACTGATCCACAGGCTGCCAAGGTATGACAAGAGCAGATCTTTTAATGTAGCACAACAAGTAGCTGATTGTATACACATATCTGTATATATATATATTTATGTATAGGCTGTTGTTTTATCTGAGAAGCCTCCTATTGCCGGTGAGAATGATGGCGTTTCGCCAGCATTACTTGAGACTTTATTGTATGATATCGGTACTCTGGCTTCTGTCTATCATAAGCCAGCTGAAACTTTTATTGCAGGAAAGAAATTCGGCGCAGATAATGTCAACAAGTCTACAGCAGAGTACGTGTTTGTCTCATATCAAAAGTTCTGACCTAATTTATTTGTATTCATTTATTTAGTCATACTGAAGACGATGATATAAATGCACCTCCGCCTATGATTCAGGAAGCTATCAAAAACAATGACATTGGAAACTTACTTGATTTGGACTGGGACGCACCTACTGAAACACCGGCCTCTCCGATCATGGCAGAGCATCAACAGCAAGGATCATTTAGCGATTTACTGTCCGTTGGAAATACTGAATCAAAGGCCAGCCCATCCCCTCGACCTAACAATAACAATAACATTGACGATATTATGAACTTATTCAACGCACCCTCCAATCCTGGTGTACAAACATATGTCTCCTCTCCTCAACAGCAACAACATCAACAGCAAAATCTTATGAACGATTTTACAAATGACTTGTTTGGTTCAGCCCCTACGCAGTCTCCAGTTCAACAGCAATCAACTCCTAGTAAAAATACTTCAACAAATGATCCATTTGCTGATCTTTTCTAATTTTTTTTTATGAAATAAACCTTAAACATATCTTCGTTTGGTGACACATTTCACTTTAGAACGGGAAAAAACCCATTAAAGCGTCTAAGTGACTAATGCGTGCATGAATAATCTATGGAAATAGTGTATAGCACGATAAAAAAAATGAGGGAAAAGTGGGTTTACATCCGTATTTATAATAATTGAACGCAATAAAAAACTTCGTTGACGTTTTTTTTATGCAAAGCTTATTTGTATTATGATTTTTATATTTGCGTAGATGATTTACGGAATGAACATTAGTGGCATTTATATTTTAAAGATATAATATAGATTTTTTTTTATTTTGTAGAAGATAAAAAGCATATTTTTAACAACTGCAAGCTACATCTTTTAACACTTTTTTTTTTTGATATCATATTTGAAATACTTGTGGCACTCGAAATAAAATTTTAATCCACGAAATTGTAGTGCAAGTACTGTATGTTCACGCTCTAATCTATAAAAAAACCTCTTTCTTCCTTTTTAAATGTCTAAAGATAATCAAAATACTTTACCCTAATATGGCAAACTTTGATAAACCTATCACTAATTGCTACAAGCTTGAAAATTGCTCGGTAGATCAACAAAGTGCCCTTGAGGAAATAGAGAATTTATTCCAAGTGTCTCAAGATCGGCTAGATATTCTTATGCGTGGCGTAAGCCAGGAGATGCGTGATGGCTTGCACTTTCCGGAGACTAGAGACACACAAAATGATCTGAAAATGATTCCATCTTTTGTTACAGGTAATATTAGAACTCCCCCTTTCTGTAGAAGTTAAAAGCTCGCTAATGCAAATCAATAAGGTTATCCGACTGGCAATGAAAAAGGTACATACTTGGCTTTGGAGATTAGCGGGATCGATATATACGTATGCCAAGTTCAACTTAAAGGCGAAGGAGGAAAGCTGGCAATCAACCAATACCAATACAAAATACCCGATTATTTAACAGTGGGAGATAACATGAGTACATTAGTCAGCCATGTTGCTGATTGTGTTGCAGATTTTCAACAAAGGGTTGGTTTCACGACAGAAATCGTATATGCTATGGGTATAAGTTTGGGGTTTGCTGTAAGACAAACCTGTCTTAACAAAGGACTTATTGTTGCATTAGAGCACGGATTTGAATACACAGATGCTATTGGCAGTGATATTGTAGAACTTTTCCAAAAAGGATTTCAAAAAAGACGCTTGTCTATCAAAGTAGTGGCTATGGCAAACGGTAATAATATAAAAAAAAACCCCCATTAAACCTGACATTTAATTTTATTATTTTTAGACAGCGTATGTACATTATTAGCGCACGCCTATCAGCATCCATCCACCCGTATAGGCATCGTGCATAGTGCAGGAACTAATTGTGCTTACTACGACAAAGTCTCGAATATGGAGACGTTTTTGTCTCAGCATCAAGACTGGATATCAGATCATACACACATGATTGTTAATACAGAGTGGTGTGATATCAGTTCGAAATACATGCCTTCTAATAAGTTCGATGAGATGGTCGACCTGGGATCGAATAATAAGGGTGTCCATGCATTTGAGAAAATGACTACAGGTATGTACCTCGGTGAACTTGCACGTTTAATCTTGGTTTATTATGCAGGTCTGGGTGTTCTTTCTTTTGGTATGGATGATGAAGAGTGTTTGCTTCGATTTCCTTATCAGTTCGACACAAGCTACATGTACGTGTGTGAAGCTGATGAAAATTCACTGGAAGGGACTCGAGTTGTTTTGGAGGAGATGTGTAGAACTGGTGAAACTACGTTGGCTGATAGAGAGATTGTTAAAAATATATGTGACCTAGTCGGACAGCGTGCGGCATTGTTTCTCGGTGCAAGCATAGCAGGTGTTGTTAGATACATGGTGTCTGATGGAATTGGCCTAGATCTCGAAGGAGACGGTTTTGCTATATGTAAGCTAAGTATACATATATTTGTTCACTACAAAATGTACCGACTTTTCATTTTTGAAAGCTATCAGCGGAGATCTTTACAAAGATTTTTCGTCCTTCCATCCTCGTGTTTGTGAAACCTTGAAGACTTTGATTCCAGATGAAGTTGCTGCGAAGCTATCGGTGGGGATTGTTAAGCATTCTAGAATAGTAGGTGCTGCTATTGTTGCTATGATGGCCGAAAAAAGAAACATCAACAATGACATGTTTTAATGTCTAACGTTTGACTCAACAGTTATTTTAATTTGGCCACTCTATTTTTATTTATTTTTTTCCCTTATATTCTTTTCATTTAGAAGATATAATTTTTCTTGGCAGGTGATGTCCGAAATATTTCGTCCACATAATTTTCTACCAACTTGTAATCCCGGTAAAAAAAAGAGAGAGAAATCATATATTAAAACAAGTGGTATATTGCTCGCCTGAACCCCTTTACCCCTTCACAAGCTTTCCCACTTGATTAGTCATACTTCTAACTAATGTATGATGTTGATGTCATATAGACAACTGACTCTTCTTGCTCTAAATAAATTTTGTTTCAAAAAAAAAATTTACTTCAAATAAAAGGTTTGGCTTGGCCATAAACAATGTCTATTTCATTGTAATTCCATATACCTGCCCATTTTTTTTTGAACATCCACATATAAATCATGCTTACCGGTTTCTGACCCCCTTACTTGATGTCCCATGTACATCATAACAGTGTCTCCTGAAAGAAGTTGCCTTTTTAATGATACGTTTCTTTCGCGCAAAAAAATAATAATAAACAATAGCGCTATTATACCCCTCATCTATATTTATATAAGACCCCTACATCAAATTACTCTTTTAATAAGCAGTATCCCTCCAAAAGCAGCTCCGCAACAGAAGTTACTATCTCCTTAACAAGTCTAGTATTTATAAATAAATATTGTTTTGTTGTTTTCTTTACTTTTTTTTTATCATACCTATTGTAGAAGACAAATGTATGCATAAATATTTCGATGTACATCTCATCCCGCGATTCTCATTTTTTTTTTATGCGTAGATAACTTGGGTCATCGTATCTAAACACAGATTGAATTGCTTTTTTGTTTGTTGTATAATTTTATATAAAAGTAGACACAGTTTCTTGATTTTTTCCTCCCTCAGTTTCCCACAACTTCAAAATGTCATTTGTATCTAAAGTATTTAGTAAGACAGCCCTTCTCGTTGGATCTGTAGCCATTTTGGCTAGCAGTTTGGTATCCGCACAATCGATGATTCAAAATTGTAAACCTGGATATGTAGCTATTACATACGATGATGGACCAAATATTTACACATCTGAACTTGTCAAATTACTGGACTCCAATGGTGTCAAGGCCACTTTCTTCATTAACGGTGATAACTTTTTGTAAGTTTTTTTTTTTTTTTTTTTTGCTCTCTCTTGTGTGAACTGATTTTATATTTATTTTTTCGTCAAAGACAATTAAATGACAGTGTAATTGCTCAGGAAGCTCTTAAGAATGCTTATAACTCTGGCCATCAAATTGCTAGTCATACCTGGTCTCACCAAAACTTGGACGAGATTGATGGCAGTAAATTTGACAGCGAAATTGTCAAATTGGAGCAAATTGTTCAACAGTTTGTTGGTAAAAGGTAATTAAAAATCTATTATATGTGTATCTGATGTTTGACTTACATGATATCAACATTATATTTCCATACTTTATTCCAATAGACCTGCATGTAAGTAGTAATGACAAGGCGGTATTTTAGTAGAACTTATATTAATTTTCCCCTGTCAATATATAGATATCAGACCTCCTTATGGCGCCGCTTCGGAGACTACCGTCAAGAAACTCAACGATAAGGGTTACCAAGTTATTGAATGGTCGACTGACACTAAAGATTACGAGAGTCATAATACTGAGACCGAGATTGAACATGTGAAAGGCTCCTTCACGAAAGCTAACCTTGATAATGGATTTATTATCTTAGCTCACGATGTCTATGAGCAAACCACTACTGATTTGACTAAAGCCTTAATCAAGTATATTAAAGATGAAGGTTTTAAATTCTGTACAGTTGCTGAATGTAAGTTTGTACATATTTAACCTAATACACTATAAGATATTGACAACATAAAATAGGCGTCGGTCAACCCGCATATAAGTAACAATGTTGTAACCAATATTCTACCCGGACATCTGTACCGATTAGATTTATACTATCCTACTTGCTTTTTTTTTATTGAAAGCAGTGCATTTTTCATGTAGAAGAGTTTTATAATTTATTTTTATTCTTACAATAATAATCACAAGAGTTATTTTCTTTGTTTCAATTTCATTCTTTTTAACTTGTGTTGTTATGTAAATCATTATTTTTGTCCCCCGGCACCTCCTGTTGCACCACCACCACGCTTATTGAGAGATTCGGATCCTGTTGTCATACCTCCACTTCGATTAGCAGTACTAGTTCCGCCGCCCCCTCTACGATTTGGGTGGAAACGGCGATTATTGTTATTATGGTATTGGTTGTTAACCCTAGGTTTTTCTGCATAAACAGTCTGATTACCCACGGCCACTTTACCCTGATCAAGTGCTTTCTGCCTGCTTTCCATAGACGTAAATTCTATAAAAACAGTATTGCCTGAATGGCTGATAGAAACATACTTTATAGATCCGAATTGTCTAAAAGCTGCTTCCAAATGTTCTTCTTTCATGGTGCTATTGACATTTTTAACAAATATTTGTAAGTCTATAAAAAGAAAAGTCAGTTTGTGATTAAATAGTTATTTATCAATACTTTTACCTTTATTACGGTGCTGGTGTTGATGCTGATTCTGATGATGTTGCTGTTCTTTATTATAATGCTGATAATGTGTTGGCTGATGATGTTGGTTCTGTACATGCTGCTGTTGAGTATTTATTTGTTGCTGAGAGTGGTGATGGTTATTTTGATGAGGATGATTACTGTAGCCGTTTCCATGAGGTATGTTATTATTCTGAGCGTGCGCAGTCATATTAAACGCTTGTTGTGCTAGTGGTGCTTGTTGGTTATGATAATGATGTTGTGGAGGGGGTTTTGATGCTCTAGTCGGTTCGTTAGCTGATTCGCTAGTTGTTGATGCAGCTAATCTAGCCCAACTTTGCGTATTTGTTATAGTTTTCTGTGCTCCTCTTTGGTCTCGTGAACTATATCCATTTGACATTTGGCCCTCATTATCTTTAACGGAATTCGGCTGTGTCTTTTTTATGCTATTCCCATTGGTTATACTGGCAATTTTTTTTTCTTCGACAGACAACAAAGAAGCATTGTTATTTGCCGATGTAGATGCAGCGACTGCTACTGCAGGAGTATGTTTATCCGTTGAGGTAGGAGGAATAGAAGCTTTTTCTTGTACTACAAGTGGTGAGACTGGGCGATTGGGTGGAATAGCATCTACATTTGGTTTTTTTTCGGTATCCTTCGCAGGGGTAACTTTCTTATTTGAGCTGTCGTCTTTCTTAGTCTTCTTTATTTCGATTCCGTTGCTTTCTTCAACGTCTTTTTCAGTGTACTTGGGTTGCGCAGCATCTGTTTGAACATCCTTTAGAGGCTCTGTTTCTTCTAGCTCATTCTCCTGGCATAAGTAATAATCGATGTCAACTTTTTCCTTTAAATATCGAAAAGTATTATTCAATATGTAATAGCCATTTAATTGAGGTGCTAAAAAAAAAGTCTCTGCGAACTTTTGAGATGGTTTGCCTTTGTTGCTCATTTCTCCTAGTACGGAAACTAAGATACCATCATTGGCTGACAACTGACTGTCTACTTGGGTTACAAGGACTTTACAATTGTCAAACTCAAGTTCTTCAATCTTTTTACTGATTTCCTATAAATCTGTTGTCAATCCCTTTTTGCAATCCGAATTCTTAATCCTTATTTTACCTCTTGTCCTTTGACTGTAGATACTGTTTCTCCCTCATCCCCTCGAACGAGCAATGAATCTGAACCATAAAATGCATACAACCTATCTGGTCGTTTGTTAAGAAAGGTGTAGTATTCGCGAGCGAAAATGAGCCCTACATCTTGCGAAGTGATTTTGGTATTCTCATCCTTTGTGTGAGATTCGTTGGGTGAGTGAGCCTGGTCAACCGTCATAAAGCTTTTGTTTTATTCTTTTTCAGTCTACTAAAAAGGAAAAAGGGAAAGAAAAAAATCAAATTTTTACGCGTCCCTCATACCAATTGGGTTTCAAGTGATTTTGTGTAACATACACTTCACGCATAAATCAGCAATTAGGCTTGAGTGACATATTCGGGGGATTGTCACCCGCCTAAATTAATTACCTGTTCTAATTGAGTTCTCAACGTCGCCAAGCTGGTGTTTTAAAAATGAGCTGTATAAGTTGAACTTATTTATAATCAGCATATGTTTAATTAAAAAAATTTGGGGTCAACGCTCAACTTACCTATTTGAATTATATAATTCCTCTTCGGAACGGAGGAAGGGATGGGCCGTTTTGAGAAACCAGTGAACTAAAGCCAATTAACCCAATTTTTTTAACCTTATTCTGATTTTGATTAGAAGTGGTGGAGTGGGTGGATATCCTTCTTGGGAATTGGTGATTTATACAAAACACTGCTCCTTTAACTCTTCTTGACTTGCCCTCTTAACGAACAGCTCGTGTTACTGTTGATTAAAACAGCTAAAGCAATTCTTGGTTGAAGTATATTAATCAGCAACCTGAAACAGATCTTGTTCATGACTCCTAACCATTGATAAATAAGTTGACAGGCTTCTTTGGGTATGACTCCGTAGATATTTCCAATTTCTATGCAAACTGGAAAAAATTTGTACAGTTAATGAGGCCTGCAACAAGAGAAAATGAAGTTTCTTGTTCTTTAAAATGAGATGGAAATACATTCTGGGCTATCGAATATTCGATATCAATTTTTGCTTTCAGATAAAGCTTCTGACCTTCTACTGTTTATTGCTGCGGTTTTCACAACTCCGGGGTTTATTCCTTGTACAATAATACTTACATATTGTTTTCTTACCATGAGCTCTGAAAATAATGTTGGCTTCTTCTTGAACGGTGACGTTTGATTATGCAAGGTCTTGCTTAATTCGTACACTTTTGTGACATTCCTTTTCTGCCTTACGGAACATATTCGCTTTATCCATCCTTTCTCTCGGCTATTTTAAACTGATTTTCCAGTTCTTTATGAAGGGACTTGCTCTTTACTATGACAGCCTTTTTGTCACAGTGAGCCGCATAATGCGCCTTATCTGCTGTAACAGTTTCTAAACAACGTAATTCAACCCATTAAAAAAAGAATACCTAACTTACTCTGCTCAAGGGAAGTGGTGGGTAGCGATCCGTTATAATGTTTTAAGCATAAGGAATTATATACTACAGTATTATAAAAGCATACAGCTAAAACAGCTGGATCAGCCACTACCTCGCTTTTTTTTCACTTTTCCCAAACCCGAGTACAAAATGGCGTTTTATTAAAATTGATCTCGAAAATATTGATGTTCTTTGCCACGAAGACAAGATCCAAAAAGAGAATAATGAAAGTTGGACTTCACTTACTACACGACGTTTTTTGTCTATTTAATTTTAAACAACTGAAGATCAATAGGTGAGCTTAGACATTAAACCTATTTATGTCTGGTTGATGTTTGAAACATAGGCCAAAACGTAATATAAAAGAGATAATCGGATTTTTAGGCGGCACACCAAGCGTACATTCAGCGATTATAACTGAAATATTCTGCTTGTGTATCCCAAGTTGGACCATATCATAATCCTGTATTACGTACTTCAATTTATATGCGTAGAACAGATGTACTAAGCGAATACTACTACTGATACAAGTTGAATTTTTAAAACAATAACCCAATTAATAACATGATTTAAGCAGCTTATAACAAGACTTCTTAGTTATTTTGACTCGCTAGTGATTATGTAACTACTGTGGCTTTTAATAGACACATACTTAAAATTAGATAGATTCTAGCGGAATTACTGCCAACATGTCATTTTGTAAGAAGCTGAAGGTGTATTCAATGTCCCACAGCCTCTTGCTTTTAACCTGAATTAGCGAATCCAAATCTTTAAAAGGAAAGAGCAGTCCCAAGATAAATGAATCTGAAAAACTGTGCACAGGACGAAAAGAAAGTTATCGTTGTTGTCCTTGACTAAATATGGCAGAAAGACAAAGCATATTTTCCCGTCCGTTAGATTTGATCTACGTGATTTATTTTGCTACACATATCCCTGTGACTTTAGGTATCGATTTTCAAGTGTTTTATCCTCCTCACTGGGTCCCCAAAGTTTTGTCTGAAGCTTTGGAGTTTTATGTTGACACTTTCAAAGACCCTTTTATGGGTAGTCCAACGCCTACTTACTGGTTCTTAACCTTTATTTGCTGTGAATTGGTTGTCCAGTTGCCATTCTTTTTCATCGCTTGTGTTGCTCTCGCTAAAGGTACTTTTGACCCATGGTTGTACAGCTGGTACTAACAAATATTCAAACAGATTCCAAGTACATTCGTCTGCCTCTTGCAAGTAAGTATTGATGGTCCCTTTTTCAATATTATTATTTTGTTGTTATCAAACTAAACTTTATATAGTTTATGGTTCTCATGTGGCTACAACTGTTTTACCCACCATTGTCGAAGTTTTGTTTAACACAAAGTACAACCTTGACCGAACCGAAAGATTAGTATTATGTGGTTTCTATGTCCCCTATTTCATCTTGCCAGTTGTTATGGTCATTGACTCTTCTATTCGCCTCAACAAGTATTTAAACGTCACAGTTCCCACCCCCACTATTACGAAAACCAGAAAATCGGCCAAAATACAATAAAAACGTTTATTTAAGCAATAGAAAGTACGATTTTTCCAACTGTACGATGGGAGCTAATCTTCTCGAATGCTATGCATACGTCCTTCAGAGGGAATATATTTTCCTCGCTCCAGACAGTTCCCTTAATCTGGTTATCATCAAAAAACGGTGCCACCTTTAGTTTAAAGTCTGTTAAGGATAGAGCTGTTACGACGATATAAGAATGTGCACTGAACAGCTTTTTGTACAAAACACTTTTTAAAACTGTTGCAACAGTACTAATATTAACCTGAGATGATCCAGCATACTCAACGGGCCCAACTGCAGTAGAGTATACACCATGCTCTACCAAAAGAGGATCTAGCTGATTGTAATATTCATCACCTCCAACACAGTCAAAAATTATATCGAACGGGATCTTTTCATTGATAAATGACTTATAAGCATCCTTGTTTTTGTAATCAATTACTCGATCAGCGCCTAGCGACTTGACAAATGCAATGTTTTTTTCACTGCAAATACCTATCACGGTGTTTTCCTGGTTAATCGCCTTGGCCAATTGGACACCATAACTTCCAACACCACCAGATGCACCAATGATGAGAATATTTCTCTTTTTTTGTTTGTTATTCTCATTGATATGACCATTTTTAATAATACCATCGTAAGCAGTGATTACGGGTATACCGGCAGATGCTGCTTGTTCGAATGAGAGATGGTCCGGTTTCTTTGCGATTGCTGCAACTTTTGTATCGATTACCCCATATTGAGCAAAAACACCCTCACCACCAAAAAGCACAGGTTTCGAACCAAAAACATGATCTCCAATTTCAAAGCCATCAACCTTAGCGCCTTTGGCGACAATAACGCCCGAAAAATCAGCGCCGGGTATAGTTGGGAGAGTCATAAATCGTGTGCCGATTTTTAAGTTACCAGAAGCTAACTTTGCATCTATTGGATTAATACCAGCTGCTTTAATTCTGACCAATACTTGACTATCTGTCTTAATTTGAGGAACAGGTGTTTGCTCATTGAAGAACATGGCTTCTTTGGGTGGCCCGAATTTGACAAGCTGAATAGAGTGCATGGTTTCAGGAACTTTTGCCATAATTGTTTGTCGAAAAGAGAATAATGTTTTACGAAAAGAAAAATCAGTGTTTTTTATAAATGGGACACTGATCCAAATAAGGAGAAATACATCATGTTACGCGTTAACCCCCAATTCGTCCGTAGATTTAATCTGTTTAACGATATTTTATCAGTTATTTTGTCCCCTTTGCCCATCCCACTCCCTCTCCCCGCTAAAAAACAAATCCTTCTCCTTATTTTCTTCTACTTATTTATTATACATATGAATTAGAACAACTATACAATGCTATTACAAAACCGGTTAAGTGATGTGGATGTCTGCACTTTCTTATTGGTGTCAATACAGTATTTATACTTTGAATTTAGACGATGTTAGTTTTTTCCTAGATGAGCCGAAAAATATATTTGGATACTTTTTTTTTCAACAAACAGAATATGTGTTCTTAATAAGGTAGAATTCGAAACGTTATTGATCAAATTTTATGTTAGAGATAAATTGAATAAATGAAGGCCTATCAAATACAAAGAGGACATAGCAATGTTCCCACTAGTAGTATTTTAAAAGGAATGATGTATATGATACCAACAAGATCAAAACTCTCAGAAATGGGGTGACAGGTATTTTATGGCGCACGTTGAAAAGGCTAGACGAAAGTGATAAAAAAAGGAAAAGTAACAAAGAAAGATGATAATATCTTTCCCATTTATTTATAATTATGAAATGTGAGGTTATCCATCTTGAAAATATTATTACTTTTTATGACAAATAGATATTAAATATATATTATTAGACATCTTCGAAAATATTGTTCGATGGTGTGGGTGGAGTGCGACTGTTGTTCCCATCAAATCTTGCAAAAGGAGACACATTACTATTATGACTTGTTTGGCGGTTTAATCCTGAAGATGCCATTAAAAATGGGTTTGGTGATATAGGCCTTGATGGGTTAGAAGCTTCGTCAGGTATGGTCGAATTATTTATATAAGGTCGATGATTGTCGGTTGCAACAGTGTTGGTGGGAGCCCGACCAAATATACGCCCGCCGTGATGGTTACTTCGAGCTGCAGTCTCATTCAAAGATTCCGGTAATTGTAGCGACGGTGTGTTGTGATCCTGGTTGCTTTTTGAGGAACCGAACAATCCCCCTAATTTGAGTTTTACAGTATCACCAAGGGACATCAAATTTGGCTTTAGCTTCATAGCATCAATATCGCTATGAGCCTCGTTCACAGATAATGCTGAAGACGCAGAGGAAGAGGCTGTACTGTCATGATATTGCTGTTGACTAGATCTTCCAGATAGAATTTCATCAACTCTTCTATCTCGCTCACTTCTTAATGTATCAGGTGGACTTGCACGGGGATATTTTTTATTCATGTATTCCTACATATACATCAAATTATTTAGAATATAGCATCATGAATTTTTCGTTCAGTCCGTCTTACCCTATTTCTAGCATTATGCACTCGGGCTGTTGGATTAATTTCACGTTCTCGTAACCGGCGCTCTGTTTGAAAAATTAGTTATCGTTCAAGGGACAACGGCTCTGGTACTTACCTTCTTGGACAAGTTTGGCACCCTCTTCATAATCTGCATCTAGTAACGCACTACCACCGCTCTCGGTATCATGGTTGTGACTGTCTTCATTTTCATTATTTTCGTATGGACTTTTGATTCCACAAAAACCTAAACAACGACCTTGTACATTGAATAATAACGAGAGTGAAGGTATTAAAATGATAATCGGGAACCAATCTGCAAAAGCACCTAAAAATTTGATGAGATCAGCTTTCCCCATGAACTATTTTTTTTAAATTAGTTACACTAAATAATTCGAATATCGCTATAAGTTCTTACAGTTGTAAAAACAGCTTTGCTAACGCCTGGCGCATCGACTGCCAAATTAATGTAATTGTAACACAATGGAGCCCTATATACATTTATCAGACCACAGCCATTTACAAAAATTTATGAGCTACTAACATCATCTTACACATGTAGCCGGTAAACCACAATAAGCTATTTTCATCTGTATGGTGATTTGGTATAAGCAAGTACAGGTTAAAAAACCTAATTTTAAAAAGTGACGAATAAACACAGAAACACATGTAAAGAAGAGTAAAAAAAGCCATAATCTATTACTATGTTAGTCTGTACTGTTTTCTCAATTATGATACGACTTACTTCCAAGGCGGCATAATTTGTTCCACAAGCGTTCAAGGCATAGTATGCAATTGACATTATGGTGGGCTTTCGAACATTAAATACTAATTCTGACCAAATAATGCACGTGCTGATTATGGAGAAAACAATAGCAAAAAATTTGTACAAATTTGGAGATATGCGTAGCATCCACCACCATTCTACAGTCGACGTGAAGTTAGACCATTTAGTTTTTTCCTTTTTATGTCTTAATGTGGAGACAAACTGACTACAAATATATAAGTTAACCACAGAAACTATATAGAATATGGCAATCAAATCTTACTGGTCCCTTTTGTCTTTATTGCTGATAACATCTTGAAGATAAAATGCTTCATTCAACAAGTTGTTCCATAACCTAGATTGTATGCGTATGATGTTAAATTTAAATATTTTACGTAAAACATAATACTAACGCATTTTTTCTATCTCTCATACGTATAGCCAAAACCATTCTTCTTGAAATTTTGACTAAGTAATCTTCAGTAAGATCTCTCGGTATTGTAATTGAATCATCTCTTTCAGAGAAAGCCTCATGAAGTACAAATGGAAACCTTCTAATCATTGTGTTAATACAATATCGAATCTCTGGTACTTCCATCATAGTTCTCTTCGACACATAATTCATCGTCTAAAAATGACAGTATCAGTGATTCTGTTAATTTAAACATAAAGTGTATATTACCTTGGCTAATTCATTGAATTCAATTTCGCTATCTAAACATTCTTCCTTCAGTTTTGCAGCATTCGCATAATGCTGATGTAAATGCTGGTCATAATTTCCAGAATACCATAGGCTACGAGGGACAGAAACCAATCCATACCCCATAAACACAATCACTAAAAATAGACCCCAACTATTTGCTGCCGCCATAACGTAACTTTGGATCCCTTCTCTATGCATGTATAATTTAACAAACTGTAACACCTCATTTTTCTAAATATGTACCTGGTTGTTAATCCACTTCCAAAAATCAAATATATCAGCCCAAATGTCCCAACCACAACGTATATCGAGTAAAATCGAAGATTGACGTTGACTGCCGATTTTAACCGTTTTGCAATAGTGAAGTCACCAGTATTTACATATGCTTGCATCATTGGAATCATCATCCTATGACATAGGTTTAGAAAAGTCCGCAATAAACAAATATTGTCACTTTACCATGTTAAACAAAACGAAGTCCAGTAGATAACTCTCCAGGCGACAAATAAAAATGACTGCGAGACATACGCAAACGGTACTCTGCCTTTTTTGTCGTCGTGTACAGTCTACAATAAGGTTTAAGACTAATTTTGTCTACTTTGTTTATGCTACTTACAGATGCCAAGTCAAGCGGTAAAAGAAAGACAATCCAGAAAGGAAAGAACCAGCCAATTGTGCAAACAGTAGTGACATACCACGATTGAGATTTAATGTTACCGAATCTTGATAAAGTAAAGACAACTACAATAAAAAGCAAGGTTGTAGCTACGATTAATGGAGCCCAATCACTCTTGTGAATGGTCGGAGGTTGATCGGGTATGGGTATTTCTCCAGGTGGTATGATGGGAATTTGTTCATCCATTTGGCTATTTAACGGAAAAGTGGAAGCAATAAACAAAAAAAGGAAAAAAAACAAGAATTTCATGTAACATTGGACTGTGACTTCAAAGTTTATTTGTTTACGAATGTCGCATGCTATTGCATGAAATGATTGGCATACTACAGTTTCCAGACTCTAAATTCAGACATCTTAATTTTTTTCAGACCAACTGTACTTTATGCCCAGTTGAAATACTTGCCTTTTAAACATGAAAACAATATACAGAAAAAAACCAAGTTTTTAGACGAATGGGGGTGTGGCCAAATAAGTGATACCCGTAACAGTCTTATTCCTTATTCCTGAAGAATACCATGTTTTTTACGGCGATATTTGTTTGTTTGGTACCCTTTTCCTGACTAAAATTCTTTACCTATGATCATCATGCTATTTGTCACATTGACGTCTCTCAGTCATACTTTTCGACATTTGCCGCCACTATATTCATGTACATCAATCTTGCTAATGACCATACTATCGAACAGACAGTGGCAGCATGTTTCTGAATCTATTAATTGTCTTTATTATATTTGACCTTTCATCTTTACTGCGTCTCTACCAAATATTTCGGCAACAAATATAATAAACCTAATACATCAGTAATTAATATGATTTTCGGGTCCAAAAACGGCACAGCCTTCCGTTTTTATTTCTATGTAAAAAATAAAGGAGTCAGTGAAGATACATGGCTTGTTTACTTAATTTTGGCTGACCAGGATTATAAGAATTCTACGGGTCTCTTAGGGACAGCCAAATTTTCTTAGGGTCATTCAGGGTGCGCGTAGTCGTAATGTTGGGATTATGATAATTTTATAGACATCAAGAGGTCAATATAACTTAAAAACTTGAAATATATGCACACTTATTACAACGAACATAGTTTAAACCAGTATATGCGTTTTACAGCTTACTTTCAGCTTCTCCTTTGGACTTTACCTTAAAAATTCCGCGTAAGATTAAGATCAAACGAGCTCAAAGGCGAAAGAGTGATGATAGAATTGTCAACATAAGTATAAATCGTTTAATATACATTAAATCGTAATTTTTACATTGTTTTTGCTTGTATATCCTTGTTCCCGGGTCTACAGAACATCCAAATCACAGATCTTACGTTACGACTACGTGCACTTTGGTTGTCCCTAAGAAAAGCGAAAATTCTACTTGCTCTTTCCATTGACTATCTACTTTTCTCTCTTATTTTTCTTCTATTTCTCTTTTGATCTCTTTGCCTATTGTAGTTATATGTACAGTGAACCAATGTATCTCCTATTTAGCATGTGTCTCTTTGTACCCTTCTGTACATCCAGAACAGGGTTTGTGCGGTGTTTTTTTCATAAAATTTGAAAATATTCTTGCTTTTCAATGTATACTTGACTTGACAATTAGATATTGATATACACTATTTTTTTAAATTATTCGTGCAGAGCAAGGAGGAAATTCGTTCAAGTTCACAAAAAAAATTCGATCAAGAATAAAAGAAAAATTAGTTTGATAATAATTGAACGAAATAAACGAAAATAAAATATTTTTATAATCCATACAGTCATTACATGCATTTAAGATGTTGTATGTGGATCCAAATTACCTTTTGACTTAATAAACTAAACTAATAAACGCTCTTCTTCGCTATAATAACAAAACCCAAAATTTAAAAGGGTAGTTGTCATTCTTCAAAATTAGGGTGTAAAAGGCTCGTTTTATTAATTTTATCTTTTTATCTAATTTATATTGTATTTGAGTAAGACACAGTGTATCTGTTATCACCTACGAACACATGTACTCTTCAATTACTCTACCAGTGTAAGGGAACACACTACTGGTATTCGTTCTTAATGTTTTATGTACACTCCGGCCCGGACAAAAGTACCATATTACAAAGGAAAATCATTTAATGTTCAAAAAAAAAAAAAAAAAAAAAAGAGAGAGAGATATAGACGATCTTCTCCTTTTGATTAAACTTCTTTCTCTTTCAGCTTTTAATCCTCTCCGAATTTTTAGGTAATTTTTATATGCTATTTTAGAAGCAACCTTTCTTATACTGTTATTATACAGTGTATCATGGATGAGGCATCTCTCTCGACAAAAGACCGGATTATCACAGTAAAGTCGTCAATTACTGGCATCGGTTGTGTACTAAAATCACACTATTTAAGATACAAAATTGCATATAAAATCATTCCATCGATCCTTGATCGACAGGTACATAATATCATAACACTCATAAAAAATAATAGCATATAAAACATCCTGAGTTATACATTTACAACTCAGGGTTACTAGATATTCCAATAGAAGATCCCATTTCGAATAATAGATTGGCTACACTGATAAGGCTCATCAGTCATTAGTAAATACAGCTACTAATACCAAGTGAGCACAAACTAGCCCATAATTTTACCCACGCTTTAAATAACCATAAATACCCCCCCCCTTTCTTTCAGAGATGAAAGAGGGATTCACTTTTACTAAGAATAAAAAAGCCTACAAGCAATATTAATCTTATTCTTCCTGTTTTTTTATCTTTTATTTTTCCGTGTCAAACAAACCGTTTTTCACAGGTTGGAAGCAGTCGTCTTTGACAACATTACACAATTTTGTTAGTGTTGTTCATACTACTACAAAGCATGCATATTATTTTTCCAAGTATATATTCCTCAATGAATTGCAAGCAGACCCTCAATGTGACCTCAAAGAATATATCAACAAAGAATTTTTTGCTGAAGTATGGCTTTCTTTGGTAGACTATACAAAGGGAAATGCTCGTGCAGAAAAAGTTATAGAGTATCGCAATTATATTAGCCGCCATTTACCAAGCTATCTGAATATCACAAACTATCAAAGGTTCAGACTAAAGTATGCGCAGCAGTCTTCTCTGATTGAAAGAAAAAAATATATCAGTCGTATATCAATAACATCAGCATGAGATTTGGTCAACATCTTAGACAATCAATCAATGTTTTACTGAACGTCAAGCAAAGAATGGCGGAAATGAAGCAAGCTCTTCTAGAACAAGGTGTCGACCCCAAAATCATCGAAGGTCTTATTTTCCAAGATGTAACTCAGACCGCAAAAAATTTCAAAATGGCCATCAGCACACGTCCCACAAACATGTCTTTACTGCCACAAAATCCACAGGTAGAAATAAATGCATACAACGCGTTAAGACCTGTTTTGGATTCGTATGGTACATCGTATTCTTTCAAAAAACGCAGCATCTATTATGATGCGAAAGCGCAACCTGAAAATCACTTTATGGCATTTGTTCAACTAGCTCGTCTCTTCGAAACATTAGGTTTACCTCCTTTTCGTTGCTTTTCTCTCCGTCGTTCATGGTCTCCTGGTTATGTACAAATTGATAGTAAGATTCTTTGTCAAAACATTCTAGATATCAGATGGTCCAATAATATTGATAAGCTGAATTACTGGAAGCAAGTGGTTGATCTAAATGCGAAACATTTTAAAGCTCAAGAAGAGAACAAGCTCCTTCGGTTTCGCGGTACCATTCAGACAGACGGTGTTGGTGTAACAGTTCTTAAGAAAAGAATAGACAGGCAGTCATCTTATACCTCAACCATAAAAGAGGCAGATGAGAAGTTCAAGTATATCAGCGACTTAAGTGCTCAAGAACATAAAGCTGTGAATGGTCGGTGTGTTGCTATTGATCCCGGAAGAAGAGACCTTTTGTTTTGTGTCGATGAAAAATATACTGTAGAAACTCCTATTAAGTTTCGATATACTAAGCAGGACCAGGACAAAACCAGAAAATCCAAAAAGTATTATTGTAACATTCTACAAGCAATGAAGTCGAACAATCCTGCTGTTTTTCAAGCCGAGAATGCTCTTGCAGAAAACCAAAGCAGCTCACTGGAAATGGAGGGTTACCGTCGTTTTCTCGAACGTCTAGGTCAGAATTACGCTGTCCTCGACAATTTATATGGGTATACAACAACGTCTTCTCAAAACCCACAATTCATGCTACGGAAGTTGCGTTTAGCTGCGTATTTTAACAAACAACGTGTTGACATGCAACTTATAAATTTTTTAAAGCAAAAGTTCGGTAAGGATGCGATCTTTGTCCTGGGAAACTGGTCTGCCCCAAACGCACGTTATCATGAACCAATTCGAGGCATCGGATTGAGATGACTTCTTTTTACGAAATCATCTAAGTCTATTGCTCATCGACCAATTCAACACGAGCCGATGCTGTCCGTCTTGTCATAATTTGAGTCTAGAGAAATTTAAACAAATCGACAATCCTAGGCCCTACCAACGAAGTAACTATCCTTTAACCCTTTGCCATGGTCTTTTAAGGTAAACATATCTCCTTGGAACGTTTATATTTCTTTTAAACTTTTTGATGTAGATGCACCAATCAAACTTGTATGACCAAGATGCAAACCCAAGGATTCCAGTATAAGCTTTGGAACAGAGATTTAGCCGCCTGTTTGAACATGATTTCAATAATTCTAAATTTAAGAAACACTGGTCAAATCTCAGAACGATTTGCACGTGATGCCCACCCAAAAAAACGTCCTCGAATAGGTGAGTAATTACCCATGCCAGTTATCGTTGGTGTTACCCGTAATACACTTTTTGGTAAGGCTTTTTATTATTGCTTGCTAGATAACTAACTGTACTTGTTCTTATATTTTATTTTTGTTTATATTTCTCTACCTCTCAACTCTTTCCATGTAAGTACATTGCATTGTTTAACTTTGTAAAGAGAGCTCTAATTTTTTTATACCCATTTTTATTCCCATTCTCGAATGAACTTATATTTTATTTTTGAACGATTTTAAATTTCATTTTTGAACGATTTTTTCGCAACAGTGAACGAATAATTTCTGAATAAAGTGTATGATGAATGTTTAAAGATGTATTGCTAATATCCCTTTTATTTTCTCTTTCAAAAATTTTGTTAAAAGTTAGTCATATTATAATTGTTTGTTGTACACGTTGTATGTGTTCTAGATCCTAGACTGAAATATTCTAAGATATATACGGTTAAATTATTATTTGAGACCAAAACTTGATTTTTTTTCTAAATAGGAAAGAATTTTTATTTTTCAATAAAAAAAGATTGAAATAGGTGTTTAATCGGTGTTACTGCCAAGTTTCAGTAAAATAATAGAATAGAATACAGATAGAGTTTGAGATAAAAGTTCTTAAAAAGTGAGCACCAGACTATAAGTTGTAAGCTAAGAAAAGAAAATATAAAGATATAAAAGGGAAATGATACGACGAATCGGATATAATTTTCTTCGAAAGAGTGTAGTAAAATACAACTGGTAAGACCTGCTCAGTGCTGATTTATAAGAAGGGCTTTCGAACAATTATAGTTGTTTTATATATTTATAATGAAACCAGGTTTATGTGAATAAGACAAAATCAGATTATAGTGAAAGACAAACTAGATTTTATTAATTATTTATGAGGTCCTTTTATAATAAAAGGACCAAAAGGAAGTCAGACAAATAAAGGGATCTGAAGTCAAAAGGATCAACAGATGAAGAAAAGGTGGCGTAGCAATATGGCTGATAAGCCTTTCGATCAGGGATCGATGGAATGATTGTCGTACTTAAGTAATAAATTAATAATTGTTAATTCTGGTTGTTTTGTACAAAAATAATTTCCAAGACCGTGAAAGTGTCGGTCTTAATGTGAGCCTTAAATAGCTTTTTATTGAAAAAGTTATTTTTATTAAAATATTTTTTGACCATTTTAAGTAGCATAAACCGTAATTAAGTGACTTGGACATTTGTCGTGATCGTTCTTAGTTACAGTTTAATTATGAATAGAAGATAAAAGATGCTTTATAATATTTTAGGTTTGTGATTAATTTATATTATTGAAAGTAGTACAAAAGATAGTACGACACTTTAACACTACTATCCTAAACTACAGCCTGACAAAATGACCTGTCGAAGGAAAAAGGAGAGGCAACATGACAAAGAAATGGCCGTTACAAACATCACACATAATAAAAGCAAAAAAAAGAAAAATTAAACGCTCCCGGGTGGGCTTGAACCACCAACCTCCTGATTAACAGTCAGACGCGCTAGCCAATTGCGCCACGGAAGCTCATATATTTGATGCGTGCGCAGTTTGGTAATGATATCGCTTTCGTTCACTTTAAAAGGGGCTTGGTAATATTATTTTGGTTATTCTTCTTTGTTCCTTGGTTCTGGTTCCCTCATTTGTGGAATGGCGCGTTAATCTTGTCTGAGAAATGGAGATCTAGTTGGTACTGAGTTTGGCGGTGAGAAAAGAGTTTCTAAAAATACGTGATAAAGACCCGACAAATAATATTGCGGTGAAACTATTTTTGGTGTTCTAGAAGTTTTTCTGGTATTCTTTCTCCGAAGGTTCAGTTCGCGTCTTTTTGCTGCTTTTCTAAAATTGGCAGGTTGTTAATTATCTTAGTCGGTTACTCGTGAAATTCTCTTCTTTCTCAGTTACAATTATTTTTATTGTTATTTCGTCGCTCTCTCTCGTATCTCACTTATTTATTATTACCTTCCTGTTTTGTTTAGTTCTTTATTTTTCTTATTATTCATATTATTCCATCATAGTTTTCCCGTACCCTTATTTGATTTACTCTATTTTTGTATTGTTCTCATCATAGTTTTCCGTACCCTGTATTATTTTATTCCATTTTCGTATTAGTTATTTTTGTACCATAGTTGACAGCTGTCAAAACGTCTATATAGATTGTCTGATTTATAATAATAAACGTCATCGAATTCTTTCTTTCTGATAAACTTTACTTGTTTTTAAACACTTGTGATTTATCTTTACTTCTTTGCAGATTTCAAAGCTTATTAGTGCAAATCTATATCTTTTTGTCTGTATTCTTTAACAATTAGTCTTACAGTCTCCTTCTTGTTATTCTATACATTTGTTTATTCTTATTACTCTATACAAGGTAAACATAAAGACAATCAGATTCATTCATTGATTTAGTGACCGTTTAAAAGTATATAAACTAAAATTAGGTTATTATTTTAAATCACGTGATTAACACGTGGAGCCATTATGATTGGCGGAGAGAGTTTTAATTGTATTTTAGAGTCCGTGATTGTACGCATTTTCCTCAAATTTCAGGAACAAAGATATTTATTTACATACAAATTATAGTAAACCAGTTACAGCAAAAAATAATTGTACTAGCAACACACCAAGATGATATAAAACATAAATGTGTAGATGTAAAAAAGAAAACAAGGGCAACTTTAAGGATGAAATATAAAACACAAATAGATACAAGTTTTCTGCTAATTTTATTTCAGCTATTCAATAATGATACAATTTTTAATCTTTCTACCATCCTCTTACAGGAACCCATACATCAACGACTGTATCACCTCCATCCTCAATAAGATAGAATAAATGACAAGCCGCGGTTAAGCAACAGTGATTAGGAATAACGCGAATAAGTTTGCCGATTTGTAATTCGGGTCTAGATAAAGTGGATTCATCCAAATGTTGCAAGATACCGTGTTCCTGAGAAACTTTAGTTAGGGTTGCAATCACTTTTGGTTCCTTTCTTGTGGATCCAGTACACATCCGAAGCCACCTTGAGGAGCAGTATCTTTTGAAAATGCCAATGCGCCACCATCAATCAACAGACTGTCACGATCTTTGTATACACTTGCAATACGACATGCCACTGTGATTGCTACATCATTGTAATCACCTAATCCTGTCGAGACTTGTTGTCTACCAAAAATGAAAAACGCACCTGCATGCACTTCACTAATACATCCAAGATTTTTTTCATAGCGGTAGTCCCTCATGCATAAAAGCGGTGATTGCTTTGACAGTAGGTGTGGCGCCAATGGAAACCTGCTTAATTTCGATAGCGTGTTGAACAAAATAATCGCGAAATTGACGTGCCATGTCACATTCGTTGTCGAAGATATCAAGTGGCCTCTGTTGAAGTTTTCTGAAGAATAAGAGTGGCCAGCGTGAGTGTAGATTCCTGTAAAATCAACACAGGGTGATTTTTGAAGCCTCTTCGCTAACTCAATTGTTTCAGGATCGTTAATAGGGACACCTGCACGTCTTAAATACAGTTAGTTTTTTGATGTAAAATACATATGTATCAGTATATTTACCCATATCCACAATCAACCTTTAAAAACACGCTCATCTTATGAGAATCGTCGTTTTCACCATACTCTGTTGTGTAATATGCTTCCAATGCCTCCAAAGTCGATAAATTATCTATTGTCACGGTTAGCTAAACATGTACTGATTTGATAGGATTGTATTCTTACCAATGAAGATTTGAAAAACAGTAACCTTTTTGGAAAGTTCAAAGATCTCGCTGAATTTATCTGGAGTGATAGGAAAGCCAAGGAGCACCTGCAGTTACAAAATAAAAGGACCGTTAGCTACATAACCCCCAAAAAATAAAAAAAAAACTAGGAACTTACGTCTTGCAAAAGTTGAGAGTGAGTCAATTCAGAGTTAATCATTGCCTGAGCTTCTGCCATAGTAGACACGACAATGGCTTGAGTTTTAGCACCTTCGAGTTGGATGCGTGTTCCTTCGACGGACTAGAGATGCTCTGTCAGCATGTCAAATTGTAACTGGATGACGCTTTTCCTTTTTTGTTACCTTGTGAGTTTTTACATGAACTGATTTTAGTGTTCAACTCGGTTGTAACGGAAGAGAGTTTCTTTGAGTGTCTTTCTACAATTTTCTGTCGATAACAAGAGAGGGTGTACGAAGCTGGTCCAGTTTCTTTCCCACCATGTTTTTCACAAGTGTGGCTTTCCATTGGTCAGTATGACAGGCAAGTAATGGGGTTGTTGTTTGCGCTACCATTGTGTCAAGAGAATGAAGTATACAGAAACAGCAAAAAAATAAAATAAAATAAAAAAAAGACTTAAATTTTGCCGCTTTTTAAAATAAAAGGTACACAAATGAGTCATTTCGGATTTATTGGTGATAGTAAAAGCTTAGTTTATTGGGGGTTACTTCGTGATTGCAAGCTAAAGAAATAAAAGCAATCTCCTTTGTAATATTTGCTGTATTTTTGGTGGATTATCAATTTCTTCTTGTTGATTTGTTGATGTTGTTGAGTGTGGCTGATATAGCTGACTCAACACTTCGACTAGAGTTTAATTTTACGCATACCATGAAAATAATGATGGCCCTCGTTAATTCCCACGTTAGGCTGCTACTTACGTAATAGTGTGTGCGAAGTGTACATCTTTCAAATCGGGCATGTATATTAATGGTCAGCAAAAAAGGATCTAAACTTCCCGAATCTGTCGACGAGATGAAAAGCCTTGCTGAACGGGCTGGTTGTTGAAAGTCAGACAGTGAGTAAGATCCTTGTACTCTCTCTGATTGCGCTGCAGTAGTTTATTTATTAATGAAAAAAACTAGCTTACTTTATTACACCATACGAGATCATCCTTTTCTTTTGACGGATGAAATAATGAATAAACTACCAAGTTTGAAACTAGCCATCATATCTAAAGACTAAAGTACAAGTATTTTTGAAGCTTAGATGGCCGGTTATGGTGTAAAATAATAACGTGTTCCATGGAAAATCTTCATGTTAGTTCTTACGAATATATTTATGTTACGTATTGTTTCATTATCTTTTTCTTTATCGGGATTCGTTTGTCCAAGGTACTAAATGATACTCCTATAGGATAAGACAGATTACTACGACGTTTAGAGTTATTTTTTATCTCGAGGTTTCTAAAAGGTATCGGACTCCCAGTTATTTACAATTTTCGAATTTGATATACTATTTGACACAGTTGAATCGCAATTTTTACTTTTGTTAGATCCTTACGCATTATTTTCCCCAAATCAATTAACTAACAGACATTGTAATTTTTTAGGAAGAAATACTCTTGCAGTACGTTACATAAAGTTTTGTTTCTGCAATAGACATACATTCTTCTTCTTATAGCAGGCCGTGTACACAACCCGAACTTTTTTAAAATGATTTCATGCAAAAATATTTCACTTGTACAACATATATGTTTGAAAGACCGCAATCCATTTCTCGAGGCACTTCACGCCTCAATTGATCTAACGCGAGTAGTTACGTAAAGCCAATTACACGATGGTTCAGATTGCAAAGACGGTCAAATTACCTGTTCCATCAGTTTAAGCAATAATTAAGGGAATCGGAGAAAAGGGCACACCTCTCCCTAGGAAACATACTGATACAAAAAAAAAAAAAAAACTCAATGCTGGAGATTTGAGTTTTTTACATACCTTTACAAGACGTAAACCATATGCTCCTGCAGTACAATAGATGCAGAGACAAACCCCAAAGACATTCACATTCCGAAACCAACTTGATTCATTATTTAAAAGAAATTGGCTTTGGATCTTACTTCGCAACACACAGTGGCACGTTCAAAAAAAGAGACGGCATTGTAACTAAATGAAAAGAAGGCCATTTTGTTTTATAAAAAATAAATTAAGACAATCGATAGATTTTATTGATGTAATCTACTTATGATAGCGAAATAATTTTTACTTTTTACTTGATTGCGATTTTACAATCACACTTTGGTGGCTCTGTAAAAGCTGGCCTACATATTTACACGGTCACTAGCTTGACCAGGACAACGAATACCAGAGGTTCAACACTGAATCCATGCTTCACAAATAATTCATTTGTACCATGGTTGTGTGCCTGCACTTCTCCAATAAACCTGTCCACCGCTTTTTAATGTTCGCTTCATTTCCCTGATCTCATCATCCAATTCATGACAAGAGGTAGGATCAAACCAATCCATATGATCCATCACGACTAACCGTGTCAAATATCTATCCCCCATGGATTTTAGCGAGTCTAATATTGATTCTGTATGTAACCTAAATGAATCCAGTGCCCAGAGGTCTAAATAAAAAGTTTTTTCAGCGTCCTATTATTTGTGATGCGCTTATGCATTTTTTTTTTACCTTTAATTGATTAAACCCATATTCTGTAAGATATGAAGGGCAGCTAGTTGGAGTATAACGTTGGTTTAAGCAAAGATAATAAAAGTATTGATCTTGGTTAAACAGAGAAAGGCAAGGTATGGGATCCAAAGTATTTTCAATATACTCTTGGGTGTACACTCTTTCAGAAACATATTCATTTGATTGATTGGAACTATATATATACCATATTAGTTTAAAATATAAACCTCTTTTTCAGACTATCTTGTTATTACCGCCGAGCGCGTTCCACATAAACATTGGGTTATGAAGAATTTTTTGAATCATGGGCGAAAAATTGCAGGCCTTACTTTGGTGTCCCAAATATGTTTTTGAACTTTAATTGTTTGAAGCGGATGTCATTGTCTTGATGTCCTTTTCCAATCCTTGCATACGAATCCACCATTCGAGAATTGACAGTGCTAACCGGAGTAACCAGTCTTATAAAACTTGTGATTAAATCGATTACTGTTTTCACTCCAATACTGAAACGCATATGAACTCAAATGGGGTGATATGATGTCATGTAGCAACGTGGAAAAGTGAGGATGATTGCCGTCACCAAACATTCTCCAAAAATCTTTGTACTCTAATGATGCAATACTAGCAAGTTTTAGCTCCAGTAAATGATTCTATATAATGATGATTAAAAAAAAAGGGAGCAATGGTTTTTTTAAAATGAGTCTACCTGACAGGGATTCATATCAATGCAATGAATTCGTTGGGATGGGCTTTCAATGCATATTCTAAAGCGTTATCGCCGGCGGATGTGATGACAAACATAACATCTTGACTGGTAATGTTTAAATATTGGAGGTCAACACGTGGGTCTTCCCAAGTAAAAGCGTATATATAAGACCTAACTGCGTATGACAAGGCAATATTGGGTTATAGTCCACTCTCCATTGTTTGTTTTGATGTAAAAACGAAGTGCGAGAAACAATATTAAACGATTGTTTACTTGTAACACTATCGGTATCATCCGGAATTTCTACCAGATGAGAAAGCTCATTTTGACGCGCATTGGAACAACCTAACCAACATAGTATGGCATTTGAATCAAGTAAGGGATAATAAAATGATTACGACGGTTCAAAGATTTGATGGTACCAAACTTGTACTCGAGATAATCACGACGGCCGGGGCCTAAATGAATATGATCAAGCTCAAACCAGGCTTGCCAAAAGTGTCTTGTAAACAATTACATTGTCGATTTTGTTGTGGTGACCATTTTTCTGCTGGTGCGCTTGAACGGCCAGAGACATAAACATCAACAACACCGATGATACCTTCAGGAGATAACAGGGATTGTATACGATCCACAACAGGGTGATAGTCATCCATCATGGATACTTTTTTGAAGAAAAATAAAAAAGGTGAGTTTAGGTGCTTCTTTTTTGGTTTTGTATTACTTTACATGCATAAGAAACAGTAACTAATCCAACACGTCCTTCCAAAGAGCCTTCAGGTACTTGAAAAGTGGAAGCATCTTGACAGAGGACAGTGACATTTTTCCAACCCTTTTTTAAAAATCTTTCTTGAGCGACTTTACAAAGTGAAGGTGTTAAATCCACAAGAATAATCTTCTCAAATGAATCTACGGTAAAAACGCATGCATTGTTTCGATATTCCATCCGGTTCCACCACCAAGATCAATCCAAATCGGTTTCTTTTGCATAATACCCGTTGCCAGCTGTTCCTTGATTTGAGCGGCGCATAATTTAAGCATAGTTTGACGTCCTCTTAATAAGGAGCCACGGGAATTGTCATAGACTAAAAAAAAAGAAAGTTAGGGAGTCAAATAAAAAGGAGTGCATACGAACTTGATTATGTCTTTACTTTGTGCTTGGTCTTGGTAAATGATTCAAGACGACTTTGTTGATCATGGCCTCCGATCCGTTTAAAAAAGCAGGAATACATGAATTGAATGGGTGTCTGAATTTTATCCCAACTGGCTAACATAATGTCGTTATGGCTACACCAAAGTAAAGTAGACGTTGATACGAATCAAACGAGATACGCGCTTGCACCTGGACCATGTAGATACATAACAGAGAGACCGGAACAAGTCCAAGTTTTAGAGAGAATGGTAAATAAGTGTATCCTTTTCAAATTTCATTTACAACGGTTGACGTGTTTTTTCACCACACAGATAATTAATATAAAAGAGCTAAAACTAAATAAAAAGGAAGATTTGCTTCTCGTCTATTCTCCCGTGATTTTATATAAACCTTTTTTGTTTTTTTATAGCTTATCTAGGGCACTCAGGGAGATCTCACACTTATAGATCAACACATGTATTGGCCACCTTCCAATAGCCAAGTAAGTTACTAAAACGTTTGCATAATAATAATAAACAGCGTCTTTTTTGAATTGTAACGCCGCACATCTCTCACATGATCTAAACCTTCTTACATGAGTTGCATTGAATTCACTTTATTGGCTCAATTATAATATGTACTTAGTGTACAATATCAAATGAGCCAAAACTTTTTTATTATATGTGACAGATTTTTTTGATCAAAGTGGATCCAGTGATCAATTATAATTCTTTACGAGTCCATCACAGTGTCTTTGTAGTACATTGTAATTTTTTTGATCTTTTTGGTAGATGACACCCCTTTAACATACTATCTTCCCCAATCAAAAGTTCCAGATAAACCATAAGTAGAATATCCTATTGGTTAAATAGACTCATCCGGTTGTGTCTGCAGTGTTCATACCTCAAATTCAGACAATATCAGTTTTTTTTTTTTTTCAGACGAATCAAATTCATTCAGATTTAAAGGAAATTTGTGTTTTTTTACCTGTGGGTATCTTTATGCCTTCACCAGCGAGAGCATGGCAGCCGCATTTGAGGTGGCGCTTTGTATTGTAAAGACATTGGGTCGTCCATCGCCTCTCCAAATTGAAGCTGCAATGGTGTACATGTTTTTCGTGGTCATAAGGCCACGATTCCAACGAGTGTTGCATTTTTTGCAGAAGAGTATCTGCTGGATTGATCGCTTGTCCACTCCAGTTTCATGCTTCAAGCTATCTGAGCTATTTTCTGGACAGTTATTGCAGTTATAAGAAAGAAATGATATTTCATCAGTAATTATACAATATAGACATTTATATGTTTCACCGTGGATGTTTTATACTCATTTATGTCAAGCAGCAACAATCTACAAGTTTTTCCTGCAGCTTTAACTGTCTGTATATCATTTCAAAGACGCCATGCCTATGCTCTCTGATCTATACGTGAGTCTTATTCTTTTTTTGTCACCTCTTTTGTGGTTTTTTATTTTTAAAAAAAATAGAAGAAAATATAAGTAATACCAGGATGCGTTCTTTCCTCGTCTTGAGCTGACTTGAGGGGTGTTGCTTTGATACTTTGCAGCTGTCTTCTTTTTCTCTTTTTGTTTTTTCTTGTTTTCTTCTGTCGTCCCTCCTTGTATTTGTTTGATCCGTTAATTAGGATATTGACAGCATTCGGGAGGGCACGCTGCTTCCCAATATCTGTTTTTTTCAAATAAGCATATAAACGGTATCAGAGTACATATATCATATAGTTTTACGTAAGCAATATCTATTGATTAATTAATTAATTAATGGCCGTTCAATATACATATTGCTTTCAAATAGTCTAAACTTCAAAATATATGTCAAATACTTCTCTTAAGAAGAAAAAGCGTCCATCCAGTTCTAAAAGTAAGCATAGATCCAGCGATATCACTTCTTCACAATCAATACCAACAATCATTCTGTCGACTACCGGGTTTTAAAACATGGATTCCATATAATCGACATGATCAAAATTAACAATTTTCATGGAATGCAAAAGGCTTCATATGTCGTTTCCGTGATGTCATGTATGTATGTGACCAAGAAGATAAAGATTTGGTTGAAAGTTATCTTAAAAATGTTGGTATAGACTGGAAGACACGGAAGTTAGTAAACCCTGATTAGATATTTGAAAGTGTAAGAAGATCTATACACCCAGCCGAAGGATTATATCCCATCTTAAAATTCATTTTTGAAAGTTATGGTCCTCTCAGGTGTGAACATTTCGGCCTTAAGCTCTTTAATTACACAGCTGTTGCACGTTTTGGATTTGGTGAAGCAAGGGCATATCTCAGACGTTGTTCATGGGCCCCCATTATATACTGAAAAAGGCTTGGTCAAAAGCAATCTTATGACATATAAATGCTCTAGAGAAACAAGCTCAATTGAAGGAGCATGTTATATGAACATTGTTTAAAGATTCACTTCTTAAAACGGATCAGTCAGATTAACTGACTCAATTTAGCCAATTACCGGCCATACCATAACCTTAATAAAGTAATAAATGATTTAACCAAAACTCTATAAACTAAAAAATATAAATTACCATAGGCTGGGCCAATCAACAAATCGGTAAAAAGCATCAAGATCATTATAGTCCTTGGCTTGTACTGGTCATTAATTTATTAGTAGCTAAAGTAAGTCACGATACCGTCATGAATTATGCCTGTGAACGTTATGGGAGTTAATTGGATTTTAAACAGAATAGTGAAACATTTGGTGTCGATATACCCAGACAGTGCGTTACCTTTTTGCATATTGTAGCAGAAGATAAGTGAGATAATAATAATGCAGATAGGCGTAGAATAAAACCATTTTGAGAAGTTGTTAACCTAAGCGTTCCCAAAATGGTAAGATAGCACATGCTAGTATAGTTCAAAGTTTTAGATATACTGATTCGAAGTGATTATAAATTTTGACTTGTTAGATTGGTAGACATGTTTAGAAGTGTATTTTATTTTTGTCGAATTCGAGAGCCGAAGGAGGAAGGGGAGGGGAGGGGGAATTTTCTATGTAGTAATATTATTTTCATCGAGGCTTTTCAAGATTTGCAAGTGCTCGTTTTCTAAAACTTCTTCCGTGAGACCGCGAGCTCTTCTCCATTCTAAAAAGTCGTCATAATTCTTGACGGACCCTTTGCTGTCTTTAATAATTTTTTTAAAGACCAGTAACGAATTATGGAATCTGCGCTTGTGATTCGAGAACCAATAGGTGATGTTACGAGGTTTCAAACCGGTTTCCTTTTGGACTTGACGACGTTGGTCTTTGGTCAATTTATCTCTACTGCTGTAGATATCGAAAAAAATTGATTTTAGGTAGTGGGTTGTCTGTGCATCATAGGATGTAGCTGTACGACGTGTAAATTGTCTTTCAATCCCAAGTTGCTTCGTGACCACATTTGTTCGTTTACCCCCACGGCTCTTTCTGGTGATAGAAGCTCGTTTCTGTCGAGATTTCTTGCTTTCTTTCCAATCTTCATCCTCTGCAGCATCAGATACAATATAATCTTCGTCGTCTTCGATATTGACATCTTCCTCCATTTCAAAATCAGAAGTGTTAAATTCGCTCAGAGTATTCAGAGGTGAATTGGGGTGATAGGGTGACATGCTTGAGTCACGTACAGTATTGCAAGGTGTGCCGACTGTTCCATCTACCGAAGGAGTTTCTTGAGGGATACATGTAGGGGAAGCAGGCAACGAAAAGAAAGGATTCAACATATTATTATTATTCGCACTTAAAGACGGAGTCACGGGTAAAGAAGTTGTTTGATGATGAATCCAATCAGGTTGAATATGCGTAAACAAAGTGAAATCCTGTTGGCCACTTGGAGCTGATATAAGGTTATTTGCAGCAGTCGTACTAGAGTTGTTATATGGCATCAAGTTATACGTATCCATGACAGAGTCAGAAATTTCATTCATCGTCACTTGATCGGGGTTCACCAGGTTGACTGAGTCTCTCGTGATAACAGGGATTTTTTCCGACTGGTTGGATAGGAAAGAGACATTACGTTTGATTTCCAGAGCAGCCTTAATTAAAGGCTCAATAGCTTCGGTGGGGTTTTGACCGAAGGAGACACGACCATTTTCTATAATTTGGAACACTTGATGCATGATTTCAATACGATCTTTGAGTCGGCGTAAAGCAGAAAACATACGACGCGGCGAGGCTTCTACGTTTGCTGGTACAGTATTGCTTGATTTTGCGATAGTAACCATCATGTAATGAATTTGCAAAGCTGTGGACTCAAGCCAAGATTGAACATAGGGTCTGTTTTCTGGATCTCTTGCGAGTACGGTATTTTTTGAAATTCAAACCAAATGTTGGAAAAGATAACAAAGTCACCATGATCAACAAATGATGGGAGGTCGGGAAACTGAAAAAGCAAATCATTAAGCGATGGCAAGTGAGTATTCTCTAGCTCGGGTTGATTCAATTCTTCAATTAGTAAAGGGTCAATGCTTGTTTGACTAAATGTAGTATTGAGATCTTCACAAGAATACTGTAGGTCAGAGTCATCGGGTGAGGAGAAGGGTGACAAGGTGACCGAAGCTGGTTGACAAGCAACGTCTTTTAGACTGGCAGGTGATACCTTGTTATTAAACAGGTCATTTTCATATACTTGGTCTTGTTGATACATTTTTTTTATACGTAAAAAAGATGGACAAGCTGAAAAAAAATAAAAAGGAGAGAAAACTATTGTTTTTTTATAAGAAAATAAAATGTTTAGTATAAATAATAAAAAGGGTCGGACGATTTTCATCATCGTTCAAAGAGAAACCACACCATATAATATATGGTCTGGGACAATTAAGAAGAAATCCTAATTTAAAAAAAAAGTGTAATAAGAGAAACATGTATTTTACCTGTTGTAAATAGATTATTTGACTAGTGTTTATATAAGGAAAAGCAATGATAGATGTAGATGGTGACAAAAGTGGAAATAAAGATGGCGTTAAGTTGATATTAATGCAGCAGGGATATCAAATTTTTCCTAATTCTTATATACATATGTATATACCATATTAGGCGAACAAAAGAGATAAAGAAACAAACACAAAGAGACCCTTTCTTTCACACTTTTCATGAGTGAATTAGGTAAGTGAAACGCCCTGGAATTTTATTGTCCTTTTACAGTCTAATGCGCTTTGTTTTGGTCAGGATCTACCTTGATGGAGAAAATCTAGCTGTACGTATGGTTTAAAAATATCTAATTTTATTTAAATTATTTGTTTGTTTTTTGTATGTATAAATATATACATATACACTTGGATGGCCGAGAACTTAGACATCTTCACTTCTCACGGGTATAAACTTTCCACGACCCTTGTTACGAATCCAATTGGAAATGAGCGAATTTGGGAATTTGATACAGGCAATAATACCGCCTACTATCAAAATAACGATAAATAATCCAACATATGTATTGTTCTGGTTGATTGTGGATTGTTCATAGTCCTCCATATCTTCTTCCAAGGGTAGCTGTGATGGTTTAACAGGTACTGACTTTTTAATATCATAGAGCTTAGCGACTTGTTCAATAACTCCCTTATTAGGTGGTACAGCATATTTTTTTGAACGGAATCTAGACTTTACATTTTGTAATTGTTTCACGATCGAGCTTGTTAATTCTGCTTTTGGCATGTAGGACTCTGCTTCAAGAATACTTGTAGCAATCTGTTTGTGAAAGGCTGATATAGAATTTTAGCAAGACTATTAATAACTCTCTTCTATTCCGTGTTGTGTTTACCTGTTGTAAAATGGGTCTTGTCCCACCAGAGATAATCCTTGGGTTTACAAGAATCTCCGTCACACTCATCAAGGTAAGCATTGGATACACTTGTAAAGTTAAAAAAGACTGGATCGACATTGATATCGTTAACTAATGAATGAATATCAACGTAATCCATTTCTAATGCGTGATGGTGTTTATTCATATTCGCTACATCTTTCTCCAAACCGCGGTTGATATCCACTGCTGCTTGTGTTCGATTGATTGCTACCACTGTATCTTGATAATATGGCATATGTCCAAGTGGTGCGATATTTAATACGATATAGCGATTGGATAAGAAAGCTTTGCGTGCCATTCTCTAATCACACAACAATTAGAGGGCCAATTCTATATATATACATATATATATATATATATTTAGTTACCAGTTGTTGTCCAATGCATTCCAATATCTCCTTATAATCAGGTTCCTGACGTCCTATGAATTCAAAAAATTAGATTATATAGAGATAAAAGGTATTGTGGTTGATTACCATGACGTTTTGACATTTCAAAAATATCTTGTACACCAAACCAAAAGGCATAAACGGTTTCCTCTGGCTTTAAATTTAAATTTAAGTTGTAATATGCTTCCATTTGATCTTTTAAGCTGGGTGTTTTATCTTCAATTGATTTAAACATTGCATTGTCACACACAGATCCACTGTAAGCGAAACTGTATAAGGATGCATTCCATCCTGCTGCTAAATATTCGCTCCATAATGATCCATCAGACCACCTTTGACTATTTCCAACGTCTATCATACTCATTGATTAAGATCTGCAAACAATAAAAAAAAAAGGGACACGGTGTATACCTGAATTGGAATCACCAAACACTACCAGGTTCTTAACTGTTGCAGCTAGACTAATGACAGGCAGTTGAAGAGCGATGAACGAGATTAGATTGAACTTCATGTTAAAATGATGAACAAGGGAAGGTGGTCCCCCTTTAATTATTTTTTAATACCAAACCAAATCAAGCCGACAAGAGGTACACGTGATTTGACTTTTGAAGGCAGCGAGCGATCAATTTATTGTCAGTCACTGGGATCATTTCATTCGCTTCTGATGGTTCCATTAAATAATAATAATAAAAAAAAATTGTTTGCCTATTTTCCCAATATGATACAAGACTGAGTATTCTTCCCTCTTTACTTCTCTTTCAGAATCATAAACATGTCGAGGTCCATTCATGACGACTTGTTTCCTAGCCATGTTCCTGAACCACAGTTTGATAATACAAGCAGCAAAATAACCTCAGCTCGTCGACATTCGGCTTCAGCATCCTTAAACACAAAAGAGGCAACAGACATTACTTCGTCATGGAGAATGAAGGCTCTAGTTTTATTGTGCATGCTATCATTACCTGGTTCGTTATAAAAAATTGACTTGATCCGTTAAATAACTTATATTAATTTCTATACGTCTATAGTGGGTTGTCATTATCTCGAAGCAACTATGGGAACATTAAAAACTACCCTAAAAGCTGTAAGTCGTTTGTGTGACAAAAAATAATCTGGCGGAGAAACTGATCCCTTCTTGCCGTTTTGCCCTCTTTTTTATTTAAAAATAGTCAATGTCCATCAATAATACACAGTTCAGTATTCTTCTATCTTCAGTAACTCTAGTAAATACAGTGCTACCATTAATTGCAGGCATCTTTATTGATGATATTTCTAGTATTGGGTCAATACGCGCAACTGCCGGAGTAAGTCTCGTTATATTCATTGGTAGTCTGCTAGTGTCAATCGGTGGCCACATTAACAGTTATCCATGCATGATGACAGGACAGATTGTATATGGCCTTGGAGGTGGTATGATTGTCACAATGCAGGAAGGTATCTTATCGCGCTGGTTTCGTGATAAAGAATTAGCCATTATCATTGGCATCATTTTGTGTGCTGCAAGATTGACAAAATGGGCTGCCAAGATGGTAGCCTACCCTATAGTAAATGCTACTGGCTCGCATGCTTTCCCAATTCATGTCGCGACAATTTTTTGTGGCGGTGGTCTTCTCATCAATCTATTATACTGGGTCGTAATGTGGCACAAAGGCCTATGTTCTGTTTCTGGAAAGGAGATCACTCAATATCGAGGCACATACAAAAACGAGTTTAAACAATTAGATAAACCAAAAGAAGTACATCAACGAGATGATAATTCTTCATACGAATCTTCCTTCATCTCTTCCTTCCGTCAACAACAACAAAGCAGGAACTTCAAATGGACTTACCCAATCTTGTTCTATATCCCGAAAATGTTCTGGATGATCCCACTGATTCAATTAACCATGTCTAGTGTACTGAGTAGTTTTGATGATGTCGCAACGTAAATTTATACATTTCAAAATCACATGAATGCACATGTATTAATATTTAACTTGTTATTCAATAGTGAATATGTCGAATTCAGATATAAAACAACAAGTGTTATGGCTGGTGTAAGTTACAAATCAGAAGTGAACCACTATGATTATATCTAATTTTTTTTTTTTTTTTTTTAGTATCAAAGTAGTCTTACGCAGGTTGTTCCTATTGTTATGGCACCAATAATGGGTATTGTAGCTCACAAGTATGGCAAAAGAATCACAACTTGTAAGTGTATTGTTTATTTTTTATTATTTTCATGATTCTAAACTCCTACAATCAGTGTTTTCTGCAACCTTAATTTTAATGACATCCATGATCTTACTGGCTTATACCTGGGTTACACCTGCCATTGGCATGATTATTTTTTCATTTGCACTTGCACTGGGTCCAGTTTCGGTGCTTAGTTCTACATCATTATTATTACCTCATGAACTTGCTGGTACAGGCATGGGGTTACATAAATGTTTCAACAATATTGGTACAACTATCGTATCTGTTCTCGTCGGTTATGTACAAGATTTAACCTTTCATGACGGTGATCCACACGATGATCTATCCGACTTGCAAACAGAATATAATGGTGTCATGATTCTCTACCTTTCAATCGCTACATTCTCCATCATTATTGTGATGGTCTTTTGGTTAATGGATCGTGTTTTATTGTCAGGCTGGCTTCAAGCAGATAAAAATGAACGCCAACGTAGATTAGATTTGGTACAGACAAAAGAAGAAGACGAAAAGACACTTTATCTGCACGCTGAAAAAGATGAACTGGAAAAAATTAACAAGGAAAAAATGAACGCCCTCAAGATGATTGGATCGCGATTAACAGAAAAAAAATCATATACCTATGTTTCAATCTCTCTCTTTTGGCTAATTCTTTCTTGGATTGTTTTCTTTGCGTTTGCTCTCATGCCTGTTTATAAAAAATACATGTGACCACAAATAAAATTTATCGCGTCATCCAATATAAAGTTTACTTTTTTCTTCATTCATCTTCTTCGATTATAAATCAATTTTTTGGAAGCCAGCAAATGATTTATAATCAACGCTTACTATTTTACTACACGAAAAGTATAAATAAACAAGTTCAAACTTGGGCTTGTTTACCTTTATAACTTTTTGTATACAAAACCAATGTCTTCTCTCAGCAATATCAAGCTCCACTATTTCACCGTTGTCAAAGGAAGTCGTAAGTACCCCCGTGACATGATAATACTATCGCGTCTTATGATTGCATCATATTAACAATTTGTTTTTTCTATAAGCTGTTAAGGGTCGCGGAGAACACGTCCGTTTGTTACTCGAAGATGCCGGCGTTGATTTCGAATACGTAAGACATACCGGTGAGGAATGGGGTGCATTAAAGCAAAAGTTACTCTCCGAAAAGATTCGTGCACCTACTATGCCCTTTATCACCATCGATGGTAAATACTATGGCAAGACCTTTCCTACCATGAGATATCTTTCGAAGAAACTCAACAAGTATGAAGGATCCAACGATGACGAGACACAACTCTTGGACGTGTATACGGATATTGTGGGTGATTGGACCCTCAAGTGGAGCGCTTCCAGTTTCGGTGCTTTTACTGAAGAGGCTAGCAAGAATTACAAGGAAAATATTAGACCCCAATTCCACAACACATTCAACGATATCCTTTCGGACACAAAGGGTCCTTTCCTCTTGGGTGAAAACATTTCTTATGCCGATTTTGCTTTGTATCATATACTTGAGGATGATATTGAGGGTGAGGTGAATGTTAAGACCCTTCCTTATCTTTCAGCCTTCTTTGAAGCTGTTCAAAACAGACCCAATTTAAAAACCTACTTGGCCACCGATAGAAAGTAGACGAAATATACCTCTTCCTTTTTTTAAATGCTAAATAAATCATACTGGCTGCAAACTAGTACTCTTTTTTTTTCGCAACTTATATTGTCCTTTTCATATTTTCTAACATCTACATATGTTAGAGTATCACTATGCTGTATACATCGTAATATAGTGAGAAACAAACCACTTCTTCAAAACTACTGACAACACAACGGTCAGCTCAGTCACCACCCCATGCTAACAGTCAAAGCCCTTGTACCACGTAGTATTTCTTCCTTTCCAAGCACCATCGTTAAGCAATTTTTTAAAAGCTAATCAAAATGTATCGTACATTGTATCAACTGAAGACAAGATATATGAAAACAGGTGTGTATTTGGTGAAGCCCGATGGATATAATAACTCTACCTATTTTAGTCTCGCCAAATTCATTGTTATTTTTCTAGCAAAAGTCACGATCAAAGCCGCTATCCCAAATTTGATTTACCGTAAAATATAAGCTCAAACTAGCACGTCAAGTTTGGTTCTCTATATATAGCCTTACACTGCTTCGTCAATACAGTATTCTGTTTTATTTTTTTATTGGCGAGGCTTAATGACTGGACTTAGGGGTGTCGTCGCCTAGGAGAAGATCCGGGAGAGGATTCTGTCTATAACGCTTTCACTCACATTTTTGGCGCTTTTACTTAGCAGGGTCTAAATATATAGTTAAGATGGTTTAGCATAAATAACAAAAAGAAAAAACAACCAAAGTAAACATAATACAAGTTACTACATTTTAAAAAAAATTGTCTGCATTTATGCCTCATTGAGTTAGTGCTTGATTTAAGGTATGCAAATGCTCCTTTGTTCTTATCTAGGAAAGGATCAAGAAAGCTAAAGGTATAAATACTCCCGAAAAGAAAGACGGCCACTTTATTAAATCAAAAATGACTGATCTCAAGAATATCAAGCTTCACTATTTATTTTTTGAAAACAATAGTAAGTAATAGTGGCGCGTTATTCAAGTGAATGTTGCTCCATATTAACATTTTATTTTTCTTAAAAAGACAGCCTCGGTCGCGGTGAATTTATCCGCTTATTGCTCCAAGATGCTGGTGTTAATTAATTATGAATATGTGAGACACACTATTGATGAATGGAAAAGCCACAAGCAAACACTACTTGCTCAAAATATTTGTAACCCTACCCTGCCCTATATGACCATCGATGGCAAATACTACGGAAAGACTGCATCTATTTTAAGATTCCTTTCCCATAAGCTTAACAAATATGAAGGTTCCAACGACGACGAGGTGCAGCTTTTAGATGCTTACACGGATAGTATTATGGATTGGTCAACCCGGTGGATGGACTCAAACTTTGATTTCTTTAATGAGAAAATGATCAAGAAATACAACGAGGAAATGAGTCCCCAATTTCACAAGACATTCGATACTGCCCTTTCTAATACCCCAGGTCCTTTCCTGCTGGGCGAAGCTATCACCTATCCTGATTTTGCACTTTATCATATCATGGAAGATGACACACACGTTAAATTTGATGTAAAGGCTCTCCCTAATCTTGCTACTTTTGTTGAAGCTATCCGGAACAGACCCAATTTGAAGACCTATCTTGCCACTGATCGATTGTAAAACCACCACATTTATTTGTTTTTTTTTTTTTTTTTTTTTTTTTTTTAGAATTTCCCGTTTCAGTTTTATTTGTTTTATCAACTAGTAGACTTATAATAAATATAGTCATAGACATAGAACTGAAAGCAGAAACTCATTGAGGATTAAATGTTACGCTGTCGTAATAATTACGTATTTCTGTTTGCCAAAAATCATTAAAAAACTTCTGTTATGTCACGCTACATAATCATCCGTTTGAAAATACAATGTATATTCAAGCGGAAAAAACTAGTATACCGTCTATACTCATAAACATGAATGATTGATTTTTTTTATGATGCTACGCTAACAATGGCTACAAACATATTCCATATGATGGAACGAAGGTTGCTATTTGCCGACAGAAAAGAAAAAAATGAGTGGACGAGGTTTTAACCTTAAAAATTTTAGTTAATTAATAATTATGCTCAGACCTGTGATGGTCGAGATTTAGAAAGTATAAAAATTTCCAGAGGGTTACGAATGTTGGACTGAGAAACTTCTCCGAACTCAATGTACGCAAATATGTGTATAGTTGGGGCTATCTTGTGCCAAGGAGCGCAGGGTCTTTGTAAACCAATAGATATATAAGGAATCACTTTTGGGTCAATTAGCTAAAATGCTAAATGCTGGGTATATCATTTGGAATTGATTTTATTCACACAGCTAACCTCTTGGCATTTCAAAGAGGCATTTTAATCTTGCCTCTTTTCAAGGTTTAGACAAACCGGATTTTTTATTTCGGGCAAGTACTTGAAGTAAGCTTTTTCGTTTTAATGTGGTATCAAAGTAATATAAGAGATCAACCTATTCGAAGAATTACCGATGTGCTACACCATTGAGGGGTCAATAAGCTTGCTCATTACAGGTGCATATTTTTCGTGTAACTTCATTGGTAAATTAGATGCAATAAGTAAATCCACACGCCCACCAATTACGGCTAACGCGCAGTGTTAAAACACAGTTACGTGGCTTTCTATTTATAACTGATGGAATGCGCAGCCTGATAGTCTAACAAACTTCCAGAATATACATGCTTCCATTTAAAATCAAAATAGTTTCATAAACTGTCCGTAGAGTCTGATACTTGAACAATTTAAATATATAATTTTATATATATACTACAACATCTAATTGTTTAAATGAATTATTGGCTTGATCTTTATTACAAAAAGAAAAAGAAACGAACACGACTGTGCTTAATGTTCTCACATTTGTGCCCGAACCAATGTCCCTTTTTAGGCTAGTGCATGGATCATCCATGCAGACATTCTTTATTCTTCTCTGTGCCCCACAAAAAAAAAAAAAAAGAATTAGTAATCAAGCCCTAGTTTAGGACCCAGAGATTAATTTATAAGCAAAACCTGCAACAAACAAGGGGAAGACAAAAGTATAAATATAAGGCAGGAAGGGCTCCATTAAATTCATAAAACCAACAATGACCGATCTCAAAAATATCAAACTCCACTATTTCACCATCGAAAACAGTAGTAAGTAATAATGGCATGATATTATGTCATGGTTTTGCGTCATATTCACAATCTTCTGTTTAAAAGACACCATCGGTCGCGGTGAATATGTTCGCTTATTGCTCGAAGACGCTGGTGTTGAATATGAGTATGTAAGACACACTTTTGCTGAATGGAAGGACCACAAACAAAAATTACTCGATGAAAAGATTCGTGATCCTACCATGCCTTATGTCACTATTGATGGCAAATATTACTCAAAGACCGTACCTCTTATGAGATTTTTTTCCAATAAGCTCAACAAATATGAGGGCTCCAATGCTGATGAAGTTCAACTTTTGGATGCTTACGCAGATATGATTATGGATTGGTCAACAAAATGGGCATGTACCGTCTTTGGCAGCTTCACTGAGGATTTCGGCAAGAAATACAAGGAAGAGACTGGTCCTACTTATTATAAGTCTTTCAACGATATCCTTTCTGATACCAAAGGTCCTTTCTTGTTAGGCGAGACGATTACATACCCCGATTTCGCTCTTTATCATGTCATGGAAGATGATTCTAACGTTACATTTGATGCAAAGGCTTATCCTCATCTCAATGCTTTTGTGGATGCCATCCGAAACAGACCCAACTTGAAAACTTTTTTTGCCACTGACAGAGCCTAAATTCGAGTGTTTAATGTATTGTCTTGGATCTAATAAACAATTTTTTTAAAAATGTACTTTTAAATGTTGTGTCACATAGACTTTTCAACGGGTTGACGCCACTGTTCAATAAGCCACAGCTACTGATATTGGGAGTGTGCAGACTGAGTGTTTATCATTATGCCGGTTCAAGATCAATACCAGCTGACCGCATCGAAACATACACAACTTACATTTACAGCTTAGAGTATCGTGTATTCAATAACCACTCATTGTACTTAACGGCATTAAACTTGCCATTCAGCGAATCTTATTTACGTTTGATATATTTTAGCGGCTACATGTCTTCCATTTTTATACGTAACCGTCTTCAGCAAATTGTTGTTCAGATTTGAAACCCATCTTTTTTTTTCTGACAGCCATTTCTTCTGCCGACCCTATGGTAACACCGTTCTTTGTTTCCTGTTTTAAACAGCAATTTGGCTATTTGAAAATTGAACGACAATTAAGAACCAATGTTTAGAATTTATCAGGAAGTGTCAAGATACTTATATTTTTGTTTAGTATGAAAATTTATATAAATACTCAAAACATGACACATAATTCTTTTCAATATCATCAAGTACCTGACAATGTCTACTCTCAATAACCTTAAACTCCATTATTTCACTCTTGATGGCAATAGTAGGTCTAGCCTTTCAAAAAAAAGATCTACTTACGACGCTGATGCCTTTTTATAAATTTATTAGCTACCATTGGCCGCGGTGAATTTATTCGCCTATTGCTTGTAGACGCTGGCGTTGACTTTGAATATGTAAGACACACTTTTGACTCTTGGCCAGATCACAAGCAAAAGCTGCTTGCTGATAAGATTCGCGATCCCACTTTACCTTATATTACTGTAGATGGTAAGTTCTATAACAAGACTGCTGCTGTCTTGAGATTCTTGTCCAACAAGCTTGGAAAATATAACGGCTCAAACGAAGATGAGGTACAATTTTTGGATGCTTATATGGATCTGGTTATGGACTGGACCACCAAATGGACCTGTGTTCTTTTCAATCGTTTCAGTGAGGCTGAAGTCGCCGCTTACAAGAAGGCGCATCCTCAGTTTTATAGGACTTTCAATGAGATTCTCGCCGACAGCACGGGTGGACCTTTTCTTTTAGGTGAATCTATTTCCTATGCTGATTTTGCCCTTTTTCATATTCTTGAGGATGATTGCAATCTCAATTTTGATACCAAGGCTTTTCCTTACATTGCTACCTTTGTTAAAGCCGTTCAGGACAGACCTAATTTAAAGGCTTATTTTGCTTCTGATCGAAAGTAAAAAAAAAAAACTCTTATTATGCGATCTTTCCGGGCGCCATTTCAATATATTTTGGTGGTACAAGTCCAATTACCAGATCGCCCTGGTTCTATTTTGTTCTAGTCCATAAATGAATAAAAAAAATTATTTAAAGTAAACGTGTTGCCCTTATAAATATGGTAAAAACGATAAGCCGCTTTCTGGAGCGACTTTTCATGCATCAGTCGATCAAGTAAGGGAAGTTGACATATTAAAAAGGCGGAGACTCCATACATTACAGTAACAAGTCACGAACGATGGATTCCACCAATCAAGCCATGGTAACTAGGCTTGATTATCGGGATGTTTGTTTAAGTAGTACAAATCTTTATAAGCTAAAAATAACAAAAATTTCTTTTGTTCTTATTTTTTCCCTTCTTACTTATTTCAAAAAAAGAAAAAGAAAAGAATGTCAAGCCCATTGCCGGTGAATGCAAAAAGAGATTCCCGAAAAGACGGGGAGAACGCGTACTCTCAAATAAACGAAAATGTACTCGCTGGTTCTTTTGATCGTTCCGAATCAACAGCAAGGTTAGGTACTTCTCCCATGCCACCCAGCTTCAATTTTGGTACTTCACCTGCTAGAAGTACACATTCCCATCTGACATATGGAAGCACCACCCATCATGGTGATTTCCTCTCTGCCAATAGACCTCATTCTGCTTACGGTGATAACTTGTCGGTCGATATGCCCGATGAAGAAGTAGCTAGAGCCGTCAAACGTCATTTAGTAGCTACATCACCATCCCACTCACGACTCAGTCGCCATAGTCGCCACACAGATTCCGATGTGGATGATGGTGAGGATGATGAAATCACAAGCATTCATCAATTGCCAGGTGGTGCTATCACACACGATATCTATAAATGGTCAGAAGCTAATGAACAGGATAAAAGAGCTCGTATGAAGAGATCACAGTCTGTTTTCGTTCCTCGTAACGAACCAACCGACCCCTCTCTCGTTAACCTGAAGGATCCTGGAGGATTCAGACGTCATTATGTCATTGATCGTGCTGCTAAAAAGGGTAAAAAACCTCCTTCTTGGATCACACACACTTTTGTCGAGTTCTTGGCTTTGTATGGTCATTTCGGTGGTGAAGATTTAAGCGATGATGAAGGCGAGGAGAGTGAGGATGAAGAAGACAGAAGACAACGTATCTATGATATTGTAGGTGATGTTGAGGATGCTGATGAACGTACCCAACTGTTACTTCAAGCAGAAGCAAACTCAGTAGAGGGAACTGCTACTCCGTCAAAAGCAGTGTTCTTATTACTCAAATCGTTTATTGGAACAGGTATTTATCCTTATTAAGCACAGCATCGGTACCTTATTAATCCCCTTGTTTTTTTTCTCATAGGTGTCATGTTTTTACCAAAGGCGTAAGTTGAGGGATTTACCGTGTGAGAAAAAAAAAAAAAGGAAAACTAAATTCGGCTTTTTTGTTTTTGTTTTTATTATTAGCTTCAACAATGGCGGTGCATTATTTTCTACAGTTTTCTTATCCTTTATTGCAGCTGTTTCACTTTATAGTTTCTTATTATTGATTGAAACACGTAACAAGGTACCTGCATCATTTGGTGACATTGGAGGTGTCTTATTTGGCAGATCAATGAGAATGTTGGTGCTAGTAGCCATTACTACTTCTCAGGTAACACAATGACATCATTTATGCCATCATCAATTTACTAAATTTGGAAAAAAAAAATTACAGATTGGTTTTGTGTGTGCCTACATGGTTTTTGTTGCACAAAGTTTACAAGCTTTGATTGAAGCTGTCTCCAACTGTAAAACTGAAATACCCCTCCATTACCTTATTTTAGTCCAAATCCTCATGTTCGTCCCTCTTGCCATGATCAGAAAGATCCAAAAATTGTCTATTTTCGCATTAATCGCTGATGCCTTTATCCTTATTGGTTTGGTCTATTTGTATTACTATGATTTCTTGACCTTGATTGTTCAAGGTGTTGGTCAAGTTGAATGGATTGTAAATACTTCATCATTCCCCATGTTTGTCGGTACTGCTGTATTCACGTTTGAGGGTGTTGGTTTGAGTAAGAGTTTTTGTATATGTTTTTGTCACAAGTACTTCTGTTTGTACTAACCACCTATATATAGTTATTCCTATCACAGAATCAATGAAGGAACCCAAGAAGTTCCCCAAGGTTTTATCCTGGACTATGTTATTCATCACTACTTTGTTTGTCTCTCTAGGACTCTTGTCTTACCTTGCTTTCGGTGACAAAGTTCAGACCGTTGTTTTGCTCAACTTACCTGCCACCTCACTTGTCAATACCATTCAAGGTTTATACGCACTTGCTATTTGTCTTTCCATCCCCTTGCAACTCTTCCCTGCCATTCGTATTGTTGAAACTGGTATCTTTTCTAAATCTGGAAAGCACAACCCCATTGTTAAGTGGCAGAAGAATATGTTCAGATTAGCTGCCGTCTTACTTTGTGCCGCAGTAGCCATCGTTGGATCTGCTGATCTTGACAAGTTTGTCTCCTTGATTGGTTCTCTCTTCTGTGTCCCCCTTTGCTTCTTATTCCCCCCTCTCTTTCATTTAAAGGGCGTTGCACAAACTTGGAAGCAAAAGTCCATTGATATTTCCATTATCACTTTTGGTGTTATCTGTATGGTCTACACAACTTATATCACAATCGGTCTTTGGACTTCAGAAGGCGAGCCTGCTGCTCCCATTTCTCGTTGTGTTCCTCACGCTTAAAAACAGTAGCATTGAACAAAACAGCAAAAAAAAAAAAAAAAAAAAAAAAAAACAAAAAATTAGACATACATTTTTTAGTTATACCTTTTAAAAATAAAACCATTGTCATGGAATTATAGTAATTCTTGACCTAAAAAATTGTCATTTTGCAACATCTTATGCTCATAGGACAGCTTTTCAGTCTATGCTAACTAATATAGCATCAAGGTAACTTTTAGGCGTCATCTTTAGCAGTTGAGATAAAAGTGCAATTATTGTTGTACATAAGAACAAAAGCATAGATAATTTGACCCAGGTCATTATTAAGGGGATGTAGCACTTGTGATATAACTGATCACGGTTGATCCAGCAGCAAAAAAAGTCTCGATTCTGCCTTCATATGCCGGCTTTCTTTAGATTTCTCTAAAAGGTTAAATTCAAGAAAATGCTTTCAGTTTTAAGTTACATATTAGTTTATGTTATAAGCTGAATTTTGCCTTTCGTTCACTACCAGTCTCTAAATTACGATTACAATTTTTACAAAACGTATTTTTAACACTATATCAAATGATGCTTCCGCAGTTTAAGTTTTTGTTTACTGCACTAAAAAAAAAATCCCAGACAAACCCACTGATAAGACCATTATTAGTAATGAACTTGGAAATCCAATTGTTAAAAATATGGAAATATGGCCACTTACATATTGAGTTATGCTGATATTGTTTATAATTTTAGCCCGCTAAAATAGTTTATTTACTCGAGTATTATCAAGCATTTTTTTTAACGGGAGGTCTCATACATAAATCGGTAACACCCCTCATCCCCTGATTCTATTTTATCTGATCGATTGTCGTATAAAAAACGCCAACATGCACGGAATCTATCATGAAACACTTCAATTATAGTTTAATGTTTCTTTATTTGCAAACATATGGTAAGTAAAAAGGGGGAAGGGGCGATAAATTGTAGCAAATGGCGGATAATTGGATTCGTACAGTAGGAAAAATCAGAGTATTTATATGAGGCAAGCCAACCAATCAATATTATGAGGCTAAAAGGTAAGTAAACTTACACAAATATTTAATATATCTGTATAAAGAGTACAAAAGACAAATTCATTGTTGTATAGTACATTCATTATTTAAATATACATGCATGTTAAATTGAACAATATACTGACAATTCTTTATCATTTCAACTTTCTTTGTTCTTTATAATCTGCATAAACTTAAATTGTCTCCTAACTTGAATTGGCAAGCTGTCATAGTCGCACACTACACACATGAAAAGACGTGTTCACATAAATTCGAATGGTTAAATGTCAAAAAGCGGATGTTACACAAGTGACTGTTACTTGCAAACAGGCCTTGACCAGGGCGACAAAAAGTGTTGTCTCCCCTCCATTTCCTACTTTCTTGCGACACAATCTTGACATTTAAATGAGGTTTTATGGATCGATGGGCTTGAAACTCACCAATGTGAGGACCATGACCCACACACTTGTCAAAAGCTCTCAACTCAACACTCGTTTCATTACCACAAAGTCGACTTTACCCAAACCAAGAAAGGACTTTGCGCCTTCTTACAATGCCAAAGCAGTAGAAGAAGGCTGGTACGAGTGGTGGTGTTCCCAAGGATTATTTAAAGCGAGCAGTGCAGATTACATGGCTACCCCACAAGAGAAAAAGCCCTTTACGATGATTACACCACCGCCCAATGTGACAGGATCTTTGCATATCGGGCACGCATTGACATTTAGTGTCCAAGACGCTATTGTGCGATGGAAACGAATGAATGGATATGACGTCAAGTGGATTCCAGGAACAGATCATGCTGGTATTGGCACCCAATCTGTTGTGGAAAAGATGATTATGAAGGAACGTGGATTAACTCGTCATGATATGGGTAGAGAAGCCTTTGTTAAAGAGATATGGAAATGGAAAGAGAAATACGGCAATCATATTTTACATCAAATGAGACGTATGGGCGCTTCATCGGATTGGGACAGTGAGTTTTTTACAATGGACGCGGATCGTTACGAGGCTGTCCAGAACGCTTTTATGCAATTGCACAAGGACGGGTTGATCTATCGAGACACACGTCTCGTCAATTGGTGTTGTGCTTTAGAGACCGTTATTTCGGATATTGAAGTGGATTATAAGGATGTGAATGGAAGAACACTATTAAATTTACCTGGAAGATCAACACCGTAAGTTAGGAATTAAGGGCGTATTAGAAAGATTTTTTTTCTGAGAAAAAAGGCATTGGAATTATAGTGTTGAATTTGGTGTTTTGCATAACTTTTCATATAAGGTCATTGACCCCGACTGTGGTGGTATTGAGGAATTAACTGTATCAACTACACGTATCGAAACTATGCTTGGTGATTGTGCAGTCGCTATTCATCCGGAGGACGAACGATACAAGGTAAAGAAGGAGAAGAAGAAAAGAATGATTTGACGAATTGTTTGTAAATAGAGTCTCCATGGAAAATTTGTGTATCACCCAATTCTTAAAAAAGAAATCCCCATTGTTTGTGATGAAAATTTAGTAGACATGGAGTTCGGTACTGGTGTAGTCAAAGTATGATATTTATGATGGAATTTTCCATATACTTTTTTTTGTTGAGTAATTATACCCTTATGACTTAGATCACACCAGCCCATGACCCTAATGATTATGCTTGTGCTCGTCGTCATCATCTTCCTATTGAGAGTATTTTTGACAAACTGGGAAAACTGAACAGTAACTGCGGTTTACCCGAATTAGTAGTAAGTAAAACAAAAAAAAAAATCGCCCCTTATCAGCGCCTTTGGCTTCCATCCCTTATCGTGAACACTTGTGTAGGGACACGATCGATTCGAAGTGCGCCAGGTGATTATAGACAAATTAAGCCAGATTGGTAGCTACAAAGGCAGAAATGACAATCATGTGATGAGAGTAGCCGTGTGTTCTCGCTCTGGGGATGTGATTGAACCCTTATTACAGCCTCAATGGTAAAAAAAAAAATTGATGAAGAAATATGGCCAGATTAAAAGTGGCTAAAATGGCTTTTACCGTAGGTATATCAAATGTAAAGAACTTGCAAAAATCTCGAAAAAGCAAGTGGAGGATGGTAGAATGAAAATCGTGCCAGACCAATTTGTACAAGATTGGTATAGATGGTTGGGTAAAGTGGTCGCTCAAACTAAATTACACCGGACTTTTTATTTAACAGCCTTTTTGACAGATAATATTCAGGATTGGTGTATATCTAGACAATTATGGTGGGGACACGAAATTCCGGCCTATCAAATCAAATTAAAAGAAATGACCGAAATTTCTGGTAACTCCAAATTACCATGTTTAGAAAAAAAAAAAAAACGGGCCGCCGGCCAAACAAAAAAAAAAGTAGCACTAACATCATAAATCGTGGTAGGCCAGGAATTATGGGTTGTCGGTTCCGATGAGATTAGTGCTGGGAAAAGTGCCCAGGAACTCTTGGAAAAAAATGGTTATCCTAAAAACATCTCGTTTGAATTGATAAAGGTTAATATTAGGTTCATAAAATACAATGTAATACAGACTTTAATTGCGTTTTTTATTAGGATGGCGATGTGTTAGATACTTGGTTCTCGGCAGGTTTGTTACCACTTTCTGCTCTAGGCTGGAAGGGAAGACAAGGTGAAAAGATTCCGGTAAGTTCACAAAGAAAGGAATGTGAAAACGCATGAGTGTCTTTTTTGACTAATCGCTATAATAGGATCGTTATCCAATCCAAGTCATGGAGACTGGTTTTGATATCCTATTTTTTTGGGTTGCACGAATGGCTATGTTGTCGAATCATTTCACCAACAATAGTGTACCATTTGAGACGATCTTTTTACACGCTATGGTATATACAAACCCTTTTAATATGAAAGGTATCTGTGCTAAATTCCTATTTAATTGCAGGTTCGTGACGCTCAAGGGCGCAAAATGTCTAAATCTTTGGGTAACGTAATCGATCCCCTACATGTGATTGAAGGTGTGAGTCTACAAAATATGAAGGACAATTTGTTACACACAAATCTCCCTGAAAAAGAAATCGGAACGTGCGTAACTTTTTTTTTTATACCTTATTATATATAACTGACAAAAAAAAACTTCTAAATACAGGAGTACTCGTAATTTAGAGCAAGAATATCCAAATGGTATCCCTCCCTGTGGTACAGACTCGTTGAGATTTGCACTTGTGCAATACACACAACAAACAAGACAAATTAATCTAGATATATCCAATGTCATTCAAACCTCCTACTTTTGTAACAAATTATGGAACCTTTTCAAATTCGGACTTGGTCGTTTAGAAGCACAACCTGAACTTCAATTTGACAGCAAGGATATTTTGTCTCTTCAAAAGGATCAGAAATTGTCCTTGGCAAATCGATACATTTTGTCTCGAATGGCGGATACAGTGACTAAATGTCATGCTGGTTTTGAGTCATCTCGTTTATTTGAAGCAACTGATGCATTACGTAGATTCGTGGTAGAGGACGTGTGTGATATTTATGTTGAATTTTCCAAATCAGCTTTGACCAGATGTGATCCAGATGAAAAGGTAAATGGAGTTTCAACTGTAATTTATTTCTGATTTGACCTTTTTTTATTTACCTACAAATAGAACACAACTCTGCGTATTTTGCATGCATGCATGGATATATCTCTGCGTTTGGCTCATCCGTTGATGCCTTTTGTCACAGAGGTAAATAAAAAAAGCACGTTCTTTACATCGCATGACTGAGAACTTTTTTCTTTGATAGGAACTATGGCAACAAATGAAGACGAGTCTTCAACAAACGCCACATGCCCCTTCACTCATGGTCGAAACCTATCCTGATCCTCTCGAATATTCTAAATTACACGGTGAAAACGTTGAAGATCATTTCAAGGTAGGCGCAAAACTACACTAAAAAATAATAATCTAGAACCCCCACTCCCCCAAGTGGGAACTTTTTTAGGATTAATTTCCTAATTTACATTTTTTATTTTTTTAAATAGGTTATTCTATCCATCATTCATGCGTCAAGATCTTTAAGACAAGGGAATCAAATTAGCATAGGAAAGGAGTTACCTTTTACCATTTTGTGCAGCGACACTAAATTATTAGATCAGAACGGACCTCTCAAGCTATATTTGAGCGAAATTCAACACTTTGTAAAGGCATCGGACATGACTGTACTTGATGCAAATGTAAATATAAAAGTTTGTGCTCCATTGTTTATGTATATCACTTACCAGTTTTTATAGTTAACGGACGTAGACATGAACAAATGGACTTCAAAAGTAGTCGACAATCATTTAAAAATACTCGTTCCGACAACAGAGGTCATTCGTGCCCAATTGGAAAGCGCCGCAGCAAAGGGAGCCGACATAAGTACTGTCATTAAAAACAAAAACGCACTGTTGACCAAAAAACTGAACAAAGTTAAACTCGATTTGGAAAAACTGAAGACTAAAATGAACAAACCGGGATATGAACAATCCGTGCCGGAAATCGTAAAGGAAAAGAACATGTAAGTTGGCTTATTCTTTGTTTGATAAACAAGGTGAATTTAATACGTGTTTTTTTTATCTTTGTAGGCAACGTCTTGTTATGCTTGGTTTAGAAAATGAGACAATTCAAAATGATTTAAACTCACTAGAAATGATTAAACAGGATTCGGCACTCTTGCCGTAACACACATCAAGTATGATTCCATGCAACTATAAAATAAAAAAAGATAAGTTTCATGTTAATTTTTATAAATGGAAAACAATCGAATAAATTGAGTCATAAGCGACTTTCCTTCTTTCTGATCAAGTGGAGAAGGTGCCGAATTGAGTTTTAATATAAACGTGAAAGTAGAAAATCTTTTCAGTGCGCTGTTATCTTTTAAAATGCTTTTATTGGACCGGTGCCCACGGTATATTTATTCGGCCGAACTAAACGTTCCGCTGGTTTATACCTTGTGCTACCAATGATAATATAAATACCCAGTACAGATTTCCCTTTATTTTGTTTTTTGTTTTCTTTATTACTTTTCTGATCTATCCCTTCCTTTTTTTTAAAAAAAAACCCTTTGAATTTTTTTTTAAAAAACATATAAAATATCTATCAACCATGACAGGTACAAGTATGTCGTCACGTTCTTCGTCGACAAGTCAAACAATCCATGGAGATCAAAAACGCAACAGTGATAATTCCAGATCCACCCCCACGCACAATGACGAGAAATTATTAATGGAAGAAATCGCCGCTATTCCTGTACAAAAAATCGAATCTGTACACGAAACCGAAGTAGCCGACGGAAAAAAGAAGAAGAAGGAGAAGAAGGAAAAGCAACCTGCTGTCCCTATTTACAAGCTTTTCCGTTTCGCTACTAAACAAGAGCTTTTGATGATTTTCATTGCTACTATTTTCTCGGCTGGTATCGGTGCTATGCAGCCTGTGTCTATCATTATTTTTGGTCAATTCATGGCCACCATCGGTGCTGCTATGGCCTCTGGAGATTACGAAAAGTTAGCTATCGAAGCTCATCCTCTTGTTTTAATTTTCGTTTATATGGGTACTGGTGTCCTTTTTGCCGCTTATACTTGTAATTGTTTCTGGGTTTTGACTGGTGAAAACCAAGTCCGTCGTATTCGTCAAATGTATGTCCACGCCATTCTCCGTCAAGAGATGGGTTGGTTCGATAAGGCTGATGAGGGTTCTTTAACCACTAGATTGGCTACTGATACTCAATTAATTCAAGACGGTATTTCTGAAAAGTTTGGTCTTTTGGTCATGTGTATCGGTCAATTCGTCACTGGTTTTGTCGTCGCCTTTGTAAAGGGTTGGAGACTTGCTGTTGTTATGTTAGCCACACTTCCTCTTTTGGCCGGTGCTGGTGCCACCATGGGTTACTTCATCACCAAATATACCCTTAAATCTCAAGATTCTTATGCTGAAGCTGGTTCCGTTGCTGAACAAGTATTCTCTGGTATCCGTACCGTTTACTCTTTCTCCCTCCAAAACCGTTTCGCCGATCTTTATGAACACAAGCTTGAAAAGGCTATGCAAACTGGTGTTAAGCGTGGTAGAATTCTTGGTTTCGGTTTCGGTTCCTTCATGTTCATCCTCTTTTCCACCTATGGCCTTTCTTTCTGGTACGGTTCCAAGCTCTCTCGTGAATTGTTAATGACTGGTGATATTGTCCTTGTTGTTTTCTTTGCTATGATTATGGGTGCCATTGCTCTCTTGCAATTACCTCCTAACTTATCTGCTGTTTCCAGCGCTTGTGGTGCTGCTCACAAGATTTACTCCACCATTGATCGTGTCCCCCTCATTGATACTGACAACGATAGCGGTATTGCTCCCGAAAGATTTGTTGGTCAAATCGAATTCAAGGATGTTAAATTCAGTTACCCTACTCGTCCTGACATTACTATTTTAAAGAGACTTAATCTTTCCATTAAGCCTGGTATGACTGTCGCCTTTGTTGGCCCCTCCGGTTCTGGTAAATCTACCAGTGTTCAACTCTTGCAACGTTTCTACGATGCTGATGAAGGTTCTGTCTTTGTTGATGGTAAGAATATTAAGGAATATAATGTCGCATGGCTCCGTAGTCAAATTGGTGTTGTCAGTCAAGAACCCGTCTTGTTCAACATGAGTATTAAGCAAAATTTATTGATGGGTGTTACCAAGGAAATCACGAACGATGAAATCGTCGACGTCTGTAAGAAGGCTAACTGTCACTCCTTCATCTCCCAACTTCCTGATGGTTATGAAACCCTTGTTGGTGAACATGGTGGTATGCTTTCTGGTGGCCAAAAGCAACGTATTGCTATTGCTCGTGCTATTCTCAAGAACCCTTCTATTCTTTTGTTAGATGAAGTAAGTTTATTACATGGAATATTTATACGAGAAATATATTCTAATGATTCTTTTTTAATAATAGGCTACTTCTGCTTTGGATACTCAATCTGAACGTTTAGTTCAAACCGCTTTGGATGCTGCTTCTGCTGATCGTACTACTATTGTTATTGCTCATCGTCTTTCCACTATTCGTAACGCTGATCTTATTGTTGTTATGGCTGCTGGTGATTTAATCGAACAAGGTAACCACAACGATCTCCTTGCCCTTAATGGTGTCTATGCCGATTTAGTTAGAAAGCAAGAAATTGCTACCAAGCAAGTTGGCAGTACCGTTGAAGAACTTGATTCCGAAGAATTATTGAAGCGTGAACAACAAGAAATTGAAACTGAAAAGCATCGTCAAGAAGACGCCTTGATCAATGAAAAGGATACTACTGTCAACTTATTCAAGACTACCAGTCGTGCTTCTGTTGATGCCTATGAACTCAAGCTCCGTAAGGAAAAGGATGAACGTAAGGTTGCCATGAAGCAAAGTGTTCCTATTAAGAAAGTCTTGCTTCAAATGCGTTCCGAATGGCCCCTTTTGGCTCTCGGTATTGCCGGTGCTGCAATTGCTGGTGCCGTATTCCCTTGTTTTGCTCTTATCTTTGCCAAGGTCATCGCTCAACTTGTTGATCCTAGTTTGGTTCCTCCTGGTCCTATGGAAGGTACCAACCTCTACGCTTTCTTATTTGTTATTATTGGTGTTGCTGCTTTCATTGGTTTCTCTACCCAAGTCATCTCTTTCGAAACTGCTGGTGAGCGTTACACCAAACGTCTTCGTGCCGATATTTTCCGTGCTTTCATGAAACAGGAAGTTGGTTTCTATGATGATGAGGATAACTCTCTTGGTGCCCTTACCTCCAAGCTTGCTATTGATTCCAAGAATGTTAACGAATTGGTAACTAAGACTTGGGGTGATATTACTCAAATTATTGTCACAGCCATCACTGGTAAGCTACCACTACTTTTCTACAATTTTTTTAAAGCATATCACTAACTTTTTTTCTTTACAGGTTTGGCTATTGCTTTTTCTCAAAGTTGGATGTTGACTTTAATTATTCTCTGTATGGCACCTTTCATTATGTTTGCTACTGGTTATGAATCCAAGATTCATCGTGGTTTCGAAGATTCTACCAAGAAGGCCAATGAACAAAGTGGTGAAGTTGCTGGTGAAGCTATCAAGGAAATCCGTACTGTTGCCGGTCTTAATAAGCAAAGTCACTTTGAAACCAAGTATTACAATGCTACCGAACGTCCTCATCGTCTTGCTCAACGTAAAGCCTACATGTCCTCTCTTGGTTATGCCCTTCAACAAGGTATTACTCTTTATACAAACGCTGTCGCTTTCTATGCCGGTACTCAATTGATGAAGAACAATAATCTTCCCTTTGATAACATGTTTACCTGTATGATGTCCATCATGATTACTGCTCAAGGTGTTGGTCGTGCTTCCGTTTTCACTACTACTTTTGCCAAGGCCAAGTACTCTGCTATTGCTGCCTTTGAAATTCTTGAACGTGTTCCTAGCATTGATCCTGAACTTGAAGGTATTGAACCTACTCGTGACCAAGTCCATGGTGAAATTGATTTCGAAAACATTTCTTTCCGTTACCCTGCTCGTCCTGATATCTCCATCTTTAACGGTGAGTTCAACTTACACGGTAAGGCTGGTCAAACCATTGCTTTAGTCGGTCCTTCTGGTTGTGGTAAATCCACCACTATTGGTATGCTTCAAAGATGGTACGATCCTATCTCTGGTACTGTTCGTTTGGACGATAACAACCTCAACAAGTTCTCTCTCTCCAACCTCCGTAGCCATATGGCTTTGGTTTCTCAAGAACCCGTTCTTTTCGATATGACTATTGGAGAAAACATTCGTTTCGGTGTCGATGATGGCAAGAATATCACTCAACAAGATGTCGAAGATGCTTGTAGAGCTGCTAATATCCACATGTTCATTACCAGTCTTCCCAAGGGTTATGATACTCGTGTCGGTGATAAGGGTTCTCAATTATCTGGTGGTCAAAAGCAACGTATCGCTATTGCTCGTGCCTTGATTCGTAAGCCTAAGGTCCTCTTATTGGATGAAGCTACTTCTGCTCTTGATTCCGAAAGTGAAAAGCTTGTCCAAACTGCTATTGATAACATTCTTGAAGAAGGTGGTCGTACTACAATTACCATTGCTCATCGTTTGTCTACTATTCAAAACGCCGATCTTATTTGTGTTGTCAAGCATGGTCGTGTGATTGAACAAGGTACCCATTGGGAACTCTTGAAGTTAAACGGTGCTTATAGTGAATTGGTATACCAACAATCTCTTAATGCTCATTAAGTGATTTTCTCCCCCTTCCCCCATTTTTAATACACTAGAATAACTTTTTCTCTTTTTTTTTACCCTTTGTCCGCCTTATAATTCATTCCCCCCTTTATTACTTGTTATAATATTAACTTTATACTACTTATTTGTACACTATTAAACTATTTTTTTTTGACTTATTAAAAAAAAATCACTATATTAAACAAGAATTTTTATCAGTCAACTAATGTTTGTATTATGTCTACTTGGTGTCTGCATCTACTGTATATTAAATAAAATGTCACAGAGTCCTTATTAGTCTATTTTATTGTTTTCTTTAAACCCTTCAAACCCATTATAGCAGAAAACAAGTAAATATCTCACTGCAATTAGAAAGTATACTCTTTATGACATATCAATTGCCTTTTAAATGGTTGCTTTAACTTTGCTTATTACTAACTTCTTACGCGAAAAGAATAATTAGAAAAGCACACTGAGAATATGACATTGTGCTAGTAAAAATAAAAATAACTATAAAAAATAACGTTTTTATTTAAATTTTATATCGTGTTTTACTTCAAAACTAATTTATGCACACTCATATCATCTCTAAATTAAAAGGTAACATTTGTATCCGCAATATTTATAAGCTTACTATCAGGTTGCACAGTTTACAACGGGCTAGCCAAACAGCCTCTCATAGATTTTGGCAACGAGTCGGATAACTTAAAAGATGTAGCAACATTTGGACCTGAAAAATATTTATCAGCCTAAAAAAAAGTTGAAGCTTGAAGTATATAACCTTAAAGCCTGAACCCTTCCGTTGTAATCCAAAGCCAGCTTGGCATCTATAAAATTTATTAAGAAAGACGTATTGGGTACTCGAATGACTATCATCTTCAGCATATGTCAAACGTTCACACCCAGACACTTATGACAAACGTTCTGGAAATCTTTTCTTGGGGGGTTTGATTGTAACCTCTTCTTGCAGGCACATCTTTTCTCTACAGAACAGCTCTTCACTGGGTGGTCAAAAGGTTTCTTCTTTCTCTACATAGTCCGAAAACGTTTTCAAGGTTGTTAGTTTTTATATGATCGGCCAATATCCTGCTTGCTCTTTAGGTGATTTATAAAGGGTTGTGTCATCCTCTTTCTCGCGTATTCAGATAGATATGTTTTAAATAAGTCTTTTCAATTTCAGTGATCCATCCATTGCCATAATAATTTTTTTGTTTATAAATTTGCAATAAGGAATTTTTAAAATAGTTAGGCGAGGAAGAAAAAAAGAAATAAGACAGATCGATGGTGACAGGTTTTACCACCGAGAATGCAGTTGTATCCGCGTAGTGTTAACCGCATCGCCCCTGTTGAAAGGTCTCCTTGTTATATATACTAGGTGAAAATGAAGTAAAGAGTAGTAGACAATTATAATAAAAATGAACAACCTTATTTATTTATAAAAACAATAATCGTTGTTAAAAGGTGTGGGAGTGTCGGTCTCCGCGATGTCGATAGTTGTGCTAGAAACTGATAGGATAAACGATAGAGAGAAAGATAAATTTAACAGAAGATTGTTTTATTTATTTATTTTCAGCCACGATCTATTTTATCCTACTGTTTCTTCCGCCTTTTCGCAAGCTGTTACAATAATTGAAAAACACGTAACATTACATAAAAAAAAGCACTGACCCTCTCTCTATTTTTTTTTTTTTTTTTTTTTTTGGCTTCACGCACATTTGACAGCTGGGAAAATAATTGTGATGTATGATGTAAATTCTTGTTACAGTCTGTGATGATATGAGAAGATATAACATCGGCCTAATTTGTAGGTGTATATATAACATCTTTTATTATCTATGATTTTAAGCTACAAGGTCATCCTGTTTTCTAGTAATCTCTGAATAAATAGCGATTCCGGTAGCTCACCTCTTCAACAAGCTTGATGAACCACCAGCTTCTAGTCTATATGTTCTCTTCTCACTAATTGACAAAATGCTTGTTTATATTTTGGTGTTTCCCTTTTAGTATAATATAATACGTCTTCTACAAAGCCGAATCATTTCTAGATACGCCGTTAATTTCAAAGCACGGTCAATGGTGGCGTTGTTTCTGCCGATGAACATAGTATCTATCAGAGTTATAAATGCTTTGGGGGTGTACGATACTAAGTTTTGGGTCTTGCGCATATTTTCCCAAAAATAAAAAATATCCCGTAGCCGGAATGTTTATGCATGTACATTCTATTTGGATTTGAAACACTAATTTGCATTTTGCATATATGCTACTTTATTCTGCATATGGCTGTAACAAGTGATAAACAGAAAGTTTTATTTTTTGTATAGCTCAATAGTTATTAAATGATTTGCAATACTGGATTTCTTCTCTCAACATTTACTTGAAGACCATCCTTCATGGATAAAGTCACTTGATTCAGAAACTCGACACGGTGACCTGGGACTCTTGTCAATTTGTACTTTTTCAATAACATGGACATAGTTAATAGAACCTCCAAGGTTGCCATATTTTGCCCAAGACAGATTCTAGGGCCCATATGAAAGACAATATATTTACCCGATTCAGCACGTACCAGATTACCTTCACTGTTTATCCAGCGTTCTGGTTTAAATTGCTTTGCATCAGGTCCCCATACTTTTTCATGGCGTCCTTGACAAAATGGTTGAAAAATCACTTCGTCCCCCTTCTTTACATGTGTACCATCAGGTAATAGATCATCATTCAATGCTTGTCTTCGGTTACTTGGAACAGACGGATAAAGCCTGAGTACTTCATATAATCTAAAATAACAGCCCAAATTTAGTGTTCAACCCGAAAGATCATGTACATACATAAATTAATGCACTTACACTGCATGTGCATATTTCATTTTTTGAATCGCTTCATACAATGCCACGGTATCCTGTTCAATATCGTCAGTGATAAATTGTTCGATTTCTTCCAGCAATTTCTCTTGGACTTGTGGGTGATTCATGACGCTATAACAAAACCAAGCAATGGTTTGTGCCGAAGTATCACGACCGGCAATGACTAAATTTAACATGGTGTCACGCAACTCCTTATCTGAATAAGGTTCACCTGAGGGACTTTTGGCCTTCATAAACCGAAGTAACAAATCGGTCTTGTAAGTCTCTGTATCCATCTCTGGAGACTTTTCATGTTTCAGTCTTCTTTCCTTGATAATTCTATAAATAAAATCATCCAGTGTTTGAATATGTTGCTTGATGGTTTTTTGGCTTGTAAAGGTATCTTGCAAATTACGCATGAGACCATGAAGTGGAAAAATAATGCGTCGGTAATGGTCTTGCTGTATTGCGTCAAATGATCCGGCAAAATCCTGATCCTCCAGTAACGAATTTAGTTTTACGCCAAATGCAATTCTAAAAGAGGCACGCAAAAAAAAAAAAAGTTAATGATATGCGTTTTAGACTATAAATAAATAAATATGCATACTCGACAAAGGTATCCATGGTAAACCGAAGCATGAGATCATGAAAGTCGACGGCCTGGTGATGATTCACGGCGTTCTCTAGAATTTCATTCGACAAAGTTTGAACATGACTCACGAAAATGCTAAATTGTTTTTAGATAAATAGCATCATTAAGTATTCTATTTTACCTTGTAAATGCCGTTTGAAAGTTTTTCACATGAAATATTTGTGATGATGTCTTTCGTTGTAATCTCCAGCTTTCTCCATCCGTGTTGAATATACCTTCTCCTAATACATCATGAAATATATGACGAAAATTCTCGCTCTTCACATAATTTTGGAAATTGGCTATTTTAGGTATTTCTCGTTAGTAAAGCAAAAAAAAACAGTAACTTGTTTGTGTTTTACCTCTGCACACATGGTCAATATTTTTTGGGTCTACAGTACTGATACCGCTAGGAATACCCAACGAAGAAGATCGACTAGATAATATTTAGTTTGATGTTAAAGAAAAAGGTAGAGCAACTACTTACAATGTCATAGTATCTAATGCTTCATAGACTTCCAATACATATTCAAAATAACGGTTTTTATTTTTAGATACGGCCATGAGGTTACCGATCAAGGGATCGCCCTTGATATGGGGAATATCTTTACGATGTTGATCAAACAAGGCACAATCAGGGTACCTTATAAATAACCCAGTGATAACAGCAATCGTAGATAAGGCCGCAATGGTACCGAAATGAGGTGTAGTCATTTAAATAGTGTAAGGTGTAAAATAGTGAAAATAAATAAGAAAGAAGAGTGCTTTGGTGAAACAGACTATGCATTATTTATACCATAGATGCATTATTACGTAAATCCAGTCACATCCTGTTTTAAGGGGCGGGGGAGGGTGGGAGGATACAAGCGTTATTTTTTTTTCTCTCTTTTTTTTTTTTTTTTTTTTTTTTTAAAATGTCGACACGAAAAGCATTACACAAGGCAAGCCATGGGTTAAAATATAAACCCATTTATACCCCTCCTCCTCCACCCCCTCCACCCAAAGTCAAACCAAGATTGGGACCAATCTTGCTTGGTGGCTCTTTACTTTATGTGACAGCGACTTATGTAAGCATGTTGGTGTTTAAGAGTAAAAGTGATGTCAATGACATGGTTTCGGGCAATGGGCCTGAGGACCCGACGTTGACACCTAAAAGCTTCGATACTTCGAGTGTATGGGAAACAGTAGCCAAGAAATACGACGATGAGATCAATTGGGATGAAATCATTATGGGTGTTGGTTTATTGAGACGTTGGTTGGTTGGAAAGGCCAAGGTAAAAAAAAAAAATGAAAAATGAAAAAGATTGTGGTTAGTTGTCAATTAAACAGCTATGTGTGTTTGCATGTGTGTTTAGGGCGATGTATTAGAGGTGTCAACGGGAACAGGTCGTAATTTTTCATATTATAAAGCGGATCAAGTGACTTCAGCTACGTTTACAGATCGCCATGAGCCCATGTTGAATGAAGCGAAAGAAAAGTTTGAAAAGTATCAGGGTAAATTCCATCAAGCGTTCTTTGAGACGGCTAGTGTAGAGGAGAAGCAGAACAAAAAGTACGATACTATTGTGGATACGTTTGGATTGTGTTCTTGTGGAGATCCAGTAGAAGCGTTGGTTCAGTTGGCAGATCAGTGTAAATCCCAAGAGTCTCGTATATTGTTGTTAGAGCACGGACGATCTCACTATGATTGGTTAAACCGATTGTTAGACACCAATCTTGATAAACATGTCAAACAATGGGGCTGTTGGTGGAATAGAGATATTATGGGGTTATTTGGGGACGAACGAGTCAAGGAAAAATTAGAGATTGTACAAGTCTCCAGATATCATTTTGGTACAACTTGCTACATCATTGCTAAACCTAAATAAAAATGTAATTTTGGCGGCTTTTTTTTTTTGTGACGTGATTAAATTTTGTTTTTAGCCCCTTGACTATTTTTTGAAATTTTTTTTTTTCTTTTTTTTCTTCCTTCTTTTAAACTTATTATTCAATATGAGGTAAAAATTTTTCATTCAATCTAATAAAAAAGATTATAAACAAAAAAGTATTCATTCTCATCTGATTCTATAGCAACGAACCTTTGCAAGAAATCCAAGATACCGAAATCGAGGCAAGTATTGAAAGAATAAAAAATTTTTTTTTTTTTTATGAAGTGATAAAAATTTTTAACATTTAATCTTTCGATTAGTCCAACTGGGATGAGGTTGTCGACAACTTTGATAACATGAACCTCAAGCCCGAACTTCTTCGTGGTGTTTATGCTTATGGGTAAGTTTAAAAAAATAAAGGGGTGTGTGTATAATCGAACTAACCACAAAATATAACAGTTTCGAACGTCCTTCTGCCATTCAACAACGTGCTATTATGCCCGTTATTAAGGGTCATGATGTTATTGCTCAAGCCCAATCTGGTACTGGTAAAACCGCCACTTTCTCCATCTCTGTTCTCCAATCCATTGATGTTGATCTTAAGGAACCTCAAGCTTTGATCCTTGCTCCTACCAGAGAATTGGCCCTCCAAATCCAAAAGGTTGTTTTGGCCCTCGGTGATTTCATGGGTATTAAGTCTCATGCCTGTATTGGTGGTACCAATGTCCGTGAAGATATTGCCACTCTTCAATCTGGTGTCCAAGTTGTTGTTGGTACTCCCGGTCGTGTTTTCGATATGATCCAAAACCGTCGTGCTTTCAACACCAAGTCCATGAAGATGTTCGTTTTAGATGAAGCTGATGAGATGTTGTCTCGTGGTTTCAAGGATCAAATTTACGATGTTTTCCAATTGATGCCCGAAACTACCCAAGTTGTCCTTTTGTCTGCTACCATGCCCTCTGAAGTCTTGGAAGTTACCAAGAAGTTCATGAGAGATCCCATTAGAATTTTAGTTAAGCGTGATGAGTTAACTTTGGAAGGTATCAAGCAATTCTATATTGCCGTTGATAAGGAAGAGTGGAAGTTGGATACTTTGTGTGATTTATACGAAACTGTCACTATCACTCAAGCTGTTATTTTCTGTAACACCCGTAGAAAGGTCGATTGGTTAACCGATAAGCTCCAAGCTCGTGAATTCACTGTCTCTGCCATGCATGGTGATATGGATCAAGCTCAACGTGATGTTATCATGAAGGAGTTCCGTTCTGGTTCTTCTCGTGTCCTCATCACCACCGATTTATTAGCTCGTGGTATTGATGTCCAACAAGTTTCTTTGGTTATCAACTATGATTTACCTTCTAACCGTGAAAACTACATCCATCGTATCGGTCGTGGTGGTCGTTTCGGTCGTAAGGGTGTTGCAATCAATTTTGTTTCTGGTGACGATGTTCGTGCCATGAGAGATATTGAACAATTTTATAACACTCAAATTGATGAAATGCCCATGAACGTTGCTGACCTCATCTAAATAACTCGAATTAAAACCATAAAAAATAAAAATTATACAGTATAAATTTCTTTTTTTTTCTTCTTTTTTTTTTGTTTATTTTATTATTCAGTCTTTGTATTATTAGCTTGGCTTGTGCTATTGGATGTTTCCGCACCATGAGGGTAGGGTTGTTGTTGTTGCTGCTGCTGTTGTTGTTGTTGTTGTTGCTGTTGTTGTTGTTGCTGCTGCTGTTGCTGTTGAGCAAATTGCTGGAGCTGAAGTTGATACTGCTGCATTTGTTCAGCTGTCAATTGAGGATAATAAGCAGTAGCAGCATCCATGGTTTGCTGAGGATATTGGGGAACAGCTCCCTGAGGATAATAACCACCATATTCAGGTTGTTGCTGTTGTTGCTGTTGTTGCTGTTGTTGTTGTTGTTCAAAAGGAGCACTTTGACTCTTGATAGCTTCCTCTCTAGGTACAATATCAATCAAAAAATCACACATGTCTGTTTTGGAAATAGCCGTAGCAATATCTGATCTTTGCAAAGTTCGTCTCTTATTCTCTTCTGCGTGAACCCTATACACCTTTCATTTAGTTTGACCCCAAACCTTGTATTTTAAAATATACACTTTACCAGGCTCGTTTTGTTAATTCCGTAATGAAAATTTCACAACCCTTGGCAAACAACACAGGAGCCTAAACAACAAAGTCAGTTTTGATCACCCTGCCGTTCTCCCTTTCAAAAAATATATTTTACCTCTGCGCTAATCATCTATGTCCATTAACAATAATAATAAGTGTTATCATGCCTATTCCAGTGACATTAATAATATAAAACGTCACTAACCTTCACTTCTTGGTCTGTCTTCATGACCTTTTTGATTCTTGCCAATGGTAAAGGATGGTTCTTGAAATCGGATTCAAACATGTCAGCCAATTGCATTTGCTCGGTCCAGAACTTTCCTAAATCAAAAGCAGGATAATTGCTCGTATTGGAAGCTGTAGCTACCGAGTTCAAGCTGCTCACTTGCTGTTGCTGCTGAGGATTCATGGCGTCAGTAGGTACCTGCACATATTGCGCTTGTTGTTGATCTCCGGCTTGTTGCGACATGGTATTTTAATCAAACAAACAATAAAAAACTCTTTTTTTCATTAATTTTCTGTAATAAATAAAAAAAAAGACGCGATTTGAACACACGTCACATCACTTTTTTCATCCCCACTGCCTAAATCACTTACCATTGTTCATCAAAAGACTCTGTGTGTAGTCATTTCTTAAAAGATACAAAAGAAACATGCACTGTTTGAATAGTATCATATTTGACCTCGGGGGATATTATATTTTAAGGATGTCCCTGCTTAAATTTAGTTTTTCATTTGACACTTTACTATTTGGACGGATTTTATAGATCAACTCTGTGTAATGCAATCGCTAAATTTACCTTAGTAACAAACGTTCACAAAGTCAAATATTTTTGTGTCATTAATTTATTACAATGAACTTGCCTCGTAAGTACGGCCAATATATATGGAATTTTATATTGTAAACAATGCACAGACTCGAATTGACTATCCTGAAGACAGTTGTAAATAACAGTAAAAGAAAATTACTTGAACATTATGTGGACTGCGAACTCGTGGAAGTAAATTAGAATACATCGGTAAGTACATACTTACATTCATACTGCAATCGTAAATTATCGTTAATAATAGGTGTTTCTAATAGGTTTTAAAGTGTTTGTATATAGCTGATATAGTGGAATATCACTAAAGACCATGACATACTAAAAGTTTAGCATATGAAGTTTAAGTGAGATTTCTTATTTATTCAGTTACGTATTTCCATGATAAACTGTCACAGTTATTTAGTTCGAAAATGACAGTTATAACATTGGCCAATATCTTGTCGAGCGATACTTCAAATGAGAAACATTTTCGAACAAAAACAGATGGAGTCGCCGTCAGAAAGGTCTGATCACCGATTATTAAAAATATTTTGTTTAATTCGCTCCTGGAATACTACAAGTCGATGACAAATTGTATATTTTCCAAAATCTCATCAGCGCGGATGATGCCGTGTATACATTCGTAAAAGCGGAAATCATTAAGGAATATGTATTGTGGCATTCAATTATACTTAGTACAGTAAAATAGTAAGATAGAACGTATATGTAATATCCGAAGTCTATAAAGCAATAATTTCATTCAAATATAATTTAATGCTTTATTGAACACATAAGTTGCTCTGATGTTAACATGATTTGATAATCTTTAGCTATGAATGTTCTGTGCTATATGATTGAGCCATTAGCATAATGACTGGCTAGATATGATAGATGAGACCTTGATCTGATAGCTAGAAAAACTCTGCTGCCATGATATAATTGATCCGTTTTATATTGAACAGCTGTCCCTGGTAGTTGTGTTAAGTCAGCCTTTTCGTCTTCTAATAAATCTATATTTCGTTTCCCACCGTAAGTCGCCTAATGAGTATAAGCAGGCACGTTTTAACTAAAACACGACACCTCTCTTATTCTAGTTATTCCTGTATGTAACCCATAAAAAAAAATCTGTTCAAAATATCTCCTCGTTTCATGTATTTCCCCCTCCTTTCTTTCTTTAGGCTGCTCGCCGCGTTTTTGAATAATCAAACTCTGGCCAAAGTTTAAATTTATTGATCCTGATGCTGGTTTCGAGCTTTTCTAAAGTACAAGTACCTCTCTTCCTCAAGCCATCATTGATACATTAAAGAAATAATGTAATGGTGCCTTGTTAGGTGCTGCCAGGCAATAGTTCTTTTAAAATAAAAGGGGGGTGTGTGTACTTATCTTGTGCTTAGCTCTCCTTCTCACAAGATTGCTGGTTACTCTTCTATTATTGCTTTGCGTAAGCATTTGAATTTGTATGACAATATGCGTCCTGTCAAGTCTGCTAACTCTCCTGGTTTACCCAACCAAAAGTTATTGGATATGCTCATCATTAGTGAAAACACTGAGTATTTGGTAGGGGCATATAGAACATTCATATTCATTTTTACCATCGTCTTACCCGTCCATTCTAGTATATCAAGTCTAAAATAGAAAAAGTTGACCCAAGACTGGTTTGAAAGTTGCATGGACTGATCGTAAGATTTCAGAATACGCTTCTTAACGTATCGGTAAGATGACATTTGATATGACCTTGACGCGTGAAAAGCTTAGATCCGAAACACCTGTCACCAACCGTTTCTGGAAGCATAACCCTCGTGTCACCATCATTCACAAGTCCAATGTCTTGAGCATCACTGATGATTCATAACGCAAGACTGCTCGTGGCGTCAAGGAAAAGAATGCCGAAGTAAACAAGGGAGTTGATATGGAAGAGCAATTAGTGGTTCCTAATGTTTACCGTATGTTCCGTGAGTCTGAGGCCTTTGACGTTGTCGTCGCCCTCAACCTTTATGGTGACATCATCTCTGATGGTGCTGATGCTCTTGTCGATTCTCTTGGTATTGCTCCCTCCGCCAACATTGGTGATAAATTTCTCATGGGTGAACTCGTTCATGGTTCCACTCCTGATATTGCTTGTAAGGGTATTTCTAACCCCATTGCCTCTATTCGTTCTGCTGGTATATTGTTGGAACACATGGCTTATACCTCTCAAGCTCTCAAGATTTACAACACTGTCGATGCTGTCATGGCTGATGCCTCTATTCTTACCCCCGATTTGGGCGGTAAGAGCTCTAGCTCTGAAGTGACTAAAGCTGTTCTTAAGAACCTCCGTGCTTAAGGCATACACTCATAGGCATTATTACCCCCCTTACTTTCGAACATATATTAAAATTCAATAGACTATAAAAAAATGTTCTTGTATGTCTGCTGTGCGGTGTATTTACATGTGTTGGCATGAACAAAGTATTAAGGTTTTGACAAACGTTTTATGCCTCAGTGGATGTATTTCAACAGGGGATGTAAAGAAAGGTTTATTATGGTATATTTTATATTTTATATAATTTAATATGCAGCGGCTACGCCTTGCTTTCTAGGATCACTAGCAGCATGGATTGTACCATCACTAAATCGTCTAATAGCTTGTGACGCAGATGTTGTACCTGTTTCTAGTAAATTACGGAACTATTGATTGATGTCACGTTAATAATTTTAAAAATCTGGCAAACTTTTTTTTTCTCTCTTTCTTATTACCTGATGTCCCTTTGTTTTCAAAACTTCCAGGATTTCCGCGCTATAACCGGTTTCGAATTGAACTTCATTAGGAATCAATTGATGATGAATTCTAGGCGCCTTCACCGCTTCAAAGACATCAAGGCCAAAATCAAAGGTGTTTAAAATCACATTCAAGGTGGCTGTCAAAATTTGGGACCCGCCGGATCCGCCCACGACCAATTGAAGGTTGTTATCTTCATCTTCAATAATAGTGGGTGTGATGGTGGACAAGGGACGTTTGAAGGGTGCGATGTAATTGTAAGGACTAGGGAATAAGCCAAAATTGTTAGGAATGCCGGGGATACTGAAATCATCCAATTCATCGTTCAAAATAATTCCAGTGACAGGATCCATAAATTTAGCACCAAACATCAAGTTCACAGTAGAAGTCAATGAGACAGCACCGTTATCTTTGTCTACCACAGAGAGATGCATAGTACCATGAGGGTCATTATTTTCATACTTGGGTTCATAATACAAGGGATCATGCGTTGTGTCCTACAAATAATATTAACATTTATCAGCTACAATTTGCATATATCAATATATATATATATATATATATACTTTACATCTGAAATATTCTTTCGCACAAGATCTGCCCATTCTTTGCTGATGATTTCATCCATGCGTTCACTATTCTCGATAAATTCAGGATCTCCAATTTCAGTACGGAAAGAAAATCCGTATTTCACGGCTTCGATAAAACGGTGGATATTTAAACCGGTTGGACCGGTTGTGTTGAAAAAGTAAGGTTCAATGATATTCAAGACAGATAAAAGTGCTGGGCCACTGGTGGGTCCTGCTGTTGTGGTGACTCTACGACCATGGTAATATGTACTGATAGTGGGTCTCACCAATGCACGATAGTTTGCCATATCTTCTAAAGTCAAGATACCACCCGCCGCTTGTGTAGCATTGACAATGGTTTCGGCAATACTCCCCTAATATACTCTGTTACACACATGCGCTTTGATAATCGTAAAACAAATACCTTATAAAACACATCAGGGCCCTCTAATGAAATGGTTCTTAAAGTAGCAGCTAAAGTAGGTCTCTTAATTAGTTCACCGGGATTAGCAATCACGCCCGAAGGGGCATACACGTTCGAGAATTCAGGCGACTTTTCGATCCATGCCTTAGATTTCTGACGTACCAATAAAAAAATATAAAAAAATTCGCCATTATTCATCTCGTTGACTACATAATCTTATTCACAAGCTTACCACTAATTTCTCGAATAATAAATCTGTCACCTTGAAACCATCTTGCGCAACTCGAATAGCCGCTGTAAAAAGATCCTTCCACGGAAGTTTACCATGTCTGATTTGCTTTAATGTCAGTTCACTCTCACTCTCACATGATCCACAAGGAATATTTTACCTTTGATGAGCCAATTCAAATCCTCTTATCTCACCACTAAAAAAAATTATTACAGAATTAAAATAAATCCTCCGTTCCTTGTCCCTATCAACTTACGGTACACCAACTGATAAACCTCCAATTTGGGCCGCCATCGGATCTTTTACAAACATGTCTCTAAATGCAGCCGCTGGTGCCGTCTCTCTGAAATCAATATGTTCAAATGTTCCATTGGGAGAACGAATAAGCATAAACCCACCACTACGCAAAACATACCAAAAAAAAAAAAAAAATTAATACTGCGATAAGCCTATCACCAAGAAAAAAACAAATATATTACCCGCCGATACCTATAATTACAACCAATGAATATGACGCAATTTTTTAAATTAAAGGATGATTTGATCATGGAACTTACCCGTAGCAAAACTATTTACAACTCCAATACAAAGCGCAGATGCAATGGCAGAATCAACAGCACTACCACCTTTTTGTAATACTACACACAGGTTTTTAATCATTAGACATGAACAGCCAGTATATATTTTTTATATCCCCTTACTATCTAATCCTGCATCAGAGCACTCTTTCAATTCGACAGCAACAGCTCCTTTGTTACCAACAACAAGATGAGGTAACGATGCCTTGTTGTCTAAATAAAAAAATCAGTTTTTAACAAGAAAAAAAAAGGGTCGAATGCCTATTGTTTGTTTTTGAAATGGTACCTGAATATAAAGCATCATGGCGCAAGAGTGACACGACAACTCCAATTGAACTGAAAACAAGCGCAGCAGATACGGCAATTAAAAACTTGTTTCCCTTGGACCGTTTCTGAGTATGGCTTAATAAGCCTTGGGTCTCTTCGTCTTGTGTACTCATAAAAAAAAAAAGTTGAATGCAAATGAAAAAAAAAATGAAAAAAAAAATCATGATGCATCCCATTATATACAAATTAGGAATTTTTCAGTGGTCACGATTTTTTTTTTTTTTTTTTTTAGCTCCAATGACCGCCCTCATGTGGCATTTTAATTTTAAATGACAGAAATGGTTTGGCCCTGTAACAACCTTACCTCCCATTTATCGTTGGCACTAGCCATGTAAACTCCAGGAAAATGTATACAGATAACCATTAAATGCATTGAAGCTAATCCGAATGAAAGCGCATTTTTAACTCTATAATTCAAATTTAATTCGTCCGGAAAAAAAAATTATGGCTGGGATAACATAGCTGGGGGTAATAAAGACCTCTCGATCCTAATTGTATTGGCCCGTGAAAATATTCAGAATCCAATAGATGTGAGATCCAGAGGGTGTAATTGATTTTATAACCAATTGGATGGCAATCCAGAGGCTGTAACCAAATACTTATAAAAATGCTTCAATCAGGACGATAACTATGAGGTTTCGATCCAACTGGTAATATGTAATTATACGCGGACGGATCTTGTCTGCTGACATAAGCTCGAACAATAAATTGATCATACAGTATTAGGTATTACCCTTAATAAGAATATGCTGTACCTACGAAAAAAAGTGTCTACCAACAGGCGCCGCAACCGTAATCAAAGCTAAACTCGAACAAAAGAGAAAAAGCAATCAGTTTGATACTTTTAAGGAAGCGGATATTCCAGCATCTGGTTTGTGGGTCCAGCAAAAAATAAATTGACTCAAACAACAAGGAAAATTTACCGTCTATGGATTTATAAATAATTTTATTGCTGAAATTACGAATCAACAATCGTTAGAATCAACGTCAGAAAGCAGCAGCAGCACATCTATTCCCTCTTTTGAGTCTGAAAATGATGCAGAAACAGTTATTGCCAATACAGATTCAATAGAAGATGACTACCGTACAGTCAGTAGGAGCCTTAAAAGGGTAATTAATAAAGACTTTGATTACAATATATTTTTACAAAGCATGGAAGCTTTACAAAACGAATGCACCTTGAGTATGCATGGAATGTCTCAAGCAATAGGCTCATTAAGTGAATCTATTATTTCTGGCGCTATTTTTTCTTCGAAGCCTAAATTCTACTTCGACTATAGTTGTACCGGACTTAATGATTTAGAAGCACATCTAAGAAAAACACCTATTGCAATCCTAGGTCCTGCAGAAAAACAGTTCCTTGATGATAGTGGTTTTTTGGCTTATCTTGGCTTTTGGTCTGTTTTGTCCTACTGCGTTGGAAAAAAAATCAGTTTAAAAAATAAGCACCCGTAGGTAGTTTTTATTTATCATCCTTAAAAATAATAACATATATTTTTATGATCCGATAAAGAGCTATTGAGTTCATCAAAAGCAATTTGGAAGCACGACACATGCGTGATTTTGTAACAACTCCTGCTATTTCGTACGCCTACCGTCACCCTGAAACTTTTTACCGGTCTAAACATATTTTGGACCGATACCGCCGGTATCGGTGCAATTTTTAGAAATTACAGATACCGGCGGTCTTTTTTGAAGATTGCACCGATACCGATTTTTAAAAAAAATGAAAATCACTGCAAAATCGAGTTTTGTAGTTTAATAAACATATATTACGATACCTATATAACTTATATGATTAAAAGAAAATTTATTAAGTTAATACGGTGACCGCAACAGGGGGTCAAAAAGTGTATCTTGTTCTTTACGCGTTTGGTGTTACACGATTAGGCTTTTTTTGTATCGTGCTTTCAATTGACTTACGCTTTTTTTTTTTTTTTTTTTTTTTCACTTCTTCGCTGGTTTTAACGGACGAATAACTATCAAAACATATTCACTACTTAAATGTCTCTATGACAAAGTATTGACATTTTTTTTGTCACATATATATTACAAATAAAATGTTTATAGTATTAAAAGCCATGTGCTTTATGTCCAAATTTTTGCCACTCAATAAATAGCCGCAACACTTTTTATTGAAATCACCCTCCTTCTTAGAATTTTCTTTCTAGTTTCCCCATTTTTTCCATCTTGTAAAGAGACAAGTTATAGGAAACAAAAGAGTGGTCAAAGGGTCATTGAAAGTATCTATCAAACGCACTGGAAGAGTACTCTATGTTTGTGTGTACCGTTCCTGTACGTAATATCTATTGAGTTTAAAAAATCATTATTTATAAATCTAATATTTTTTTTCTTTCTTATTTTCCTTTTTTCTGTTTTCTTTTTGACAAATGACCATGAAATAGTATGTATAATAATTGATACCATAATTTAACATAAAATTAACCTTTTACAGTTATGTAACTCTGTTTGATGTAGTTTATGAATAATAAATATTGTGTTTGCGTTCATGGTAGATGAACTACATTCTTTTCGAAGTAAGATTTATCGCTATAGTCACCTTCATTCCTGTTATTAATATCAATATATGTCTATAGATTTACTGTACGTTTACTGCTTGTAAATTTAGACCCGGACGACCTGTTTCTTTATTAAGGTATGATGTGTTTTTTTATCTTTTTTATACTCGTTATTAACGTTAGTTCTTATTATAGGTAAGTACCGCCCAGACGCGTTTGTCTATAACAGTTGTAACTACTAGCTCAATAAGTTGGTATGGGCGGGTTAGTTTCGTCTTTCATCTGTAAAACCAATCTCTGTGTTTATTTATTCAAACATTTGTGGCTCTTTTTTTCTTTTTCTTTTTTTTTTCAATAAAATGTCTTTTTTTTATTCAATATATGATGTCTAAATTTTTGGGTTTACAATGGTAGCAACTCGTGAACTGAATACGTAAACTGTATTATTATCCAATAGAATTATTTGCCAAAACCATCGCTTGTAATCATCAGTATCGGTCCAAAAATGCGACCGATTTCTTACAAAATCTGTCCAAAAATGCGACCGATTTTTTATAAAATCGGTCCAATTTTTGGACCGTTACCGCCGGTCTAACTTTTTCATTTTTTTTTAAAAAATTGGACCGATAAAAAGTTTCACAGTGCGTCAATACTACACGAACTTTACAAATATGTTGACTTATCAAAAGTACATGCAGGATTTAAAAGTTGTAGTAACTCTGATTATTAGTGCTAATCTTTGCAAACAAATTGTTTTTTAAAACCCTCTATGGTAGTTTCAAAAGCCTCCTCGTCAAAAAAATTCTCCTCTGGCAAAAAGAAGACCACAAAACTATTTATAATGAACGAGCTTTTTGAATGTCTTTTAAAGTATAATCAACATGAAAAAAAGGGAAATTTCTTCGTCATAAAACAATTGATAGAGAAACTGTTTCGAACTACAGATACAGCCAGTGACAAAGAAAATATAATGATGATTACAAAGCTTTTGTCCGTAGATGCTGATATGTATTTTTTCGAAGATGAAGATGAATACGACGATGAAGCCGATTTATTGATTAAATCTCATTCAGATTTGGATGATGACAAATCGGTTACTTTGGATTATACGCAAAAGGACTTAACAGCTAAGGAGGTTAGGGCTCTATCCACTGTTTGTATTATGCTGATACAATCATCAACGATTGGAAATGAAGTGGATGCCGAAAAGATATCTGAAAAGTTGTATTTAGATACCCAAGAAAGCGTTCCTAGAGCAGCTCTTGATTTTTGCACAAAACTTGTTAATGGTCCCAGAAAAATACGTTCCAAGAAGGATGAGGAGTGCTTGGGACGCTTTTTTGGAATGAGAAAGCTTCGAAATTTGATTGTGCGATACGCCAAAGAACATTATAAAAGAAATAGAATGAGTGTTTGCAGCCTGTATCCGATTTCATATAAAAAAATCTCTATTAGGATGGACAGCAAATCACTTTACTTACTCTTTGCTAAATCGTACAATATGCACAAGTCAGAAAATACGTACTTCACAAACTACTTGGATATCTCTACGGAAAACGACAAACAGTTGATATTATCATATTTTTTTGATATAAGTTATCTAGAAAGAAGATTGAAAGAACAGAAATTACATCCAACCTTTTCTTTCATATTTTCAAGTCAGTATTCCCTTAAAAACTATTACAAATTGGATTTAAGGCGCGTGCAGAATTGGAGGAAGCTCCCACATAGCATTCTGTATCCAACTGTCATTCGTATATCGTATTTAGGCCAATCATGTAATCTTTAATATAGAAGTATGTACTCGTAGTAGGAGAAGTTGTATAGCAGTATACAAGCGTGTGCTGTTATTCAACATTAAAGGTTGTTTTAATTTCATAGTTTATTTATTTAAACGATTTGCTCAATTATTCTTAAGTGAATCGTACCCAAATACGACAGTACGGCATTCGTTTCAATGCAGCGTTCAAATGGGCTTTTGTATTTAGGGCGGATTTTGTAAAGTCACTGCTCATTTTAGAGGAAGTGGTGGATGAATGGCGTGCCAGCTCTCCAGTAGTAACATCCAACTCATCACTATTAAAATCCTTAATTTTAAGCTTACAATCCAGCTTAAAGTGAAAATTGATTATAGATAAATATGGTGAATTGGTGTCACCCCTACACAAGTGGTTATTATCATTATACGTGCTTCTAAACAAGAGCAAGGATTGAAACCTACCATTGTATAAAGTACTCAGTCGGGTTAAAAAAAAGCTCAATGATTGGTCCCCAGAATTTGACGAGGAAGGACATCTCCGAGAATTGATTTAATGATGAGCGATGAAACAGTATCGGGTTGTTAATTATTTGATCCATTCTATGAAGCGTGAGTGTTATATTAGTATATCGCCCGTATTTCATAGTGTTACAACCTACATATGTACGTATATCATCTTTGTTCCACGTTCATTCGAATTAGTATAATGATATGATTCAGTACGCTTTAAAAATGTATCACCAGCAACAGCGTTTTCAATCTAAATTGTTTATCTAGTATTTGTACACGTTTTTACATAGTAAGTTGTGTTATTTATATATTACCTTTAAAGTACCCTTGTGCAATTCTGGTATGTCTCTATCCAATCCATCAATGCTTAACTGGAATTTGCTGTTTAGTTGATTTACTTTGACACCAATCAATTTCAGCTGATCAGCGTTACTGATGTCGATGATTACATTGCGAGACAACAATGCAATACACTTTGTTTTGCAGCCATTTATTTCCACTTCATGGCCCACGGAAAGAGTCTTTTACCCTAAGGTGCCCTTCAAACCGTAAATGTCTAGACTTCCGTATTTTTTTCAAACGTATTTTTTTAATACCACTTACAGTAATTCTGGCTAAGACCAGAAGGCCAGTATGACTAAACCTATTTGTAGTCCAATCACAACTATTCACAGTTCGTGAATTCCAAAAACTCAAGAACTCTGCCTAGCAGATTGCCCTCCTATAGCAAAGACTAGCCGCATCCGCAATATCGCAATGTATCTTTTTCAATTTTAACGTCTTTTGAAAGAAACATAAGTGTCATTACTAAATTACCTTTTTACATTATTAGTTACTTTCATTCGATAGAAATATGTTAAAGGAAAAGAAAAGAAGGAAGAATAAAGTGTGTGAACCAGCTTTATTTTTAGGCTGATAAACAAGAGCTTATGTCAGAATGATTTAATTGCTTGTTTCATCATCCATAATGTTTGGGCCTTTACTTAAAATAGAAACACTTGCAAAAACCTCCTAAGCAAATCAAAACTTGGTAGTTGTATATCTGTGCTCCAGTAGTAGCTTGTAATGAAAGTGAAGCCGATTTTATGGAAAACAGAAATCGATCCTCCTATGAAGTTTAGACAATGTGGCATGTCAATCGACGTGTAGACCATCACATGATTCTAAAAAATACGTTTGAAAAAAATACGTTTGAAAAGAATACGGAGTTCTAGACATTTTCTTCTTTTAGTAAGTATCTTAAAATATAAGGCAATTTGATCTATCCATTACTAACTATGTTCTGTCCAAAATATTTTAATGCTTCTAATGCTGCCGGTTAGCACACCATGGCAATTCCTAAGCAATGTATGTGATCATCATAGCATACTTTATTAGGTACAGGAACTAGCCCTGTGTGAGACGATCGATTGATAGCACTCATGGTTTTGATTTCCAGTCCTTTAAGTCTTGTTTTTGGCTGGCACAGCTTAGAGTCGGTAGCTTGGAAGATGATGGCTGCTTTCAAGTGAACATTGCTAGATATGATGACCATTACGATAGGTTAATGGGTCGATTCTATTACTTTGCTTTTTAGAAGTCATGTACTTTATCCAGACTACAACATCAACAATATTCATGCAAGAACATCAATATCATCAGCTAAAATAACAGCACATTTAATGTTCACTTCCAGTCTTTACTATACTAATGCTTGTTATAGCATATTTTATTGACTTGTAATAATTTTTTTTTTTGGGAACTTGTGCAAAATATGCAAAATAATATCTATTAAGATCATATTATATTTAAAAATTTGTTATGACTCATTGCAAAAGTAAAATAAAGATCACAGTAACGACGACCAAATGAATATAAATGTAGCGTTTGAAGCTATTATGCTACTAAATGATCCAATTGGTATTGTTATATGTTTATTAGCTCACGAGAAAACCAAAAACAAAATGATAATTCATAGGGAATAAGGGGATATATATGAGATAAAGTTACGTGGTTCAACTTGATCTTTACTTTAGTTATAATACATATGAATATAATTAATTTTTAGCATTTCCTTTATACCTCCAAATTGGTGTAAGCTTTCTTTTAGGGGGAAGTGATGCCTCTTCATGATTATCGTCTTCTCGCATCTTATGCTTCATACTTTTGTTTCTTATTTTTTTATCAGTGAGTCCCTGTTTTATAATATCCGCAGTATTCAAGGTATAATGCTAAAATTCAAAATATGTTAGTATTAGATTACTACTTTCGTTTCTTTTCTTTTTTTCAACCTTGAAATCAAATAGGTTGTCAATAGTCAGTTGCTGCACCTTCATCTTCATCTTGGCCATCTCCTGCTTCTTTTCCAGCACTTCACTGTAGATGGTTGTATCTACGGGTTCATCCAAAATAGACTTGAAGTCCTGGACGAAGGTAACAGCACCAGAACTTTTCTTTGCTTTCTTGACCGGAGGAGCAGCGGTAGCTTCATCTTCACAGGAGTCAGACACCGTTTCCACTACATCATTACTTACAGGCACTTCATTGGAAGTAGACTCAACATGTCTTGTCTCATCTTCTTTATCTTTTATAGTGTCTTTCACTTCAGAATCCTGGGCACCTAGAATATCAGAAACACCGACGATCCTGAAGAAACGTTTCCAATTTATAATAATAAGGAAAGACATCTTTAGCCACTTCTATTGTAAGTGAGATATTAATAACTTAATCTGTACCCATTTTGACTCTTTACAACTTACTTTCGAATTCTTTTGAACCAGTATCCTTAGTTTCTCCCTTTGCGCCGTTTCCGGTTTGCAAAAAACGTAAACCTGCTTTACGGTACTCGACCATGTATTTCTTCATTTGTGCACGAATGTCTTCCATCGTACGGTAAGTTAACGTTTTTTAACAAAAATAATCTAAACACTTAAAGGCTAATCTTCTCTTGGACATATAAACTCTCTATGCGCCTTTTTGGTTTTTGGTTGGTGTGAGAAAATTCAAGTTGTTTGCATTATTATCCAAAAGGAAAACAAGAAGGCGGGCATCTGATGACAAATTATCATCGCCTGCTACATCAGTTTCCCACCTAACGTGAGACTTCTTTGTTTTGGTAGCTGTGCTGGGCTTGGAAGGTGTCTCCTCTGGTTTAGTAGTTGTCGTTAATGAATTGACAGCTCTTGGCTTTGGGTTTGGCTTGACCGGTGTTGGCTTGGAATTGGTAGTACGCTTGGTCATGTTAATAGTATTAAAGAAGTCTATTATTGATCCAGGTTCAAACATTCTTCTTTTATACTTTTAAGATAGACATAAATAACCAACCGCTGACCTGAAATCACATTGAGTCATCAGTAACGGATGTTATATTGGTTGCAAACATGCTCATCTTTTAAAATTGATTTTAATAAAAGCGTCTTCCCGCGAGAGTTTGCATTATCCCTCAAGTTAACCATTCTATTTTCTTTTTCTTGAAAAATAAATGAAAACCAAACGCGAGTCAGTGCTCGGGGCTGTCGGTTATTTGATTTTCTCTAAGACTTGCTTCGTCTCTTCAATTGGGGGACGGCTGATGGTAGTATGTATGATTTAATTGAACTAGCAATGTATAAGTGATCACCAGCAGTTTTTAAAGACACAACATGAGCTTCTAAACCTGAAATAATGACATGTTAAAAATTTAGTCATGTAATAGATGGAGGAATAGATTCCAATTTTACCCATGATTTGGATGTTGGTGATTATCAACAAATCCTTGTTTTCCTCACCACACCCATATAAAGAGGACCGTTGTACGTAGCAATGACAAACCCAGCCGTCTCCAACAAGCGTTTCATCCGGTACATAGCCTCATCCGGGTTATCTTGAATTTGAGCTTGCCAAACATCCCCTTCATATTCTAGAGAGGTTTGCGTCATGATTTTTAAAAAAAAGAAATACTTGAGAGGAAAACATTTAAACTTGAAAAAAAAAGTACCCCTATTTATACCATTTCTCAGCAAGTTGCATAATATGAACATACTTGCCGAGTCATCCAGTTTTCTCACGTTGTATTAAACAGGGATGCAATTTTTTTTTCTCATTTAATCTTGCATTAAATCCTTTTTTTTTTGTCTACTCGGAACTCTCTACCTTTTCCTTAGTCTTTATGTCTCTTTTGAATTTGACCTCTTGCAAAACAATTTATTTTACCTTGACCTCTTGTATAAAAAATTATTTTTTCAATCTGCCTTGACCACAATTCTTTCGTTTGCAATGTCCATACCCATTACTTGATTGTAACTTGTTTTTGCTTCAAGTAAAAATTTGCTCCTATCCGTTTTGATTTTTTTTTTGACCAGAATATGGGGCAAATTCAGTACAAGAAACTGGATATTCTGTACCATCGTATATTAAGACAAGTTGTGCATCCAACTTGTAAAATATGGGGTCAGCATCATCACTTCTTAAACCTTTCTCCCCCCTATTGCTCATAATGTAAGACAATTTTATTCATAGAAATAAACTTTGTGTAAAACTTACCATCGAATAGGGATTCCAGTGTTAAAGAAAAGAACCTCAAAGAGATCCGCCCATACTTTAATTATAATGTCTGCCTCTGATGGGGTGGGCTTCGAGTTAGTAAATATAGAACTGTGTTTGATCATTTTATCAAGACTAATAGATATTTTGTCAATCATTTAAGTAAGGATTTTTAAAATAATATAAACTTACATGACACTAACAAGCTCATATCCAGTTTTTTCATTCAAATTTGACGATATATTGCCCAACTCTCCTAAGTTTTAATAATGTGTCAACCTTTCTGGTTTTGGAATAAATCCATAGTATATTTCTCGCCTTGGATTAAATGAAAACCACTCGTTGAATTGTTTTCAGTCAACGTTGTCCCATATCAGTGGATCGGGAGCACGAGTATTCTAATAAATCTTTAGTGTTACGGGACACCTATACTTTCTTTGATAGTGTTTTGCATTCCAGTAGCAATCTTCAATATCGTAGGAGTTCTATAATAATATTTGTTATATACTTAACACAAGCAAATGTTTATGACTGATATTTACCTCAAATGTTCTGCAAATTTTGGGTAGTCTGGGTCTAGATTCAATCAGATCATTATCAGTCGAAGATGTTGAGAGCAATGCTTTAATCTGATTCCAGTCCTCGTTTGAGAATAATTGACGTTGATTGGTCAAACTTCCACTCGTTAAATCTAATATGCAATTGAGGCCGCAGCTTTATAAAGAAAGAAATAAGTATTATTTTTAGGGTTGAAGCTATTGTCAAAATTTACTCAACAAGCGCTATCTCAGAAGGCGTTAAATCCTTGTAATTGATATTTTTTTTCATTGCCTCCCGCTTGATACTTGTTCCAATCGATAATTCATTGTTGTTAATTTTTATGTTATCTTCACCAACATACTAATTGAAGATGTGTCAGAATTAATTTCCATTGAAAAATAATATTTATGACGCGTTACCTGAGCGATTTCCTCAGTGATAGAAGGAGGGCAAGAAGAAGAGGACGCGATAGAACTTGAACGTTTTGCCTTTTTTTCATTCACCTCTTGAAGAAAATTTGCAGTTGTCAGATTTAGAAATGTCGATTCTTCAAAAGCTTTGTTCTCCAAGCTTTGTAGGTAACTATTTTGTTCTAAACAAAGCACATATAAAAGGATTAATGAGTAAGTGATAGCGAAGACACGTTAGAAAATTGAAGAATACCTCTTTGTTCATTTTGTTTGATAATTTGGAAAAAATGATTCTTGATCAGTGGCCGATTAATACTTTTTTTAGGGAAATGTCTAGACCTCCGTATTTTTTTCAAACGTATTTTTTTTGTACCACTTACAGGAATTCTGGCCAGAAGACCAGCAGACCAGTATGATCGCACCTATATACAGTGCAGTCACAGCCATTCACTGTTCTTGAGTTCCAAAAACTCAAGAACCCTGCCTAGGAGGTTGCCCTCCTATAGCAAAGACTAGCCGCAGCCGCAATATCACAATTATATATCTTTTTCGATTTAGCTTCTTTTCAAAGAAACAAGAGTCACTACTAAACTAACCTTTTTATGTGATCGGTTACTTTCATACGATAAAAGAAGTATGTTAAGGAAAAAGAAAAGGAGAAGAACAAAGTGTGTGAACCAGCTTTATTTATTGATAAACAAGCTTATGTCAGGATGATTTCATTTGTCTATTTTCATCCATAATGTTTAAGCCTTTACTTAAAATAGAAACAGTTGCAAAAACCTCCCAAGCAAGTCAGAGCTTGGTAATTGTCTATCTGCATTCCAGTAGTAGCTTGTAATGACAGTAAAGCAAATTTTATGGGAAACAGAAAACGATCATCCAATGAAGTTTAGATGATATGGCATGTCAATCGACGTGTAGACCATCACGTTTGAAAAAATACGTTTGAAAAAATATGTTTGAAAAAAATACGGAGTTCTAGACATTTCCTTTTTTTAGCACCGAAAATTGTAAAAATCCAACGTCATCCTTCTATTTCCTATTTTTAAACAAAAAAATCGGTCAATACAATGATTTTTTACTCTAGACATCATCGAAATGAATGCTATACACAACTCAGCAAATGCATATAATCGAATTTAAGATAATATAAAACCAAGACATTTATGTTTGAAAGGTAAAAAAGTTATAGAGATGCCAACTTCAGGTAAAATACTGATAGAGCTATTAGGCGTCATCATCGTTCGAAAAGAGGAGGATGTTAATACGCTGATTCATCCATTCTATCCATAGTGATGAGGCATATCTGTCCCTGGTGTTGATATTCTCTTGATGTTAACCTATCATCTCCATGACAGTAGACTGGATGTCAAGAGCACAACTGTGATGGATAGACTCATGCCTTTTGTCTCTTGAGAGAATATCAACAATGGGATATGTATGTCTCTAAGTCCTGTTTTCGCTACAATGAAGGAGCTTCATCTCTGACGGTTAGAGAGATAGCTTGAGCCAACTGTCCATAATATCTGGGGGTGCATGCCTCCAGCCTTCGTTATAGCTGAAAGCAAACTGCAATGGTTGAAGATTTTTCCTGCTGTTTTCTTTTCATGTCTTCATCAAAGCTAGTAGATCGTAAAATAATAAATAAAGAACTAGAATCCTGTCAAGTTACTTTCTTCCCATGTGCAGAATGTGTCACCATTTTCAAAAATCCCACAACTGTCACATTGTCTCCAATGTTGATGACAACCATTTGTTTTCTTCGTTATTTTCGTACGATAGAACAGTTGGAAAGCAAGATTTATGCGAGGCAGCGCAATGTCTCTTCATGACTTGAAGTACTGCGTAAAAACTGGAAGTTTCATCAAAATCGCATTAAAAAAAGGAATACCAGTTTACCCACACACCAGTTAGTCGCCTGTGTTTTTGATTCATCTAATTAGCTTAATGTCAGTTCGGTTTTGAAATAAAAGCTAAAACGTTCTTTCTCGTTTGAAGCGGGATATACTCGCCTTTGTTGTTACACGCACGCATTTAAGCAGTGTTTTTTTTTCTTTCTCTTTTTATCCATTTCTTTATAAAAAAAAAAAACTTGTATTCGTTCTTGCTTCAGGTGCTTGCTTCAGGTGAACATGCAACTGGTATGCCTTCTGTGCTTACGTCTGTTACAATGACTCTGGTAAACGTATTCATTCCGTTTCTGAAGTTTCTGTTTTTAATTAACACAGACAGGTGTATCAAAGCTCTGCTTGCACTTTATTTTGTTGTTGCGATAATTAAGTGATTTCCAATTATCTCTGTTCTTTTTTGTAAATGTTCTTTCAGACTAAGACTCCTATCATTAACATCGTAGCAGTGGCTTTGTCCGTAAAAGAAACTTGGAAATTTTATTTATGAGTTTTCAATCAACAACTAATCCCAATGCCCATAAAAAAATGTGCTGTTTCATTAAACAGAGTAATCAACGCATGCGTGCTGTGCCATACATCTTTTACTTTCTGGATCACTTAATTTTGAGTCTTTATACGTATCAATCTATCTACAAGTATTAATATTTAAACAAATCTTACCTTCATTCTTTTTATTAAAATAAATAGTCAACTTTAACGTATTTAAGGATTACACTTGTATAAATGAAAGTTTTTTATATGGTTGAAGGCCGAAAGGGAAAGCTAATTTTAAAACATACACCACCGTAATAACGCATTTAATCCCCCCCTCCCCTTTTTTTTTGAGTAAATGGGTAAACACTTACTAAACTTCGTCCAAATGGACAGCTCGGGCGAGAAAATATAGCCTTGGTGTTAACAATAAGGAAAGGTTTTCCAAGACTAGCCACGAGGAAGGTAACTATTTGTGCTGTCTTAACATACGTTCTGTCAGAAATGCCACAGACTAGAACAAGAAGATAAGCCTTCTGTAATTTTTAATTATAGACAGTCAGATTAATCACTGTCGCTGTTCTTGGTTGTCACTCATGTAGTTGGTGGTAAAGATAAACCTCATAACGACCAAGGTATGTCATTAAATCCAAGCCACTCTGAAGGCAGATACATATATGACTGTAATAATAATAAGAAGGAAACGTTTTGAAATTCTCTCATCAACCAAGATGACTACACATGCAAATAGTGATTTGCATAAACAGCTAGACATGTATGACAGCTTCGCACACCTCATGTGATTTAAATCATGGGCCTGTAAAGAAAGAAAAGTAGCTCTGATTCTTGTTCGCCACCAGGACTGAAAATGATGTCAATTTAAATGAAGAGGAGGTAGGTGGTGGTAGGGGCACGTTACTAGGAGAATGCGTCATTTGGCAGTGACATGTATAAAATCTATATCCCCGACGGGATTTTTTTGCATTGATCTGTTATTTTTGTAAACCCGAATTATAATCCCTCTTTGATTCAGAATCGTGTATTGGTGGAAGTGTGATTTTATTGAACAGGTTTGAGTTTAATGATTGTAAATAAAAAAAAAGGGGGGGGTTTGCATCTGACTCTATCATTTCCCTTTTTAAGTGGTCACCTGTGATACAATAAAATCCAAGTATTTGTTTGGTTCTTTTTTCTCTCTCTCTCTCTCTTTTTTTTTTATTTATTTTCTTCTTGACATAAGAGCTATGAAGCTATATCGTGCAGAAACAGGTTGTAGTGTACAATGGGAAAACAACTCGCTCAAGGACATTGAGACGTAAGTCATTGGCTTTATCTCCACAACATATTTATATTAATAATGTCATTAGCATGGAGCAATTATACCAAACCATTGAACAATATACACACATTGCACCTGAAAACCAAATATTAATCACGAGCTATGGCAATATTGTTAAAACAGACAATGTGCAACAAGTACTTCAAGCTACCGGAAAAGTAAAAACATAAAATTGTCAAACTTTTTTTTTTTGTGAGACTTTAACATTTCTTAAAAGGACGAATATCTTGTATTTTGTTACAACAGAGAATGGTTATCTAAAAAACCTGCTCAAATGTCGGATTTGCTGGCCAAAGAGTTTCCCAAGTTACAGCCTGAAATTGTTTCATTTAATGGTAATATAAGCTTTCCTTTACAAGAAAGAAAAGCTTACAAATTTATTTTGCATAAATAGGATTAGGTCATCTAAAACAAATAGGGCAGCAATTAAACAAAAAAACAGTGGATGAAAATTGTGAAGCTTACGCCACATTATTCAAAAATCTCTATTCTTATAGCGGAGTAAGTAGTAAAAAGAAGAAGAAAATGCGAAACATTAAAAGTTTGTTTCATTTAGTCACTGATGGAAGGCATACAAACACATGCAAAAATAGCTTCGGACACTGTAGAAGAGCAGAAAATGCAGACAATGGCTCTTAACGTTGCCCTGGAGAACCTCAACTCTCATATTGGATCGGGCACAAGAAAAGTACAAGCGTACTTGGAAGTTGCCAAAAAGGAACTGGCAAGGCAAAATGGGTTGTTAAAGTCATTAAACAACGATATCAACATTCTACGCCACACATCCATTCATAAAGCAATCCTTGATAAATTGGACAATGGTGACGAGAGATTGAAATTACTGGATTTTGTTGATTTAGATCGTATTGGTTCCATACATACCGAATCTAAACAACTCTACAACAATTTAAAGAAAAAATCCCATGAATTAGCAAAAGTCACACGAGAATTAGCTAATCATCAAAAAGATTTGTTGGACCATGTGGGAAAAAGCAGCAATCTGCAATCGCTTGATGCAACTCTATCCGACGTTAAATCTATTGCCAAAACTGCACAAGAATGTAGTGATGATATCAGTAAAAGTATACCAAAGGTTGAAGACACCATCAATAAGTTGACGAGCGATTCAGTTTCTATTGCATTTAGCAATATGTCATTAAATACACGTCGTAATTCCGCTTCCTCGTCTCCCGTGTCATTCTCAATGGCCAAAAAGAAATTTGACTCTCTCAACCATTTGGCGATCTATCAATTTGATGATCCTATTTACAAATTAGTCAAATATGATACTATCATGCGCCAAAATGTTTCTAATCTCATCAAGTCTAAATACTCATCTATCTCAGAATTTTTTTTAAATATGAGTATTGTATCTGGTATACAGGACTGTATTGTTGAGATGGAACATGATACTGCAGAAGAATTAGACCGTTTAAATCTTTTCAAGAAGAAGTACGGTAAAAATGACCTGGAAAGTGTCAGACAGGTCGCATTTGCGTATGTAAGTAGGAACATATTAACAACTGAGGAATGACCGGATTTAACCTTTTTTTGTTTGTTTATATTACAGGGAGCTTTGTTGATTGAATTGGTCCGAAGGAGAGAGTACAAAAACGTAGGTTTATAAAAATAGAGTTTTTTGGAGAACATAAAAAGATTAAAATTTCACAAATGTAGATTATCGTTAAAAACTCAAACTTACTAGCGGACCTTCTCTCTGATTACCGCAGTGTTGAGGAAAAGAGACGAGAGCAGTTTAAACGCATCGTATCAAAGTCACTTCCGTTCAGATTTGCCGATCTTGACAAACCTTCACCGCAAAGTGAAGTCAATTTAAATCTAGTAAAAGATCACAACGAAACTACGCTCGAAAAAGGTGATATCACCGAATTTATTTCACTACTCAATACAGTATATGTACAGCCCGTGAGTGTATCTCCTAGTAAAAAGCCATCCTTTGCAACTGTTACAAGCCCAAAAAGATCGATTCATTCCAATAGAATTGAAGAAAATCCTATTCTGGTATTTTTAAATGCCATGTTTACCCAAATGAATGACCTGAAGTCTGATTTTTTAAAGACGCTTGAATCCAATTGTAAGTTTTTAATTTTTATTATATATTGTATAGTTTCCCTGATTGCATACTACTATTTAGTTTTCACGCTTCAAAAAATTGATGCCGCAGTTATGCAGCAGCTAATAGAAGCCGATGACCACCAAGATAAAGATTATGATTCTCCCTCAAAACCCACAAGTGCGTCCAGCTCATCAAATTCATCCACGTTTTCTGTTGTAGAGGATGATAAAGCCAAATTCCTAAAGCAGGACCAAGAAATTGAAGAACTCAAACAAGCATTGGCAAAGGTATAAAAAAATGACATAAGAGAAATCTAAAGTAGATCATTGACTTTTTCCTCTATTTCAAGGCCGAAAATGAGAAGGAAGATTTGGAGAACCAAGTGCAAAAGCTTGATCAAATCAATCAAACTTTAGAACAAAATCGAAGGAGTGTAAGTTTTTTTCTGTTTATTATCAACTTATGTTAACGTCTCAGTCTTTAGTTTATCAATGAACTTAAAAATAAAGACAAGTCGATTGATTTTCGCATTGCAAGTGTGGAAGAAGATTTCCAAAACAAGGCAAGTCCCCTATACCTAAGGCAATCATGCTACTCGTGTAAAACTGACTCCTTTTCTTTTTCCAGATTTCGGATTTACAGTTCGCTCTTGAGGAAGAGAAACGTATGAAGAAAAATTTAGAGATAGAACATGCTTCGGAAATGAATTCCATCCGATGTGAACATAAATTGCAAATCGATCAATTAAAGGCACAGCTTCTAAAAGAAAAACAAGGCCAAACCAATGCGGTCAATGAAAAAATTGAAATTCAGCAACGCAATGAAAACTTGCAGGAGGTTGTGGCTTCCTTAAAATCTAACATTGAATCCGAACGATCAACGCACGAGGAGGAGTTAATGAAAAAACAATCAGAAAAAGATGCATTGGAAACAGTAATAGCGGAAATCAAGCTTGTCCAGGAGAAAACCAAAGCGATGGTTAATCGTACACAAGAAGATTGGTTTACCAAAAGTGAAGAATTACAAGAGGTCAAGATGGAACTTGAGACACTGGAAAAGGCTGTATGGAACCTTTTAGAAAGGTTCATCTACCCAAAAACCAACGTCAATTATGATTGTGATCTTGAAAGTTGTATTCTTTTATTTAAAGAAAAGCTGGAAGAATGGACAAAACAGTTTGAGGGTCTCAAAAATGTAAAGTAATTCAAGGTGGGAAAAATAGGATCTTAATTAACCGAAATTTTCTGTATGTAGAAGCACAAAGACTTGAACGATGAGGTTACAGCATTCTCCGCGACGTACAAAAATATGACGGATGAGCATGAAGAGTGGCGATCCATTGGAAGCCATATGGCAGAGAAGCTGGAGGAGTATCGTAAAAATGTGATTTATGAACTTGTGCTTAAGCTTCAATTACCTATGGATGAAGCAGAGATTTATACACTATCAAGAAATCTGACACCCAGTGACGATGACGCAGCCATATGGAATCAGGTTCTTCAACTGTCATCTGCTGTGAGTAACCAAAAGGTCGTGACACGAATTATGGAAAAGTCCAAATCACAGTATGACATGATTGAACAATCCAAGGCACAATACAAAACATTAAAAGGTAAGTATTCATTTCTTTTATTTAATTATTTAGGTGAAAGAACACACACACATATATCAAAAATCAAATTTTTTTAATATACGGTCTAGATAAATATCGACGTCTTTTCCACAACAGTTCCGAGAAAATCTCGTTTAGAAAGTATGTTACTCATTATCATAAACACCATCATCATCATCATAGTTTTCAACATGAATAAAATAACTAAACACATTTTAAAAAAAAACTTTTTTTTTACAGCTTCAAGGTCGGTGATGTTGCTCTGTTTCTTCCGACGCGTAACTCTACCGGTAAACCCTGGGCTGCTTTTAATATTAATGCACCGCATTATTTTTTAAATTTTGATGACACAACACAACCAAGCAAGGAGTGGATCGTTGCAAGAATTGTGTCCATGACGGAACATACTGTCGATGAAAATAATCCCGAGTCAAACCCATATGCACTCGCACATGGTTTGAGATACTACAATTTGCAAGTGGAAAGTTGGCGTGCTAATCGTCCTTCACAACACAAGAACAAAAAGCGAACTATTGAGCCCGATTCCGGTCTGGCTTCTCTCGCTTCATCTACACCAATGATTCCTACAAGCCCTCCTCAAAAGAGACCCTCTTTTAGTGCAGCAGCTTCATCCAACAATATCGTTCATAGTTACGTAAACAAATAGTCCCCGAGACAAGTTTTTTAATTTTTTTTTTTTGTATGAACCCTCCCCTCCCCCATCCCCTTACACAACTTCGAAACATGGCTTTATGAATCACAAAAAGCAAAATATATTTTTTTTAATTAGATTATTTGATACAATATTAATATACGAGATTAACAATAAAAGCAGCAGTTCCTGCGATAGTTCTGAAGGCTTGGACTTTGTTCCATTTTTCCATAAGTGCATAGACTTCATTACGATCATAACTGTCACCCAACTTTTGTAATGCAAATAACTGGTTATTGATGGGTGCAATAAACAAGAGAGTAAAAGGGAAACTGACAAAAGTTAAGATGGAAGTATACAAAAACTTCTTGTCGTTAGTTCGGTAATAACAAGCTGCGTTGGCTGCTGTACCAATAAAGATACTGGCTATAGCCATCTTGGAAGCGTTGTTATATGTCTTGACAAAGGAAGGCAATGGATCCTTGCTGGCCTTGATGGCAGGAACACTGACACCGTTCATGGTGAGCCCAATACCTGAAAAGACTCCGTTGGCAAATAAACCGATGGATCGAGGATAATAGATCAGTGTTGATAAAGATGTCATTTTTTTTTTTAAAGTATAAGATGAAGAGGTAAATGAATCTGGTAATAAATCCTGCATTATATATATGCGCCCCGGGATTAAGAAGCCCTATACGGTACGTTTAATTATCCGTTGCCGTTATGATTCAAAATTATTTTTTTTCTCCCCGTGATAAGGAAAATATCGCGCCACTCTGTCATATATCAAAAACCCTTGTGTAATCTATCTTGAGAAAATGCATGCAAGTTTATGAGTATATTAAATAAAATTTTGGTCATTATAAACCTTGTGAAATGGTATTATGGCTTATATGATAAAAATAAGTAAAAAAAAAAACTAGTGTCTATAAGAGTGTACCAACAATGCATTATGGGGGATACATTCTCCATTGAAGGGAAAGCAGTGAATAAAATTTCAGCTTTAAATAATAAAGACTAACCTCGCAAAACTTTGCTTTTTTACGTTGACTTTTTGTGATGACGGCAATGGTCAACTTCTTCGTGTTGATAAAGTAAATCCCATTTGTTTTGGGAAAGCAATGAAGAGTTGACACTAGGCCTTCACACCAAGACCGTCCAGACGGTTTTTTGACCGTCCGGACGATTTTGATTTCCTATTATAGATTCTCAATTTAGAAATAAATCGTTCGACCCAAAAGTGCAGGATCGACTCCCGTCCATGTCCTGCACTTCGACCCGATTCTCAAAAAGGAAATCTTAATTCACAAAACAGTAAAAAGCAGACAGTTAAGCGTGTTGGCATTTTAGAAATACGTCAGCTGAATATTCTTATTTGTTGTACAAATGGATATAAATTGCTAAAATCATTTTTGGACCAAAAACCGTCCGGACGCCTAAAAACCGTCTGGACGGTCTTGGTGTGAAGGCCTACTATCTAAACAAATCTTTCGATCTGCATATTGGCTTTTGATATGCTAGTAAGTCTATAAAAAGCAACTACCTGTTCCAATTTTGGCAAGAAGAGTTCCACCTTTCGTGAAACCCTTCCCATTTTTATGCTTATATGCTTCGTTATCACTTAAGTTTAGTTACCCATACGGTGGGTATCTCCGTGACTCTATTATATTTATAAGGCCAAGGTTATAGTAGGAACCTCAAATAGATACTTTTATACAGACTCGTTCATTCAAGTCAAGTAACATATTTCAGTAAGTCAGAAATCAAAACTTGACAGAGGTAACGGTAATTAACCTGTCAATACTGAATCAAGAAGCAAATTATGATTACAGGCACACTTTATGAATCCATCTACCCTAGCTTTGCGGTCCATAGAGCTATGTAAAAATAATCAAATTGATGAATGATCATTACAAAAATATTCGGAGCAGTTTTTATAGCTGATAGCATTCTAGAATTTACATACACGCCTTTGAAAAGGAGACATGACAAACTTAGACTTAAGAAGCAAATAACGCGCTAGTAAAGTTTTTTTTCTTTTCTTTTTAGATCTGGTTTAGAGGCGATGTGATTGGTCGAGTTTCATCAATGACTAATTCACAGAACCCTTTTGCAACAAAAATCAAATTACTGCGAGTAGGAAATATAATTTATTGAACAATATGGAAATTTAAAGCAAGAGCTTCTTGAGAGAACCGTTAGCCTTAGCAGCGAGCAAATCGTCACAGCCACCAATGTGTTGTTGGTTGATGAAAATGTTGGGAACAGTACGTTGACCAGTCTTTTCAGCAAGGTATTGTTGGACAGCAGAACCGTTGCTCTCCTTGTCGAGTTCCATAACAAAGAACTCGACACCGAATTCCTTCAAAACAGCCTTTGCCTTGACACAGTAAGCTAAATATGTATACAAAAAAAAATTAATCCACTAGTCACTCGGGGCTGTGGCACGCGACCGTATCATTTAGAAAACTTACGACAATAAGACTTGGAGAAGACAACAACCTTGTTGCTTTCAATAATTTTTTCAACGAGTTCTTGTACTTGAGCCATTTCTTCTTTTGTGATTGGTGTTGATGATAAAAAGGATCCCATTAGTCAGAAAAAAAAAAGTGTAGGAAACTTTTTTTTTTAAAGATCGGTTTGATTCCAACTCAGTACGTCATCTCAAGGTACAAGTAAAAGTATGACTTGGGTAATGTATTAGCCGCAGCAAATAATATAGCTCCTAATTGCCACTAAGAATTGATCAATTGATTATGACAGAGACACAATTGAATCATAATGAAAGTACCCTTGAACATTGAGGGGTATGTGGGGATAAATATGAATAACAGTGCCTGTAAATAATGAGCGTGTGACATGATTGGGCCAATCGGGTAAGAATTTTCTATTATTGGTTACTAAAAAAAAAAGATGGTAAGATTATTATTTATTCCCCCAGTTCTTTTCTGTATTTTTCTATTATTTTTTTTTTTTTGATCAACAAAATAGTTGTAAAACCAAGCAATGTCACAATCACAGTTGTTTGGAGTACCGTCTAATTTAATGTCCTCAAAGAAGACATTAAGACGTAACTCTTCTCCTAGTATTGACGAGGCTTATTTTAGTTCTAGTTCTGGAAGTTTTTCAGAAGCTGTAACTTTTTCACCCATGCCTTCTCCTACTACTTCAACAACCAGTGCAGCTCGTACTCACCAGCACCGACTTAATGCTGCTCAGGAGCAAAGAACTTACCGAGACAGTTGCCAGAGACTGATTTCGCACATTGCTTCGGTTGCTACTATTTGTCAAGATTTGAAGCATGCCAATAAGGAGAAATTCCCAATTTTTTATCCCATGAACACCAACAATAAGCCCACTATCAACCGTTCTCAAACATTGGATGTGGATAATCATGGATCAGTCATTATGGATGCTGTACGCAGATCCTCCGTCACAGCTACTCCTGATTTTGTGAGACAATTAGAACAACACCGATTATTGTCTCAAGAATTAAATATTCTTGGCTTAGAAATGAAGATTGGACATTCAAGTACTGATATTAGTACTTTGGAATCAAAATCTATCGCCAATTTGCTTTCTGAACGTTTGGACCAAAGTCTCAAGCATTTAGAAAGATTACATGCTCGTGTAGCTGATACTTCTTCTAAAGTATTAGTCACTGGTGATTTAAACTCTGGTAAATCCACTTTTGTCAATGCTTTATTGAAGAGAGAAATTTTGCCCGCTGATCAGCAACCTTGTACAAGTGTATTTTGTGAAGTTTTGGATGCCATGTTAAATGATGGTCTTGAACAGGTCCATGCTATTCCTACCGTTGAAAAATATAACCGTCTTGATCCTAATACCTATCATATCATTGAAATGCGTCACTTGTATAAAGTCATCACTGAAGATTATGAACATTATAAGATGCTCAAGATTTATGCAAATGATGCTAGAACCACACAAGAAAGTTTACTTCACAATGGTGTCGTTGATATCGCATTAATTGATTCTCCCGGTTTAAACACAGACTCTGTTAAAACAACCGCTGTCTTTGCCCGTCAAGAAGAAATCGATGTTGTTGTTTTTGTTGTGAGTGCTGAGAACCACTTCACTCTCTCCGTACGTAAACTACAGACATACGAGCTAGAATGTTAGATATTGATTTTTTTTTCTTTTTTGTAACAATAGGGAAAAGAATTCTTATGGAATGCAGCAAATGAAAAGACCCATATCTTCATTGTTGTCAACCGCTTCGATTCTATCCGTGATAAAGATCGTTGTAAGCGTTTAATTTTAGAACAAATTCGTCAACTTTCACCCGCAACCTATGCCGATGCCGATGATTTAGTTCATTTTGTTAGTGCCGGTAATGTCGACCTGGAACCTGGATCACGCAAATTAGATGCACCTGACTTTGCTCGCCTTGAGCAACGTCTTCGTGCTTTTGTATTGGAGAACCGTACAAAGTCCAAATTGATGCCTGCTAAAAACTATTTGGTCAACTTATTGACGGATATCACCATCTTGGCCGAAACGAACAGTAAGAAATCATCGGATGAATATGCACAAGCCACCATGGAATTGGAAAAAGATCTTCCCGCCTATCAGCACTTGTTAAATGTACGTGATCGTGTCCTTGATCAAGTTGAAAAGGTTGCTGAAAAGGCCGTCTTATCAGTTCAAGCTCATGCTCAAAACAAGTTGAACCAAGCTGTTGAGAATGTAGGAAACGCCATTAATACCATCGAATACCCTGGCATTTTACTCATCTGGCAATATGCCCAAGATATTGCCGACTCCATGGTCCAGAAATTGCAAAAGGATGTTCGTCAAGAAGAAACTCATGCTCGTCAAGAAACTGCTGTTTGTCTTGAACGTCTTCATAGTATGGGTACTGAGCATTTAGGTGCTTATCCTTTGGCTGCAGATGCTCAAAAGGTCTGCGTCAAGAATAGAGACCATCGTGTCAATATTACCGTAGAAGCCACCGATTTCTTTGACCTTGTTTTGGATGACAAGTTGTCTGGTCTTGCCTTATCTGGTGGTGCTGCTGCTATGGTTGGTGGTCGTATGCTTGGCTTCAAGGATGCTGTTACCAGTATGTGTAGTGTCTCCAACATCATGAGCGGCCCTAATGTTCGCCGTTGGGTCATCCCCGTGGTTGGTGTTGCCAGTATTGGTTTCCTTGTTTATGTTGTAAGTGATATGCGTAATGCTGTCGAACGTAAATTGGTCAAGAAGTTTAAGACTGAAGCTCGTGAATCTGAATATGTCGAGCGCCATAGTATCCGTGTTGCTCGTGAATCTCGTAAAGTTTTGAGAGTCGAAGGCTGGGAAATCCAAAATAGAATCCAAAAGGCCATTGAACAAAAGGAACAAAAGCGTAGTGATACAGAAGCTGTAGCCCTTTCTTCAAAGGAAACCGCTGAATATTTCGCTGCTGTTCTTGATAAGTCCGGCTTGTTGCTTGAAAAGGTAGAGATGGTTCAAACAGATCCTCATCATCTCGTTAAGGAAGCTTAATTTTTTGTTCCTTTCCCTTTTCTTTTTTTTTTCTCTCTTTCATATATGCTTATCCCCTCTTTTATTATTTATATTTCATCCCCTATCATTTCTATAAAATAAAATAAAATGAAGTAGTGTCTTTTTATCTACCATTTATCACTAATGCATGATTTCGTGTCATCATATATGTTTTCAAGTTCAACCGCATGCATCATAAGTGGTGGTACAACAGCTTGTGGTAACGATATTTCAAACGCGCTTGTTTAACATAAATGTTGTTCGGGCCGGGTGGCGATTTTTAACTAAGGCCATTATTAAAAGAGAAGATAAAAAAAAAATCGTTTGTTCTTTAGTTTGGGATTCGGATGTAAATGATGAAAGGCTGAAGTTTAGGACTGGGTTACCAGACTGGCTTTGGTTCAGCTTAGGACTGGGTTACCAGACTAAGTGCTGTCGTTTAGACTATGTAGTAGAGTAATCTATTATGTAGAATGATTTTTGGGATCAGATGGCCTCCTACCTTCTCGTGGTTGATCCTGTTAAACAAAATTTTTTTTGTGAACTAAAAGGAGCCTTTTCCGCCATCATTATTATTAACGTAATCTAATAAAAATGTATATTTAAACACTTCTGAAAAACTGCTTTTTATCTAGGGAAAAAAAATTTAAAATGTTGATCAAAATGACTACGCCGTTTATAATACTAAAGCTGTCTTTACCTTGATTGTATATTCAATAGGAAGATATTATGGGATCATACACATCATAAGAAAAACCATGAAGGAAGGATGATTATACAGACACCACATTTTTCCACCTTGAATTTATTTTGGGACACCATTTTTTCCCATACCTCCCTATTACTTTGCATAGTTGTTTATACTGCGTCAATATCCTATAACAATCCATTGAAAACATGCTTTTGATTACGGTTTTACTTTGAATTCCATAAGAAATAGTTTTAGAATCTTCACGACAGAAAGGAAGCCACGAAGACCTGCTCAAATTACCTTTTGCGATCTTAACATACACTGTACTTGACGTCTTACAAAGTAAACATAAAAACACAAATGTTATTTCCTTAAAACTAAGTATGTACATAAACCACCCAATTATATCTACTGTATTGACCATGAATACGTCCAAAAACCAAGTAAAAATACTTTAAGTGGTCAATTGAGGATCAAAAAAGTGACCAATTGACGGCGGAAATACAGTATAGCTTTAGCTTCCAGATAAATTGTTAGTGCATCACATGTAATGAAGCATATGTATTAACTCATTCAGCAAATAGTAGGAAATTTTTCTAATTGTCATGAAAAAGTTGTCAGTTGGCATAACAACTGTCATCGTATATAAACTTTCTACCCGTTTTTGTATACTATCCATTTATGGTGACCACATTTATAGACATAATGAGTCAGGACGGTCCGCTGTTAGCCGAAGGTGCTATGTTTCTATTAATACAAAGTACTAATCTTATTCGAGTACCATTGTCCTTTGATGGCATAAATCCTTGTGGGAGGACGTTCACAACAGTTAATGTATACACAACAAAGCCGCTACGCTCAATTTACATCACAACTAAGTTTTTTTTTTTTTATTCATATTACGCCATGTTCTTGTATATTTTTATATAATTATATTTCATAATCGATTAAAACCCATTCCAACTTCTTTGTTTTATATTGATTTTCATTCCTTTTCTTTCATTGTTAAAAAGTTACATTATCTATTTGATAATTATAGTGATCATGAAACAGGTTATCGCATGGTGCTAATGGTAACCATTTTAAGCTAAAAATTACTGCCTCTATGTGTTGTTTTGATAAAGATAAGATATATGTATATACTCAGGAACATGTACAATTATTAGTAAAGCAGAAACAAAGAAGAATTTTGCGACATACTTTGATTGTTATCTATGGCTGCTTCTTCATTGAAAGAGTGCATGTCAAAAGTTATTCTGAAAAAGAGCAAAAAATTCAGTCAGTGATGCATACTCTCGTGTTGCTTCATCAGTGGTCATTGGGGTTGTCGTGAACGTAGTTGAATGTTTCAATGTAAATTTTACCCCAAGGGAAATCTTGGGCGGGCCTTGGCTTAGCTTTTTCATAACAAATGACGATTGCCTTTTTTAAAAAAACTGACTAGGCGCCTTTTTAAAAAAAAAAATTATAAACTATTTTATTTTTTTTGTAAAATGGGAGATGGGGAAGAAAAGCTTGAATTAATTATTTTCATGACTTTTACAGAACTAAAAACTAAACCCGAATCAAAAATGGAGCAAAAATTACAAGATCAATTGGAAAACCTAAAAAATCTAAAGCAAAAAATTGATAAACAAAGTCAACCTTACTGGAACGCGATAAAATCAACATTCGATACATGCTGGCAGTAGTAAGTGTTTTATCAATTTTATTTTAAAAAAGAAAGAGAAACCAACATACATACAGTCAAGAATTCAGATTAGGAGTGTATATCTTCGGTCTGCTGTCGGTAATTCCAGCAGCCATATTTGTACTGTTCCTAAGTTCTGTAGTGTTTATTACTTCTGTGTTGGTCAGCTTCATATGGACATTTTTTGTATTTTCAGCCGGTGCATTTGGATTAATCATACTTCTGCCAATACTGTTCAGCATATCTATTGCAGTGGCATTTCTGATTGTTGGGCATGATGTTTACCAATATCTGATACGGTTAAAACAAGCAAATAAAGACAAGGTTATACAATAAAAATAATATTTTGGGCAATGGGAAAAATCAGTGCTTGACATCAATAATTTATCATCAAATAAAATCTCATGTCGTCATTATACTTGTTTTAGTCATGTATTGAAGAGTAATTGCATGCCGCTGCACCATGCAATTCCAATCTAACCTTCAAAAAAAAAAAAGCTGGTGGTGTGTGTAGCGAATTAGATTCCCCACACCGCAAAGCCAGCATAAAACAAGGATCCTTTTTTAAATATCTTTATAAAACCTATTAGAAGGATTTGCTAATTCTTACCCAAAAAGTAAAGTAGATAATGGTCAATTACGAAATACATTTATTAACCAACTTATCTTTTGATTTTACTTACTGTTTTCGTTCTTCTCCTTTTTTCAAAAAACAATAAAAAAAACTACATTTATGATTTATAGCATAATCATTTTAATTTGAAGTAAAACGAAAACAGAAAAAAGGTAAAAAATAAAAAAACATGATGCAGCGAATTTTCAAGTATGAATAGAATTTAACATGTCAACTTTAGCATGTCCACACCAATGGGCACTTTGAACACAAATGGGCTAGAAACAGATAAAGAAATAGACATTTGGAAATCTGGACGCAGACCATCGATTAATTTACTCGATATGACTGAGGTACTCACAATTCAATCCAATACATACCCACGTCAAGTAAAAACTGACCTTCATAAAAATAAGCCTGAAGCCAAAAGCAAAACCTTATATGATTCACTTCAAAAGTTCGATCCACTACAGCCACGTGTAGATCCTCCCGACAAGAAAAAATCATCTGCTGTTACCATAGATAACGAGGAAAAGCTGCAGCAAGCAACAAAGGTGACACCTACACGACTTCCAACACCACGTCGACCTGCACTTTCAAGTCATGTGTCGTCTGAACATATTCATGCTAATTTAATCATGATGGACCAGCCTGTAAATCCACCTTCATCATCATCCAATGCTATACAGCTTGACCCTACACCACCTTCTTCTCCTGGGAGACGTATTAGACAGACATCTATAGCTAGGCTTGCAAAACCAATCGTACGAGAATCACTGGGGAAAGCTAACCTGGATTTAGCTGAATTTGATCCACTTATATCACCAGTTAAAGACAAGAGACTGTCCGCATCATATAATGAAGCTGTATCCAAATCCTCTACTAAAAAAGGAGTTCAGGTAAATTGATTTTTTTTTTAATATAAAAACGAAAAACAAACTCTCACACTATTTATTTTCCCTCTCTCTTTTCTTTTTTTTTTCTTATTTATTTTCTCACACAGAGTTCATTGGAACTAGCAAGCAATTTGATGAAACAAGAAAAAACTAGCCCTAAACAATGTATAAATAATCCAACCACACGAATTCCCTTACCAACATTACAACGCACCGAACAAAAAAGTGAAATAGATGAAACACAAAAGCAGCAGCAAATTGTACCGCAAGACTCTTCAGCCATCAGCCGATTTTGTAACAATAACGATCAGGTGCCTACAACCACATCAAAACTTCGAAAACCCGAGATTATTGTGCCTAAGTCTATAAAAAGATTACCTAAAAAGGAAATGTCCATGAATTATCACAGGCGTCCGTCTTACCCAACTGCTGCGAACGAAATCCTGCAAGAACAATGGGATAAGGAGCGAGAAAAATCACGAACCTTGTGCGCTAATTTAGTTTCGGCTCAAGGTCTCATTAGTCAACCTGATGATGAAAATGAAGGGTTTGTACCCCCTTTAATATTAAAATCCTCTTCGCATGAATCAAGGATGGAAAAAATACACGACAGACTACAATGTCTAGTCGACGTGGGCACTACCGAAGAGGAGGCGTCCGTTCCTGAATATAAAAAAGAGACTGGAAACCCAATGTTATTAAGCGCCAAAAGTAGGTATTTCTACTCATTATCTCATCCCTTTTATTTAACGAAGACTTTTATAGCTGCTTTACATAGATTCAAACCGTTTTTATCGCCTTATGAAAAGACGGAAATTTTAAGATACCCTTCAATTTACTGCGTGGGATCTCATGCCAAAAAGCATATGGCTTCTACAGACCAAACGGCGTTAAACTATGGATATGATGATGAGAAAGGGGATTATCAAATTGTTTTAAAAGACCATTTAAATTATCGGTATGAGATCGTGGAAAGTTTAGGAAAAGGTTCGTTCGGTCAAGTGGTAAAATGTAAAGACCATAAACCCGCATCTTCCCAACCGCCCTCGGATGATCCCACATCGAGCAATTTGGTGGCCGTCAAGATTATTCGCAACAAAAAGAGATTTCACGCTCAAGCACAGACTGAGGTCAAAATACTTGAACAACTGATGGCCTGGGTAAGCAGAACTTCTTTTTTTTTTTTAAAAAAAAAAATAAGCAATAGACATTTTTTTAACTTGACGTTTCATTAGGACCCAAATAATAAGCATTATAACGTTAGAATGATGGACAGTTTTTATTTCAGGGACCATTTGTGTATAGTATTCGAATGCTTGAGTTTAAATTTGTATGAAATTTTGCAACAAAACTCTTATCAGGGATTTAGTATGGGACTTGTTAAAAGGTACATAATTTACATGCATGACTTATTGCTTTTTTACTGACGGTTTGGGTAGGTTTGGATACCAAATTTTAACATCTTTAAAGTTACTGAGTGATCACAATGTCATACATTGTGACCTGAAACCGGAGAATATTTTGCTGCGTCAACCAGATCGAAGCGGAATCCGCGTCATTGATTATGGAAGTTCATGCTACGTCAACGAAAAAGTATACACGTACATTCAAAGTAGATTTTATCGTGCCCCCGAAGTAATTCTTGGCTTAGATTACGGTTTGCCTATCGACATGTGGAGTACTGGCTGTATTTTGGCCGAGTTGTATACTGGGCGACCATTATTTCCTGGCGAAAATGAACCGGATCAATTAGCATGTATCATGCAGCTATTGGGCGTACCAGATAAGCAATATTTGGAGCGATGCTCAAGGAAAAAGCAGTTTTTCGGTATGTGTATTTCCTAAATTGTTTTTTTTTTTTTTTAGAGATCTGCATATTAATCTTTTTATAGACATGTATGATCAGCCTCGAAAATCCATCAATTCCAAGGGTAAAAAAAGAAGACCAAACTCGCTGACTTTTACAGAGGCATTAAAACGATCAACTTACGATAATTTCGATCGAGATTTTGGGGACTTCATTAGCCGATGCCTTACTTGGGAGCCAGAAGCAAGGTTAAAGCCTGCAGAAGCGTTGAAACATCCTTGGGTTCAAGCCATGAAAAAATAAGTCTCTCTCTCTCGACTATTATGTATTATATATTACCCCCCCCTCTCTCTCTCCCTCTCCCTCTCTTGTTTTTTTTCTTTTCAGAAAAAAAAATCTTATTGACACATTAATACCCCCACCTACTTTTCTTCTTATTCAGTGAAAATAAACAACAATGCGCACCGACATGATGCTCTTAGAATATGCCCGTTGTACATATTACGTACCTTGCTTACTTTCCTTAATCCAGCGATCCGGTTTGGCAGAGCTGTTTCACAAAACAGTATGTGTTGATATCGTTTTTTTATGGAAGTCTGGATACTAAGTAGTTGTCAATCACAAATAAATGAAGTTGGTAGTTCAGCATGATAAAAAAAACTGTTGTACTTTTTTTTCGAGTTTGTAAATGTTTACATGAAAAAAAAAAACGGGCTGCAAGACTCTCATTTAGACGTAGGATAGAGTTAAGTGGAAAACTTTTCATAGGAAGTAGGACTGGACTACAAACAAGGGTTGTAGTTATTCTGCCAATGCCATCTCAGTATATATATCACATGCATTGTTCATTAAAGATTATTTAGAAATGTATTCACTTTTATTTAACAATAATGAACACTTTTATATCTATTATGACTAGAATTGGAAACAAATTATTTAACAATTAAAGTACAAGAATTGAACATTAGTTTGCTTTATATGGGTAGTTATTCACCAATGGGACTTGTGCAATTTTTGTCGAAGTCGGCTTCTATAATTAACTTTTATGTTTTCAATGAGCTTGTTCATCTGGCTAGTAGTGTTTTACTATTCTAGTGTGCCAAATGTACCAAATGAATGCTGGGATTATAAGCATGAAAAATAAACGCGAGATGACCAATATTTTTGGCTTTGAAAGCCAAGATAACTAAGCCTGTTCTATAAATTATTTACTATCGCATTGATTCATGTAAGATTGTCACCAATAGCTATTACCTCAGAGTCTGCCCTACATATGCAACAATTGCCATTCGTCTTGAGATTTGTACACATTTTGCTCGAGAATATGTGAATATAAAAGAAGCTGACTGGCTTTATAGCTGTAAGCTTTGGTGGAAGAGACTTTTTCAAAAACAAATGGTCATTAGCTCCTATACAATAAACGTTTCTATCACATACGCCGCATTTATTGTAGAGTCGATACCTGGAGTGGTCTGTTTATTGGCTCCCAAGCCAATGTTTATGTAATTGGTTTTACTGTAGATAGAATACGAATTTGTTTGCTCACAGAGGAAACATCATGCTTTGAAAAAAAAAATAGCTCTTATTTAAAGTTTAATTTTATTACAGCTGTGTAGAATCTACTTTTAAAGTGTGTATAAGTGCGATGAACACAAACGAGTATAAATAAATTGGTAAAGATTAAATCTAAAATTAAAAATTTTGAGAACTAATTCAGCCCAAAAAGAAGCTCTTTGTTACTCTTATCAATTGTAATTAACTCATTTTAGAGCGCGTTTTCACTGAAACAAAAATGTTCTCATTCCATGTCACATTTAGTATTACTTATATTGATGGCATGGAAACTTAGAAAATTCTTAATGGAATTGTTAGCCAAAAAGTAACAAGAAACTAGTATTAAAGCAAAAGTTTCTGACTTTTATGGAAAGCTTTTTTCTATTGCCCCAACGAGTAAAAAGAACTTCCCATGAATAATATTAGTAATAGGTATTAGTGTCAAACAATTGACTAATCTAAAAATCTGTGATATTTTGCGAACTCAAAAGTTAGAAAATGCTTTTGATCATCTTCCAACAACAACCTTGTTTAATTTAAAAAGAGTACGCCCTTAAATCATCAAATAATTTCTAGCATGGAAAGTCACTTTGTTTTTTATATTGCGATGTTTTACGTTTATCAATTGTCAATCGAATGTGGATTTATATAGAGAAGCAATTAAAAAATTATACACTACTGTATGCATGAGGGTATTTTAAAAATACAACACGATATTTCGTTTATTAACAAAAGGGCCCTTGAATTTTTTGTAACCTTCTGCATATGTACTGTTGTTACACCTCTAAGTAACAGATAATAACTTTAGTGCCTTGAATCGCATCGACAGCAAAAAAGTAGAGGGCTTGATTTAATAAAAAGCCGCATAGTAGGCTAAAGAAATCCGAGAAAAACTAAATGTAATGCATATTTCTGGCACACTAGGCAAAGAATCTCAGGGACCCTGAGCTATCTCACTGAAACTTTATTGTAAAATACGCTATGTGCTTTTTTTCTGTAAAAATAACCTTATTTCAAGTATTTCTCCTGCAAATGTATTCCACTGAGTTGTTGATTCGCTTGTCTCTGGAGCATGTATTCCAATTGACCAATGAAATCAACACAAGCTGAGCTCACACGAGCTGATAACAATCCAAAGGGTTTGTAACTAACAAATAGAGTTGACGTACGGATAAGGATAATGTTAAACGCCGCCTCTATTTTTTGACATCGGACATGCAGTGTTATCTATTATTAAGGGAGGGCATTGTGTTGTCGGATAGAATTTTCTCAGCCATTACTTCATTAAGCATCGAAGTCCTTTTTTATATAAATTAGGTCGGCGTACTCTTCTTTCTTTCTTCTCTATTATTACCCATCTTTTTCTTCCACCCTTTTTTTTAAAAAAAAAACAAAATGACAAAGCCACAACAATACGCACGTCGCCTTAGCTCGGGTTCTGCCTGTGAGACCTGCAGACGACGCAAGACAAAATGTGATGGCGGACAACCCTGTGCATTTTGTTCTTCTAACGGTATCAAATGTTCGCACCGACTCAAGCCCAAGAAAAAGATGTTTACTGTGATGGAATTAGAGTTAGCCTATCGGCCATATCCAAAATATGGTAGACAAGGATCTACGCTCTCCTTTAACAAGGATCTAAAATGTAAAAAAGAGAGAGATAAAACAATTCATCAAAAATAAACATGGATTAAATATTAATGCCTTTTTAGTAGTTACTCCGTTTTCATCCACAGTACCGAGTATCACTGGTATGCATTTTTTCTAAATATATAATATATCCGATTTAACGTTGCATATTTTGTAGATCAACTCTCCTGTCATACATTTACAATCGAAGCCGCATATATGTAGCATAGAGATGAACGACCATTTTTTTTAAATGATGATGCTGTGAACCGATCAATACTAAGATTTTCAGGAAAATCCGCCGTCTTTTTTTGAAAAGGAGGAGGGTGGCTCTAGTTTTTTGGTTGGGGATGAGTAAACATATTGATTAGATTAGACTTCATCTTTAATAAACTTTTTTTTGCAAATTATAAACACAACGTGGATTTGGGCTTCCTTTAATAGGGGACTTCCCTTTTTTTTTGTTTTTGCTTTAAGCTTTAGCATGTTGGGTGTTGATCTCGGTTATCTACTTGTTTTAACGATCAAAATGATCCATAAAAATTTCCTTGAGGGAGTTATAATATATTACATTCAGGAGTAAAGAGTATGAAACTACACTAGTTACAGAGTAGATCAGGTGTATACTTTGTATTATAAACATTTTGTAATCAATCTCGCCTTGCATAGCATTAGCTTTAGTCAATTTTGATTTACTTTTTGAGAGGCAATTTACATTGTGAAATAGTGTTATTGCATCTACAAGCTTAAAATTGTAAATGTGACAGACCAGCAAAAGCCTTATATCGTTATTAAAACCAGTCGCCGTTCCGAATTGAATCAGTTCTACTTGAAGAGAAAATATTTGATAGATTACATGGCAAACTAAGTGTGCAATTTAAGCTTAAAAATACTCTTTAAGCCATCATTACATTTAATTGATTTTAAACCATAGATAATATCGGTGATGAAGGCCTAGAACATATAGAATAAACATAGCGCCTGCGATGACGATTCTTGCGAACATCAATGGCTTCATACACGATATTCAGGGTCAGATGTTGTACATTCTAGGCTATTTTTTGTTTGTTACAAACTTAGAATTACTCCTAGAATATTCTAATGACATTATTTTAACTTTTACTTTCTTTCTCCATCTTCAGAGTGAGTTGTGTTTGTACATAATTTTATTTCCAAATGTATACGATGTTAATGCAAAAAAGATTATTTTTCAGTTGAACTGATAGTAATCAATTATTAGCAGCCTGATTTAATTTCTATTTTTGTTAACAATTTCCCTCACCGTGTTGTAAATAAGTGGCGGTTTAAAGTCGGATAAATATTCCAAAAGCGTATTTCAGCGACATGCAGATGGGTGTTTTTGTTTAGACATTGTTTATGTCCTTTGAGAATTCTTCCCAACTGGTTGCACACTATTTCCCAAAAATATTGGAAAAAATTCGGCCTGAAGATAAAAATCCTTATGGCTCACCAAATGCAGTGCGTTTACGCATACGGTGTTTTACGTTAATATAAAGAATTTTAACACATTCGAATGTTACTAATTATGCTTTATCAATAAAGTATGATATATTATATTCCTAAGATCAGTTTAGATTTATAAAGTATTCTGATTTAGATAAGCGAAAACGATAGTATTAACGATTTATTCCAATTTGTCATAATTTACTGAACAAACTTAATTGTTGTAATTCGCGAAAGACAAAAGGAAAAAGACAGATATCAAATTAAGGTCTGTTTTATTCTTGGAAAATTAGAAGAAAAAAAAACTAAAGATTGACCTCTTGATCGGCAAAGGATTACATTATTTACAGGATGCGCCCAATATGATTTCATGTTTACGTTTTTTTTTTTAAAAACAGCACACGCTGTACTCAATGTTGATCTTCTACTCTTTCTTGCGCCGTTTTTAAATACTTGTGACATATTGTTTGGAGCTGAGTCCACTGCTTGTGATGAAATAAAGGAGCTTGAGTAACAGTGTAATAAGAACTCAAGTCAAATATTATATTTAGACCAAGGGATACAACAGCTTTTTTATTGGAGTCCAAATGGTTATAGTTTTAACGAAGATTGACAGCCACCATCTTTATGATTGATGTTACGGATTGACTATTGTCCGAAACAAATATCTTGTCACTTTCAGATACTTCGTTGTGTTTTTTCACCTGGACTACTTTAATTAACGCAGGATTGTACAGGAAGGCTTTACAATCATACAAATCATAAACGTAGGTTTGATTTTCGTGTTTTTGCGATCTCTTTTGGCGTTCTCCACGTAGTTTACAGAGTTAGAAAGCCTAAAGAAAAAGGAGAAAGGTTAAAAAAGATACTTTGTACAACAAACCAGTGCTTGAAAGATATCATTACTTTTCAGAAGTCAACATGATAATTGGGGTAAACAATAAATGTTTCTTCTTGAATTAATCAACTTCAGCCTTAAATTGATAAATAAACAAGTATCGGACCTGTCGGCTGCACCGTTTGTGCATGACTAACATTAGACAGTATGGCTCTATTTTTTGAATATTGACTTAATAAAGATATCTTTTAGACGATTAGTCTGACTAAAAAAATGCGTATCCAGAAAAAAGAAACACAAGAGACGTGGATGTCATGAAAGAGTACTAGATGGTAAAAGTGACCTTGTTTTTTTAAAATTCCGAATTGTTTATTATAACTGTGGGGGAGGAGGGGGGCGGTCAATACTTCACTTTTTTTTGCTCTAGTATAACACAATGGCTGCCAAGAATCTTCCCAAAGTCTTTTTCGATGTTGCCGTCAACGGTAAGCCTACCGGTCGTATGACTTTCAAGGTAAAACTGCAGAAGACATCTAAAAAAAAAAAAAAAATTCGTGATATTGACAGTTTTGTGTTAGCTCTTTTCCGATGTTGTTCCCAAGACAGCTGAAAACTTCCGTGCTCTCTGTACCGGTGAAAAGGGTATTGGTAAGTCTGGAAAGCCTTTGCACTTCAAGAACAGTGCCTTGTAAGTAGATTTATACGTGTATATATTTTGAGGATTGCTTTATTAATTTTTCTTTTCTTTTGATAAGCCATCGTATCATCCCTGGTTTCATGGCTCAAGGTGGTGGTAAGTTTTATCATTGTTAGTAAAAAAAGATAAAGGAGTGTACTTAATTCATTTTCTAAAGATTTCACCTTGGGTGATGGTCGTGGTGGTGAATCCATCTATGGTCACAAGTTCAACGAGTAAAGTGACATAAAATTATGACGCGCGCTAAATATTTTACTAATGTGCATGCAACTTATTTTTCTATAGTGAGAACTTCACTTTAAAGCACAAGGGTAAGGGTATCTTGTCTATGGCTAACGCTGGTCCCGTAAGTGAAGAATAGAAGATGACATGGATTATAAATCGTACTTATATTCCCGTAATAAATAGAACACCAACGGATCTCAATTCTTCATTACCTTTGACAACACTCCTTGGTTAGACGGAAACCACACTGTCTTTGGTCAAATTGCCGAAGGTACTGATATTTTGGACCTTTTGGAACAATATGGTACTCAAAGTGGTAGACCCACTGCCAAAATCGAGATTGTCGATTCTGGAGAACTTAAAGAGTAGAAAATTTATTTTTAATTTAAATTAATAAAAATTTTGTTGCTTGTTGTTAAATACACTAGGTGTTGTTGTATCGACCGTTTTAAAGACGGAATATTTATCGTTGGGATCTATGTATAGGTTAGTTTTACCGTCATTGCTTTTTATACACGTTATAGCATTACCTATGGTATTATTATATTGAGGTACATTATTTTGGGGCGGTAATTGTTGATACGATGGTGAAGGAGACGCTCCGCCAAATGGGTTAGCAGGTGTGGCAGCGGCCCAACTAGCACCCGTGGGTTGGGCTTGAACTCCCAAATAGGCGGATTGCATGGATGGTGAATGATTAAAGGCAGCATAACCTTGTTGTTGTTGATGCTGCTGCTGGAAATTAGCAGGTTGTTGAAAATTAGTATTGCCTGTCTGAAGAGAAGAAAAGCTACCATTGCTAGTAGGTAATTGATGTTGGAAGCTTGTTTGTGGCAGAGATGATGAAAAACTGCCGCTATGGTTAGGTAATTGGTAGCTATTTACATTGACTTGTTGTAAGCCGGAAGCTTGGTGCTGTAACCCAGTAGTCTGATTCTGTATACTGCGAGGTTGTTGTTGGAAACTGTTCCCAGTGTGTGCTTGATTTTGGAAACTGTTTCCAGTGGGAAGTTGATGTTGGAAGTTGGTTGATGTAAAGCTTCCTGCACTCGTTGGTTGTTGGAAACTATTTCCAGTGGTTAACTGTTGCTGGGGAGAGGCGAAGTTGTTAGGAGTTTGGGTAGGTACGAAATTGTTGGTAGGTTGAGCAGGTGGAAATTGTGTGGATGTTGTAGTAGGTGCAAAACTTGGGGTGGATTGTGCTGTTACAAAACTATTGTTCGATTGAAGTGTCGAAAAACTACTATTCGATGGCTGTTGATGGAACGTGGGTTGTTGTTGCGTTGGCAACGAGTTTAAGGGCTGATGTAGAGGAGAAGATGCCACTGTGGGTGGAGGTGGTACAGGACGACTGTTAGCAGCTGCAAGGGAAGGACTTCCGCCCCATTTGGCTAATAATTGTGGGTCTACTAGACTTTGTTGGGGTACAGGTGGTGTAGGTCTTTGACGAGAAGCAGCCAATGTTGTAGGGGGAGTCTGTGCGGAAGCTTGATTCCACGTAGGAGCGGTGGAAGGTGCAGTTGATGGTGATGAGCGTGGTGCCCATGCATCATCCTCAAACTTGGGTAGTGCTGGGGGAGCATTTGGAACGGGTTGTAATGGTTGTTGTTGTGGAAGCGGAGGTGTTGGCTTTAATGGCTCAGGATTGAATTTTTGAGGAGTTAAAACAGCTGAATTGACACCTCTAGGAGCGGATTGAGCAGGAGTTGGTCTACCTGTACCACGACGCTGTAATCCACCGGCATGATGATCTTGCTCTTGCAATTGTCTTGCTAATCTTTCGTCTTGCTCAATTTGCCATAGTACACTACCTTCGTCTTCCTCCCCGTCGTTATCATCGTCATTTTCGACAATGTAACTGACAGCGCCAAATGTAACATGTTTCTTTACTTTTTTGGGCTGTTCATTTTCATCTTCAGAAGGAGGTTCGGCACGGTTTGTTTCAATGAATCTTTGGATCCTCTGCACATGTCTTTCCGACATGCCCAATGATTTCATTCTACGATGAGTTAAGCGTTCTACATCGTGTTCACCTAAACCACTCTTCTCAAACGACTTTGCATATTGTACACAAGCATAATGAGGTAATCGAGTTTTTTTAAAATAGTCGAGCCATGTAAATCCAACCTTTAACTGTCCTAAAGGGATGTCATCATGTTGTATAAGGTCCTGGCCGGTTTCTGATTGGATGTATAACAAATCCTCCATACACATTTTTTGGGTAGGTACATCAATCTTGACGCCGTTTGTTTTAAAAAGTCTAATTTTTCCATTGGCACATGATAAAAATTCGGCTTCAACTTTAAATGCGCCGGTTCTGTCTGTCCACATGCGAATTCTGGATGGATCTGGCTCTATAAATACAAAAATGAGTCCCTAAAATATGTTGGTGATAAAATACCCACTTACTATTAGGATCATTGTGTTGTGGTATGTCTGCTTTTGTAGGTGGAGGAGGGGCAGGTATTTGACTACGTCCTAAATTAAATGGGTTTTATTAGATATTTTATGTTCTATGCGGATATATTAGCTACTTACTAGGAGAGCCTAATTGAGGAGAAGGAATCACATTAGCAGCAGCAGAAGCAGCAGCAGCAGCAGCAGAGAACTGTGAAGAGAAAAAAGGAGTTAATGGAGGGTGTTCTCCAAGTTTACAGAGTTTTATAGTCGCAACTTACAGAAGCTTGTCTTTTGGATTCGATCTCTTTTTGTTTCGCTTCTTCCTGCATTTTTCTCCTTCTTTCGACTTCAAGTTGTCTTTCCTTCTCCTTATCCTGTTGTTCTCTATGATTTTTACGATCCGCTAAGTCCTTTTGTCTTTTCTGTTCCAGTTGCTTCTGTTCCTGCTCTTTGTGAGCTTGCAAACGTTCTTGTTCTCGTTCTTGCTCGGCTTTTAATTCAGCTTCATAAACATCCTGGAATTTTAAGTAGTTTGCAGGAACAATACCAGCTTTTCCATCCTTATGTTCGATGGTCCACCAATCCTTTCCAGTATAGTCTGTTACCAACACCTGCTGATTATCTTCTAAAAACGTGTCCTCATCACTTTGTGGCTGATAACTAAATAAAGCAATAGCCCACCTTGGTTCCATATCTATTAGGATTGTTCAGAAAATTTATGCTGTACAAGTATTTTTTTTTTTTTTTACCCCGTTTTGTCTCTTTGACAGTGTCTTTGACTGCTGGTATATCTTCCTGTACATAATTACCGGGAGCTAAACCAAATTCACTTTTGGAGTTCTGGACAACAAACCAATCGGTATCATCCTTTTCGTACAATGTCAATACTTCATTCTCTTTGAAGGATAATTCTTCCAGAGATTGAGCAGTGTAATCGTACACAGCTGTCACGGTTCCTAAAGGTGCAGCCTTTTTATTTGTAAAAGTTAGTCAATGTTACAGGCGAAAAGAGATGAGTAATTTACCTTTTCGAGGTAATTAGCAGGAATTAAACCCGTAGGGCCATCTAACGACTGGACTTTTAATTGAGCTTTGTACCAATCTACATCGGATTTGTCTAGAATATAAAGGATATCTTGTGCCTGAAAAGATATTTCTTCTTTTGATTGAGCTTGGTAGTCGTAGAGAGCGCTACATATATCGATATACTTCATTTGCGAAATGTTAATAAATAAGAAAAAAAAGCGAAAGAAAGTGTAGGATTGCTACTTTTGGATTACCAAATGAAAGCCCGATAAAAAAACCGCAAACGTGTGTGTGTGTGTGAGTGTGTGTGTGTGTGTTCCCCCTTATTTGTTTGTATGTTTTATAAATTGATCAAATAATCCGCCCCTTTTTTTTCCCTTCTTTCTTTTTTTTTTTCTTTTTTAACAAACAACGCGCTTTTTAAAATGAGAGAGTATAAACTGGTTGTATTGGGATCCGGTGGAGTAGGAAAATCTGCATTGGTATGGATGTTTTTTTTTTTTTTTTTTTTTTTTTTGTGTAGTGAAAATAGAAGTTCATCTTCTTCTTATTAGACTGTCCAATTTGTTCAGTCCATCTTTGTCGAGAAATATGATCCAACAATTGAGGATTCTTATCGTAAACAAGTGGAAGTGGATGGTCAACAATGCATGCTCGAGATTCTTGATACTGCAGGGACTGAACAATTTACTGCAATGAGAGATTTATATATGAAAAACGGTCAAGGTTTTCTACTGGTATTTTCAATCACAAGTTCGGTTACCTTAACAGATCTGTACGGTCTAAAAGAACAAATACATCGAGTGAAGGATGGAGAGAATGTAAAGTAACAATACAATTTATTTCTGCACTCACTAACATAAAACACTCTTATAGATTCCTATGGTGTTAGTAGGCAACAAATGTGATCTAGAAGAAGAACGCATGGTTTCTAGAGAACAGGGTATGGAGCTATCACAACAATGGGGAGGTAAACCGTTTTACGAAACATCGGCAAGATTTAAAATCAACGTTGATCAAGTCTTCTTTGATCTGGTGAGACAAATTAATAGACAGATACCAAAAGATAAACAGAAAAAGAGAATCAAATGTTGTATTTTATAATAAATTAATAATCGTTATATACTTGGAGATTTCCTGCAAGAATCATGGCTAGTCCAATACTTAACATAATAGTTACACAAACGTAGACAGTCATAACAAACAATTGCTTATAATTTCGCAATCTGTCTACTACCGAACAGGTTACTTTGCCTATTAATAATACAACGTAGACACATGCATATTCGGCAATAGGAATAAACGTTGCTCTATAGTACACTTTATCCTTGTTCAATCCCCAATAAGCCCATGCACAAAATAGTACATACATGAGTCCCATCAATGCCTTATTCTCACTTGCTCTTGTTTGAAATATCTGATTCACCAGGAACAGAATCATGAAGCCATACGAGAAGATTTGCCATCCAATGCCAGGTTGAATAATGGCTGTTAATGTTCCATGGATAAAAACCCAAGTTTCTAACAATAGCACCCACGATTTGTTTGCATGTGTCTAAATATATCTTTAAATAAGCCTAACTCATCATATTACAATATTTACGAACCTTGTGCAAAAAAGTGGTTGATTGCCAAATCAACAAACACTGGTAGATAAAACCAAAACAGTGACCCATCGTACCTTCCACTGGATGATAGTGAAAATTAACTACTGTGCCAAAACTCATGACATATCCATGATATTTTCGAATAAACTGTATCACACGATCGGACCTTGGCTTCTTTCCTTGTCCAAATATAATGCCGCGCCTATTTTTTTTTATATGTGAACATTTCTTGCATGACCAATCACTAAATTATTATTTCACTACTTACAATGGAATGGCCATAATGATTGCAATAACCAGAATCAATATCACAGAGGCTTGAGCAATACCCTCAGGCACATCCATGGCTAACCCGTCATAAAACACATGTCCATGCACCAGTTTAAAAACTAACATGCCTCCATTTAAATAAACCATGTGCCAATTCCACCATCGATACTCTTGACTCCATTTTGCTTCTTTCGATAGTTGAACTCGAGCCAAAATGTACCACTGTCCCAATTGGTGCACAGCATAAGCAAACCAAGCAATATACCTACCGACTGTACTTGGACTTATCGTTCGCCATGGATAAGCAAAGGGTGTGTACTTACCTAACAGTATGCTGCATAAGTTACATACGTAATATTTTATCCTTCCTGCCACTTTTTTTTTTACCATTGACGAATCTTGAACCTCTAATGACAAACCGACCGAAGCCCATGTCACCTCTAGCCGGCTTCGAATTAAAGAAATCTGACGGGGTCACTAACGAAAGTAAGGTTACAAGAACCCCATATGCTATCGAAGTTGCAATGTAAAAGGTATATGGGTGTTTTGTTGCGATATTTCGGATAGAATTCATGAAGAAAGGGTTAAAAGAAGTTATCAGATCATCGCCGATTGCCTCGATCTTTAAAACAAGGTATGGTTACACGGCGATGCAAAACTGGTCTGTCATATTATGAAAGACAAATGAGTAAACAGTCATGGAACATGGCCTGATGATGATGCTCGACGAAAACGTATGTTCATAAATAAATGTTCAAGTATCTCTGAAGCTAAAAATCAGATGGACTACTTGTCGAGATTGAGCTATTACTATTGTCTAGTAAAATAAAAGTCCATTTAATTATTAAACATGCAATTTAAGTTTCAAGACCTTGCATCAAATCTGCATTGAAAATCCTAAATTAGTGGATGTTACTATTTTTGCAACATATGTATCACCAATGTTTAGATATCCTGAACAATAACTTAGACGTTCATGTCTATTATCTCAAAAGGAAGTTTAACCTCTGTCGTATTTATAATTAAAGACGTTGATATAATTAAACAAAAGTTGCTGACTAATGTGTCGCTTGTCCTCAAAAATGATGTTTGGTCAGTACGCTCTTAGTCAATTACCAAAATTGAATATGTGCAACGAGCTACGATTTTGTACAAGCACTCATTGATACATCTGTTGCAAAATATTTACAAAAACTTAAACTTCACAGTCAGATAAAGGTTCGCCTTGCTTCTCTGTAAGACACAAATATGAACGCCCTAGTTAGTCTATTTAACTGGTGATTCTTCACTAAAAATATTTATATTGTATCATGAGTATACCTGGGAAAATGTAGCAAACCTCTACAGGTAGGTTCCGTTGCGTATCTCACAGACGCCGCAGTAAGGCAGATATTGATAGGAATATATACGCGGTTACGTATCCAATTTGACTCGACTCTGACCCATTTTCTCTATTGTGTAGATTGGCATGTGGAGTATAATGATCTATTTTTACATATTGCATGAGCAGAATAGCCCTTAATTATCATCAACAAAAATAAAAAGTCTGCCATCTTATCGTAGTTTAACAAGTGTCATTTCATGACTTCTTTTTAAATGCATTTCTTCCATGATATTTGACAATGTCGCGACGTGTTTTGTGTGACATAGCAACCCATTCACAATACTCTTATACCCGTTCATCCTATGTCTACAATCGCCGAAATACATATTCAGATTAAATTTAAAAAAAATGGAGGAATATTTTATTGATTTTGGTTTTGTTGCTGTTGAAGTCTTTGCATCATCATCATAACATTATTATAATTATTCGGGTCATCATTTGGGTTATTATACATATTATTCATAATGTTATTTGGATTCATCATCATGCTGGATGGGTTCATCATACCATTGGCTGCTAATAAATCGTTTGGACTAATCTGTTGTGGTATCGTATTAGCAGCGGGAGAAGATGTTGCATCCATCTGCGGGTAACCATTTGTATTGTTTAATCCCATCATGATCTGCTGTTGTCTCAGTTGTTGTTGTTGCTGCTGCTGCATGAGGTTCTGTGCTTGTGCCTGTTGTGCCTGTCTCAACATCATGGCTTGAGGATCTAATGTCATCATATTGCGTGGTGTAGTGGGTGTACTCACAGGTGTTGTGACGGATGTGGGGCTAGCGGATTTCAAAAACTGCTGTTGTTGCTGTTGACGCATGGCAGCAGCCTGTTGACGCATGATTTGCTGCTGTAAGTTTAGATTGCCAACAGGCGATTCTTTACGTTCATGGAATAAATTTTGAGCTGTGTTGAGGATCTCGTGAATCTTTTTTCCAATCTCTGATTTTGGTGCTGGTAATGGCTTCAAGTCAGGTGGGGATGGTGCCTTATATTCTTTACCTGGCTCTACCATTGAAATGTCTGCCATTGTAGCGAGATACGTCAAGTTGGATTGTAACCTGGATTGATAGCTGAAAAAAAAAGCATCAACATCCCCCAAGTTGTTTTAAAAAAAAATTATGGTGACTTACATGCCCAAATTAGGTTCCAAGCTGACACCTGTATTTTGACTTTCGATACATAATCGAATCAATTCTATATTCAAAGCTAATATCTATATCACGTCAAAAGAAGACAAAAGTCAGTCCAAGAAAATAAACATGCCATATATATATAAACCACCACTTACGACTTCTACTCGTTTTGTATTTAAATCAGCATCAGGACCTCCAGCAACTGCAGTATGTGTGACAATGTTAGGGGGGATATTATTGACTGGCGATAATCTTTTTTGTTCTGCCATCATATCGAGACTGTTCATGGGTGAAGATTGCTGTTCTGACATTGGCGACATGGTGGTGGTAGGTAAAACAGGTGTTTGTTGTTGCATTTGCTGTTGCATTTGCTGAAATTGTTGTTTTCTCATTTGTTGTTGCTGCTGCTGTTGTTGTTGCTGTTGCATCATTATAAACTGTTGACGTTGTTGCTCATCCATACGCTGCATCTGCGCCATTTGTTGTTGTTGCTTACTCCACTGCTGTTGTTGAGCATTGCTATTCATGTTGGGAGTATTGTTCATGCTTGACATAACGTTTAAGTTTGGAGTATTGTTCAAGGTGGGTGTATTCATATTGGTATTACTTATGCTTGGGTTTCTATAGTTTTGTTGTTGCAACTGTGCCATAGAGTTCACGTTATTGTTCATCATTGGGCTTTGTTGTCTTGGACTTTGTAAAGAAGAAATAGCAGGAGATCCACCCATGGAAGAGTTTGTGGGACTAAAAGCTTGTTGTTGTTGTTGTTGTTGTTGTTGCTGTTGTTGCTGTTGAGGTTGCGAAGGTTGTCCGTACATTTGCCTCTTTGCGATCAAGTTGGCCATTAAGGATGGGTCGAAAGAAGCAGGTTGTTGCTGAGGACTGCCGCTAGCATTACTGGCGTTTCCGTCAATCTTTTGAGAAGGAAAACCATTGACGACAGACTGCATCTCTGCTGGAAGGTTTGTCATGTATTGCTGTTGTTGACCATATGGAAGATATGCGTTGTTTTGATTTCCTCCGTTTGAATAAGGGTTCATAATACCTGTATAAATAGAAAAGGAATCTGGCGGTTTTGGTTAAATATTTTTTTTAAAACGTATGAAGATGTGTGTCCTTTTGCTCAATTCAACTTTTTTTTTCTTTTTGAAAAAAAAAAATATTCTTGATATTTGAGAACCGCTCCAATGAAAATATCATAATTTTTTAAAAAAAAAACCCGTCAATTGAAATAACCAAAATTACAAAGCCTGAGGGAAGCATGCAGGAGTTTCTTTAACTCTTCACGGCACCCATTAGAAAGATATTTGACGGCTAAATCCAATATGCACTTATTTAAACAGACACGTGTATCCTATAATGGTCTTTGTAATATCGGCTTTAGTCTTTTTACCAAAACTCTTCCCCAAAAGGGGAGTAAGGGGTGAAATAGCAGCGCTCTTCTAAACAAAGGATAGCTGGTAGGTATAGGAACAAGTTCATTGTCCATGGCCAAGTAAAAGCTTTCAAGACAGGTCCTATCCATGATTTATGTAGATCACAAGTTACTCAATTCGTCTACTTTCTGTCACTCGTTTAATGTCAGTAGACGAAAGACCATAATATCCACCACAAACGTAAGCTATAGAGTCTGTCATGATAGAGATTTTACACCCGTATTTTCTTGAATCAACCAGAACAGGATATTTTGACGTTAGTAGATTAATTCATGTCGGCCCGGACAACCAACGAACTGTCAATTTTAAGAGCTCATAAATAAGAGCATCTCTTCCCCGTTGGAGTTCGTTCTATGCTCAATAAGCCGCTTTTTAATTTAATCTAGATACATAATTGTAAGCTCGGTTTGATAACAAACTGTTATCAGAACGGCGCTGGCAATATTTCATAGGAAATGTTGATTCGAGGGCGCTTTTTGAATTCACAGAGCCCACACACACTTCATATTGCGCAGAGTCCAAGCCAATTGTGTGACCACAGATGGGGAGTCGTAATTAGTGAGAAGATCTTACTTGAAAGATGTCTTGGCATACTTCTATTTGATAGCCTCTAAACAAAACGAGAAGAAAATAAAGCTCGGTAAAATATAATAGACGAGATGTTTATTTAATAGATGTGCATCAATGCTTTTACTGTTTTGTACTTTTGTGCACTTTTGTAAACACATCACGTGTTTGCTTTTTTTTAAACACAGAGTTTGGACATTTCCTAAAAAAAAAAAAAAAAAAAAAATCAAGGAAGCGTTGCTTTCTTCTCAAATCTAGTAGAGTAATTGTTCAATTTTCAGCTTACTGGTAAAATTTTTAGAATGATTGTATTTTTGAAGGATATTTATTAACAAAATCTCATTACAAGAATGAGTGTAGATAATATCAAAAGTCAAAAGTCAGAAATGACAGACTACAACACTAAAAAAGTGTTAGATCCTCATGAAGAGATTTATGAACCCCATGAGGAGATCTCGGATGAATCTGAAATGACTGGCAAGGCATCACCTTTTGTTTACTTGTTGGTTATTTGCGTTTGTGTTGGTGGTTTCTTGTTTGGTTACGATACCGGTGGTATGTACATAAACAAAAAAAAAGTTACAGATTTTGACTTCTAATTTTATATAATTTAGTCATTTCTGGCGCTTTGACATTTTTGGAAGATGAGTTCCATATGAACAGTGTTCAAAAGGAACTTGTTGTTGGAGCAACCACTTTTGGTGCAATCTTTGGTGGTTTTGGTGCTGGTATTGTATGTTTCATGTTTATTTACACATACACAAAGAAATTCTAATTTATTGGTATTACTAGTTAAGTGATAGGTTTGGAAGAAAGGTTTGTACTACTGTTACCTATATGAAAAAAAAAAAAAAAATCTAATCAAAACAATCCCGAATAGATTCTTGTGATTGTCTCTTCAGTGATCTTTATCGCGGGAGCTTTGATCCTTGCCTTAGCACCTAACTATGGCGTACTCTTGTTTGGTAGAATTGTTGTTGGTTTAGCTGTCGGTATTGCTTCCATGATTGTACCCGTCTATGTCAGTGAACTCTCTCCCAAGCATATCCGTGGTAGATTGACTACTTTAAACACACTTGTCATCACATTCGGACAAGTCATGGCCTATGTCATGAATATTGCTTTTGCTAGAGTACCCAATGGCTGGAGATATATGTTTGGTGTTGCTGGTGTTCCCGCATTATTCCAATTTGTCATCATGCCTTTCCTTCCCGAATCACCTAGACGATTAGTGGCTATCCAGAAATTCGATGAAGCCAAAAGTGCCATCCGCAAAGTCTATGGAGATTCTGTCACCGATACATTTATTGACCGAGAAATTAAGATGATTGATGATGATATTCATGCTTGTAGATCAGGTTCCTTCAAAGACTTTTTACACCGCGATAATTTTATGCCTATGATGATTGGTGAGTTATTGCAATTTACTGCTGTGATACAAGAACTAACCATATTTTGTCCCTGAAAAAAAAAGCTTGTATTCTGCAAGCTGCCCAACAATTGTCCGGTTTTAATGCAGCCATGTATTATGCTGCTACTATTTTACAAATGGCAGGTTTTAGAAGTAACGAAGGAGCTACTAGTGTTGCTATTATTGTGGCTGCCACCAACATGGTCTTTACGGCCATTGCTGTCACTGTAATTGATAAAGTAGGCCGCAGAAAGATGCTCTTGTACACAATGGTTGCCATGATTTTGGGTTTAATTGCCTTGGGTGGTACATTTGCTGCCCAGCAAGGATTTGTTACCCAACAGAGTGAATGTATCAACTACTCTGGAAACTGTGCTCGTTGTGTCTTGGATAGTAAATGCGGTTGGTCAATTGCTTCCAACATCTGTGTTGCTTCCAAAGACAACCTTGCTGATATTTTCCAAAGTGCCACAGGATGTCCCGCACAGTCAAAAGATAAAACTATCACGGGTCTCTTGTTAACCTTTTTAGTCGTCTATGTCGGTAGTTATGCTCTCGGACTTGGGTATATTCCTTGGTTGGCTCAAGCTGAAATGTTTCCCATGTCCATCCGAGGCAAAGCCAATGGTGTTGCTACAGCCGTCAACTGGATTTGTAATTTGATTATCTCCACCACTTTCTTATCCATGAATGAAGCATTTACTGCCGCTGGTACTTTTTGGTTCTATGCAGGTCTCTCTATTGTTTTGTTACTCATGTTAATTCGTTTGATGCCAGAGGTATTTTTTTTTTGGCAACCATTGTGCTACATTGTACTTATACCTTCTCTCTTATATTTATAGACATCTGGTAAATCGCTCGAAGAAATTCATGAATATTTTCTTAAAATTTAATCCTTATCAACTATAATCTACTGTATTACTAACTTAACCTAATAATAAAAAAAAGAAAGGCTTTCTGTTTATTCTTCTAATCATGTGTATAACGCACAGATCCCCTGGTCGTAAGGGCATAGGTGCGGACTTGATGTACTTCTGGACAATTAATCATTCGTCTGAAGCGCGCATATGGAGATTAACAATTAAGACAGACGCATATGAGTGGGAGCACAACCCATTAGATTCACCAGTCTACATAGACCTCCATTAATGATAAATCATTTGTAAATATAGGTCGATACCACAAAAGGAGCTCGTTGATCACCAATGTGTAAATTCGCGTAGTAGAACGCTCTATTTGGCAATACATTTATTATTGAGCGCAACTATGGATCCACGTCAACAATCAGCTCATGAAAATGAGTGTATGCAGTAAGTAAAGACTTGGGTTCGTGAGAACAAGATCATCCAGAATAACATGATTTATCGACACTTCGTCCTTTTTTGTTGCACTAATGAAACGACAAGTAATTTTTCTCTCTCTCTCTCTCTTTTGATTCTAAAATTATAACAGTGTTTGAATATATGCACAGCTGAATACTGATCACTAGTAAAAAAAGACATAAAAAAATCAGCAGACGTTGAACAAACTATTTCGTATTTGTCGTGTCTATCGGGGCTAAAGAAAGGGTTGAGTAACACATTACCTGATGGCCCCTCCTAAAAAGAGAGAGGTCATCAGGCATTGTGTAAAGAATAAAGGTGACAAGATTAAAGGTTTTTTGTCATGGGATAAATAATTTTTAGTTAGATAAGAGGGAAAATATGGATATTCTTGTCAAATCGAGACATACAGAGAGAAAAAACCCCATCATTGCTCTACAAAGAAAAATATAGATTCATAAAAAAAAAAAGTGGGATAAACATTGTTTTTTCACTGCTTTTCTTTAAGCAAGACTTACAAAGATTATGTCCACAGTAAGGACACCACGTAGTAGAGTAATATACTTTGTGCAAAAGACAATAATTGTTATTGTTGTCCTTGGACAAGTATTGCCTTGCTTTCATGATACATGAATATAATGACGCAGCCATATGTAACTCCAGTTTAGAATGAGAGTTGATAAAGTATCTTGAACCAAGTTATTCTTTGAAATAAAAATTGAACAAAAGTGAGAGAGAGAGAGGGAAAGAAAAGAACAAACGGAAGAAATAAGGATTTTTTTTCAACTGGGAAAAAAATTCTGCTCAAACAAGCCTGACTGCATCATCATTTACCAACTGTACTTATTTTGCATAAGGTGTTTCTGTATTATAATACAGTCAGGCTCATAGTTTTTGTCGATTGGTGGAAATAAAATACATGTTACACAAATTCAAATCGATAACCCTAACATGAATAACTCGAGTAAACAAGACGCTTGTACCAGGTCTTATTAACACATTGTTTATGCAACATTTAAAATTTTAGAAAAATGTTATTTTATATACTACTTTAAAAACGATACGCAGATAAATACACATATAAAGACAAGATCCGAGTGGTTTATGAAATGCGAAATACAAACATTGATTATTTATTACAAAACTGTGCATTAATCGTCGCAGGCAGTCTTGCATGAGTATATTTTATCAATTGGATTCATACTCGTTACATCTGCATTATATAGTACTTTAGGATCATAAAGTAGGACAAAATGTCAAATACAGCACGCTAAGTGTCTATTTTACCACGGTAGAAAAAAAAAGGAAAAAATAAAGTAAAACAAACTTTATGGCCTATCGATTTATAGATAATGACTTATGCAAGAACTTATCACGGTATCGATTTTTTTGATACATTCGCTGTGTAGTGTTGTCAATACATTTTTGAGCTGAATAGGAGGATGAATGAGATTCGGTAACATTCCGCCAACTTTGTCACAAGTCCCAGTGAGAGAATTTGTTCTTTTTAGATCAGATACGAAGATTGGACGATCTCGGATATGTGATGAGATTTACACTTGTAAATACTTTAAAGTACCTGTGAAATAATCCAATTCCGTATTCCAAGTTGTTTTGAGCTTTTAGTGCATATGCACACTTGGGTAATACCATATCATATATCAATGCAATGTAAAACAACCAATACTATCGAGAGACTCTTAATGTAATATTATATTGACTATGTTATGTATGCAAAAGTTACTGAATTGTACAATTATTACGACTATTATGCTCAAACAGGGTATCATTGACAACAGATTAATTATTCTCCCATTTATCTTTAGAGTGTATCTACTTCTATCAAAAAGGGCGATGCGCCTGCTTTTTTTCTCGCACCCGTATCAGAACTTTACAGAACTTTACAGGTAGATTGATCTTGAAGTTTAAAATTTTCAAGTGAAGAGGTGCGACGAAAAGAACATATTCATTAGTGTAAGAATATACCTCAATTCCATCTTCCAACTTGGCGATATCATCAACAATTGTGCTTAACATGTCAACAGCTTTCAATTGAAGCTGTCAGTCAAGATAACAGTAGAGTTGGGGGCAAGATACCCCAATTATCCATCTGGTATATTTAGTTTAGACAACGGAAGAAAGAACGCATGAGATATAGTAATGGATGGATTGAAGGAAACAGTTAGAATGCAGAGTACCAATATTTATATTTAGAGCCATGCTTGATAAATGGAGGTACCAAGTTAATAAATAACAAATTCTGTTTATTGATGCTTATTTTGATAAATAAAGCAGGTTTGGTCACCTTTTGCTCATTATTTGCCAATCGTCACAAATCTAGATTCCAGAAACTTTATCCCAAGGGTAAGAGCCCACCCACCCTTGATGTACCTATACTTTAACCGCAACTCAATTAATCCTTTCTCAAACTATGTTGTCTTTGTCACTACAAATATGTCCTTTATCCTTTTGTCAAGCCAGGTTTACAATTGTTCATTGTTTGTTTTCCAAATTTTGGCTTTTATTAGGGCGCCTTGGCCAATTAAAAGATGATAAATTTCACAAGTGTCCGTGATGCTTCCGGGATTATGTCTTGTGACAAAACAAAAAACGCCAATAAATGCCGTTAGGCTGGAACAAGAAGCTGGGTGTTATAACTAGAAGGACTACGATCCAGTGCCGTCATTTTCGTTGGACTCATCAAATCTAATACACACATTACCTTGTAGCATGGCATATTGGTTTATCCTTGGATAACTCCCAGACCTCTTCCTTTACACACTTTCAATAAAGAAACTATTTACCTTTCATCTCCAGCTTTTACCCGTTCATGGCAGATGCCTACTGAACCTCCCATGGAATCTTCCATCTCGAGGGTGCCCCATGTTCAAATCTTTCTGTGCTAGAAAATCTTGAAACCCCCTTTGAACGTACCCTCGACACTGGGATAACATACAAACCTGACCCACTTTAAACAGATGCCGCCATTGCGTTTCCAACAGGAATAGAACAGGAAAGAAAGAGTGAATAATCCAAACAGCCTTGTAGCGGAAGATCAAATATTAAGTTTTTGTCACCCCATCCCCCAAAGAATGCATGGGATCTTGATGATGATCCCTTTCTCTTATTCCACATGGGATTTGGCTTTATCAGTATATGATAGCCAAAATAAAATAAGCACAGTGGTCAGTTCGTGTGCATGCATATTTAGGCTAGTTTTTGATAAGCATTGATAAAATCTAGGCTTTTCTATGTTGCTTGGTGATGACGACGATGATGATGGCTGATGGGAATTGAGTTACACCAAAGAACAACGAGGGTTTTGTATTTGATGTGTTGTGTATATGACCAACAGATGTCATTTTTACCCTTTTTATTCATAAAAAAAAAAAATTGAAACTGCACCTTTTAATCGATAAAATCACCTTACATTTTAACCCCATCCCTTTTTCAATGATTATCAAAGATAACATCAGCCATTACACAAACAAATGACTACCGCTAGTAAAAGTGCTAGTAATGATTCTGCGCTGGATGATAATCAAGATAAGACGCGTATATGGGTTGGTAAAAAGTGTAAAGGTTGATAATCATGTGATATTGCGACTGCAGATTTTGCGCTTTTTACCGAATGGGTAGGGTACGTTTGAGAAACTCTAAAGCATCTTTTACTGCACTATGTAGCTCGCGTCGTTTCTAAAAAAAGAAAGATTCTGAGTCACAAAAAATTTTCAACTTGGACTGAGTTACACACAATGATTCCATGATTTTATCTTGATTAAAAAAAAGGTATAAAAGATGTTTCGGATTTTGGACAAAGCTACGCGTTTCTTCTTTACATTATATATTTTTACATATTTTAAAAAATGGTTACTCAAGTTGGTATTAACGGGTAAGTGATTAATGTTTTCATCTGCATGATGAATTAATTCTAACCCTTTGCTTTAGTTTCGGTCGTATTGGTCGTATTGTCCTTCGTGCTTCTCTCGCTAACCCCGAGGTCCAAGTTGTCGCTATTAACGATCCTTTCATCCCCCTCGAATATATGGTTTACATGTTCAAGTACGATTCCGTTCACGGTCGTTTCAACGGTACTGTTGAAGCTAAGGATGGTAAGCTCGTTGTCAACGGTAAGGAGATCTCTGTCTTCTCTGAACGTGACCCCGCTCAAATCCCTTGGGGTAAGGCTGAAGCCTACTATGTTGTTGAGTCCACTGGTGTCTTCACTACCATTGATGCTGCCTCTTCTCATTTAACCGGTGGTGCCAAGAAGGTTATCATCTCTGCTCCCTCTGCTGATGCTCCTATGTTCGTCTGTGGTGTCAACCTCGAGAAGTACACTGCTGACCTTAAGGTTATCTCCAACGCTTCTTGTACCACTAACTGTCTCGCTCCTCTCGCCAAGGTTATCAACGATAACTTCGGTATTGTTGAAGGTTTGATGACCACTGTCCATGCTACTACTGCTACCCAAAAGACTGTTGATGGTCCTTCCAACAAGGATTGGAGAGGTGGTCGTGGTGCTGGTGCCAACATTATTCCCTCTTCCACTGGTGCTGCCAAGGCTGTCGGTAAGGTTATTCCCGAACTTAACGGTAAGCTTACCGGTATGGCTTTCCGTGTCCCTACTCCCGATGTCTCCGTCGTTGATCTTACTGTCAGATTAGAGAAGGGTGCTTCTTATGATGAGATCAAGGCTGCCATCAAGAAGGCTTCCGAGAACGAGATGAAGGGTATCCTCGGTTATACCGAAGACCAAGTTGTCTCTCAAGATTTCGTCAGTGATGACAGAGTAAGTTTTTTATTTATTTATAAACAAAAAAGTACAAGTGTGTTGGGAAGTATATTTATTTATTTGTATCAAACTTATAGTCTTCCATCTTCGATGCCGCTGCCGGTATTGCTCTTAACGAAAACTTCGTCAAGCTCGTCTCCTGGTACGATAACGAATTCGGTTACAGGTAAGAATATATAAGATTGATTGTGTTTATTTTACGTGTATACTCATACTACTTTCTCTTTAGTAACCGTGTTATTGATCTTTTGGCTTATGCTGCCAAGGTCGATGCTGCCGCTTTGTAAATTTCTTCAAGCTTTTAGATATCCCTCTAAAACAAATATCATTCTAAAATAAATATTGCTGTTTTTTAATAAAAAAAATTTAAGAGATTATACATCTCTTGAATATTTTTTTGTCTATACTATAAAAAAACTTGTTTCCCACATGTTTCGAAAAATACTGGATGTATGGAGCCAATGATAAGCGTGTCATCATGGGAGTTCCCAGAGTGTGAAAGCTAATATGTTTGTAATTACGGTTCTGCCCATTACCTAGTTTGCATGAAGGTAAAGAGGGGGAGAAACCGGCTCCCTTTTTAATGTTCTCACGCGTTTTCATCAACACAGACCTTTTTTGATGTCCCGATCACTATTTTGCATGTCTCATGTGAATTTCAACTGTGTGATACCCGATCTTTGACGCGTTTGATTTAACGACATTTTTTATTTTTTTTTTTGGTACCGGTTCAATTCTTATCCGTCTTTCTTGTAATTCCATCATATTACGTAAGCATCGTCTGCTGACATCACCCGCTTCCCGTTTTTAGATAGTTTGTGAGTGGGCATTTGGGAAAGAATTATGTAAGATGGGAGAGTGCGGGTAACCGAAGTATATTAAAGAGCCTGAAATTAAAATATGCTCTCCCCTTATCTCTTCTTTATCCTTATTATCTTAAATGCACGCTTCTGTTTATATTTCTGGGTATACAAACAATGTCAGTGTTGGTATTTACCATTATGGTTTTGATACAAACACGGGTATCTTGACTCCCAAGGGATTGGCAGTAGAGAGTGTCAACCCTTCTTATTTTACTACCAGTAACAACCATTTGTTTGCTGTAAATGAAGTACCTCTTTACAATGGTGCTAACACGGGTTATGTCTCCTCTTACAGTCGCAACAAGAAAACGGGTGAATTGACCTTAATGAATGAACAACCATCGGGTGGTGAAGATCCTTGTTATGCTGTTTGTGACGTGACTGGAAACTTTTTGTTGGTTGCCAACTACAATGGTGGTTCTGCTGCCGTCTTGCCTATTAGCGATAAAGACGGAGAATTGGGAGCTATTGTTTCCAACCCTTTCGATAGTCAATGGTACAATGCTACAGGCGGAGTTCCTGACCGTCAAGAAAAACCTCATGTGCACTCGATTGATTTGGACCCTGTCGGACAACGCTATGCATTCACCAATGATCTTGGTTGTGATCGATTGATAACCTACAAATTTGATCGTAAAAAGACGGGATCTTTAACGCGTCATTCTGATTTCCAATTTCCTATTGGAAGTGGTCCTCGTCATATCAAGTTCGCTCCCAATAATAACAACTTTGCCTACGTTATATCTGAGCTATCCAATGATGTGTTTATGCTCGAATTTGATTTCCATAAAGGAAAGTTTAATCTCGTACAAAAGATTCATGCCTTACCCGAGGATTTCCAGGGTGAGAATCTCGGTTCTGAAATCGATATTCCCGCCAACGGTAAATTTTTGTATGTTTCTATGCGCGGCTATGATGTCATTACCATCTTTAAGATTGATCAGGCTACTGGTAAATTGAAGACAGTAGGTTACCAGAACACAGGAGGAAAGCATCCTCGTCATTTTACTTTTGATCCCACTGGTTCCTTCTTGCTTGTTGGTAACAAGGTGAGTCATATTTCTTTTAAAAATTACTTTGCATAATCTAATCTGATCCTTTTAGGATACCGACAATGTCGTTGTCTTCAAGATGGATAAACATACCGGTTTATTGAAACAAGTCTCTAGCGTTGAACATGTTCAACCTACATGTGTTAAATTCTGGGCTTAATATATAGAAATATTTATTTATAGTATTTATATTATCCACGCTGGGATGTGAGTAATTCTTGCATTCTTTGTTGTGTCTAATTACAAAGTATTAATCATCATTATTCATCCCAAAATAAAAATATACGTCCACTTACTTTTGTTGTTAAATAATGGAATACAGCTTCCTTCATCCAAGGTTGCTTGTAGAAATCCGTTTGTCTGATTTCTTCCAAATTGACCTTGGATTCACCAAGGATCACCTCTAAATCTCTTGCCTGACTTGCGATCCATTTGTTAATAAACTCTACAGGTTCCTTTGAGAATTGCATCAAGAAATCACGTTTGATCTTGCTGTTATTGATACTTTGTACGCACTGGACAATTTTATCGTCCAAGCCCATAATTTCCTTTTGAGTCTGTGCACAGGATACGATTTGCATCATTTTTTGACGAACAATGCTATCCAATTCAACATCAATATCGTAGCATTTTGAGGAAAGTGTAATTGGTTTATCAACTCGAATCGTATAATCAATGACAATGGGATCTGGTCGGCTTAAATGAGGTGTAATCAACTCGGGTAACTGAGAGAAATGAAGTTGAGGGTACCCGAATATCTGTGCTAAGCGATTATCACAGCGAATCAATCGTTTATCCTCCGCATCTTGTAACTTGTGATTTTTGCAATAGTTCCAAATACCCATCACAATTTGAGGTTTTGTCTCTAACTTCACATCCAGCAAATCAGCCAATGCTGGTGATAACTTGAACTTTTGTGGGTTGGACTCTAAATGAAGAATAATTTTGCACTTGATGTTCATATCGCCCTTGCGTTTAATTTCAATGCAGTCAAAATCACTTGTATTAGGTTGCTTTTGCCACTATATATAATACACGTCCCGTTATTAGTTTCTTTTCGTGACAATCTCCTATAATCGTTAGTCCCTACCTCAATCAAGTTGCCTTCAGGATATAAGTTGGGGTCTCTGTCCAGTTCTACAATAACTGAACGAAAGAAGGATGTCAATTTCTGAACGGGTTGTGGTTGTTTGGAAGGCGCCTAATTATGCAATTCTCTTAATAACACTTTTTTTTAAGTGAGAGATGAACTTACGTCCAATAAGTTGCCTTCAATCTTGAGTGTCCAGCTGGGAACATTTCCATTATTTAAATCAAATCCATTCACGTCGTTTTCTGTATTGGAAGACTGTTCAGCTGAATTGGAGATAAATAAACGAAGGGTACGACGGACCTAGATATAAAGTTAGTACACGATGGCTTGGGAATACAATTATTTGTTTCTCATTACTTTGGTGGGTTTTCCTAAAGCTTCTTGAATATCCAATCTCTTTCTCATGATGGTTGCATCGAGCGTCTTTTCAAATTCAACTAGATCTGTATAAAGCTTTGATTCGGGTACAAAAGATTCAATCTTTATAAAAATTAGTTTGTTTTAAAAAAAAACCACCTTTTTTTGCTCAAAGTAAATGTTTACTTACTTTGTGAGGCATGTTTTTATCGGTAGGTCTCTTTTTTCTATTAATAAGGAACTATGTAAGCAAATTGCAACATTATTGTAATATAAAACACGAACTTTATATGTTTGTCAGCTTCACTGGGTCTTTTCCTGTAATTGGCTGGTGGTGCCATACCCTGTGGTCCGCCTGCTGCCATTGCTTGTTGCGCCATGGCGCCAGGATGTTGTTGAAATACGTGTGGTTGAGGTTGCATTTCTTAAAATAAACACTGTAGAAGAAGAAAAAAAATGAAGGGGAAGCGAACAAAATACATTGTGTACGTGACCGTTTTTAAGAGCTTTATTTCGCCCAATAAAAATAAAATGCGGTTAAAACCCTTTTTTTTAGCCCTGAAATACTCATGACCATACGATTCAACAATTTCAATAGGCTTCGATAACATAGTAAAAGCATGAATAAGAATGTCTGTTGGATATTTCAATTAATATACAGAAACAATAGGCACCTTTTGAATCAAGAAAGCGTCAGTCATAGTCTTTAGCATCTGTCGAGTTATTTTAACTCCTTTTCATGCATTGCCTTCATATTCTTGGTGTCAATGTAATATGTTCGATAACAAACTTTTCATGTTCCACAACTCTGCCAGTTTTTGAGATTTGGCTCTTTACGTAATTTGACTATGTACTTACTTCGCAACAAAAGTTTGCCTTGATATTTATAATAAAAACTCATGTGAACTCTTCCATCATAAAAACTATATGACTACTATTTCATGCCGCTTTACCTAAAAGTCTTTTTGCTAAATTACATAGACAGTTTGAGAGTGTAACATTGTTTTCAAGTAAGTAAAAGGTGGCCATTATACACACTTAATATCCGACATATACCTTAGACCAAATAAAGTCGACCATGAGTATTTAATGCAGATTGCGCGGCACTATTTAGTATTCGAAGTGAAAATCAAAACTCTCGAACATGTTTTAGTCGAAGATCGGCTCGGTTGCCCAAACAAATACCCGAATTTTCTCTAGTTTATGGCACAGTACAAGAGAGATTACTATATGTAGTATAGCTCAAGTGATATATAGAATCTCTTTATTAAAACAGAGAAAAAAGGGGGCCACATAAGTTTTGAATTACATTTAGGGCTGTTTGCAGTATGATAAAAAGTTGTTATTTTATATCTCTGAACGCTACAACGGTGTAAATTTTCTATTTCTTCTGACTGGCAAAAGTAGTGAGCGCCATGCTATAAGGTAGCAAGCGGAGTATATCAATATGTTATAAGTAAATCTCTGTAAATAGCAAACTCTGGCTTATTAAATTAAAGAATTACAAGTATTTATAGAAAAAGATATGCAATGTACATTTTAATAAGGTTGACGGTTGATTTTCTATCACTCCAAAATCCGGTTGTTACAACGGAAATGGTAAGAAGTTGACGATTATGGCGTAGCTATCCACGTCATATTTAAACGTCAAAAATAGAACCTTGAACCACCATTCTTTGGATGAACTCTCTTTCACTCAAAAGATGTCTGTATTGCACAAGTTTTCTCTTCAGAACAATTATAATCAATTAAAAAATTATTTGGTTCAGCATGTACCCACTACTACTATGTTACTCGGTTGGTTTTTAGGTACAGGTTTTTACGAAACTGATCATAAAGGCAAATGCTGTATTTGGACATCTCATCCCGATCCCTTTCTTTGCAAAGACCCCGTTGTCTGGATTTTTGACACTAAATATCGAATTCGGGTTTTTGTCACCTCTGAAGTTGTCCTGGATTTAGGCACTTTCACAGAAGAAGCTAGAGAGTTGGCTGGGTGTGCAGTTTACAAAGGAAAATTTTCACCTAACTACTTCGTGGAACCTCAGCTTCAAATTCTCTACAATCAAAGTAAGGACATTCTCGAGTCTGTCATGAGGGCATTTATGGAAATGCATGAAGGGGAAGGTAAATAAATCCTAATTTTGACATTTAGGTAAATATGTCAATTAATACTAATGTGATGATTCTATTAAAAAAAACAGTCTTCCTAAAAGTCAACTTGCTATGGTCTTCAGTGTTTCATAAACTAATTGATGCCCGGTTTGAGACTCCTTGTTTCAAGTTTGTTAAACCAGCATCGTCTTTAGATCTGGATAGGAAGATAACCCTACCTTATGATTTAAAGATGACTAAATTAGAACATCAGGATATCCAAAAGGTTAAAAAAAAGATTGTTTAACAAACTCATAATGCAATTAAATTGCTTGCTTACAGCTTTAACTCTATTAGGTACGTTCCTCAAATAAGGTAACCTTTGACATCAAATATATTGAGGATTGCTTCCGCCTTTCTAGTGCTATAAGAGGAGTTGATAATGACGAGCTGGCTGCCTGGAGTATGACCCATCGGGATTGTAAGTCACTATGAAATAAATGATAAGTACCAAAAGAAAACTCAAAAAGTCTTTTTTCCAGTTTGTGTGGGAGCTCTTCATGTCTTACCTGAACACCGTCGCAAAGGCTATGCTGATATGATTTTACATGATGTATGTAAGCAATATGCTGCTTTCTATAAACAAGCGATTCCTGAAAATGCGGCAGATCTTTACTTTTGTGCTGCTGTAGAATACTTGAATACTTCTAGTGCAAACTTATTCAAAAAAATAGGCTGGATTAGTTTTGGTCTTGGATGCAGTTGGATTTGCGGCTCTCCAGTAAAAAACAAATAGTTACTTGATATTAGGTTTCAGCATAATATATTTTTTTATACGTATATATTTTTCTATTTTTTTATGAACTATACAAGTATATGTAATGTTAGTTACGATTTTTTAAAAAAATAAAAAAATATCGAGTATGAACAAAATGAAAACTTTCTCTTTTAAAGGACAGGAGTAAAGAAACCAAGTTTCTCGACATGCTGACCTTGTATTCTCTTTCCCTGTACAGATTTATCCTCTTTCAAAAGCTTATTGTCTTATTGTTCTATCAGGGGGTTTGCCAAGGTTGTATCAGTCTAAAAAATAGGTCAGCAAATGGTGAATAAATATATAAGGTATTAGTTTGTTATACCTGAACTATCTGTCAATAAACTTGGATCAATGCCTCCTGTAGCGCCCTTTTGACTCCCGCAATAAAGGCCGCTTGTGACACTATCACCACAGACAACTTTCTTGATTGAATCAGACACTCTGAATTTATTTAAGATGGGTGCCGCTATGGAGAATCCAGAATCGTTTAATATATTTATATTCGTTGTTTGAATGTCATTTATTGGTTTGCTAGTTGTCTGGTTATTTTCTTACGTCTATCCGAGAGATTTTTTTTTCGTTGGTTTGAAATCTTTCTGATTTATCTGAATTTCTGGTGCGAATACTTTAATAAGTCCTCATTATCTAGGATTATCCTTGTTGGTTGAATCAGTTGATTTTTTTTTTTTTTGGCGACAATGATATTCCGCTGCACTTGATTGCCCAGGTCTGGCTTCCCAATTTATTCTGGATAAATGCCTTAATATGGTTGGTGGATTTTCTGACAATTTGTGTGGCTTAAAAAGAGTTAATTTTACAAGACTATTTTTTTTTTTTTTTTCTTCTGCTATAACCACACCATTTACCTGGAAGGAATAACTGTAGACATGTCGAAATTTAATACAGTGGAACGTGAACTTATGTTCCGTAACCCTTCCGACTCAAAGTTCGGCACACCCTCTTTACAGGAAGTCGTTGCACCCCATATTGAAGCTTTCAACAGTATCAGTGAATTCGGTGGAGAAGGTCAACAGGGTTTATTGGATTATGCTGTTGCAGATATTGGAAGTTTCTCTGTGTTTGATAATGCATCGACTGACGTTAATGTTGATCCTACCGGCCAAACACTTGGTAACAAACTTACCTTTTGGCTCGAAGACGTCAAATTAAACCAACCCATGGTCAACGAACGTGATACACTTACCTTACGTCGTCGTATTTATCCTTCTGAATGTCGTGAGCGTCTCAACACTTATCGTGGTAAATTACAAGGCAAGCTTTGCTGGCGTGTGAACGGGGGTCCTGTCCAGTCCGACATGCGTGATCTTGGTCTTGTCCCCGTCATGGTTCGATCCAATCGTTGTAATTTAAACGGAATGTACCCTAAACAACTCGTTGCTCACCATGAAGAGTCTGAGGAAATGGGTGGTTATTTTGTTGTAAACGGTATCGAGAAATTAGTGCGTCTTTTGATTGTACCCCGTCGTAACCATGTCACTGCTATTATCCGTAATTCCTTCCAAAACCGTGGCCCAACCTACTCTACTTATGGTTGTGCTATTCGTTGTGCTCGTCGTGATCAAACCACTTTAACCAATACCATTCATTATTTGAACGATGGTAATGTCATGTTCCGTTTCGCCTGGCGTAAGCAGGAATATCTTTTGCCTGCCATGTTGGTTTTCAATGCATTATGTTCAGCATCAGATAAAGAGATTTTCGAAGCACTCTGTCAAGGTGACCGTCAAAACACCTTTTTGACTGATCGTATCGAATTATTGTTAAGATCCTTCAAGATCTATGCTCTTTATACTCAAGATCAATGTTTGAGCTATATTGGTGAAAAGTTCAGAGTCACAATGGGTTTGGATGAGGATTTAACTGATAAGGAAATTGGTCAAGCTCTCTTGAAGAAGCTTGTCTTTGTTCATATGGATGATAACCGTGATAAATTCAACCTTTTAGCTTTCATGATTCGCAAGCTTTACTCACTTGTTTCTGGTGAGTGTGGTGCTGATAACCCAGATGCTCCTCAACATCAAGAAGTTCTTTTAGGTGGTCATCTTTATACCATGATTATGAAGGAAAAGATTCATGACTGGCTTACCGGTGTTAAAATGCAAATCCGTAATGATATCAGATTAAACCCTGCCAAGGTCGATTTCTTTAACAGTAAGTAGTCGTCACCTCTATTATTTGTGTTTTTGAGAGTCAGAGGAAAGCTAACTCTCGTTGATAGACACTTATTTCCAAAATGCTTATCGTAAGGTCAACAGTGATGTTGGTATCAAGATGTCTTATTTCCTCGCTACTGGTAACCTTGTCAGTAAGACTGGTTTGGATCTTCAACAGTTCTCTGGTTTCACCATTGTTGCTGAAAAATTGAATTTCTTCCGTTATTTGGCACATTTCCGTTGTATCCATCGTGGTGCTTTCTTTGCTGAATTGAAAACCACTAGTGTTCGTAAGTTATTACCTGAAGGTTGGGGTTTCCTTTGTCCTGTCCATACTCCTGATGGTTCTCCTTGTGGTCTTTTGAACCATTTGGCTCATAAATGTAAGGTTATTAACGAGCCTTTGAATGTTAAGTCTATTCCTCGCTTGCTCGCTGCTCTCGGTGTATCTCAAAGTTTCCTTCACTCTATTAACAGACCCGGAGATGTTGTTGTCATGTTGGATGGTAAGATTATTGGTTGGTGTACCCCTGCCACTGCTGCCAAGGCTGCTCAAAGTTTAAAGATTTGGAGAGTCAACGGAGAACAAGGTGTTCCTCTTGATTTGGAAATCGCACTCGTTCCCAACTCTTATGGTGGTGAATATCCTGGTCTTTATTTATTCGCCAGTCCCGCTCGTATGATGCGTCCCGTCAAGTTCCTTGGTAACGGCAAGACTGATATGATTGGTACTTTTGAACAAGTTTATATGGATATCGCTTGTATGGATGACGAAGTTGTTCCTGGTGTCACCTCTCATCAAGAATTCACACCCACCAACATTCTTTCAATTATTGCTAATCAAACACCTTTCTCTGATTTCAATCAATCTCCTCGTAACATGTACCAATGTCAAATGGGTAAGCAAACTATGGGTACACCCAGTACTGTCATGAACCATCGTACAGATAACAAGATGTATCGTATTCAAAACGGTCAAACACCTGTTGTCAGAACTGCACTTTATAGTCATTATGGTATGGATGGCTGGCCACAAGGTAATAATGCCATTGTTGCTGTTATTTCATACACTGGTTACGATATGGAGGATGCTATGATCTTGAACAAATCTGCTCATGACCGTGGTTTCGGTTATGGTACTGTTTACAAGGCTGAAATTGTAGATTTGAATCAATACCGTGCCCGTGGAGAGCCTGTCACTTACAGATTTGGTTTGGATCCTGTCAAGGGAAAGAAATATCGTAACAAAATTGGAGATGATGGTTTACCTCATATCGGTGCACATTTGGTTGCCGACGATCCTCTTTGTTCTTACATTGATGAGTCTACTGGTAAAAACGTCATTAAGAAGTATAAGGGTCCTGAAGACGCCTATGTGGATGAAGTCCGTATTTTAGGTGATGATAGCGGTAATGGTGAATTGCAAAAGGTGCATATTAAATTACGTATCACTCGTTCTCCTGTGATTGGTGATAAGTTCTCTTCTCGTCACGGTCAAAAGGGTGTTTGTTCTCAAAAATATCCTGCTGTTGATATGCCATTTACTGAATCTGGTATGCAACCTGATGTCATCATTAATCCTCATGCTTTCCCATCTCGTATGACTATTGGTATGTTTGTCGAAAGTATCGCTGGTAAAGCAGGTGCCCTTCATGGTATCGCTCAAGATAGTACACCTTTCAAATTTAACGAAGAAAATACTGCTGCCGATTACTTCGGTGAACAATTATTAAGTGCTGGTTATAATTACCATGGTAATGAAGCCATGTATTCTGGTATTACTGGTGAAGAGATGAAGATGGATATTTATATTGGTGTAAGTGATTTTTTTTTTTTTTTTTTGTATATTTACAAGGATAGTGTGATGACAGTTTTTTATTTCTTTAGGTTGTTTATTATCAACGTCTCAGACATATGGTTAACGATAAGTTCCAGGTCCGTACAACAGGTCCTGTTCATAACCTTACTATGCAACCTGTTAAGGGTCGTAAGAGACATGGTGGTATTCGTTTCGGTGAGATGGAACGTGATTCATTGCTTGCTCACGGTACCAGTTACTTGCTTCAAGATCGTCTTATGAACTGTTCAGATTACTCACAGGCATATGTCTGCCGTCTTTGTGGTTCATTGGCATCCCCTATCTGTACAAAGATTGTTTCCACCTTGGGTAACCGTCGTACTTATGAGTGTAGAACTTGTGCTACATCAAAGGGTATTGATTTGATTGCCATTCCTTATGTATTCAGATATCTTACTACTGAATTAATGAGTATGGGCATTAAATTAAATTTAGGTATTAAGCCTTAAATTTATTTCATTACTTTTATTTTCATTTTTAATTATACTTTCTCGCACACACACACACTCTCTCAATTTTTTCTCTTTCACACTTTATTTTGTATACATAAAAAAACCCATTTTTAGATCCCATACACCCTTTGATACAAAAGCCTATTTTTTTTTTCTCTCTCTCTCTTATCTATGTACAATAAATGCATTATCTCAAAAACAAACTCTTAGGGAATTTTTAGAATTTGACCAAGCCAAGATATCTCGATTCGAACTTGATTTACGTCAATTTAAGCACACAAATAATTTTGTAAAGTTTGTTTAATAGCTTTTTTTTTTGTTTCATTTTTTTCTATAAAATACAATCATGTTCCCCTCCAAATTATTCTTGACGCAACTTTATACAAGCAGAAAAAAATGATTATTGGATACATGGCGGCGATACTGACCGTTATGTCAACGGCAGCCCACGCAGCAACACCTACAGAAGCAGAATCGCCAGCGCAAGTAGTTGCAGCAGAATATATTCAAACTTCACCGGTTTGGCTTTCCAAGATAAAAGGCCCCGAATACATAGCTAAAGGCTACCCTTATGAAGAAGATATCAAGGCTGGACCGCTCCCCAAGTCAGGCTTTAAATTCAACCTGAAAGCTTACCCGGAAACTAATAAGCAGCCACCAGTCAACCATCCTGAGGTGCAAGCCGTCATCAAACAGTTAGATTTCACAAAAGTGGGCACCGCTATACCACGTACAGTTAAAGATTGGGTTTTAGACATAACTCATTATAATGCTCTGGAGGATCCCGATTGTTGGTGGTCTGCCAGTATCTGTAAAAAACCCAAAATCGCATTTATTCCTGAAGATATCTATGTTTGTCCTAACAAGGGTGACTGGGGGCTGAACTACGACGATGGCCCATACAAATTTGGATATCCTACTACTGAAAAAGATAAGGAATTTGATCAGCCAAGGTTCTACAATTTCCTTGTTGATTCAGCAAACAAACAAAAGGCAACTCTTTTCTGTAAGTTGGTTTATAAAAAATTTTACAGCTATTCTAATTTTTTTTTTTAAAAAAAAAAAGTCGTTGGTTCCAATCTCGTCAAGTTCCCTATTGCTGCTCAGAGAGCCTTACATGATGGTCACACTATCTGCTCTCATACCTGGTCTCATCCTCAAATGACAAGTTTGACCAACGAAGAAGTAGTTGCACAACTTTATTGGACTCAGAAGGCTATTAAAGAATCACTTGGTATCACACCGAAATGCTGGAGACCTCCTTATGGTGATGTTGATGATCGTGTTCGTTCTATTGCATGGCAAATGGGTATGAGAACCATTCTCTGGGATCAAGATTCAAATGATTGGAATTTGGTAAGCTAAACTAATACTGCAGACTAAAATACATGTATTGACTTTTTGGATAGTTTGTCATGAAGGGTAGAGGTCATCTTAAACCTGACGTTATTGATGCTTATTTTAAAACATGGATTAAAAATCGTTCCACAAACAATGATACGGAACATGGACATATAACCTTGGTAAGTAATTTGAATCATTCCAAAAGTAAATCAAAGCAAAAAAACTAAAATTTGTATTAGCAACATGAAAATAGTAATGCGACAATTATGATTTCAGAAAAATGGTTACCTCAGCTTCAAAAAAGCTTCAATGTGATGCCAATCCACCAATGTATTAATGAGCCTCATCCTTATTGGGAAGAATCTTGGGTATACCCTACATTGGACTCACCAGATCCTCCTCGTTATCATGCTGTTTCCCCTCCTCCCTCTAAATACGATTCAGCTACTGACATGGCTCCTTCTACTACCATCTCTTTAGGAGTTAACGTTCTTATTGCTTTCTTTTTAATTGTCGCCGTTGGCTTATTATAAACACCTAATAAAATAAAGTAAATACATTATACATAGATTACCCGCGTCCCAAAAAACATCTAAATACGCTATTTCACTCAGAATCTATACGTCAGATTCAGCTGTATAATAATAATCCACGAAATACGTATGTTCCCAACAATGCCTAAGTTCGTCTTAAATATATGTGTTAACTAAGAGGGAAGTTTATACACAATCATAAATACACTAAAGCCGTATATCACATGTGCTTCTAAAATCTACCCAAATGTAAGTAGTACTTTCTCTTTTCTTCCTTAACCGGGGCAGTTTATCGTTATCAATACCATTTGATTCAGCCTATTAATGGTGTATAGGCGATGCCTTTCGTTAAGTTTCGGCATGATAAGACATGTGATAATTAAAGGAAGGTATTTCATGTCGGTTCACTCTCTTTCTATACCAAAGATTCATGGATTTTTCTCTTTTCGCTCACTTTTTGCTTGATAAAAAGATGAAGGGAATGCATAGATACAAGCCTCTGCGTGGTCATTCCTAGGCAACACTCTTCTAGAGTGGCTAATGTGTATCTTTTCTTTCTAATCTTAATAAAATATGTGTTTTTAAACTATTTAAACTGCCTGTTATTTCCTGTCTTCATGTCCATAGAAAAAAAGGAACGGGGAACGGTGTCTAAAAAGTAGATGCTCAAAATCCTCTGATTAAGATTGTTAATCAAATGGTTCTACAATCAGAAAAAGAAAGAACATTTGTCTAATTGAGAACTGTTGTAGAGGCCAAGTTTGAGTGTACTAGCTCATAACACACAAGATGATGGTGCTGTAGAAAATTCAAGATAAGCTGTTACGTTTACAAACGATTATGGATGTTACTGTTTTGGAAGACATTCAATACTTTTTTGTAACTATTACTGACTTCCAGTAGGTGCTAGAAGGCAATAAAGACAGTGCAATGTCGGATGCAAGTAACGTCCTGACTTATTAAATATGTCTACGCGCTTGACAAGCAATTTCTCTTTGTGATTAATGGTTTTGGATAAAAGTACCTTTTATCTTGGCACCTACATTGGGACATGCAACAAAAAAGACGTCTTTGGTTTGTAAGTAATAACAATTGTTACCTTTGCACAAGTAGATAAATTAAACTTTTTAAGTTATACTGGCACTCCCATATATTGATTAACATCCACATAAGGTTTATTTCGACGTTTTATTCGAAACATATTATATATAACCTAATTAAACTGTTGTAATTCTAATAGTTGGAATCAAATGAGGTCTTTCAGAGGGAATGTAGTATCTTTCAATTTCAATAGCATGATTGGCACTAGGATAGGACGTATCAGGCACATCCTTATTAAGAAACTTGCAAATTTCCTTCCAACCATTTCCTTGTTTTAACATCAATAATTGTCCGGCAGGTACAATTTCCTTCACTTTAGAAAGATGATCCAAATACATTTGCTTTACTTTTTCCTCTTGTGAAAATTTGTCCGGATCTTGAATCCATCCATCCAGACATACGGCTGTAGAGAGTTTTTGGAAAGGATGACTAGAGGTTGAACCCAGAGTAGCACTTGTATTCTTTACAGATAGATACCAGCTATCAACAGAACGCACAGTCATTACTACTTTAGCATCAGGATACTTGTCAAGTAAATCCTTATAAAATGAGGCACCAATCCAACCCACAACTGCATCATAATTTTTATATAGCGCATCCCAGTCCGCTTCCTTTCTATTCGTATAGGCATCGTAAAATTCATCGCACGAAAGGCTAGGATCTTCAAAAAAACTTTCCATATGCTGTGTTTTGTATCTTTAAAACAAATTGTTACATGAAACTCACGTTTAATATTTATAATTAGTATGTTACCCTAAAGTATTTAAAGCTGTTTTTAAATTATCGGTATCACAATCTCCAAAGCTTGCTCCTATAACTTTAATCGGTGCCATTTTTGGTGTCGAAATGATAATAATAAAAAAAGAGCATCAATGCCCTTTTATTTATAAAGATAACACCTACAAATTATTGATCATGCATGCAATGCGTTAATCCTAACGTGTACAAAAAAAAATATGTAGCGTGATGAATTACCACAAAGGACTAATACAAATACAATTCATCCTTGCTACACCTGTTGAAAAAAACTCGGGTACACTGCATAGTTTTTTTTTTTTTTTGAAGATCTTTTTTTTCGTAGATATCTAACTTACAAATATTTGCGTATTTACCCTGTTGATCATTCTGCATGATATGCTTTGATTTGTATGAAAAAAGTAATTTTGTGCAAATATAAAAGGAAAAAGCAATAACTACAACGCTTCTGATAGCTAGATAGAAAAACAGTACCTTCGAAAGCAAGATGTGGATGTAAACAACATATTAATATTGTTTATTTAAAAGTGCATATCTGATGTGTGCTTTTCTTATCAAATGTCTATTAAAAGCTCTTTAAACAAATTAAGATGAAGCTTCTTGCTTCTCGAAATAGTTTAAATGTTGAAACTTTAAACACTCATTACCCCAACTTATCCATCCAGGAATAAGACAACGAGCAAATAATTCGACACATACAGGATCAGTTTTGTCCAAGTAAGGCAACAAAATATCTAGTTAAATAATCAACACATATCCTTAGACTAAAAAATGGAAAAGTAAAAACAAAGTACCTTGAAGAGGCGGTTTTCTGGAATGTCGCACACTTGGAACACTTACTATAGTATGAATTTTTGGAAGGGATGATTCACGCTTTTTAATTGGCCGCCCTATAATTAATTGTTCGTATGGCTTCTTATGCATTGAGTCGATGGGAAAGATGCACTCAGCCTGCGTTGTGACCTTAAGCCAAACCCATTCGGCAACACATTCTAGTTTCCATGAAGGGAATAGTTTGTTGATGATGAAATTTCTAAATTTCGGTTTATTTGTGACCCATATTGCCACAATCGAATCCTTGGATGAAATCATCTGAGAAATTGGGATAGTATACAAATCGTAGATATCTTGAGTACCGTACTCTGATGATCTTGATACTGTTTAAATTAATTACGCTGTCTTTAGCTTTCTCCTTTAGTATATATATTACCACTCTTATTAGGCCATGGAGGGTCCATCACTATGATATCTGCTCCTCCTATTTTTTCAACTGAAAATCTGATGATTTAGGGTTTGTTTTTGTTTCGAAGCGAGTGTCCATAATTTACCATAATTACCCAGCTGTGCAGCGGTATTTGCTATTGAGCCCATTAAAAAACTAGACTTTGGCGGAATAATGTATTGACAATCAGGAGTTATTCTTAACATATTTAATATAGGCTGGTTATTGATGCAAATAAGATTAAACACTCCAAATAAGTCTATCTCCGTTGTTACTGGACCAGTCAGTTCAAATTCATCAGCATCCTCATCAGAGCAGAATTTTATGCGTGCTTTTTCGACCATGGCTTGCATGCTTGGAAAATCGATTGTTTCCACCTCCACAGTCTTTACTGTTCGAGGTTGTTTAATTTCTGTAAAGTACCACACTTTGAGCAAATCCTCCAAACAAGTGATCAAGTGTGGTCGTAACTCCTCATGTCTCTTTTGTGTTTCAATGTCGCAAATGCTCGGTGTGTTTGCTTTTTTCCGCTTTTTTGTTGGCTCTGCTGTTGGTTTTTTAGCAGTAAAATATGGTTCACATACATCGAATTCTCCAGTTACTAAACGGTAGGGCGAAATGTCTTGAGAGAAACATTTTTCAGAATCTATAATGTCAAACATGATCCTTTCAAAAACATTTTTTTTTTATTGATGATATTTTAGGTCAACTTAAAGCGCGACAGATGCTGACCAATTGAATGAGTTGGATTTGTTACATTGAAAAGCATTCCTTTATTTTTGGAAAATGATAAAAAATATTCTTTACTCTAAACCTTCAGATGTGATTCGGACTATATAAATTTGTTAGAAAATATTAACGATAGCATGGTGATAGTAACTTACGGTAAAAATTGATTGATACAGCTATAACCATGAAAAAAGTAAGAACAGCAGGGCCGTACTTGTCCGAAAAATCACCAAGCTCTTTACGTTGGATACGGTTTCCACGTAAATGATAGGTATACAATGCATATATCATAACAATCAAGGCTAGTAATGTAAAAATAACTGCAGACACACGTCCAACATGGTCAGAGAAATTCAATAAACCTATGGCTAAGGCACCTAATAATAACGTAAAGCGAAGCCAGGAAAGAAATGTACGTTCGTTTGCGAAAAATGTTTTAGCAGGTGGTGCAGCAACAGGTACAACATTACGCGAACGGGATTCAACAGGACGTGCATTAAGTGTGGAGTTTCTTCTTTTAAAAATCGTTTTGGACTTCTTAAATACGGTCTGAAGACCTGCAGGAGACAGTTTCTTTAAAAGACCAGAACCACTTGGATTTGCCTCGAGATCACTATTCTTAGGTCGGGGTGGTAAAAGTGGTGTGTGTTCTGTTGCCTCTGCCATTGTTATCTGTACACTGTCGTCAGTTGTTAATTTGGACCCATCGCCAGGAAGAGAATCAAAGGATGTAGAACTGCTGTGAATAGCATCAGGTCTTTGTACGCCAAATGCACCTGTTGCAGGCTTTCTTATATCAATCTCCATTTGAGGTAGCCAAAATGGCAAGACATTAATTTTATCCTCCAACAGAGTAGCGCAACCGTGAATAAATTTGGAGAACTTTGGTACAGATTCTACAAGATGCGAATTGACAAGCTCCAGGATCCACTGAGGTGGTTCTTGTCCAAATTGCGTCTGAAGCTTTACTTCTAGAACAGCATAAGGAAAACGACAGATGTCGGAGTCCGGTAATTGCTTAAAAGGATAATCTACACCGATATCCATCCTACGCCAGTTATCACCACAGCGCTGCACACCGTCACCATTATCTTCACGAATTAAACTCAATTCAGTATCAAGACTGATACGTACACGAGCATCACCAGGCAATTGGAAAGCAGTACGATTGTAAAACGTACGTACAACGGGATGATATTTGTGTTTCAGGACGGAGTATTGCACCTCTTGAGCTAACTGCTCCATTTCTTCGATTTCCTTTTCTGATTTATTACCTTGATCTTTTGCTTTGGCAAACAGTTCTTCAGTGGTATATTGACCCTTTAAAAAAGAATTTAAATACTTCTCCTTGATTGGAAATCTTGCCTTGACAGATTTCTCTCCTGTCCAATCTTCATGATGTGTTTTACGCTCAACAAAGATGGTGTTTGTATCCATACCTCCATACCATCTCATACGGATTGCTTCGGCTCCTTCTGTCTTTTCTAAACGACCCATATAGAGTTCGAAATCATCATTGTCATAATAGACACTACTGATTGCAGAGTCTTGAGCTTCAAATTCTTTGTTAGGATTAAATACAAGAACAGGTAAATGCTTGAGAATTATCAGCTTTAACTCAGTGATATTATCCGGATGTACCCTATTATAACACAATTAATGTATCAATCAAGACACAATCATCCTGTTTTCTTTACCAGTATTTTGTTGTATTTCTGACAAATGCAGATTGTTTTCCACCAGCACCAGAATCACCACCACGTTCTTTGCCTCTTGTTCTGACACGATCATACAAAGTAGAAATACGAATAATTAAGGCTTCATAGTTTTCTTTGTAAAAGGGTTTAGCGTTTAGACGTACACTAAACATGGGTTTGATAATCCAATTCGTCACTTTCTATCAAACCATTAGTGTTAAAGTTATAATTTTCATTCATTTTTTTTTTTTTTTTTTTTTTTTACATCATGCTTTTTTATAATTTTTAAAAAGCCGGTATAATTTAAACGAGTAAATTTAGCCAAGTCGTGAACATCAGCGATAATACGGCTTAGTTCTATTTCACAGGCAGTAAAATCATCTTCCTCGGGGTGTTCTTTGTTACATAAATCATCCACCTGTATGGACTCTTCCTGAATATGTCGTGTAATTTCAGACAGCTTGACCCGCTGAAAGTTGTAGACCTTTGCCAATTCTTTTTCAAGTTTTTCAACGAATCGCGATTCATCTTCTTCTTTCCATTCGACATTGGGAAGTTTCTTTTTTAATATTAATTTTAGTGCGTCGTAGTCTATAAAAAGCTCCGGTAATCAGATACAATAGTAAGGAAAAAAAAAGATATTTGTTTACTTGCCCAAATAAAACGATGTCCATTCAGGATTTAATGACGTTTTTAAAGTGTGGCCAAATTTCATCTTAAAAATGATACAAAAGAGTTATGAAACTAGTTTTGTCAAAAAAAAAAAATGTCTTTAAAAAGATCATCTTTCTCCGATGATTGGCTCATTGCTTAAGCTAAATCTCCCTATACATAATTCAAATATTTGATAGATTTATTGTGCGACATATGGCGTTTTGTTTGTAGTGCAAGTATTTCTTTACAATTCGGGCCAATAAAAATTCAAGTATGATGCCTAAGATGAACACAATGTTATATTGGAAATTGCGAGTCTTCCTTCCATTGACAATGTATTTAAAATTACCATCAGCTTTTTATCCACGTTAATGTATTCCCGCCATATCTTGCAATAGAGAGTGGCGTTACTTTTGATGTTATTAGTGCTGAAAATTTTAGCATCATCTATTTAAAAAAGACTGTATTTTTTGATTTTTTAAATTCATCGATTCCAGAATCTCTGGTGGGAACAATGACTAAATCTTATCGACGAAGAACTATCATGACATCACCAAGCTTTATTCAAAACTGATTTAGGTGCTTGATGTTTAATCGTTTTCGGCTACGGTCCAAAAACTCTGTAGACGTTATTACGGTCAGATTACAATTCATCCTCGAGCCTTTTATACTTAATCTTTGTATGTTTTTTGCTAAAAGATAATGTTATCCATTTCGAGAAGTTGATACAATTAAACAACATACTCTTCAGAGATATCCATGCGTCGATTGCAAATCCCAGGTGGTCAAAAACTATTTGAATTGTTGAAGAAATTTCAAAGATTGGTAAGAAATGCCCAAAACTTATTGCTTGATGTTTCTGTGTTGTTAAAACTGGAAGTTATAAGTAGAACGTCGACACAGGCCCGGAAAAAAAGGCCTGTCAGTAACATAGCTGGACTAAAATGATTTCCAAGCACCTTTTTTTAAAAAAATCAATGACATCAAAGACAATAGTTATACGGCTTTAGTAATATATTTTCAAATTGTCCAAAAATAAATAAAAGCGTTTGAAGTAAAATTTATTTTTAAGTTGTGTAAATAAAACGTTTAATTGTATCAGATTAAATAGCATCAAGGATTGGTAGGCTTAAAGATACCTTCACTCTTGGGACCATCAATTCTCATATATACTTCCTTGTTAGGACCAAGACCTTGCTTTTGCATCCAGACATCAGCATCCGACTTGGGTGTAGTTTTAGTGAAGGAAACTGTATCAATTTTAGACTTTTTGTTATCTGTGTTGGTGATAGTAAAATTGCCCCAGTAGCCTTCACGAATTTTGGATTGATCTGACCCATAATTCTCTAAGAAACCGTAAAGTCCTGACAGATAGAACTTTTGCTCGTTAGCGAAAAAACTTGCGACAAGTTTCCATGTGGTTCCAAGATCGGTACTATAATAACCAGAATAGGTTGAACCATTCTTCTCTTCGTCTACTTGAGCTGTGACCTTAAAATATACAGTGTCTTGTGTTTTCCACATGGCATTAACAAAGGCATGAGCACCAGTACCTTCACCACCAAACCCTTCCGCTGTAACATTATCGCCTTTTTTCACCAGATCAACCGTACTGCCCTTTCCATTATCCCACACAGAGAACAATACACGACGCTCAGTTGCAGAATTGGCTTGCATTCCCATATAACCAACAGAAAATCCGTTGGCCTCCCAATAAGTAGTAACTGGATCGGAACCTTTGGGTACACGAATAGAAGATACCATCTCTTTGATGTTACCAAATCCAGAAGGTATATCCCACCAGTTATGAACGGATACAGCTGAGACCTGTTGAGAAGCTACCAAGGCAGAAATAAGAAAAGGAACGAATCTGGATAAATACATTGTTAAAAAGGATGATGTTTGACAGAAAAAAAGAAAATTATAGAGTGTGGACCCTTTTTATAGTAAGTATAATGCGTGCAACAGGTCAAGATAATATTTTAGTTTGTGCACTCACATGAATACTATTAATGGCTAATGCCAACTGGTCGGTTATTTTAATATATATATAATAATATGCATTGATTAATTCGATTCTTCCAATATATTTGTAGCCCGCATAATATAATTTGGTAGTATTCTACATTCTTAAAATTACTTTGGTGCTTGATAGCAGATCATGAATGTTATAAGGGCACCTTCCCTTCCAGAATGTACTCTAAATGAGGTCATATATTATTTTGTTCAATAAACCGCATGTCAATCAATGCGTTCCAGAAAAATAAAAGGCTATCTTAAAAACTGCTTAAAGTTGATGATCGACAGCTTTAAATCATATACATTTGTTTATTACTGTCGCGTGTTATTTCCATGTGGTCTTTATTATTGTCGATCCGATTTATTCAAACAACAATAAAAACAGGGGTATTTATTTTTTCTAATAAGTAAGGCAATTAAACATAATTCTTTTAGTTGCGGTAGAGCGTGCTGCCCATTGATTTAAATATAATACAACTAGTTTTTAGATCTCATTTTATTTAAACAAATCATGTTCTTTAAATGGTAAGTGCAAAAAAAAAAAAAACTTAAGACCTATTCGGTATTTCTTCACGTTTTCTAACCGGAATCAACTCAAGAAAATAAAAAGCTAATAAAAACGTCTTGAACAATGAGTGTGACTTCTACTCTATTAGACCTTAGATACTGACAACCATAAACGGATAAGGAATTATCAATTTGAATTCAACTCCTTGGAACTCCAAAAATGTGATGTTGTTAACTATTCCAATGAAGAAAAACCATGTTTTTGGAACTTTAGTCGAAATACGTATATATCGGCAGGATTAATCCTACGCTGTTTTTAACAATGAGCGTAAATCTTGTGACCAGGTCGAAAAAAGAATAAAACCAATATCAAAGGGAAGTACAACTGACAGTGTGAAAGACTTGTTTATTCACATTGTTCTTATTTTAGAAATATATGCAATGGTATATGTATGAACAATCACAGAGGGAAAGAAATATTATTCAGTACGAAATTCCCCTTTGATTAAAACAACGCATGCGGTAAGAGAAAGGTAAATCATTTTTTGAAATAAATTAAATCTTTGTCTGCCTATAAGCTGTAGAATTTGAAGAGCTTTTATGCTAAGTAAAAAGCTAAGGTTGCCATTGATTAATGCAAATAGCAAAACTCTAATTTGAGAGAAGCAGAAGAAACGGTCACAGCCGGGGTGGCTTTCAAAAACCAAAATTACACATACACCCCTCCCTCCCCCTTTACAAATATATTTTTCAACATTTATATATAAAATGCCTCGTGCAGCTTGGAAAGGTCCATTTTTTGTCGCATTCCCTGGGTTGAAACAAGCTGTTCAAGCAGGTACACCCATTGCAACTCAAGGTAAATGTCCTGTCCATTCATTGTTCTTCTAGGCACGCTTTTAACGCCTTCATTTAGCTCGTAGCTGTACCATTTTACCGTCGTTCGTTGGACTCAAGTTTTTAGTACACAATGGAAAGGATTATTTACCAGTACATGTAACTGAAGAAATGATTGGACACAAGTTGGGAGAATTTGCCTTCACCAGAAAGCGTTTCACTTACCGTTTTACCAAGGCCAAATAGAAGCATCGACCACACAACCCACATACACCCCTTTTTGTACAATAAAAAAACAATTAAAAGTACATGTAAACGTTTATTTAATAACATCCTGGTATGATGTTCCAACGACCGTTAGGGAAGGCTAAATTGTATTTTTCGGTTGGAAAGTGGACCTGGTACCATAATTTCGTTTCGCTAGCTACAACTGAAAGATTGGTGATAGTCCATACCAAACCACAGAATAGAATATGACCTTGGAAACGATAAAGTATGCAGAGTGACAGATAAACTAGTATGTCGGCGAAATAATGGGGTGTAACGAGCCATTCAAACCAGTCGCCTCTGGGGATTGTATATCCGCTGTCAGTATCTTTTCGCAGGGATGCCAAAATGACATGGCATTTGTGTTGATGAATAGAAGCATATACAAACAGAATAATGGCCACCATTGTAGAAAATAAGTGTGTTTCTACTTGAGGTTTACCTAATGAGGAAAGTCCCTCGAGCCAAGTACCAAATACCATGGCACCATAAAAACCAAGGCCTATTAAATAATGGGAGAAATGCATAGTTGCCGTTTTACTAGGCTTTTCAATCCAGAACGATTCATATACACGTCTTGTTAAATGTAAAGTCATCATGATGAAACCCACAATACAGGCATGTTTATCTAGACGTTGTGTTCCTTCCATATTATCATATTTTAAAACCCTTATCAACATTAAGGGCTGGTGACATAATTGTAAGTAGGTTAATTCAATAGCTGAGAGCAAAGCGAATGCAAGGCCGATGACATAAAAATGGCTAAAGTAATGCTTTGGTACGATTAGCTTTGATAATTGAGTTGCCCACATTGTTGTTGGTTTTTTGTCATTGTGTAAATTCAGCTTTCCGTAGGATAGAACAGAAGCATGTAATTCTGGTAATACTTTGACACATATGCTTAGAAAACTGAGTATCAGCAAGCAAGAAGATATGAAGGTAATAAGATACATTGTGTGTAAAAGATTAAAAAGCGAATAATAAGTCAGGGTGGGACAACGTTTTTAATAGTAAACACGTAAAACGCCAAATGAAATATTGATTAAAATACCAGCAATGATACCCATTTGGTGTCTTCTTGAAAAAACAGATTCTCGAAACCAAAATAGACAAATTATCCCTAAAAAGAAACCGAGCATAAGACCCCACATCATCTCCTTATAGGTTCCTTGAATGGCTATATGTATAACCTTTTAGTTCCAGCACACGAAAACAATACTTTCCAACTTACTTCCGTCTGGTAATGTCTCTCCTGTGTTATCCATCCACTGTTCCTCCAAATTCCGTGCCTCTTCTGTTGGTCCTTCATCAAATGGTGTGCCATGTAGTCGGTGAAATTGAGTTCTGATATTCCGGATATCTTCCTCTGTAAAACCTGATTCTCTTAATCTATCAAAGCCTGTAGGTGGAATCATTTGAGGTTGATTCTATTTGGCAGCGAGAAAAAAAAATTAGCATATAAAACATCAAGTGTAATGAGGCATACATTTTTTAAGCTTGGTGTTTCAGGTGTGTAGTCAGACAGTGAGCAATGGAAATACACTGGTGCAGGCGGCTCTAGTTTGGCTTTCGAATCCGTAATATTTATTTTACCAACACCATATTCCTTTAACAGCTTTGCATCTTCTAACACTCGTCCATTGTGAATTAATCGAATATATTTATTTTCGCTCCTACTTGACGATTGCCGAATCTATTTTTTTATATCTTTAGAAACAAGTGAAAATCAGCAATATATAATCTCACCTTCTGCTTGATGTCGTATATTGTTTCTTCCGGTGATACATTTAAGATCAAATCTTGTCTGTCTGACCATCTAATGTGTAATTCGATACTTTCGTAGTATTCATCGGGCTCCATTTATGCCAAGTTGGTTGAAAAGGACGCTGTTTAAATTTAAGGTGCTTTTCTGTGTGTCCTTTTGTGCCCAGTGCCAAATGGCGGTACTCCAAAAAAAAATATGGTGGTTTTGTAACACTCCAACTTGGAGCAAGGTCATCACAAGCTCATTCCCTTAAGAGAAGCTCTTGTATGGAAAACTCTTTTTGTTTATCATGTATATTGTTGTAGGCTATTTATTATCTCTTTTGCTTTCTTGTGTTTTCTCTCATATGAGCTGCTGTTAATTAATTTGCACCGTGAATTATTTATTTCTCGTATCGAAAATCTCTTGTGGCCATTTGTTACATTCAGCTTCTTCATTTGTAGGTAAAACTCTCAAAATTTAAGAAAAGGTGGCGTGTATAGTATTTGTGTTAAATACTTGAATTTATGACAATTGTGTTTGTAACAGTTGGACTTTAATTATATATAGGTAAGCTCACGTTGTGGTGATCATGTTAATAAGATTCACTACGGCGATTGTGCTATTTATTCAGAAATTAAAGGTTATTTTATTCATAAAAAAAGATGATTAATCAATAGGCCTAATAGGTGAACTATTTATGCTAAGCCTGTCTGTCTTTTGGATGTAAACATTAGGAAGCTTGATGACAGAATTTCTTTTGAAATTATTCTGGATTTCACCAATGTCTTCATAACCAGGTGCTTTTCTAGGCTTTATCTTCATGTTTCTGATATGGGAATTTTCTAAAGCGTCTATTGCTTCGTACGTTCCCATTATTATTTTCTAATAAAGAGCATTGGTTATAAACACGACATCAGAGCGTCCTATAATAAAAATGAATAACATACCTTCATGAACCAGAGTGAATTGACTAATTTTCTCAAAATTTCCTCACTGTTTCTTGAAGTTGTTGGCACTTCAACCGAGTCTACACAGTTTTTGATGTACAACTTGCTGTGTGGCATTGATACTCGCCAAATTCTCAAATTGGTGGCTATAAAACGAGTATTAAAAAGTTGGGTACATATGCAAATCCGAAAAAGATACATACGTGTTACTTGAATAAAGAACACACCGATTTTTTTGAAGGTGCCGAAGTCTCCGTAGGGAAAATTTCGGTCAATGCAATGAAGCATTGACACTAGTCCATAAGTTCAATGCACTGAAGCATTGTCACTAGTCCATTGCAATCGCTGCGGACACATTTCACTGAAAATAACCACTTATTAAATGTAGTGACTACTTTTAGTGCACCGCTGCTGATGCACTAACCAGCTTTAATGTAATCCTGTGTCTCTTTTGGGATGTTTGGAAAATGAAAAGGGCCTGTAGTTTCAACAATGGCAATTTCTATCTCGTGTTTGTTGTTGATCATGATGCCATCAGCATTGTAGTAGGATTTATCATCTTTATGCAGCAGCTTCAATTTATCACAAATGGCCTGCAATCGAACTTCTCCGGGCTGAAATCTTGTTGTTTCAATCATTTTTGACAAAGGATCGATTAGCGGTCATATAATTCGATGATTGTAGCTTGTTTCAAGCTTGTAAACATGACTGTCTTCAATAAACAATCCAGAAACACTAGAGCAACAGTAAGCTATATGGACGCGATAAGTTCAAATTATTAATTCAAATACTCACAATGATTGAACCACAGCATGAAAGAAATTCATGAAAGGCTTATTTGACTTGAAAACTGAGAAGTATACTTCCGCTAATAACTCATTCGAAGAGTATTCATCCGCAAGTGTCTATAAATTAAATAATCTAATGTTAAATATCTATATAAAAAGAAATTTGTTCCATAAACTAAAAGTATTACTTACTATCGTATCGAAAATCCTGTTATAAAAATCGTGGTCTTCCACAAAGGAGTCAGGGATTTCTATGATAAATCACTTTCGTCTTGTCAATCAAATGTTTAGGATAGTATTTCCTTGTTGATTTAGAGCCGATTTTGGTTCCAAGTTGGATAACATTCAAGTTCTTTAAGCTATTGAAAAAAATTAATATACTAATTAACAATGGCAGACGTAATTTGTGCATACCTGTATATGTCTGTGTCGTTCTTTGCTTGCATATTCTCCAAGACTTTCTTCCAAAGCTCCCAAATACAGACAATGTCTATACCTACCTAATTTTTAGATTCACATGATCCATTCTTTTCTTACATATTTTCGATCCATCAGCGGATACCTAAAGACGGCTTACTACTCTATATTCTGACCCACCGTGGTTGGTAATGTAAGATACAGGCTTACAATGCCTACAACGGGTAATGGGAAAGTCTTCATCATATCGAGAAGTCTAGCTCTAGCCGTGATAACAAAAAATGGGAGTCTATTCTTTTTTTTTTTAATAAAAAGGTAATATTTTAGTGTTTTTATAGAAAACAAAAGCTGTTATTAACTAACCTTTTCCCCAATATTTAAAACTTCTCTTTAAAAAGATGGTGTTATACAGCATAAGAATAAAAAAGAAAAAAATGAAGAGAAGAAGGGAGATGACTTAATTTTTATTTATAATCAAAAGACCGTGGGCGCAAGTCTTATTTATAAACTGATAAACAAGAGCTGGCTTACGTCAGGATGATTTAATTGTATATTTAATCACTCATATGTTTTAGCCTTCACATACCAAAAAACAGGCGTATTCACAGTACTAAAAAACAGGCGCATAAAAAAGCACGTAGAAAAAAAAAGACGTAGGTGTAGACATTCTCGATTTTTTAAAAGGCACGACAATCCTTTCTTGAATTGTGCGACACTGTTTTTTTAATAAAGTGGGACACTCTTTTTTAAAAAAGTGCGACATCATTTTGGCAAAAGGTGTATCTTACAACGCTCAACCACGCCACGGCCTTCGTATTACCGCTCCAAGCTATCTTTCAACAACCAAAGATTCCCAAAAAAGCATCCAAATTATTGGTGAGTGACAGTCCAGTACGACACTGTCTACATTGGAAAAATCCCGCCACGTTCAACACCCAATGGGGTAACTCGCCCAGAATGATAGACAATCTTCTTGCAAATGGTTCGATTCAACTTACTCCCTTCTTTCAGCCATTATGTCAACTATCACAAACGGATCAAACAAATAATTCAACGGTAGATTTCTATCGTTGGTTACGGACACTGACTATCGCGGACAAACCAATTTCAAGCACTTACCCTCAACGGAACAAGAAATATAAAGAGGCAATACTATAGCGACATAAATCATAGTTACAATACAGCCTATTTCGTATATCTGCACAGAAATGGTTCCTCTTTTGGAACCTGACACTAGTGGCAGTACAACGGAATGTTATATACCGACTATTGACTCGTTTCATCCTTTCTCGTCGATATACGCATCAAATTTTCCCAGAGAAATTTAATTCCGCCCAATGCCAAATCTGTTTGTCTTCGATTGAATCATCAAAATATGTACTTTTTTACTGCCCCTCGAAGGCTAACATTTGGAAAGCTATTATCTCCGAATTTCTTGGGCTTACGACCAGCATATCAAATACAATCGCTGCAATTTTTACTTTGAACTTCCAAACCATCTCATACTTCCAAAAACCAAATTTAACGGTACAGAACGTTATCCTCTACACCTTGGCCAACATTTGGAAATCACACTTTCGTAGTAGCTTCGACTCCATACATTTCCTCTGGCCTGTAGTTGTGCAACAGATTTGTGCAGACCTCTCATCGTTTCAAGCTGAAAACTCCCTTCAAAACCTGTTATAAAAAGAATATGCAACAACACAATATGTGCTAGTAATAACCTTTACTTTTTCTCAGTTTAAACTGTTCATAATGTTCACAAAGTATAGTCTCATTATTTTTAATTTGCGCCCGCCTCTTGGATTGAAATTTTCTTTTTTTTACACGGAGCAATTGTATCCGTACATGACTATAAAATGGCTTCTTGACTGAAAAATGTGATTCTTTTTTCATCCTTCTTGTTTTTTCAAATATTATATAAAAATAAAGAATAAAAAATGCCTTACTCTTTACCAGGTTTAATTGGTAAGGAATACTACCTAGTCTCTTCTTACCCTACCAAAAAAAATTTTTTTTGTCATTCCACTAAGTTTTAAACATTATAGAGAGAGCATGTAGTCCTTCTCGTTTTGATCCTAGCTTGGCCGTCAACATTGAGATCTGTGAGACGATTAACAAAAAGCAAGGAAGTGCGTAAGTAGTCTTACCGAATAAAATAAATCAAGAATTCTCTTTTTGAATAACAATAAAAAAAAAAGCCCACGAATCGCTGCACAGGCCATAGTTCGTCTTATAAATAGCACAAAATCGAATCAAGCCATGTTGGCACTCACTGTAAGTAAACCCAGGAGTTATTTAGGATTGATCGACTTATTTTGATATTAGCTTCTGGATAACTGTGTTAAGAATTGCGGATATCCTTTTCACCTTCAAATTGCAAGCAAGGAATTTTTAAATGCCCTTGTTCGCAGATTTCCTGAACGTCCTCCTGCCCGATATGCCCCCAACCCTGTACAATCGGCACCTGAGAATCAATGGAATCATTTTGACTATGTTCCTCCTCAGCAATTCCTTTCGAATCCCGTCATGGATCGTATTTTATATTTAATTAAGGAATGGAAGGTTGCCTTGTCTGAATTATCCCGTTATAAAGACGACATGCAACATATCAAAGACATGTATAGGTTATTGAAATTTAAAGGTAATGAGCATTTACCGAATAGGGGGGTTTTCTTTTTTCTCAATATGATTTATTTCAGGTTACCAGTTTCCTGAACTTCGTGATTCTTCAGTCGCCGCTTTGGCCCCAACTGAGGTATAAAGTATATAAAAAGACTATAACACGTGTGATGTACTCACATGCCCATAGACCCTAAAATCTGCACTAGAGTTGGAAGAAGAGGATAGAATCGCAAAAGCTGCTGTAAGTTAATGTAAAAAATTAGCCTTGTTCTTCAGAAATATTAACGTCATAATACGCAGAAATTGCAAGAGTTAATTAGAAGAGGAAGACCACAAGATTTAGTTGAAGCGAATAAATTGATGAAAATTATGACTGGCTATGTAAGTAAAGAAATGCTTTGAGTACCATGAGCTGTTCTCTCAACAATTATTTTTCCCACGCACGCAGGACCAAAAACATCAGACCAATTTTAAGGAGAAATTCGTGGAAGAGTTACACAAAATTCAAAACAAGGCACGCCTATTGTACGAAATGCTGGATAATATGAAGGCCGGAGACCGAATTGACGAAGAAGGAAGCATGGAAGAACTGAAAAATGCTTGTGAAAGCGCCTTGCCAAAGATCAGAACAATGTTAAAGGAAGAAGAGGATGATGAAAAGAGTGATCTATTGTACGAAGTAAAATCGATACTTAAAGGTGTCACATTGAAATATCAAGATATTAAGAATGGTCACTATGATACGGTATATGATATTAGCGGTAAATTTAAAAGTGAATCAAACAGTTTCTCGGATCTGCCTCCTCAGCCTATTAGTTTAATTGATTTGGATGACGATGAGTTAACCCCTTCACCCAATAAAAATCCCCTGGACGAACTGAGTGACATTTTCGGTACAGATGCATCTATTTCTAATGCATCCACTCCCAATGCGTCCAACATATCCACCCCCAATACATCCTCAGGCATTGATCCATTTGATCTTTTATCCCAATCCATTAGCAACAATACACTCAAGTCCAGTCCTCCGTACAAATTTAATACCTCCACATCTCCTATTATGATATCATCCCCTAATCAGAACGGCGATAGTGTCTTAAAAACAAGTAGGTTTAATATTAGCATCTTGATTTATAGACACTAATAACTACTGATAGTCGATTTGGTAAACAAAAACGGGCTTGTCATTCGAATGGATGTATATACCGTGACTCCTATTTACAAAGTCAAGGCTTACTATTCCAACAAATCTACAGCTCCTATGGATAAAATGACGCTATTACTAGCAGCACCAAAAGTATGGAAAAAGTATAACAAGTAACGGATATTCACTAATTTGGTTACATTAAACTATAGGGTATGAACTTAAAGATGAGTCCTATTTCTTCAGACACCGTGCCTCCCAAGTCCGAGAATACTATTACACAGACCATAGTAATTAATAACTCTAACAAGGTAATAAAGATAAAAATTAAAGTTAGTTATAGAGAGACTAATGATTTTATAGGACCTTTTACGTCTTCGTTATAAAGTAACATACGAACAATTTGGTGTGGATATGGAACAGACTGGAGATTATCACGATATGTAAAATGATACAAACATTCCCCACATTATATTTCTATTGTATTTAAAAAAGAAGAAAAAAAATTAGACATAAACTTAAAAGTAAATAATACCTTTCCATAAATGTAGCAGCCGTTATGCGGATAAAAGTAATACGTACAAATAGACACTTCTCACGGTTGTTAAAGATTATCTATATACGGGTTACCTTGCTTTGTCATCTGTAACATTTTTTATCTTTTATCGCAATCTTTCCTTCAAAGAAAAAACTATCAAAATGATTGACAGTCTTACATAGTACCATTATCTTGAAGACACAACCACAGATAATGGCGGTGAAGATAATCCTTTTTTTACAAGTCTGGAAGCCAATCCGCAATTGAGCAAGTCACAGTTGTGCAAAACCTTATACTTCATGCATTTTTTTCGCACGGTATTTTGCTTTTAAAATAAAAACGGGACAAGAACCCCTTTTTTTTTTCTTTTTCTTTTTCCTTCCCGAAAAAAATGCTTTCATCATTTTTAAGAGCTTCTTCCACAAGCATCCAAAGGTGAGCAGGGTATAAGCATGTCTGTGCTTTTGATAAGAAATTAAACATATATTTTTGTATAAATTATAGAACGACACCTTTTGCTCGTAGAGCATTTAGCACTCAATTTCCCGCTTTGCAAAGAATCTCCGGCGTGGAAACAGTCAAGAACTACATCAATGGTAAATTTGTTGAATCAAAGACTGATAAATGGATTGAGCTTCGTAATCCTGTATGTATTACTAGAAAATAATAATAAAAAATTGATATGTACCTTACTAAACAATGATTATTTACAGGCCACTCAAGAATTAATCAGTTATGTTCCTGAAACTACTCGCGAGGAATTACAAGAGGCTACCGATACTGCTGCCGCCGCCGCTCGTGAATGGAAAAAGACTACCGTCTTGGCTCGTCAAAAGGTCATGATTGATTTGCAATACTTGATTCGTCAAAATCATGATGCCATCGCCGAGAATATTGTTTATGAGCAAGGTAAGACTTTTGCCGATGCCAAGGGTGATGTTTTCCGTGGTCTTCAAGTTGTTGAACAAGCCTGTGCCCTCACAAACATGTTGATGGGTGAAAAATTGACTGTCGCAAAGGACATGGAGACTTGTAAGTTTTATGTTTTATGATTTAAAAAAAAATTAGACGCTCAAATCGTTACAAAAAAAAATAGACATGTATCGTGAACCTTTGGGTGTTGTCGCTGGTATTTGTCCCTTCAATTTCCCTGCCATGATTCCCCTTTGGATGTTCCCTTTAGCTATTGCTGCTGGTAACTCAATCATTATGAAGCCCTCTGAGCGTGATCCTGGTGCCATGATGATGTTGGCAAAGTTAGCTGCTGAAGCCGGTGTTCCTGATGGCGTCTTGAATGTTGTTCATGGTGCCGTCGACTGTGTCAATTATATCTGCGATGAGCCTCAAATTAAGGCTATCTCTTTCGTTGGTTCTGATCGTGCCGGTGAGCATATCTACACTCGTGGTAATGCCAACGGCAAGCGTGTTCAAGCCAATTTGGGTGCCAAGAACCATGCTGTCCTTTTACCTGATGCTAATAAGCAATCCGCTTTGAACGCCATTGCCGGTGCTGCTTTCGGCGCTGCTGGTCAACGTTGTATGGCTTTAAGCACTTTGGTATGTGTCGGTGAAACCAAAGAATGGTTACCCGAATTAGCTCAACGTGCTCGTGAGCTCAAGGTTGGCTTTGGAATGGATCCTGAAACAGATGTTGGTCCTTTAATCACTGTTCAATCCAAAGAGCGTGTTGAACGTTTGATTCAAAGCGGTCAAGACGAAGGAGCAGATCTCATTTTGGATGGTCGTGGTGTTGTTGTCAAAGGTTACGAAAAGGGTAACTTTGTTGGCCCCTCTTTGTTGACTAATGTGAAGACTGATATGGAATGTTATCGTGAAGAAATCTTTGGTCCAGTCTTAGTATGTCTTAATGTTGACACCTTGGATGATGCTATTGACCTCATCAACAAAAATCCTTATGGTAATGGTACCGCTGTCTTCACTAACTCTGGTCCTAGTGCCCGTAAATTCGAACATGAGATTGATGTTGGTCAAGTCGGTATCAATGTTCCTATTCCCGTTCCTGTTCCTCCTTTCTCTTTCGTAAGTTGCCAAATTCAAGTATGTCATTTAAAAAAAAACTAATCTTTGTATTATATAGACTGGTAGCCGTGGTTCCATTTTAGGTGATATGAACTTTTATGGTAAGAGTGGTCTTCAATTTTATACCAAACCTAAGACTGTTACCTCCTTATGGAAGGAAAGCGACTCTGAGCATACCAAGGCCAGTGTCAGTATGCCCACCCAGAGTTAAAAAAAAAGTAAACAAAAAAAAAAGTACATGTTTTCCTTATATAAAATAAAAGGTTGGTATAACCTTGTCCAACATAAAGTATGCCCATCTTAAAACCTCTCTCACACAAAAATGCCACCACCTATTTTTATTTTGGAGTGCTACTTTGACATAAATTAAATTCAGAGCTTAAATCATAGTGGCACTTTACTATCAAACAAAGTTTGTTTGAGTAATTAAAGAGAAAGGGGCTTGAATGCCGCCAGATTTTTTTTATCCTTTTGGAAGGGTTCGATTCCAACTTAAGTCTAGCCTGAAAAACTAACTAGCTCAATTTGCGGGTTTGCGGCAAATAGTAAAGATCTACTTAATCGTACGTCTTCCGGGAATGAGTTGGACACAAAATAGGGGCAGATAGTCATTATAGGAACACGTTTTGCTTTACTTTGTTGCGGTTTGATACTGAAAAAAAAAAATGTGGCGCCTAAATATAAATTCAACAGCTAAGTCACTTTTATAATTTATCCTTGTTTTTAGATCACTCCCTTGATCTTGATCAAAAATAACAGCCTCTATCCCTTTACCATTTTACATTCCCCTTTTATATATATAAAATATCAAAGGTGGTGTTTGTACGGTATACATATTTTTTTTTTACATATAAAGGATAATTATATAAGCTTTATAATTTTTTTTTTTCTTTTCTTATTTTTTTTTACATTACTGATACTACTGCTAAAACGCGTATTTATATGGATCTAAGTATATCAGGCACATCTCAGCAACAGCTCCCGCTTGCAACACTTCTTCCCCCAAATGCACATTACCATAGCGATATTGTGAGTAGTGGATTAAATAATAATAAAAACACTATTCCAGAACGCATTGCCTCATATGAGCGAATACCGACTAGCACATGGGGACCTTTCACTATTGTAGTTGTCGTATTTTTAGTAATCTTTACATGCTTTATTCTTAATTGCAGTCGAATTCGACGAAGTGTGGGTGAGAGAAAAATGGATAGACTAGGAAGATCTGGAACATTCAAAAAAAGATCGTTTGAAAGGAGACACAAAGATTTACAAGAGGCAGACCTTGAATGGAACAATAATCCACCTATGGTTTATGAAGAAAAGCAACCTACAACACCTGAATCAGTTCATTGCAGTAAAAACTCTACGCTCTCTTCCTCTGCTTGGTCATCTCACTCAACATTAGCTGCAGCACAAAGTCATCATTACAATGATATCAACTTCATTCGAAACCAGCCTCCTGGGGTGCAATTAAGGCTGACACTGGAAAATGCATCTTCCTCATCTTTAATAACTGAGCCAAATATGGCGTATGTTTCTACCAATAGCTCAAAATCTTCAAAGAGTAGCAGTCGATCCGTGATACCTCATCAGTCTAATTTACAAACTCATCCCAACAAAATTGGGACGCCATCAACATTGGATTCCTCCAAAAAATTAGGAGCAACAGACAATACAAGCTCATCACTGATAACATCATCAACGTAGAACGTCTTTTCCTGTGTCTTTTCAATATTAGATACTAACACCAACATCAAGGCTTGTCTTGGGGTTATTTTCTGTGTATTCTACTCCTATAATTGTTTGGAATATAATCCCTTTTTTTTTTCACTACTATTCTTAAAAAACTTACTTGGCCAATGATACTTTAAAAAGGTGTCATAGATATATTTATATAAACGTCCCTTGATTCACCCTGAAAGGAAAACATAAAAGTCAAAATGTGTATGTACACAGATATAATAAAACAAAGTATAAGAGTATATTATCTTTTGTGTGTGTGCGTGTGTGTGTGTGTTTTTTGTATGTTTACCTGTGTAAGTTAAGCTTCGGACCAATGCTTCTTATTTGTTAGCATTAGCAATGTCTGATATGTCACCTTTTTATTTTTATTTAGATGTTGTATCATTTTAGTTTCTCTTCTAACAGAGATTACACAAAGTCCCCTTTTCGGATCGTCTATGCACCAATGTACAAGAATAGATACAGTTTTTATATTACGTTTAGCACATTATGAAAGAGACACTGATGTAGTATCAGCCTAGGCTTAATGTATGAAAGCAGTAAATATTTAAATGCTTAAAATAAAAATTGTATTTACAATGTCCATAAATCTGGGTCATCAGCTTAAATACTGCTGGTTAAAAAAAACCAAGTAATGGTATAATTATAGGATGTATGATACATTACAAAAAAATATAGGAGACTTACAAATATGCATTTAAGATGAATGATTTTTAAATTATTCTTTTAGATGGCAGAAAGGATGAAGCTTTATCCAGCGTAACTTTTGATCTATTCTCATGTAATTCCTCAAGTTCTTGATTTAACATTACACACTATCAATTCATGTAACACTTATGAGTCGATGAGAGCTAAAAAAATTGCTACCCCCTTCGGCCTTGTTTCGCGCTTAAGGGTTCCGTCTTCTCGTTTGCATTCCCCTAAAAAATTTATTTATACTCGAAGTTTGTCCCCTTGAACAGTAATTTCCGGATACATGTGAGACAGTGTATGAACAAAAAGGGAAGATTGTAAACAAGATACTACCAGTCATCTTGAGACTCTCCATGGATAATCGTTTAACCTTTAATGCACTCGGGAAAAGGGTGCACAGGCTGGGACACAAAGGATCACCACTTTTGAAAACCAGATAATTTAACCTGACTTGTTCGCGGTGAAGCTGGCAGATTGTTTGTGCTTCTTTTATTTTTATTTTTTAAACATGGAATCAGAAACAACCACAGCGCAATGGTTGGCTATCGGTGCAGGGGCTTTCATCAGTTGGTTGGTGTTTAACTGGATCTCTACTCCCTCACCAAAAAAGTTCACAGTGGAAGCACCTGAAGGTAAAGTCATCATGTCAAATAAAACCAGTTTTCTAGAAATGTCTTTAACAAGTCGTCATTAGCTGCTGACCCTAAATGGACTGGTAAAATTCTTGAAACCCCCACTATTCGCGTAAGGAACTTAAAAGATGACACCGTGATGTATACTAAAAGAACCTCATTGTCAATAATAGAACGTAAATGACCCTTCGAACATTGTGTGTTACGATCCCTCAACTGGTTACCATATCGATACGATTCCTTCTCCTTCTGCAGAGAAAGTTAAGGAACTGTACACACGTACTGCAGCTGCCCAGGTGAAATGGGCCGAGACGACCTTTGAGCAACGCCGAACTGTCCTTCGTTCTTTATTGGCTTTTGTAGTGGAGAATCAGGAAACCATTTGTCAAGTTGGATGTAGAGATACCGGTAAAACCATGGTAGATGCTTCGTTAGGTGAGGTTATTACCACATGTGCCAAGTTGCGCTGGACTATTGATAACGCCGAAGTGGTATTGGCTAATGATTACCGTAGTCCCGGTTTGATGATGATGTATAAAGATGCCAAGGTGGTCTATCAACCTCTAGGTGTAGTATCGGCTTTGGTCAGTTGGAATTATCCTTTCCATAACGCCATTGGTCCCGTCATTTCTGCTCTCGCTAGTGGCAATGCAATTATTGTTAAATGTTCTGAATATGTCGCTTGGTCTTCTGCTTACTATGAAAAAATTATCAAGACCTGTCTCTCTGTTAATGGTTTCGATCCTGATCTTGTCCAATTTATTAGTGGTTTTGCTGATGTTGGTGAGGAGGTTGTTAAGTGTGGTGTTGATCATGTTACTTTTATCGGCTCCCCCGCTGTTGGTAAATTGGTTCAACATAACGCTGCTGATAACCTTATTCCCTGTGTGCTCGAATTGGGTGGTAAAGATTGTGCTATTTTATTAAAGGATGCCGATTTGGTAAAGACTATTCCTATTTTGATGCGTGGTGTTTTCCAAAACTGTGGACAAAACTGTGTTGGTATTGAACGTATTCTTGTTGCATCTGAAATTTATGACAAGGTTGTTAATGAAATGAACGATCGTATTGGCCAATTACGACAAGGATCTATTCTTACTGACGGTGAAGGAGTTGATTGTGGTGCAATGACGATGGGTAACCAATTCGAAAGACTTGAGGCTCTTGTTCAAGAAGCCGTTAGCCGTGGAGCTAGACTTCTTCGTGGTGGTCACCGTTATCAACATCCTAAGCATAAGCAAGGACAATACTTCGAACCTACCTTACTTGTGGATGTTACTGATGACATGGAAATTGCTAATCATGAAGTATTTGCTCCTATTATGGTGATTATGAAGCACAACGGACCCGAAGATGCAGTTCGTATCACTAATCGTTGTCCTTTTGGTCTTGGATCCTCTGTTTTCTCTGCCGATAAATCTCTTGCAGAGAAGATGTGCTTACAGCTTCGTGTGGGTATGTCTAATGTCAATGACTTTGCTGTGAACTATCTTTGTCAAGGACTTCCTTTTGGTGGTGTCGGTATTTCCGGTTATGGTAGATTCGCTGGACCCGAGGGTCTCCGCGGTCTCTGTGTACCTAAGGCTGTTACAACTGATCGCATTCCTGGTATCAAGACATCTATCCCCCCAATCTTGGACTACCCCATCCAAAATGGAAGCAAGAGTTGGAAGTTTGTCCAAGGACTTAACAACATGATTTATAATCCTGAGCTTGCAGCTAAAGCCAATGCAGTTGTTGAACTTATCAAAGCAAGCTTTTAAACAATGAAAAAAAAAGTGTAAAATATAAAAAATTAATAAGTGTGGATTTTATTTTAATCCTGAAGAGGTTGTAATTCTTGAATTTGCTTGATAAGAAAGGCTTTTTCGTCATTAAATTGCTCGTCGTCTATAATAAAATAAGTATGCCGGTCGAACATAAAATGAATAATAATAATAAAAAACATTTAATTTTACCTTGTCTGTCGTTATGAAAGTTACCGAGGAAATGAATAAGTTTATCTTGATTTTTTACTAATATGTCAACAATAGGTCTCGTCTTGTGAGGATTGGCGACAAAGACCTTAAACACATGGAATGCTTCGAATTGAATATTCCTGCTTTTATCTCGAAGTAAATTCATCATTAACTTGAGATTATCAGCACTGCTAATATAACGAGTCATTACTGTAAAATTGGATCTGTCCAGCAAAATTTCACCCAACAGCTACTTACAACATGAGTATTTCCCTTTTTCAATAGTAAAGGAACAATGCAATTTACCTTTAAAGACTGTCTCTTAGTAACGTAATTCTCAGATTGTAACAATCGCTTGTAATGATCAAAAAACTAGAATAACAAAATCAGTTAAAGGAGGGAATAATGAGGAAAAAAAGGGGGAAAGAGACATACTTCGTCGTAATTTAACTCCAAGAAATCGGCCACCATGGGCTTGTGTTTTGTCAAGATTTCTTTGAATGAAGCAAAGGCATCTGAAGCGATATCGAAGGTGCTCATTTCAACGTAGTCAAAGAATTGATAGAATTTTGTTGAATATAATAGAATCTTTGCTAAAGCCTCGTGACGAATACATTCACGCAATATCAATCCACAATTCAAAGCAACTTCCGGTTGTTCATAACTATAAACATCCATTTAATAAACAAAACCTTTAGGTTGAAACAACACAAATACCCATTTAACAAGTTGAAAAGAATATCCTCGCGTGCACATAAATGCTCCACTGTTGGCCATCGAGAGCCTATCTGTCTTCTCAACAAGTTGTTAAAGATTTGTGCTACATCTTTTTTTGCCTTGTTAAGAGAATAAGTAAGAATTGCATTTTAAGCTTTCATAATACTTTACTTCAAACTCGAACTTCTGAATGTTTAAGACCAATGATTGTAACAAGTCTGTTCTATATACTTCTTGGGCCAGTTGAGCGACAAGATCCGCACTAGGATCATGGTCTATGTATTTATATGAATATTGCTTCCCTATTATTAAATTATGAGAGCCGTACCATCTTCACCGTAAAGGATATTCTTCATCAAAACTAAATATTTGGAGATTTCCTCTGTGGCCTGAATAAGTTGTGTTTAAAAAAATCCTTATGTTGAAATACAATCAAAACTATTTACTTTGCGTTTGTCAGGGCCCTCCAGCTTTTGAATCGCATCTTTCACATGTTTAACAAGATCATGAGGTGTCTTTTGTTTTGTTTTAAAGATGTTGAAATTCATTTTCAAAATGACAAAAAGGGGAAAAGAAGAACAAGATGAATTTTTTTTTTTTTTTATATATATATAATATTAAAAAAGTAGAAAATGATTTTAAGGGCAGGGACTGTTTTATTATAAACTTTAAGCGATGTTCTTCTTTTTGCCCTTCTTTTGAACTACTTTGAAATCATCCTCATCCTCCTCCTCGAGACCAGCAGTAACAATATCTAATCTTCCTGCTAAATCAGCCTTTCTACGTTTCATAAACTCTTGGGAGAAACGTTTACCATCAATTCTCAAAGAATTGGCATAAATAACGTCCTCGATAATTTCAACGGCGCTGGAATCCACAGGGAAAGAGAGCAACATGTCAACAATTTCGTCTTGGTTAACACCAGAATTCAAATCACGCAAGGCCTTTCTACACCAACGACGGAATTCTTCACTGGGTCCACGAGTGCGAGGTGCTGTGACTACGGGTTTAACAGGTTCCCAGCGAACAGGAGCAGGAGTAGGTGCGGGAGCTGGTGTGGCAACTGGTGTGACAGGTTTAGGTGCACGAGTACTCGTAACAGTAGTCCAAGCCCCACCAGCAGAGGGAGCAGAAGGAACAGCATAAGATCTGCTAGATGGTGTATTGGCTGCTGCAATAGCGGCGGCAGTAGTACTGCTCTTGACAGCCTTGGCATTCTTCTTTTTCATGGCCAACTCTTCCTCTTGTTGGATCTCTCTTAATGTCTTCTTGGGTCCTGAAGGAGCAATCCATGCAGCAGAATTGCTACTGGTGGAAGAGCTAGCAGGAGTAACAATAGACTTACTATTAGGAACAACAACACCCCAAGACAAGTTACTAGGAGTGGCATTAGCTAATCTTTCTTGTTGAGACAAGTATTCAGCTGCAGAGGTTTCCTTCTTGTTGAGTTCGGCATTTTTGGCTTCCATTTCTTGAATTTCACGAAGAGAAAGAGGTTTATGAGTAGGTTGAGACCATGTGGTAGTAGTAGTATGGAGAGGTGTACTGTTGGATGCGGCCCATGTAGGAACAGTGGCTGTTGCCTTGGCTTGCTTTTGCTTCTTTTCATTAGCGATTCTTAATTCTTCTTGTTGAATTTCGCGGAGAGACACAACAGGCTTGACAATGACAGGAGCTGGTGTAGCCTTTGCATTAGCTTCTTCGATGGCTTGTGCAGCAGCGGCGGCAGCAGCCTTTTTCTCTTCAACAGCTCTTTTCTCCTCGGCAACCTTTCTTTCTTCAGCGGCCTTCTTTTCCTCGTAGGCTTTCTTTTCTTCAGCGAGTTTCTTTTCCTCGGCAAGCTTCTTTTCGCCAGCGAGTCTCTTTTCTTCGGCAAGAGCAGCAGCCTTCTTTTCTTCAGCAATTTGGATATCAGCAAATGATTCGACGAGAGACTTTACCTTTGCGGGCTTTTCAATGGGCTTCTTGGGAGAAGAAGGAGCTCTTGGAGATTGAGCACCAGGTGCTTTGGCTTGTAATTCTTCGGATACTTTGGTGGGGATTGCAGCAGAAACAATAGAACCCCATGGGCTAGAAGGGACTTCACCTATGGGAGTACCAGGTGCAGAGGAGTTCCAGCCACCAGTCAAAATATTAGGTCTTAAAACAGGAGAAGCGTGATTACTACTAGCATTCGTGACATTCTCTAATTGAGTATTCTTGAAAGTATCCAAAGGACTGGATTGTTGTTGTTGTTGAGGAGGTTGTTGCAATTGGTTAAATTGTTGTTGAAATTGCATTGATCTTTGTTGTTGATTTTGTTGCAGGATGTGAGCGTATTGTTGATGCTGTTCTAATTGATCATTTACAGCACGTTGATAATCAAATAAGCCAGGTGAGTTCATATTAGACCCAAACATAGGGTTATGTTGTTGCTGTTGCTGTTGCTGTTGCTGTTGTTGTTGCTGTTGTTGATGTTGCTGTTGTTGCTGGTGTTGCTGTTGTTGTTGTTGAGGCATAAAGCCAAGTTGACTTGCAGGATTATTAGGATTTAACCATGAAGGAGATTGGTTTGGCTGACTACTGGCGTCCCATCTATTATCTCTTAACAGGGATCCTCCGTAATTATAAGGACTTTGATACAGGGGCGTGGTTGGTGTATTCCCACCCAAGAAACTATCCATAATACTTCCACCAGGGGTAGTAGGTGCTGGACTTCCAAAAGGCATATATCTCGATTGCAAGTCGTTTCTAAATAAATTTTCTGGGGGACTGAAAATATCTGCAGTGGGTCTTGGGCGTGGAGTTAAGAAAGGTTGATCCTCATTACCCACTTTCTGAGTGAGTACCATCAAGCTTTCAAATACAGTTTCATCCTCCCGACAAAGCATTAAAGTAGGAGTAAAGAAGCCAGCTTTATACCAATCTTGCATTTCTTGCGCTTCAAAAGGTCCTTGGACTTGTCCAGAGGGATCACGATAATACCACTTGGTTTCCTCAGGTTTCTTGACATTTGACAAGCCACCCAAATCCGAGGTGGTGCTGGCAAAGGGAGCTTCAGACTTAAATGAATTATCACTGCCAAATAACCCACCACTGCCAAATGCACCAAGACTGCCTTTGCCCCAGTTAGGTTCCTTCCCTTCGTCATCCAACTTATTCAATGGCAAAGTCATGTCATCACCTTGATCGCGTCTTTTCAGCAAGTCTGGATTAAGAAGAAAAAGTTAATGTCTGCGTATTGTCAATCCCTTCCTTTGACTAACCACTTTCAACACGCTTCAAGGATTGGTCCTTGTTGAAGTAATCCCCGGTACGACCTTGATAAATATATTAGCCGTTTATTCTATCAGACCAAAATATTTGACCTACCTTTGCGTGCGCCAGCTAATCGACCAGGCCCATTCTCAGAGGCAGGGCTTTGCATTGGACTAGCACCCGAATACAAGTCAGAGCGATGTCTCCCACCATTTGCTTTATCACCACGGCGTGATACTTCGGAATGGACAGGGCCAGAAAGAAGCTAGTCGAAGAAAGAAAAAGAAAAGAAAAAATTTTCTTTTTAGAAATGTCATACTTGAATATGTTTACCAAACGCTGTTACATACCTTTTTCTCGGATTCTGTTAATTCTTCAAAAGCCAATGGACACAAGATTTTGTCAGTAGTGACGTACTCGTGTTGATTAAAATCAGAAGGCAATTGAGAATCAGGCTTATACAAGCTGAGCATAAAGTCCTTGGAATATTTAAAGGCGTGTTGGTCTTCAAAAGGCATAAGAGAATCTAATATATCGGAAGACGCGAAACCGCTATTGCTGTTGTTATGTTTGGGGAAACTGCCACGCATCCTACAAAGACAATAAAAATTTGACATTTCAGTATAAAAAAGACAATAGCCCCAATATTATCTATACCAACCATTCGGGACCAAAGTTCATGTTAGTAGTCATTTTAATAAAGTATTATTTAGTGATTCGTTAAAGGAGGAAGTGTATAAAAAAACAGAGGATTTCTTGATTCTTTATGGAAAAAAAAAAGAAAAAAAAGGAAAGAAAAAAAAATACCATTAAAAATCGATGGATTGGAGTCACGTGACCCATCAATTTCTCTCTTTTTGCCATTCCAAAAAAGGATCAAGCAAACAAACGCCCTCAATCTTGTGCGACTCACACGCAATTACACAATGAATAAAATAGGACAATAATGACGAGGCTATAAAACCTTACGAAGGTGAAATTGTACGCGCGTATACAGGTGAATGCTGGCGTCAAATGTTACAGAAGATTCGTTGTTGGAACATTTCGATAACCAGGTGCAAACTAAAAGACATGTCCATGCTCTATATAGCCAAAAGCCACTCAATAGTTATAGAGTTTGAACATTTATAACATAATAGAAAACAATCTCGCTCGTTAGGATTAAACTATCACTGCAACAAAAAAGCAAAAGCGTATAGTTAAATCTATTTAAAACGTTATTTGGAAGAAAATATCTCCTTTCAGTCTTAACAATCGCAGCCATGGCTAGAATAAATACTCGATACATACATCACTAAAGAAATCTTACCTCCTCCGTTTACGATACGGGATTTCAAGCATTTATGTTTAATCGTAAAATCCTGTATCACCCAATAACAAATTTTATGATAAACTACAATTTGGGTGTCTCTCTTTTCTTTTGAGCATAAACCAGACCAATATTGTATACAACGACTCTTAAAGAAGCAAAACAACTGGAACTTGGAAATGTATATTATAAATTGTAATCAGAGCCACTATATTTAAAATTTACTACGGCTTAGAAAAGCTCGACTGTATTCCAGCAGAGTTACTGATATTTTTATGTCAGTTAGTAGACTCATATAGGGCTAACAGCAGTGTGCATATAAATAAACATATATTGATTATGTGAAGCAGATTTCGTTTCGTGTACCCGCTTTCAATTCACAACAAAGCACTTTTAAGAGGGAGTGAGCGAGTTATTAACGCCAGCTTGTGTAATTAAGATATGACGACAATAGAGTCAGTGTTTACAGAAACACAGCATAATTATGCATTTTTATTGTACACCGATATATTAAATTAATACCAACCTGATGTTGATGTACCATTTTCTTTGATGGGACGGGTTGGGATACATGAGCTTGTTATCTGGTAGGTGTCAATGATATCTTTCCAATCTTTGATATCGATGCCCATTATAATCTGTTTCTTGCTCACCATATCCTCCATGTTACTATCATCTTGAGGTTTCTTTATTTCTAAAATGTACCTTATTTAATATTTTGGTTATAGATGGCTCATAATAAATCTTACCCAATATAGGTTGCCCAGTGGCAGTACTAATACCAGCAACTCCAGTTCTCGCTAAAAACGAAACATAAAAGATATTTTCGACTGTTTGTGAAAAAGAATCAGGGTTCGTTACAAATTTGAAGTAGTTGATAGGACCCAATTCACTCAGTGTCTTGTATATATTGTTGACGTTATTAGAAGTTTCATTTTCTTGTTTTTGGATGTCTCCTTCTTTGAGCTATTAAGTGTTAATGGGGCGCAATAACAAAGAGCAACATTTTATTACCTGGGCTGGCATGACCAAATCATCCTTATTCTTGCTAAGTTTTCCTGTTCTTACCCTCTTACTTTCCTTACGTTGAACAGATAAAGGTCCCAGCATAAAATCCATCGTATATGCTCTCTTACCAAATGTGCTTGCTTTTTTACCGATGTATTCCCAATCTAAACTCACGTCGTGGATATGTTTGGGCCCTTCACTGGAGGTTGTGATGACTTTTGCTACAAATTCATCCAGGTTGACTTCCGTGTCTTGTCCAATATTGATATTTTGTGCCTTTTGCGAATTGAGATCCGAGGCCAGAACCATAAATCTAGAATCCAAAATGGCTTCTTGTGTATTTCTCACTAAATACAACAATTGTCAGTGACATTCTAGTTGTTTTTTTTTTCTCTGGTCAGACTCACCTTGACTAAATAATGTGTTAGACTGGCTTAAAACCTTTAGTAATCCATCTCCGGAATCCTGCGCTACTAATTCACGTCTCTTCTCTATTCATAAACGAATACTTGTCAGTTTTTGACAAGCTATAGTTCATTTAAAGAATACCAAAAGTTTGTTCTTGTAAATCACGGTATTGACTACGTAATAAACGACGCTCGTCTTCACTTTGATTAGGATCGTATTGTGATGTATCAATGTCTTTTCTTAAAAGCTCTTCCACCTGTCGTAAACCTTGATCTTTTGAGTTTCCCATCGTCTGTTGTTATTGTTTAGAATAAAAATGATAAAAAACGAAAAACTAGGTCACAGTGCCTTGATGGCCTAAATAAATTCGGCTGGATAGCGAATCAGAACTGCAAATTTAAGGTAAACTGGAAATTGAAAAGTTTTGAGGTAAATAAAAGCCAATTGATATGTCTATTATAAGGGGGTTTGTAATATGGTGTATTCTCTCCAAATAGAATGCACCAGTTGTGGGGTTTCTCATGAGGTAGAACACTATTTTTTTTTTTTTTTTTTTTTTGCATACTCTAGTCTGTGAAGCACTTGATAGCCTGATTAAATGTTGCTTGTATTTATCAGATTTATGCCTGTACTTGTCTGTGATCCATGCTTTTGTGATGATATTCTCCTTATTTTAATATTTCTGATTTTTACTTCTTTAGAGCAATACCTTACTTTGAGGGACCAGCACAACGCTAGTATAACCACAAATTTTGTAAGTAGACGGAAAGTCTTTGTGTGGCATATCCATATTATGCTTGATATATTTTTTGTTACTTATCAGTAAAATTGGACAAAAAAGCAGCTGTGAGTAGCGAATAAAAGCGGATGAAGAGAATATAGAGAGTGATACAATTTTAAGACTTCAAATTCAGGATAAGTTTTTTTTTTTTCGAATAAAAATTATGAAAACAAAAATCGATATCAGACAATGCGGGAATTGCTCAATCACCTTAGCCTGTAAAAATCTAAATCTCTAAAAGAGAAACCATGTTCGATATGGCGATATAAGAAAACAGTGGCATGTTTACATTGAACTTCGTTCATATACAGTTAGTAGTTCGTTTCCATTTACAGGTGATCTTTTGAAATTTGTTAAATGTTTTGGAACATCCCACAACTTTGGCAAGTAAGAATAATATTCAGGTCAACAATAGCTCTAATGAATTTCATTTCTTTGCACAAATAACAGACCTACATTAACTGATTGTTAGTCACAGTCATATGTGTTATTGTTTCTGTAAATGACCTTTGAAATGCGGAATTAATCAATCCAGGCAAGTAAAAATTTTCGGTTCTTTTGTCTTCTTTTAAGCTGCCGTTGTAACACGCCAGTCGCGCCAGTTCGAAGTGTTTTTATTTTGACATGGTCTTTACCAAACATCCCGTTACCAAAGGAGATTAGGGGCAACTTGTTCTTTCTTCCAATAATGGTCAGTCTTACCACATAAAAGATTAATAATAGCAATTGTCGATATAATTTTTGAAAGCCATACATTTGACATGATACCGGGGAGCCTCTTGTATCCCTTTTCTTTCAGTACTTTCTTCTATTCTTCTTGAGGTTTTTCTTTTGGCTTAGTCATATTTTTCCCTCCATTGGCTAAAATGTTTACCATTTCTTCACATGCTCTTTGCGCGCTATATTGTACTCCCTGATATAAGTGGAAACGTCTAGCAGCGGTGGATGTGTCGTTGAAATTTAAAATCACAGTGCTATTTGATAATAATAATACTACAAATTGCAGATATCGAGAGATAAAAGCAGTCTTTTCTGTAGGTATAATAGACATAATGTCGCCCTTTCCACTGTCTTCCATCATTTTTTGTGTCTAATTGACCCAGAATATGTGTAATATTTTCGCGTTCAACGGCTTCTTACTTGATGAGATTCTTCGCCATGACCATACAATGCAGCAAATATTTGTCCTCTATTAGGATCAATACCGCATAGGCTCATTTTGTCGTTTTCTCTTTTAGTGTTAACTTCACCCAGCAGGGTAACGTCATAGTCTGTTCATAGTAGTCAAAGTTTACAGCATCATTAACCTTTTTGCCGGAACTTTTAATATAAAGCATTACATCCGCAATAAAGCGATCTGCTTGAATAAAGTTTGAAAAACCAACCTTTTTTTGCCGTAACTTGTAATTCTTCTATGCTTATAATAATAGTTCATGTTACTTTTCGCAGTTAAGATTGAGTATAGGTTAAGTCTTGAATCGTTTTATACATATCAAATTTTCAGTCTTAAAAAATTGAAGGCTTTTTTAAACATCTCAAATCTCCCTTCATAGGAGCTGGGTAATGGTATGCTAGTAAACGCTAAAAAAGAATCGGGTTGATAGATACAAATCTCCACCTTAAGAACGGTGTAGGGGTCAAGGAGAAAAGAAGCGGAAGTACCTGACGTTCCGGAGGTTCATAATAAACTTCTTCGTGCTTTTTCAGATTATTGGAAGGCATAGAAATATACGCACCAGGAGATTTGGAAAGGCTCTCTAAAGTGACATGCTTAGGCATGTTTATACTAGAAATAACATTGCATATTATATCATCCATTTTAGTTTTTTTATTATTATAACTTTCATCTCGATTATCTGGCCAAGAAGGTGTACCACCACAAACTTTTTGGTAGCAATATCCATGTATAATGTTTTTATGACTCTTTTATCAGGCTATAACATTTATGTATTACATAAATTGATATTTGATTGTAACTAAAGTAGTTTACTTTTTCAAGTAACTTTGAGATTCCGTAAAGCATATATGCTTTTGCTTTAGATCCAAAGCTCTCGACAATATTGTTGGAGTATACATCGTAGCCATTTCAATGCAAGAAGCAGTTACTTATTTAAAAAAAGAACCACAAAGCAGTCAATAAAACAGGAAGATCTGAGGTCAAGAAGACCAATAAAAAAAAATTGATGTTTGAGAAGTATAAAGTAGATAGAAAAACAGAATAAAAAAGTAATAATAAGAAGCGAGTCTCTTTTAATCCTTTATTAAAGTTATAGAGAGAAAGTCATTGCAAAAGGGAGGACTCTTTTTATATCAGACATCTGGGAGATTTAATCTGGTGACGGATAAACAATGGCTTGTTTCTATCTTCTGAGGCATGGCAATTAGAATTACATGGTATGAAGTCAATCAATATTTTCTTATGTTGATGGACCCTAATTATTAAGTGAAAATTTCCCAATATATAATTTGTAACAAGACTATACTGGTAATATGAGAGTACCGTTCGGATATTATAATTCAACCATACTGAAGGTCATTCTATACGACATTTATTGGAGGAATACGACAAAAAAGAGCGGTGCCAAACAATGTGACTTTTTCCTTCGCAAAAAAACAAAAACAATCACTAACCAGATTGTATCAATAAAAACAACTTTCTTCTGCTAAATATAAATTCAGTACCAAACCCAAGGAAAGAGCACTAAGTAACACGCTACCTCCATAGTCTCGCCGATACAAATGTTTATACAGAAGTGGAACGAATTGATCAAGTCAGCAAGAAGGACACATCGTAGTTTTAATTTTATTTTACGTTTGTTACTTCTGCAAATTAATAAATAATAAAGGACATTTTTTCTCCCGTAAATATGTGACATTGGCCACTTAGTACAGCTGCAACCCTCAACGTGCCGGGTCGGTACCACTGTTCATCCAGAGGTGGAATCGACGGACCAAGCCGGCAAGAAGATTTAGGCCCACCATACCCAAAAGGTTAAAACGAGTGAAGAAGGGTCTTTTTTCTCGCATAAATAAAAATAATATTGGCCACGCCGCAAGTACTCAATTGCCAATGAAGACAGTAACCACAGATGCGACTACAAGCACCACGCGGATGTAAAAACATAAAAATATATTGCTCACTAACAGGGTCGAACTGTTGACCTTGGCGTTATTAGCACCACGCTCTAACCAACTGAGCTAAGCGAGCTTATATGTTATTTGTCAGGCCTGCAAACAGACCTTCACGTAAACACGTTAAGCCAGAATTCAAACCCATCAATCCGGGCCGAACCAAGAGGCCTAAGAAATAGCCTGATAAATATAGTTCTAAATTAGGTTTTAATAAAATAACTTTTCTTTGCTTTTTAATATCTTCAGTCCCCCTTTAGTAACTGCCATTCCGGCAACAGCATTCCAGGGACTGACATTGGTAGCACCAGTTCGAAAAACAACTTACTTCACTGTATTTGATAAACACCTTTGTTTTCGTACAGAAGAAACCTTTTAAAAAGGAGCAATTTTTTTAACGTAAAAGAGCGTGTCTTTTGGTTATATAAGTTTTTGTATATCCTTTCAAGGACTATCTTTTATTCCAGCGAATTTCTTTCCTGTGGAAGAAAATACTTAATTAATAAAATCGTCAATTATTGTCGTGCTATTTTCAAGAAAATAGTTAGGGAGAGAAAGTGAAACACGGAGTTCTATTTACTTGTCAAGGAACCAATCATGTCGAATCCGAGTAATCAAGCGCATATATCGCAGCAAGATATCAATCGTCATATATGTGAGAGTCTAAATAACATGGCGAATACGATGGCAAGCCTAGGTCAGAGAATGATGGAGAGCACGTCTAGCCGAGGTGGTACAGCCCAAGAGAACATGCCTCAAATCAAGTTAAAGGAGCCAAAGGAGTATAGTGGTGCAAGGGATGCTATGATCATTGACGAGTGGATTCGCTCGGTTGAAATGCATCAAGAATTTTTTCAGCTGACCGAAGCTCAAACGCTACTATTTGCTGTGAGTCATCTTGCGGGACGGGCAAACGCGTGGTATCGAAGTCTGGAGGCGAAGAAAGTAGCGCCTGAAACGTGGCTTCTTCTCAAGAAGCAATTGATTCTCAAGTTTAGGCCTGACAATGTGGAGCTGTTGGCTCGTGACAAATTCAGTTCTATCGTCCAAACATCTACGATACAAGATTACGTAAATAGGTTTATGGACATTTGCATATCTTTACCCAATATTACTGATGACGAGTGCTGTGACAAGTTCATGCGTGGCGTCCAGTCTAATCAATTACGTGCTGAATTGAGAGGTATAAGAGGTGAAGAGCGCACCATTGAGAACTATTACAATGCTGCTTTGTCGTGGGAAGGTGCTCGAGATTATAATTATAATCCAACGCTGCAAGGTTCCACCAACTCAAGTGTGGCACTTGATCATCATACGTCGACTGCGGAGCCAATGGATTTGGATGCCATGAGGGATCGTGGTGCCAGAAAGTTTGGTAAAGCCCCAAAGAGGAACGATGGAGATAG